GGATATGCGCCGACGGTCGACACCCCGCCGGACCACCCCAGTCGCCTGCATGGACATAGGCTCGTTTCGGAGTGCGACTCCGCCAGCGACAAGTTGCGCGAACTGCCCCGGTGGAGGACGAAGTCCGATCAGAGGTCCATAATCCAGCGTGAGGTTGAGAGCTTGAAGAAGAGGTACAGGGCAGGCGGGGGGACGTCCGAGGTGCTAGAGGTGCTAAATAACACAGAGAGATTATTAAACAAGGAGAAGAACGAGAAAGATATGAAGGTCGGCCGGCAGGAGGGTGTGGACGATGGAAAGCTGGACACTCGAGCGAAGAACACTCGTAAACGGCGATACCAGACTTTCGCGGAAGGGTAATGCTTTCTTGGACGATTCTTTCAGTGTTCTTGCAGCCGTGTAAGCGATAGCAGTCATCAACCTTAGCAGTGTTAGGACGTCATGCATCGGATAGAGCTTTCGCGACTCGACACAGTTATCATCAATCCGACGTTGAGTTCCGGTTGGCATTATGAAAGGTACATACTATTACTTTATTGTCCACACATCTACAACTACAGGATAAGCCAAGAGTGCCGGGACACTTCCAGGAGTCCTTTCATGTCGCAGGCCGCAGTGCGCGCAGCCTTGCAGCGAGCTTGTCATCCTCCTCGCCGACAGTCTCCTTCTGGATGAGATCGGGCACACTAGTGGCGTCCCGCGAGGCAAGATCGTGCTGCAGCTCAATGTTGGCCTCTTCTGCGGTCTGCTTCATGAGTGCGTCGACCTCGTCCTGTGGTGTAGATACGGCGGTGGTGTTGGACATGGTCTCCTCCATGTATGACGTCTGCACATCGAGGTCCGAGAACTGCTGCTCGAACTTCTCCATCACGATAGAGATCTGGATGCATGTCAGGGCCCTGTCTCCGATAGTAGCGGGAGGAGCGTCTCATCTTACCCTTTCGAGGTTCATGCTGTCCATCGCCTTGTCCATGCCTTTCACAACGGAGGCCATGTTGCCCGTCATCTGCCTCATTGTGACAGCGGTCTCCACTCGGCTGGCGACCGCATCGACTTTGCTGGAGAGTCGGAGGAGGTTCAAAGATTCGTTCTTCTTGCGGATCGCATTCGCAGCATAGATTCGGGCACCGTCGGTGTTGCCCTGTTGCAGTGCCTGTCCCAGGCGTTGATACGTGGGCAGTGTGAGACGATGGCGAATGTGCGCACCTTTTTCAGGCGATTCTTCTCTGTGCCCTCATCCTTCTGGGCTTTCTTGGCCTGACGGGCGAGACTCTTCGCGGTGAACTATTCGACTTTCAGATTACTGCGCAAGTCAGCTGCGATACGATGGCTCCGACCTTGAGCTGAAAGAGGGTCTCTAGGCAATATCAGTCGCTGGACATAAAAGCAGCCTTGTAGACCAACATACTCTCGAGATTGCTCATCGTATGAAGGACGTTTCGAGGGCGGAGATGGAGGACTCGGGCAAGCTGCGCGCGTCACTGCGTTGTGGCGCTAACCCCGGCGATCTGGATCTTGCCTCCACGTGGCAGACCCGGTGCCATTGACGCCTTGAGCCGTGAACCACGTCTTGCCCACATCCCACACGATTCCGCTGGTCGGGCCGTTTATGCCCTCGTAGTGTCTTTGCCAGCTCGGATTATAGCTCATGACTTTGTTACATTATCTTAGGTTTGTGCTATATACCTGTACTCTCTGCGAGTGGATCCTAACAGAGTCCTTCAACAGCTACGGCGGTGCCATCGCCGCCTTCGTATTTATCACCCTGTCCTTGGGTAAGCATCCTCAAGCCAACTCCGCTTATTCACGGCTTAAACATACTTAGCCAGTGGGCTGCTGTGGCTCTCGGAGTTGATTGAAGAGCACTCTCGCAGTGCCAAAGCCATCGGACAAAGAGGCATCTGCGTGAGCACCTTCGAACTCTTGTGGTGGTACTTCGAGTAACAGGGCACAACCGTTTCTCAGGCGATAATACTCATCCACGTCTCTCTCTGGTATTTCGACTCGCTGCCATTACACCTCACTCTTTTCTCCGTCTTCTGTCATGTGGTCTACCTCCAGAACTTCACTCCTAATTGGCCCGTGGTGTCGTTGACATCCCTCAGCTTCTTGGCATCTTGTGTTCTGGTAATTACCGACCATTTTCTGTGGTTCTTCTACTTTGCCAGAGTCACACAGAACGCAAGGCACAGGGCACGGACCACGTACCCTCGGCAAAATATGCCCGCACCTGGTTTCGCAGACATCGCGACCTTTTTTGGTGTCTGCGTCTGGCTTGCGCCTCTGTTCCTATTCCTCAGCCTCAGCGCGAACGATAACGCGTTGCCAACGAACCTAAGTACGTATCACTTCGGGCTTCGGATTGTACAAATGCTGACCGTCCGTTCAGCCGGTGCTGCCTCAGCTCCGGAGATTCCAGCACAAACGTCCCATCAGATCCCTCAGAAGCCCCAACGAACATCCCTCTTCAAATCGCTCTATGCTTCTCTGCCTTTGGAATCGCTGCCTCGACTCCGCCCCAAACCTCGCAGGGACTCTTCGCAAGGCATCATCGCACCTCCAAGCCCGAGGCCTACATCCTCGCCGCTGCCGTCTCCCACCATCCCCGGCATGAGGCGTAACGCCTCTTCCAACAACCTCCCGCCTTACAATACTCCGCCTCCGCCTCCGCCACGCCGAGTGTCCAGCGACAGCCCCAGCCGGCTGCCCGTCGACGGCATAGAACGCACCTGCTCGCCAGAGCAGTTCTCCACCTCCTTCTCACTCGGGCCGCCTCCGAAACGAGCATCAGGTGCTATCCTGGCGCCGTCCCTACAAAGAGCGGGCATGACGAGGACAGAGATGCGGCGCGTAGCCAGCTCCAGTAGTGCGTACGATCCGGATGGGTGAATGGACATTTCGTGCTGGACATCTCAGCCTTATTATCTGGGGTACGAAATAGGAGCCAGCCGGCATGGAGGCCGTGCTGCTTGCGAGGAAGCAGGGTGCAGTTACAGGCAACGGCCTGTATACTTGCAGGATCACATGCATAAACACCCAGTGTCGGCTATTCCGGAACTGCGTCTGGCGTGAGTAACATTTGTGGTGCAGATGGCAGGGGAGGCGGCTGGCTAGATTCGAGGGCGTAGGTCATGTTGTCGCCTGGTATCATGACACAGGGCGAAAGGAGCTGGATGGATTCAGTCCGTTCCATGAAACGCCGAGGCTCCTTAGAGCTTCTCGCCCCCGTCATTCGCCGCTCAGCACGAGATGAAGGCGGTGTGGTAGGACGTGTGTAGGGTTCGCTGTTGACCGGTTCCTCATACCCAGCTGCTTCTCCGCGGGTGGGAGAAGGGGTGGTTTCTAGCGTGAACATGTCAAATGGCGCGACCACTGTACTAGCAAGAGCGGAGAACTCGAAGTACTTTGCCCATGAAGCTGAAGCTTGAAGCTCTATTTTCTCAGGTTGTCGCTCCCAGCGTACCTTACATTCTCCTGGGCTTGCTGCGCGACGCCTTAGGAAAAGCTTGGGTCATGAATGAAGTTGTCTGAAAGCCAATGCTAAATGACGAATTACAAGCACCACTTTGCTCAGGCAGCCGACAAACTTCGACGAGATACGAGTACCTTCATATCAGAGGTAATACGAATCAACACCATTACTTGTGGGAACGTATACCATCACCGCCCTCGTTGCCCCCAGTATCCCTCCGAGTAGGCCGTCCGTTATCTACAAGTTGCTTCTTGATGTCTTTCGGGTGGCCAATATCCTGGAAGCGCTCTCCATACCTGGCGTAGTATGCGTCTAGAGTCCTTTTCGCTCTTTCCCACAGCTCCTCTCGGACTTGCGGATCTTTGGGGTTATACTGCTTAGGCAAATACCAACATGCCAAGCTCTCTTGGTCCGGGAAGTCGAAGATGCAAAACATGGAGCCATCAAACGGAAGAAAGACTGCGCTAACGTGAATTTCCACATCATTCTGCGGGACTGTGCCACTCACTAGGTGTCCAAAGATCAAGCATCTCCACCACATCGTACATCTTGTCGCACCCGTACGCGTACCGAGAAGGTTGGTATTCCCAAACTTGGACGTCCGCGCTCTGACAGACATGCGGAGTCGCCTGGTCGAAGTCGACGATACGCACTTCGTCATTTTTGGAGACGAGGACGTCAGTGACGTCGAATTCGCCATGCTTAACTCCAGCATTATGGATCTTGAACATAGCGCGCGCAATCTTCTCTCTGTGACCGGCTGATTGGTATGTCAACAACGGGGGATGTCCCACTACTGACCTGGTTTGGAGGGGCATATTCCACAAATCCTCAATGCTTTCCGAAGGGCAATACTGCAAGATGATACATGCGACTTGACACTCCATACCGCGGACCTTCTTGTACGAACCCTTGAAGAGTCCGTGGAACCGAGGTACGACGATGCCTTGCAAGTCATGCAACTTGTTTCTATAGATACTGGTCTCTTGCTCCAAGGGAGATATGTCGTCTTCCCTGTACTTGCAGACCACGTCAATCTTGTCAGAGTCCGATTCGGCAGAACTGATTGTCCCCCTGAGAACGAGGGATTGTACACAGTGAAGCACCTGCGAGGCCGAAAACTAGAGACGTTTGTCGGAGTGCGCCGTGTCCGAGGCTGCTTGGAGGTCGAGGAGGTCGGGTGGCAACTCGATGCCGACACTGACAAAGTTGAGGGAGAGGGAGGCCATTACAGATCGCGGCGTGAAAGTTGCTGTTGGTACTTAGTGGGAGCGGACAGGTACATACGCATGAGAGAGGGGCTAGGTCTCGCGAGGTTTCGAAAGGGGACAAGAGCGGACGTGAGCTGAAATACTGTACGGTGCTCAATATTCCCTGTCACCAAGAATTTGCGCGTCCAATGTATAGCATGATGCGCTGAAACCGTTTAGCATCGAGATAGCTGGGGAAACTAAGTTACATTATTTAAAGTCCGTGGGACGCAGCGGGCGGGATTTGCCGATAACACATGTACCGAGAGGCTTGCCAGGCCTTCTATGGAGGCAATGAAGCAGGCAACGGCATTGCTGACGCCGTATTCGGCAAGGTTAACCCGTCGGGCAAGCTCGCCCTCACGTTCCCGTATGTGCCGTGCCTTCGCACTCTGACAACTTCTTCTAAAGAGCAACTACAGGAAGCATATCGAGGATAATCCATCGTATCCCTCGTTCGGCGACAAACCTCAGGTCCATGGCAAGATCGTCTACAACGAAGTAAGAACCGTCGTGGGAAACTGAATATTCTGATTTTGATTATGTGACTCGTGCAGGGCATTTTTGTTGGATACCGAGGATACGAGGTTAAGAAGCTCGCACCGCTATTCCCTTTCGGCCATGGTCTTTCATACACTACTTTCGACTACTCCGCTCTTGAGGTTTCTGGTATCTCTGAGCACGGCAAATTCTCGGTCTCTTTCACAGTGAAGAACATGGGGAACGTCGAGGGCCGAGAAGTCACGCAAGTTTACATCGCAGACCCGCAGTCGTCGTTGCCTCGACCGGTTAAGGAGCTCAAGGGTTTCGCAAAGGTTCCGGTCAAGTCAGGGCACAGCGAGAAGGTCACTGTGCATCTTGACAAGTACGCTATCAGTTTCTATGATGAGCGGAAGGGAGCGTGGGTGGCGGAGGCTGGGAAGTTCAAGGTGCTTGTTGGAGCTTCGTCGGCGGACGTGAGGCTGTCGGGAGAGGTCGAGCTTGGGAAGAGCTTCTATTGGACTGGATTGTAATAATCATCTGCTAGCAAAAATGGCCTGCGTAATACATCTGTTCTGAATCTCGTAGTCGCTGTCTCGAACCTTTCACTCGGACTATGCATCTGCTGAGAGACAATAATGTGAGTATGGGAGGTGACGAGCAGCGCTGTGTACCAACCTGAAGAAGGGTGTGGGCATCCCCGATCCACGGCATCTCAACCGGCGTTCCAGACTGATTGACGACCACGGTCTTCGGGTTGGCGGCGAGTACTCCAGCAACAAGTCGGTTGGTGAGGCCAGGAAGGCTGCAGAGCGCATCAGCATCTTCCCGTGAAGTTAAATGGCAAGAACGTACTCCATGTTCTGCCTGTCGTAACCCTCGCTTTCCCAGCTATTACGGAGCTTTGAACTCGAGCCGTTCAGCGGCATTGCAGATAACTCACTCATTGTTCAGGCCAACGACCAGTATCACAACTAAAGCAGGTTAGATTAGGGCCGCAATTACTCAGTGCCGCAAAATTACGGCCGGTGTACTTAACTTACTATCAGACGCTTTTGCTAGGTCCACCGCTCGTTTCATGCCGTCCTCGAGATCAATTTGACGCATGGCACTAAGCCGAATTCCACCACGAGTCGCAAACGGCGCGCCTTTGGCAATGAATGCTTCGTTGCTTAGACGAACTTCGACCCTGTGTTTAGTCCCAGCCTTGAGCCCCTTCATGACAGTGCGAACATCGACAGTTCCGAGACCGAAAAATGAATCTCCCTGTTTCGGATCGATGCTGAGCTCGATGATAAGTTTGTCGTCGATGAACAGATTTCCTCGGCCTGCGATGTTCATCCCGATTTCCCAGTCGCCGTCTTCGTCAGGGACAAAGGTTGTCGTGAACTGCAGAGACGGTCAATACTTTCCCTAGCTGACTAGATGTCGACTTGCCCTCAGCCAGCATATTTCGTTGACCTTGGTGTCGTCCTGAAAGCGTGTGTCGTGAGCTATAGTCCCATGTTATCTTAGTGAGACACGTACAATCCCATCGGCCAGGAAGCACTTCGCAGAGTTCGTTCGAGTGCTCCACACGGCAGGCGGTACAACCCTGGAAAAGTTCGGGGAGGTTGACAGCCAGTCATCCGTAGGACTGTCGTTCCAAAACTCGAAGAATGCGCCCGTCTTCCCATCGTATGTGATGTACGGGTCGATGGCAGGCAGATATTGGTGTGAGAGCGTTCCAACGGTATACTCGACTTCAGCGCCAATCTCCTTCGCAGCCTCGGTAATACCGTCCAGCGGTGAGACGGTGTAGGTAGAGAGAAGGGAAGCGGAGCCTCCGCCGGAAGTCACGGCATCCTTGGCATTAGGGCCAATGACAGCGATCTTGTGCACACCTGCCCCAATGGGAAGAAGACCCTTCTCGTTCTTGAGGAGGACGATAGCATCTGCAGCCGCCCTCCGGAGAAGCGCACGCACTTGGGGAGTGTCCAAAGGTCTCTCTGGGGCGTCGAATGGGATCCCAGAGTCATATGCACGTTGAAGCATTTCGAGTACCTAACAGTGTCCGTGAGTACTGGAACAGGTCACAACAATCTAGGACATGCCTTCCTGACGCAAGTATCGACGTCGTGGGGGAACAGCTTCTCGGCGACGATCGCTCTGATGACTGCGTTACCCCGCATGACAGTCGGCCCACTGTCAAACAAGAATTCGGCACAGAATCCTCGCTGAAAGAAGATGACGATGTGCGTACGGCATTTCAAGATCCATCCCGGCTTGGATACTCTCGGCGGTGCTGTATGTACCGGTCCAGTCACTCATAATCATTCCCTTGTAACCCCATTCCTTATTTCCTGTGTGAACACGCGTACAGCAGTGCACACCATAACACCTACCTTCCTGAGAAGATCGTCCAGCAGCCACTTGTTCTCCGAGCAGTGAAGCCCATTTAAGCGGTTGTAACTACCCAAACGGCTCAGCATCAGATTATGAACCAGAGGATGTTAATCGCGACTTACGCAGTCATTAATGCCCATGGATTAGCTTCCTTGACCGCAATTTGGAACGGCTTGAGGTAGATCTCTCTCAATGCCCTCTCACTAACGTCGCTACTGATGGAGAATCTACGCAGAGGGAAAATTAATCTTGTAGATCTCATGATATGCACACGGTTCGACAGAGACCGACCTCTCGAACTCTTGATCATTGGCGACGAAATGTTTGATTGTGGCTGCGACACCCTTGGACTGCAATCCATTTATATAGGCAGCGGCAATTGTCCCATTGAGGTGAGGATCCTCAGAGAATGACTCAAAGCCTCGTCCTCCCAAAGGAGACCTCTGAGTGTTGACGGTAGGTCCCAAGAGGATATGACAACCTGGTTCTCGTGTGGGTATTCGATTTAATTCTCGCACGTGTGTTACATACCTTTGGCATGGCATTCGTCTGCAAGTGCCTTACCAACTTCTGCCGCAAGCTCAGTGTCAAAAGAGGAGCCTAATCCAGTGGATGAAGGAAAGCAGCTGGAGGGGACCCCGTTGAAGACTGAGGCAGAGTTATACAAGATTGCTATGGATCCCACTGCAGCTGACACTTACATCGAGTACCGCGAACACCATTTGGACCTAATCAATCAATGACAGATGCGTTCTCAATGCTTTTTGATCGTGTCTTCTGTGGCCTCGCTACGTACCATCGCTCATTCGTATGGCGGGGATATCAGCCTCTGGCACGGGCGTCGTATGCCACCATCCCTACGAGATCAATGAGCCATCAGCACATCGTACAGGCCATCAAAGCAAGCACCACCTACAAAACCTGACAGAAGCTTGACTTTCTGGCCCAAAGTCAGCTTGGCAAGTGTTCTGTCGATATCGAGGCGGGTAGAGGTAGCCATGATGAGTAGCAAGATGAGAGATGAGAATTAAAGGGCCAGCACACCCTCTCATAGGCAGTCAGGTATATATATCCGACCTCGTCATCAGGAAGGCCCAGTCCAAGCGTTTCTCATGACCTGCTGAACATATGCCTGAAGCGTTCCAACGGGGAATCATCGGAGGAAAGCGTCGGGCAGGCGCCAAACAATGCGAACCACTTTCGAGGGCGTTTCTCGTCTGGCCTCAGCCGTCATCCATTTCCCGCCGGAGCGATCCATCCTGCACACCAACGCGAACGCTGTCGCTGACGCGTTCTATATTTGCGCTGGCCACCGACCACACCAGTGGCCTCAAAACCCGCTGTCATGCCATCATCAAAAGCCGCGAAGTATGACCATTTTCCACCAGACATCCGAAATCCGAAGCCAAACTGACCGTGCGGTCTTTCTCAGAGGAAAGAAGCGGGCCTATCACTCTGATAGCGAGGATGAACCTAGTGACACCCCAGTGGCGTCATCTTCGCATCATCCGCCGACTCTGAAGATCAAGAAACGTAAGCTCATTTTAATTGCCCCTGGGCCCGGCTCACTTACCTTTGGGAAGCAAGACGAGCAGTGACCAAGAAGTGCCCCGTATGCGACGAAGAGATACCCGTCCGGCTGCTAGATAAGCACGCAGACTTGGAGGCGGAAAGGTTGGACGAAATCATGAGGCACATAGGGTCAACAGAGGTGTTGGACTCGGCTGAACCAGACGATGGGTATGTGAACATTCACGTCCCAAACTTGCTGCTTCTCAATACTGCGTAGGTTTACTGCACGCACTCGAAAGTCCGCCGTCAAAGCTCGCAAGAATATGCAGCACAGTTCGTCGTCCGCCACACTTGAGGTCGTGGACAAGGCCCTTCGCATGATTAAGAAGCACCGAAAACAACGACACGCCAAGCTACGCGAGATGACCAGGGAAGAGGAAGATGGTGGGGGATTGTCCAATTTCCGAGGAGGAACAGGCCGCTGGGCAGGTAACGGGCAATGCACCTTGTGTCCCGTCTGCCTGAAGATGATCCCTGGAGACCCGGACGTCGTCGAGGCACATGTCGACGCCTGTCTAGCGCACGAAGCGCGAATGCAGGGCGAGCGTGAGCGCTCGGAAGTGGAGAGACGACGAGAAGAAGAAGCTTGGGAGGAGGTGGACGTCGAAGACGATGTCCAGCTGAGGGCCACGGACGGAGCTAGTCTTCGAGGTAAGGTGTGAACATTTGTTAGGCGAGTAATGACTGACTTTGTACAAGGTATGGGCATAGTAGTGCGCGATGAGACCCATCAGGACATCGAGGGTGAAATAGACATCGATGGGGAAGACGAGGCGTTGTATGGCGCTGCACAGTTTACAGAAGACGACGTGCTAGGGTCAAGACCTCTTAGCGCAGGCGAAGACGAGGACGTGCAAGTTGATGATGAGGATAGTAGCCAGTCGCTGGGAGCGTCCGGGCCTGCGCAGGACGCGTCGACTGCGGCGGCGCTGCGGCATGTTATCGAAGGCAAGTTGGTGAAGAAAGCTGCGCTTGCTGGAGAAGCTGAAGATGTCAAGAAATCTTTGGATGAAGTCATGGGGATTGGTGAGACGGAACAAGCGGAGTGTGCGATAGAGCTCGCAAAGAAATCCGGTGACGCAGGAGCATTAATGGCAGCTCTGGAAAACAAAGTGAAGTTGTTGGTGAGCTTTCTCTCCTCGTTTGGTATATCATCCTTCTCTTACTCCCGTTTGCAGGAGTCGATCCGCGTGGCTTCATCGACTTCACCTCTTTGCCGCATATGCATCGATCCTTACACCGAACCCACGGTGTCTACAGGCTGTTGGCACACTTGCTGTCGGGAGTGCTGGCTACGCTGTCTCGGTTCGACAAAGCTTTGTCCAATTTGCAAGCGCATAACCGCGCCTGCAGACCTACGTCGCGTTTATCTGTAACTTCCTACTTAGTTATCTCACGAGCTTTGCCATGGGCTGTTTTGCTTTCACGCATATGTATCATCATCTGCGATCAATTCTATAAATGAGCATCGGAGTGCACACACGAACGAAAATGCGTAAAGCTCAGATCTGGCCTTGTCAATTCTTCAAATTCGCAAAACCTGCTCCTGAGAAGTGGCTTCGCTCGAGCGTAGCTTCGCCGCTACCCATTCAGGGCACCGCAGTGGCACCACCACGACGTATATCATCACTGTGCGTAGGCGGAAGTTGCACTCACCCGTATCTAGCCCTATGAGAGCTGCCAACGTCACACAGCGCCTGGGACAGAGAGCGATGAAGCACGATTCATTGCACGTAGAGCGTTTTGTAGGTCATTACTATGAGATATGGTAGGAAGCAGGCGTGTCATGCGAGCGGGCTAATCAGCCTAGAGCGTGTTCGTCAGTCGTTGAAATGTCGACATGATATTCAAAGGCACGCACTTGATCAGCGATGGCTGAGGGTTACTTCGTGTATAGCCAACATAAATGATGAGCGGGATCCAGGCGTAGTGGACAACTGTCTGCAGGTATTGCGAAAACGCATGAGGTCGGAACGTCAACACATGTTGAAACCTAGACGTACCCTCGCAAGGTCGACAGCTTTAATAATTCTCTCCTGTAGGTCGTATAGATTTTAGTTGAAGTTCAGGACCCTACAAAGTGTGTCGCAACGCGCGCACACACCTTGGTCTCCTCTGAAGGCATGGTGGTTGGTGGGAGGAAGTTGAGTCGCGCCGGCGTTTGCCGAGGTAACTTTTGGCCAGCGTCCTGAGCCTACCGCTGCTGCCTCAATCATCTTACGGACTCACCAAAATGCCTCTTGCTCTAGCCTCGTCCGCGGTCCACGTCCGGAACATCGCGCCAGGCTTTGTTTCAACGCCAGGGTAAGATTTGCTGCGAATTTTTGGAAGTGCCAAGATTAATGGCGTGTTAGGCGAGCACCGACATCGACTACCGTACATCCTGTGGCCCTCTTCTCCATCCTCGACCACTACCTTCGGCGAACCAATGCTCAAGAACGTGTAATTGGAACCTTGCTCGGCACGCGCTCCGACACTGGGGAGATCGAAGTCCGGTCGGCATTCGCTGTTCTCCACAGCGAAACCTCAGAGCAAGTTGCAGTAGACATGGAGTACCACCATGCTATGTACGAGTTGCACCATAAGGTCAACCCCAAGGAAGTCATCGTCGGATGGTGCGTCCCAGTTCAACTCTTTGAGGGAACCCCCATCTCATTCTGCGATCGCAGGTATTCTACCGGATCGCACCTTAACACTTACTCTGCCCTGATCCAAAATTTCTACTCGCAAGAAACCGCCCCACATCAAGCCATACATCTCCAGCTGAATGCGGGGACTGAGGAAGGCCAGGCGGCTGGTGTGAAGGCATATGTCAGGCATGTGGCAACAATTCCACTTTTCTATCAAAGTCTCATGAATGCGATTTATCCAGCTCGCCGGTCGGCATTTCCCCCAAGCCTGAGAACTGTGTCTTCGTACCTATTCCTTGCGAGCTACAGTTCAAGGAGGCTGAGCGGAGTGGTCGTAAGTGCAGCGATCAGTGTCCGGCCATCCGGAGCCATTTCATCTTACATGTCTTCACAGTGGACCTGCTATTGTCGGCGGCGAAGGGTAACGCAGATGAATTCCCCTCAACAGACCTCGACGTCCTTGACCGCGCACTTGCGACAGTCTCCGATATGCTCGACCGGGTGCTCGTATATGTGCGCTCTGTATTGGCTGGCGAAGTTAAGGGCGACGCTGCAGTGGGCCGCTACCTTATGGACACTTTTGGTGCCAGCACCGAGGAGTTGGAGAAAGGTGCTTTCAATACCAGCTTGCAGGTATGTTCCTATCCGTCTTCTGTACTGAGGAGGCTGAGACGGTTCGCGCAGGATACACTCATGGTCTCTTACCTTGCAAACCTCGTTCGGTCACAAGCCGAGGTTTCCTCCCGTCTCGCACTCACAAGGGCCTCGTAAATGTATAAACGGCGATGTATATTGCATTTCTACTGGTGTATCTTGTAGGTGTTCATCTCTGGCAACCTCCTGGAAAACCTGTCATCCGCCTGCAAGCCCTCAGCTATTAAAAACCCTAGAATGTTGCAAGTCGTGTCTTGCCCCAAGTATCTCCCCCAGAGGCCACGTACTCGCAGGACCGTTGTAGGTCAGGATATCTCCGTCAAATGGGTCAGAGTCAATATCTTTGTTCTCTGATCTTCGTTTCAGCCCTGTGCGCAGGGTGCCACATCGTTTGGCCTCTTCTGTGACCAGCGGTTTCACAGCATGCAGGAGCAGCTGCTGAGCAGCGTATGGACCGATAATGTTCATGCGTACTCCGGCGGATAAGATTCCGCGAGCGCATAAGAATAGGTGTAAAAACTGGCTTCGTTCTGAGCGCCGCACACAAGGGCCCAAAGGCGTTCGATTTGGTAAATCTGTATAGTGAGGAACGGAGGACTCGCACCGATAGATAAACCAAGTGCCGCAGTTAAAACTCCCCAGCATATCGGCAGGTGCCCGTGTGTCTCCTCGCGCCTTATGGCTACCTTGAACTCATCGACTAGAGACCCTAGTCGAATGTCTATGTCGTTCTCACGCGCGTCCTCAGTCCTTCGAACGACAGAGGGTTTCGTGAAGCCCTTCGAGTAAAGCGAAAGAAGTGCGACACCTTGCGTCTTAGACGCGCGCCGGGTAACATGGTTGAGCGTTGTCGCCTCGTATAAGCCATCTAGAGCTTGAAGGCGGAGCATGGTGTCCGCCATAGATCCCTCGAAACCTGAAGCAGCGGCTAAGGCCACTTCCTCCTGCACGAGTACATGCGCATCCGAAACAAAAGGCGAGGCAGTTCTGGCGTAAGAAGTAAGGTTGTCGCGAATGAACTCGATAGTATACTCGAGCTTGTCCTTCTTCCTCCCTGGCGTGACCCCTGAGGGTGTCATGAAGCCATGGGTTACAAAAGACTCTAGGCCTGCGGAAGCCACAAATGCCCCTGACGAGCTAGCTGAGTGGGCAGATAGGCAGGACATCGTGATCACACACCGGTAGGCAAGTTCCCATCGGAGAGCAAGAGGAGGATGTAGGCTTCGTCGTTGCTGTCCATGACCGCCGCAGAGAATGGGCAGATAGGCGTCTACCGCTCCGGTACGCGGTACGCGCGCAGTGGGGCGCGCGCCTGGCGAACAGATGTTTCTTAACCTTGCCCTCACGGAGTTCAAGCTCGTCCTCGATTCTCTGCTTCGCCTGGTTACCATCCGCAGCTACCAAGGATGGGTGCGTTCTCATAAGCATAGCTGTTCTGTGGCTAAGCAGCGGTGTAGATTCCAGTATCTCAAAACAGCTTGTGGACAAGATGTACGAGAAGCGGAAGGCTGCCGCTCTCGAACTTGAGAAGTACAGCGAATATTGTCTGAACGGAACGAGAGAGAATAAATATACAGCACCATAGGCTTATTCGCGAATGCAATCAGCAAAGCGACCACCGGCGAATATCTCAGATTGTCGACCAGCTGGTAGATATGTTCAGCAATCCTTCGAATCCGCTGCAAGCTCGAAATGGTGGTCTGATAGGTCTGGCGGGAACTGCAATTGCTCTGGGCGTGGATATTGCATCCTATATGGACAAATTCACCCAGCCCCTCCTTGTCTGCTTTGCAGATCCAGAGAACCGTGTGCGGTACTTCTCAGCCGAATGCTTGTACAACATAGCGAAGGTCTCGAAAGGAGAAATCTTGGTGTACTACAACGATATTTTCGATGCGCTCAGCAAGGTGTGTATGGCTGAAATGACCCTCCCACTTGTTCTGTAGTAACCTGCTAGGCCAGCTTGCGGCAGATCCCGAAGTCTCAGTAAAGAACGGGGCGGAACTTCTTGATCGCCTTCTTAAGGATATAGTGGCAGAAACAGCCTCTGTATATGTACCTCAATACCCCGAGACGGAGAAAGCACGACGGCGGGCCGACGAGAAGCCCTTCTATAACTCAGATGGCGTTCTTATTCCACACCCAGACGACGTCGCAAGTGGCAAAGACCTGTCCCAAGCACGGAAGGCGTTTTCGCTGGCACATTTCATCCCGCTTTTGAAAGACCGGATGGGTGTCCAGAGTCCCTTTACACGGACGTACCTAGTTGGATGGCTTCAGGTTCTGGACTCTGTGCCAGAGTTAGAACTCGTCTCATACCTCCCAGAATTCCTGGATTCCCTTTTGTAAGCACCAGAGCTATTCTTGTTCTGGTTTTCGTTGGCTGAATGCACGTAGGAAGTATCTATCCGATCCAACAGATGACGTGCGAACCAATACCCAGAAAGTCCTGAGCGAAATGCTGCGTGAAATCGTGGAAATAACGATGGCTCAACGAGCGCACGAGCTAGAAATCAGGGCAAAGCGTGAAGCAGACTCGGATCAACAGTCTCGCCGGGCGGGTGTTGACAAGGACAACCTCCCGGACATTACGCTAGCTAGCTCAGAACGTGCAGAGTTCGTTCCGGAATATGACGAGGACTCCGTGGATGACGAATCTCGTACTCCTGTCGATGATAGAGATGGTGACGGGGACGTCGATACTCGATCTGTCGGCAGTAAGTTGCCTGCTTTCATCTATAGCCAAGCGTTAACGGGTGGACGACAGTCTGGGAACGAGGCCTTGGTGTCAAAATAGACTATGCAGCAATCGTGGAGATCTTACTGCACCAGCTAGACGGTAGCCCCGATCGTGAGGAGTGATTCCGCGACGTGTAACTGATTCCGTGCTGACGTTCTGATCGTATAGACGACGAGATTCAGCAGTCTACCGCCCTCAATTGGCTGTCAGAATTTCTGCGAATCAACATGGAGGTCATGGTCCCTTTCACTCCTCGCCTTCTCCGCTGCGTATTGCCCAATATGGCGCATCACGTCAGTGAAATTCAACTGGCTGCGCGCAAATGCAACAAGCAGCTTGTCTCCGTCATTCAAGCACTTCCTCCGCCCTCCGAATCTCAGACACGCCAGAGCACGATAGATCGTGCTTCAACGGCAGGGCCATCCCCGCACGCGCCGGCTTCACCCGTTCCGACAACTTCTGCTCTAACCTCATCTCGTCCCAATACGGCGACCCGCGAACCAGCACTACCTCCCACCAAGGAGTCGTCAACGGAAAGCCTTTCGAACAGCGCCACCCCCACCGCCCCGACGCCCGTACCAGGTCACCGTCCACGCCATTCGATCTCTCAAATTGAAACCGTCCGCGTGGCTTCCACTGCTACTGCCCCAACGACTCAGGTCACTGCAGAGACCGCTTCTACGCAGACGCAGCCGAGTAGACCTGACTCCCCACTCTCCGCCGTCAGCGTGCCACAGGTGCAGCAGAGTCCTGAAGGCTCGCTAGTGCAGGAGAAGGACGCATTCGACTATCAGCTGACAGTGCAGGCTCTGACTATCCAGTTCCTGAGTGAACACGAGGAGACTAGGGTAGCCGCCTTGAAGTGGTTGATAATGTTACACCAGAAGGCACCGAAGAAGGTGGGATGACTTGTATATGTCCTTCACGTCATTTCCCACTCAACTTGATCTCAGATCCTCGCCATGGACGATGGGACTTTCCCTGCATTGCTCAAAACACTGTCAGATAATTCAGAGGAGGTTTGCCGATAGCATGTCCTTTGTCCGCAACAAGCGCTCACATCACATCTACGTTTGTAGGTGATCAAACACGATTTGCAACTACTCGCGCAGATCTCTTCTGGCTCGGAGGAGAGTTACTTTAGGCTGTTCATGATAAACCTTTTGGAGCTCTTCAGCACGGACCGGAAACTGTTGGACACTCGCGGCAGCCTCATTATCCGCCAGCTATGTCTGAACCTCAATACTGAGCGAATATATCGGACGTTCGCTGAGATAATCGAAAAAGAAGAGGTCAGTGGCGCAGATATCTTACTCTCTTTGTAAGAAGCTTATCACAAGTGGCCCCAGGATTTAGAGTTTGCAAGCGGAATGGTTGTGAAGCTTAACATGATCCTGATCACGTCGCCCGAGCTGTCGGAATTTCGCAGAAGGTTAAAGAGTCTGGAGACACGGGTGAGTCCCCAGCTTTTCCTGTCGCAGGCGGGATCTCAGAAGTCCGCAGCAAGATGGTCAGGTCCTATTTACAACCCTGTACCGGTCATGGTGTCACAACACTGTGGCCGTCTTCTCGTTATGTCTACTGGCACAAGCGTACGAGCATGCATCGAACCTCCTCTATATCTTGTACGCTAAACCACACTCCCGTATTTCCTCTGCTGATTGCGTGTTAGTGCCGACCTGGAAATCACCGTCCAAATGCTTGTCCAAATAGACAAGCTAGTGCAGCTCATAGAGTCACCTGTGTTCACATGTGCGCGCGACTTTTGATATTGCATTCCGTTGTTCGCTCACATCATTCATAGATCTACGCCTTCAGCTGCTGGAACCTGAGAAATACCCGCATTTATACAAATGCCTCTACGGCCTCCTGATGCTACTGCCACAAAGCTCAGCGTTTATGTCGTTGCGCAATCGCCTTAATGCGGTTAACTCCGCTGGTTTCCTTCATATTGCTCCTAAATCGTACGCAGACAGTTGCATCACTCGTTCCTGCTCGGCGTGTGAATCATTTCCTTGTCGCAGGAATGTTTCTAATGTCTCGGCAACGCGCTCGAAACTTGGACGAGAGGACATCAAATGGTCTGAACTCCTTTCGCATTTTCGAAACGTGCAGAACAAGCACGAGAAGACACGGAGACAGGCGACAGGTTCAAACGAGGAAGAGCCATCCGTCTTTGTGCTTCCTGGTTCGGGGCCGTTCATGGGCGGTCCCGACCGGGAAAACCGCGACTCGGTCGCATCCTCTGCTAGCACTGTGAACAGCAGCACGCCGCGACCGGGTATGCGGAGGCGTGTGACAGGCGGTGCAGACCAACCAGTCTTGGCACGTCCGCCGAGCAGGACGCTGTCACCATTGAACCCGCGACGGGGTTCAAATAGTGCGCTAGGCCAAGTAAATGGCCTGCGGGACTCGATGACGACAACCGCCGCAACCACGACTGCAGCACCAACGCCAGCTAGTCCGACGTTTAACAACAACCAAAGGCAGCCCAAACGGACGCTCAGTGTTAATCGGAAGACGTAACTTAACATACACGAGTAAATCATGACCACGATGAACTTCTCACGGTGCCTTCGGGCAGCCGAACTTTGTCAACATGGACCTTGCTTTGGTTTGATTTGTAGCAAACTGTTTCCCCTGGAAGTTGCATCTGTTTCTGGGTATCTGTGTATCGTAATATGTAGTGAATACATGGTCATGTAAGCTATGCTGACAGTTCCTTGGAAGAGAATATCGTCAGCTGCAATCATGCACACGCTATAGGCTGGATCTCGGTACGAGCAGACTGTGTCGAATGGCGGTAAAATCCTCGTCCGTCAAGCTCGCATAGTTGTGTAGATATTCTTCGACACCTCCGTATTGTTCTTGAACCACCTTGAGGAAAGCGAGCATGATCTCTTTCCTGAATGTAATGTACTCAGAAACATGTCTCCAGGTGGACATCATCTGCGTACCTCGAGGTGAGCATATTCATTGCCGCCTCGCTATTCGAAGCAAAGAGCGGCATCTTTGCCAGTCGTGCCATTACCGTCTCACGCGCAGGCTCGCGACCAACACGCGTCAAGGCGTAATCTTCGGCAATCGTGTCGTCATCGACACCCGCCAGCTTGAGAAGGAGGGCCGCTAGGACACCAGTCCTGTCCTTGCCGGCTGTGACAGCATCGTTAGTTACAGTAGAAATAAGTGGAGCAACGGTGGCTTGCACCTGTGCAGTGGAAGGTAATGCCGTGTCCTGGATGATCCCTGATGTGGCGCAAAATGGTGCCGAAAGCGGGTCCCCCGTGGTCGAGTATTTGCGAGTACAGTTCCATGAAGGCCTGATGACAGTCAGAGAGGAAGGGATCACACATCTATCAAGGGCGAACCTCCGTCTTCCCGCTAGCATAAAGTTGAAATCGTCTGACAATCATTGCTGGCGTCAGGGATTGGCTAAGCTGGACAGCCTGGGCAGCCGTAATCGACGCACTTTGCCATCATCTCTGGACTGTAGTCCTCTAGCTTGAACACAGGCACTCGCACGACCTCGACACCTTCTATTATAGGACATGGGGTCTCGTACTTGTCGATTTCCGTGTCGGAGCGTAGGTCGAACACGGCCGTGACACCAAGCTCTCTGAGCTTCTCTTTCCCTGAGTAAGACAGCAACTGTCAAATGTGCTGAATAGCTTCCTGATAGTCGATAGAAGCTCAACACACCTTCCTCTGTTATCGCGGAGACTTCGCCCGACCGGAAGACGTACAGCGGTTTGGTGATCATGTCTGGGTAGCAGGTGTTATACGAGCCGAGATCTCGTATGTTCACCACACCGGGGACAGTAACAAAGGGAGGTTTGGACAGTCGTTCCTTGACATATTCAGGGTCTAGCGGTTCGAACATGTCTATGGGCAACAAATAAGAATAATTCAGGACGACGACCTGGGGTAAGTGCAGCGCAGCCCTGCATTAACGCCGGAGCGGGAAGTGCCACGCGATGCTGATCGTGGCGCAGAACTAAACCAAAACCAGTCTCGACTCAAGTTTGTGCCCAATATTTATCAAGCACTTGCTGATATTCGCTCTTGCCAAACTCGGGTCACTTACCAAACGTGTGTGTGTGTGTGTAGTGGGGCTGACTGAAGATTCTACAAGCTACGTAGGCTGCACAGCGACCGGTAAGCTTGACTACTCGCCGCTGATCCAAGTCCCGGTGAACGTGTCCATGTTGGACATGTCTCTCTCCCAGTACTACTAGTGATTACGGTCATCGTAGCCCGCCGTTGCAGTCTGCCACCTCATGTTTTTAGTCTGCTGCAGTACTAGTTCAACGAGAATAAAGAAGACTGACACCGGAGTACGAATGACACCTCATATAAAGCTCCAGGGTGTTGAGGGCGAGAACGGACTGGATAACATATACAGTGGCCGCCAAAAATAACGCACAAGACTACAAAGGGGTGTCGAAATCCCCCTGTATCTCCATGACCGCTGTAGCTAGCTAGATGATGTATATAACAATCTTACACTAGGTTACTTGTAGCATCTTTCTGAGGTATCAGTTTGATGCAAGCACTAGGTACCAGAAAAAAATGTGGTGAAAATGGCTAGAAAATGAATATATATTGCGAAAATCACAGAATAATATAGACCACAGAGTAAAATATGCTTTGGTCCAAGTAAGATTCTATACTATGTGATGCTACTCTAACAAATTTATAGTATAGCACCCAGTTCAGATGGCTGAGCTGTGAAGACAGTTACACTGATATGATTTATTCATGGAATTGAAATATTTATATCTCCACAGCACCCAGGAATAGAGGTACAAGACTTGGTGTACAGGATAATATTTACTAGCAAATGCATGTAGTATCTTGCTATACACACCCCAGCTGTTGGTGATGTCTATAAGATACAAGCATACACCCCTTTATTTTGTAGTGAATAAATATGTCCCCACAACTCAGCCATCCAAGCTGGGTGCTATACTATAAATTTGTTAGAGTAGCATCACATAGTATAGAATCTTACTTGGACCAAAGCATATTTTACTCTGTGGTCTATATTATTCTGTGATTTTCGCAATATATATTCATTTTCTAGCCATTTTCACCACATTTTTTTCTGGTACCTAGTGCTTGCATCAAACTGATACCTCAGAAAGATGCTACAAGTAACCTAGTGTAAGATTGTTATATACATCATCTAGCTAGCTACAGCGGTCATGGAGATACAGGGGGATTTCGACACCCCTTTGTAGTCTTGTGCGTTATTTTTGGCGGCCACTGTACGGTGTAGGACCACTCTTGGGACAGCACCACTTATCGGGACACTCCACTTTCTGCCCTCGCACAGCCTGTAAGGCCTATCACTACCACTTGAATGTATATACATTGCATCTATATCTATATGCCATTAGAAACTCGGAGCCATCCGGTGATTGTAGCGTAGGTGGGGGAGCAAAAAGCCTCGAAAATTGTCAAGCGCGCCGGCTTCAGTGATGCTGCGACCGTCACCAGAGTCGCACAGTCAGCATAAAATTCGCGAAAATATTCGTTAGTACTCAAATTTATGTTCCATTCATGTGAAAAATGCGCATCATGCTCAGATGTTAAGTGTCGAGCTAGAACACATCAGAGATGATTCTACTGAGCTTAGGCGTGACTGAGGCGTGACAAATTTGACTGCCGCGTGACTGCCAAGACTGCTAGTACAGGTCACAAATTATCACTTTCGTCACATCAGTCACGGTGTCCCAAGGAGTGGTAGCCGCTGTCCTCCGTCTTGTGTCCTTCGCCTGGACTTCAGCTTTCGTCGTTTCGCTTTGCAGCTTTGCACTGAGGTATTTCATATGTTGTAGTAGTATAATGCGATTTATTTATTATTTATATGCGAGAGACATACGAAGGGGAAGCGAATATTGATCAGGTGTCCCAAGGAGTGGTATAGGCGAGCCTCTCTATTACACGGGTGCCGAATCGCAAGAACGCCGAATAGGATGAGACTGGTGTCCAAGCCTCTCAGGCGGAGAAGAGGCGTTCACCCGAACCCTCCTGGTTCCTTTAGGTAGTGGTGATATACTTTGTAATGACGTTACGCCTTGTTTTTTTACATACACAGAATTGAGCTACAGGCTCATCTGAAGTTTTGTCTTGACTCTTAATTTACCATGTTGCACGTGCGCGCGAGACGGAAATTTAGGGCAGGCACTCTCGTGTTCAATTCTCATTCTCGCTCAGACGCGCATCACAGCACAACGACGACTCCGCCATCATCATGGAAATTGACGGCCCCTCATCGTCTCCCCCCGCCCGTCACACGTCTCTACCGCCGAGCAGTGCACCTCAGGCGTCGCCGAATGGCCACGCGACACCACGCCGTTCGCGGCCCGTTGCCGACGCGCTGGCCTTCGGCGACGAGGATGGGGATGACATCCCGCAAGATGAGACTGCACCCCGCAGAACAAGAGCACCAGGAGGTCGACAGACTCTCACCCAGGACATACCTCTTGTCAAGGACGCAGTGGGCGAAAGTGTACGGGAGAGCTTCGAGAACTTCTTAAAAACGTGCGCAAGTTTGTCCCCGTCATTGGTGAAGTTGACGAGGTCTTCTAGGTTTACCGAAGATGTTGCTCTTCCCATGACACCCGCCTCGGATGGTGGTGTTCCGGTCGCTCCTGAAGGAGAGATCATCTACATCGAGCAGATCCACACAATGCGGGAATACGAGCTGACTACCCTTTACGTCGACTACGGCCATCTCCTACAACGCGACGATGTCCTCGCTGACGCGATACAAAAGCAATACTATCGCTTCCTACCATATATCCGACGCGCTTTGCACAATCTCGTGGCGGAATTCGAGCCTGACTACCTGAAATTAAACCCAACCGCCGCTGCGACCGACTCCGTCAACCTTCAGACCCGAGAATTTAGCATTGCCTTTTATCATCTGCCATTGGTCTCCGGTATACGAGATCTCCGAACCGATAAGATTGGCACGCTGATGAGCATCAGTGGAACTGTCACGAGGACGAGCGAAGTACGACCGGAGCTATTGTACGGAAGCTTTGTCTGTGAAGTCTGCGGTGGTATTGTCAGTGAAATAGAGCAGCAGTTCAAATACACCGAGGTAATGTGATACATTGCTCTGGAGACCGAACCGAACTCCTGACGAACTAACAGCCGAGCCTGTGCCCAAACCCGACATGCGGTAACAGAACAGCCTGGCAACTCCAGATCGACAGCTCGAAGTTTACCGACTGGCAGAAGGTTCGCATACAAGAGAATCCCTCTGAGATTCCCACAGGTTCCATGCCACGTTCATTGGACGTTATTCTTCGCGGGGAGCTCGTGGAACGAGCCAAAGCCGGAGACAAGTGCGTCTTCACTGGGACATTCATTGTTGTTCCGGATGTCAGCCAGCTCGGATTGCCTGGTGGGAACAAGGCTGAGCTCATGCGCGAAGCAGCGAGAGCTGGTGCGAATTCGGCCGCTGCTTCTGCCGGTGGTGCAGGCGTGACGGGTCTGAAGAGTCTTGGAGTACGTGATATGCAGTACAAGACTGCTTTCTTGGCTTGTATGGCCCACGATGCCGATGGACGGGTGAGCCGGCTTACGTTGCGCTTCCTGGCATGATTCCTGACTCCGCTTAGGCTGGTACTAACATCCGCGGCGAGGAAGAAGATGGCGAAGATGACGGTCAAGCCTTCGCACGTTCGTTGACCGAACCGGAGTTCGAAGAGCTGAAGGCGATGATCGAATCTGACCACATTTATTCCCGGTTGGTGGAGAGTATTGCGCCTACTGTCTACGGCCACGAGATTGTCAAGAAGGGCCTTCTGTTGCAGCTGATGGGCGGCGTCCACAAACAGACTGCAGAAGGCATGCATCTTCGTGGCGACATTAACATCTGTATCGTCGGCGATCCTTCAACGTCAAAATCACAATTCTTGAAGTACATCTGTTCTTTCCTTCCCCGTGCGGTCTACACCTCCGGCAAGGCCTCGTCGGCGGCCGGTCTTACAGCTGCTGTTGTGAAAGACGAAGAGACTGGCGAGTTCACAATCGAGGCCGGGGCACTTATGCTCGCGGATAACGGCGTCTGTGCTATTGACGAGTTCGACAAGATGGACATTTCTGACCAGGTCGCGATCCACGAGGCCATGGAGCAGCAGACCATTTCCATTGCTAAGGCCGGTATCCATGCGACACTCAACGCGCGGACGAGTATCCTTGCAGCGGCAAACCCAATTGGCGGCCGATATGATCGTAAAAAGAGCCTTCGCGCCAACGTCGCGATGACGGCGCCGATCATGAGTCGTTTCGACCTCTTCTTCGTCGTTTTGGACGAGTGCGACGAAAAAATCGACCTGAACATCGCGAAGCACATTGTGAACGTACATCGCTTCCAGGACGATGCCATCCACCCTGAGTTTAGCACTGAAGCATTGCAGCGGTACATTCGCTACGCGCGCACATTCAACCCGAAGCTCACACCGGAGGCGGCAGACGTGCTCGTGGAGAAATACCGTAGTTTGCGACAGGATGACGCGTCTGGTACAGGGCGAAACTCTTATCGCATCACTGTGCGCCAGCTGGAGAGTATGATTCGTCTGAGCGAGGCTATCGCTCGTGCAAACTGCACTTCAGAGGTACGCGACCCTACGGCAGATTGAACACAGTCTAATATTGCTTTCGTCCAGATTACCCCAGCCTTCGTACGTGAAGCCTACTCCTTACTCCGCCAGTCCATCATCCATGTCGAGGAAGACGACGTCGATTTCGACCAAGAAGAGGAGGAGCTTCAGAAACAGGCGGCAGAGAAAGCAGAGAAAGAGGCGCGTAAGCGTGGGAAGAAGGGCGCCTCCTCGTCGCAGGCCGCGACTGCGGGCGAGGAAAGCCAGGATGTCGAGATGTCTGGCGCGCAAAGCGAATCACAGACGGCGGCGCAGGATGACTCAATAGCCACAGACGATACCCGGGACGCACCGTCGACTTCACAAACGGCCGCGGACGCACCCGTGCCCGCGGAAGCCCAAGTGCCACAGCCAGAGAAACATCGGATGGTCATCTCTCACGACAAGTACATGCAGCTGCAGAGTCTCATTGTACTGCACCTCGCCGAGGTCGAGCGCGAGACCGGAAAGGGTCTCGACCACGATGATCTAGTGGATTGGTACCTCGAGTCGCGCGAAGCCGAGATACAGAATGTGGACCAGCTCGAGTACGAGAAGGAACTGGTCACAAAAGTCATACGGAAGCTTAAGAGGGTAAATTTTCTTTTACTTTTTCGGCGACGGTCTCGCTGATTTTGGCAATGTGCAGGATCACTACCTCTTGGAGATCATTGGCGACGTCCAGGACTCGCTGCCGTCCCTCGACGAGATTAATCAGGTAGAGAGCGAAGGGCTCGCCAGGAGGCATTATATGGTCCATCCGTCGGTCGACATCGATATGACGCCGTCGTCAACATAAGCCGCTGCTCCCACTTAGTTTGCCGCCATGGGGATTGGCAAGCTGCATTTGTCTCAATATTGGGCCAATGGTTTTGAGGCTGCTCATCTTGCATGCTGTTGTGTTTGTCTCATTTGTTCATTTCTTCCAAGCTCGGTAAGCGAAGAGATTTGCTGGAGGACTGATCACGCTTCGCGCTGGCTTTGGGTATGTGGCACTGAAGTGCGGGCTCGACGGACACTTTCCATTGTTGCATCCCAGTGAGATACAAGTTCTGACATGCTCCCAGCATTTTCCAGCTGGCGAGGAGATTCTCTATTCGGAATGTTTATGGTCTGCCAATATTTCAATATTTGAGCTGAGATTTGAGACCTTCAGATACGATGTCTACATGCGTTTATGCGGCGGAGTCGTGACGGGCGCTGTAATGAGTAGGCGCTTATTGCCTTGCTTGTGTCGGCTTCGGGTCTACTGCCACCTTCCACTTGCGCGACCATATTAACCTCCGGACATTCTCTAATCTCTCTGGACCATTGTTTTGACGAATATATTGTATGACTTGTCTCTTTGCATTCAGCTTCTACCCGCGACATGGCAGACGACACGCTAATTGTACCAGTCACGGTACCCCAAGGATCACTTCACTTCGCGACAGTCTCGTCGTTGGCGACTATTCAAGATGTTCAGGACTATCTGACGAGTGACGAGAGCATAACCTCTGAAATTCTCGGAGATCTGCAGCCCTATGGCTGGGCGATACAGAGGATACGGAACGAGCATAATGGGCGGCAGTGGGAAGAGGAAGAGCTCGAAGCTTTGGGAAATGGCGAGTCGTGTTTTGTGCAATGATGCGGCACGTAATCATATCCTTGCAGGTATTGTCTCACCTCAGAGCCTAGTCCCTCCGTTACTCAACACATCACCTATCACGAATACGTCCCAGCGGGGCTTCTCCGCCTTCCCTCTGACTTCACACTTACATGCTCCGTCGCTTCGTTTGATCTCGCTACATCCTTTCCTTGCATTAACATGTACGCTCCTTCGCATCCCGGAAATCCATGACGGATATCGTTGGGAGACCTTTGTCTCCCGAAATACTACAGTGCAGGCTGCTCTGGACACGGTCATTCAAGAGCTCGGGCTCACGAAATCTCTGCCGGTTCCAGGAGGCGGAAACTTAGAATATGTTCTTGAAGAAGTATGGACTGACGAGGAATCAGAAAGTAAGTCCTGCGACCCCCCATACGCTTGTAGCTACTTATTTAAAAATAGAATCCTATCGTATACCCACCGATACGCCAGTTTCCCAAGTTATCGAGACCCCATACAAACCCGCACCTCCTACTTTCTCTGCTTCACGTCACCTTCGCATTTGCGTTCCAGACGAGTGGTACCGCCGTTCGAGGACACGATCCAACTCACAAGCATCGTACGAGCCATCCGAAGATACTGTCAAGCGTCTTGCGGACTTAGAGGAATCTGACGAGGAAGAGGAGGGCGAGGGGACCGCCAAGTTGAAGGGCTCCCTTAAAACCTCTGTTGCTGAGACGTCCGGATCGCCAAAGTTCACCGCTCCTACGGACTGGCGCAATTCCATCGCACAGAACCGGCTTTCGAATCTATTCGACAGCTGGATTCACTCAGGGAGCCCCACGAGCTCGATAATAGAGGCTCCGCCGGAGAAAAGGACCGTCAGTGAACCTAAGCTCATCTCGCACAACACCGGCGACTCCACCGCAAAGCTTCCAGCGTCTGACACAAATGGTGAGGGCAAAGGTGATCCCAGTGCGCAGGATTTCGAGGAGATGCTTGTCAGTGTCTCCTCCCGTTAGGATTGATTATATGTCTCACGCATCCAACAGGACTCCATCGGATTAAAGGGTGACAAGAGGGATGCAATGTACAAGCTCCCTCCGCAGCAGAAACAGTACCTGTTTAAGCAGCATATGCAGTCTCGTGCTGCCAGCGTGTCGAAGGCGACAAGCGTGCAGCGTTCCGTTAACCATGCTGCACAGTCGTCGACCTATAGTCCTGCCAGTGGCAGCGACTTCCGCCTTGTCCCTCAGCTCACAGGCGACTCTGGTATCATGAGGCGATTCTCGATTCTTGGCTGGGGCTCAGCAGTATCTCCTGGACACTCTCCACGAACCAGTGTGGATATCGATTCCCCAATGAAAGAGCCCCAAACGCCGGTGGCGAAAATCGCAGACGCTACACCCGTACAACCGCAGAGCACTGGCGGCCTCTGGAGTAGCTGGTGGAGCTCCTCTGGTGGCGAGAAGGGGACAGTCACCGGCGACAAGAAAGACACGAAGACGCCAAGGTGGTATGTTGACGGTATCCGTTCTGGTAAACCTGCAGATATCAAGCTTGTCAAGCACTTGATCTCGCTACGCGTGCATCTGTCGACGGCCGACCTTGTCTGGATCGAGGAGTTCGTCACGGAGTGTAGGGGCATGGGTGCTCTTGGTGTTGCGATGTCCGGTCTTGTTGCCAAGGGCGGGAAGCGCAAGAAGCTGCAGAACGTAGAAGAGAGTGTACTACTCGAAGTGATCAAGTGTATACGAGTATTATTGAATACAGATGTAGGTTTTCCCCTCAATTCGTCGCTGGTCCTTTGCTTACACTGCGCGGTCTCAGCCGGGATTCAAGCACGGACTGGCGGACACCACTTTAATAACTCATCTCGCGTACTCACTTCACGGTTCTTCGCCTAAACTCAGGGCCCTCACTTCGGACGTTCTTGCCGCCATCTGCTATGTCTCTCCGACGGAGGGCCATAAGGCTGTGCTCTCTGCGCTCTCAGACTACCGTGTAGAATACGGAGAGAAGTTCCGCTTTGAAGAGCTTATCGGGTCGCTACGCCCGCCAGATCTGTCACTCGACGACGCTCAGTCTGTGGGTCAGGGTTACGGAAATGACGAAGAAGGCGCTTGGGAGGCCCGTACCGCGTCCATGGCGCTGGTTAACGCCATCACGAATTTCCCGGATTCTTTGGAAGAGCGTATCTTACTTCGGGAGGAGCTCACACGTCGAGGACTAAATGAAGTTTTGGTGGTATGTATGCTCATCCCCGGCGCATCCCTCCACTGACGATACTGTCGCAGTCCCTTCGGTATATCAAACCGCCGGAGTTACTTCTAACGCAGTTAGATATCTACACCGAGGAAAAATTCGAGGACGAGGAAGATCTTCGCGAACGCAGCTTGGCAGATCACCGTCGCACGGCATCAGACTCTGAGGTTATCGTGCAAGAGACATTGAACATAGCCCGTCAATATGACGAAGTCTATCCGATGATTGTTTCAGCTTTCTCGCAGATGCGTTCTATCCTGGAAAAAGACTCCGACCCGTGAGCTGTGTTGGCCTGTCGCAGCTGATGTCATATCCTGACGCATCCTTGCAGACATTTGAAAGCGGATTTGGTCTATGTCGTAACCAAGTTTATGGAGCAGGCGAGCTCAATTGACGACTTGTAAATTCCGCCCACAGGCTCAATTTGTACATTCGCTGACGTCGATACTTTAGCAACGATGGCTGGCGTCGATTTGTTAAGCAGTTTGCTGAATCGGTTTGGCACATCACCGGCCAGAACTTGAAAGCGAGCTTCGTCTCTGAGGATAGCGAAGGTATTCTGCGAGAAGAGTTGGAGGTGCTTCGTCGCAAAGTCAGTGAGCTCACGGAGGAGGCAAGCATGTGCCACTTGTTAATTTCTTCACTGTTAACTAACCTCAGCCAGTGTGATCGTCTGCGCAACGAAACGACTCAACAATCCGCCGAATTGAACACGCTAAGATCCTTGCCTCTCAACGTCCCGACGCCTACGGTGAAAGCGTCGAATAAAGCTGGCGAGGTAATTTTTTCGTCCACAGTAAAATCCTCCGCGCATGCTGACACCATCTCTAGAATTTTCACGGCTTAGTGCAGCGATTGGTGCAGAAAGAGAAGCAGGTGATCCAGCTGCAAGCTGAGCTGGACCGTTTCAAGGCACAGAATCCTGTCGGGAACCGTGATCAGGTATGTTGATTACAGGTCTAATATACTTATATGGGTTAACGAGCTATCGGTAGGAAGAGAAGGCGAAACGGGAACGAGATCGAGTGAAGTGGAATAGCTTAATGGAAGAGATTTCGAATTTGAAGACTCAGGTATGCCGATTGCTTGGTAGTCGTTAACGCTGGCTAAGCATTCGCGAAGAACGGAGAACTTGAATCTTCCCTTGGCTTGAAAGACAAGGAAATTAGATACCTCAAGCGTGCCCTGGAGTCCGTCTACTCGAGATTCAAGTCACGAGCGGAAGTTCGAGGAGCAGAAGTCGATGCACTAGCCATGGCAAGTCGGGCCAATGAGGAACTAGCCCAGATGGAAGAGGAGATTGTCACCTTGAAGCGTACCGTCGAGCAGCTGAAGGACGAACTGGCTACAAAGCCGAAGTTCCTGACTGAGCACGACTATAAGCACCAAGTCCCTCCTCCGCCTCCACCGCCTACACGGCCAAACAGAACGGCAACTATGCCCCCTCCGGTAATCGAGGATGTGTCCAGTGGTATGAGATCTCCGCCACCACCGCCTCCGCCTTCACCCCCTCCACCTCCTCCACGCATACCCACTACACTGTCACCTTCAATACCTCTCCCACCTCCCCCGCCGCCGCCACCGCCGCCGCCACCACCACCTCTTCCTGGGGTACCAGGAGTACCTTCACCTCCACCACCTCCACCACCTCCACCACCTCCACCACCTCCACTACCTCCACCACCTCCGCCACAGCTGCCTTTATCGCCATCATCTGGCCCGTCGCCGCCGCCGCCGCCGCCCCCACCCCCGCCTCCATTGAGTGTGTCCAGCCGGGCCCAGCCTCCTCCTCCACCTGGCATGCCTGGCCCGCCACCTCCGCCACCGCCATCTGGGAGAGCTCTGCTACCTCCGGGACGCAATAAGTCTGGGAAGCGTTTGAAACCCTTCTTTTGGAACAAGCTGTCTAACCAAGTATCAACTACTACGATTTGGGATGAGACTAGGCCTCAGATCATTGTGGATCTGTCAGACTTGGAAGCTACTTTCTCCGTTGAGAACATTACGCCAACCAGTTCTCAGATCTCAGCGACGTCTTCAAAAAAGCAAGATGTTACCACTTTGCTCGACATTACACGCGCACAGAACGTCGGTAAGCCCCGAGATTAAGATTAACTTCTGTCCGGAATTGGAACTGACACGTCGCTAGCCATCATGTTAGCTAGGATAAAGCTGGATCTTCCAGCAATCCGACAGGCGGTATTGGAGATCGACGACACCAAGCTCTCCACCGACGAAATCAAATCGCTCGGAAAACAGCTGCCCACGTCGGAAGAGGCATGTCTTTCTGCAGCTATCAGTAGGGCTACCAGCTAATGCTTTCGATAGACCACAAGAATCAAGGAGTTCGGCGATGTCAGCAAGCTCTCTAAGGCGGACCAGTTTTTCAGCCAGGTACGTAAGACCATTTCATGCTTATGGAGAGTTCACCGATACTTGGGTTTTGCGCAGATGATGTCTATTCCACGACTGTCACAGCGTCTGGAGTGTATGCTGTATCGCAGGAAGCTTGAGATCGAGGTTGAGGAAATCAGGCCTGAGCTCAACATCGTTCGCAATGCATCAAGAGAGCTCCGATTGTCTACTCGGTTCAAAACGATCCTTCAGGTGGGTCATAGTCTCTTGCATAGCCATGGCATGGCAATAATAGAGTCTGATTAGACTGTCCTTACCGTTGGTAACACTCTCAACGGCTCTACCTTCCGCGGAGGTGCACGAGGCTTTCAGCTCGACGCGTTGCTGAAGGTAACGGAGACTTGTCGCTACCGTGCAATGTGTATTAACAAGTTCGCAGCTCAAGGAGACAAAGACGGCGAAGGGATCGCAGGAGTGTCCGACTTTGTTGCACTACATTGCCCGAGTCCTTTTACGGAGTGACCCTAACCTCGTCATGTTCATCGAGGAGATGCCGCACGTTGAAGCTGCTGCGAGAGGTGAGCTCTGCATTTACTCATTACACGTGCACGCTGACGGGCTGTCAACAGTATCGGTCCAAACCATCACGGCGTCGGTACAAGCTCTGGCCGTGGGCCTTGCGCAGTTGCAGCAGGAGGTCGCGGAACTTCAAAAGATACGGCTGCCACCCCAAGATCACTTCGTCATCGTCATGAAGGTTTGTGTTCATCTGACCTGCTCCGTACAGGGAGCTCACTTCGGCTTCTTCCAGCCCTTCGCGCAACAAGTGGGTGGAAGTGTTGATGCTTTGGCAAAAATGTCCGCCTCCCTAGAGGCTGAGTTGAAGTCCACGCTCACATTCTTCGGCGAGAACCCGGATTCTCCCGAGGCGCCCAAGCCGGAGGATTTCTTCGGCCTGATCCTGTCATTCTCGTCCTCGTTGCAGGTGAGTACCTTGACCTGGTGCAGGCGTGTTTTTCAATATGCTAACAATTTCCCAGAAAGCCGCGTTGGAGGTGCACGACACGGAAGTCCAGGTGCAGTCGCCCGAGGTTAAAGTGGAGGAGTCACCGAAGACGCCCACTCAGGAATCGGTACGTCTAGACCTTTCACTCCCGTTCTTGATCCTTATGCAGTTTTCACAGACCGTCAAGTTGGGCGACGCAAACGGTCAGACTGCCAAGCAGCCTCCATCGTCTATGGGCCGTGCAGCTGGCCTGTCGGTTGGTCGTGGTGACCTTGACCAAGCCATCCGTAGCATGCGCGACGGACGCCGTAGGGCTCGTCCACAACGTCCCGTTAGCAAGGTATTTATTGATGGCGCTCGGGCAAGCAGGCTGCTCGAACCATGAGTTTGAGCGAGATGGACATATCACGTTCGTTGACTATCTATCGAAGTACACGTATCTTGCACATCCCTGTATACCCTCTCTGACCTTATGACCTTTCATGACCATATATCTAGCACATCGAGTCCTGGTCCAATGCATCCGCTTGTTGTATCACTGAGTGTCACTGCTGGTTCAGAGGCGAGACTTCGTCGCAGCGGGCAATGCTTTCTAAGAATAGCTCGAAGAAGCCCTCGACCTGCACGAGCAGAAATTAAATATGTCCAAGATGGACGATACGGAGAGAGCATACGTTCAATGTTTCGGCCACGATACAATTCTTGCCGGTGCGGCCCCACGTGTCATCGGCCTTCTGGTAGTCCCACAGGTCCACGACGGTCTCGCCGACGGTATGTGCCCCGTTGAGTTCGACGTCGACGTGGTAGCGCTTGCAGCCGAAAAGTCCGGGATATGCGACGTAGGCGACGGTGAGGGCATCGTGGATGGGCGGGCCGTGCACGAATCCGAAGACAGCCTTGTATGCGTCTGCGAAGAAGCTGAGCAGGGTGGACAGCATGCGTCTGAGCGCTGTCTTTGCGAAGGGCAGGGGCTGGGCACTGTCCTCAACGTTCGAGCCCGGGGAGAGCACTTCGCTCTGCCATTTGCGGGTGACGATGGCTGTATGCGTGACGTTCAATGGGATCATAGTCTTCTTGATGGGGATGTTTAGCACGATTTGTGCTGCCTCGGCTGAGAGTTTGCCACCAAGTGAGAATAAATCATTCATGGCAATTATCGAACTTACGATCACAAAGGATGTTGAACTCTAGTAAGTCCTTCCATTCAGCGTTCTCTTGTTCAGCATCCATACCATGCACACTTACCGGCCGCCGAAGAACGATTACCGAGGCCTACACCTCCGCCCATGAAGACGATCTCCTCTAATCAGTTGAAGGTCAGACTTGTCCCTATCTCCAGGTGACACCACAAACCAACGGCATCGATCAATTCAGGATGCACGCATGAAAACAGTGCAATGTTGGTCATAGGGCCAGATGAGACAAGCACGACTTTCGACCCGGCGCCGTTCTGCCACACTTCGCGAATGGCCGTCGACATGCCGTCGACGGCGCGAGCTGCAGCGACATCGGACGGGAGCCGTGCGCGCACGCCTTCGAGTTCAATCGATGGCAGGCCCTCTACGCCTCCGAGTCCGCCGACGCCATGGATCTCGGGGTCGAATCGAGCATGTCTAAGCAGAGGTTGTGTTGCACCAGGGTACACCTTGATTGAACTTGGAGCGCCAAATGCGTGCAGACACCTGGCGGCATTCTTCATAGTGTCGTCGGCACTGGTGTTTCCATGCACCTGTAACCTAACATGAGGCGTAATCTGGGTAAGTGAGTGAATATAGGTACAGTGGAAACTCCAAGGAGCGATATGTTTGGGATGTGAAGTGCGAGCAGAATGGCAATGGCATCGTCGTGCCCCTTAAGGAGCGGTGTCAGGATTGTCAGCTAAGTGTAATTGTGAGAAGATTACCGGATCACAATCCAGCCAGATGTGTCTCATAGTGTTGCTAAAGTACACTACTTGCGAAGGCTAGTCAATGGGCCGACACTGGTGATATCCAGAGCTCAGAGATAGATTCGGCCGTAAACTCAGAGCTCTCCTTGCTGTTATCAAATCACGTAAAGTTGTGAATGACGCCGCGATAACTTAGCGATGGCGAACTTGCATACCTTATTGGGACGCGGCCACTCGCCGCTTAGTCAGCCATTTTTTGCCTCGCATGTCCGGCGCTTTACTTTGTGGCTGCTGCTGGCTGCTTAGCCGTCCTTATACTTCCCCTGCACATCACTGGCCTGTTTCCTGTCCCAGACGCCATGGATCCTCATTCCAGATTCTCCCAGTTCAATAGCAGACAGACAAAAGCGGGCCCTCTACCTACAAGCACACGCACCATGGAGCTTTCGGTCAAGACCACTAATCCCCTTGAAACATACAAGAGACGGTCGGCAACGAGAAAGGGCTCGACTTCCTCCAGCGGGTCTGTAAATCCCAGGCCAATAGTCACGAACTCGAGGGTCAAGCAAGGTGCGTTTCCCAGTCGTGTGAGCCCTCGCGCAGCTGAACTCCAATTTCAGATGATCAGTATCGCAAAGATATGTACCTTGCCTTTATCAATAATGCGCTGCAACAGAAGGCGAAGGTATGCATAGAAGATAGTTGTACCTCTTCCAATCTCCTGATATTTACCACGACAGGGCATCAGCGAAGCCTTCGACGAACTTGTCGATCAGTTCAATCCCAAGCAGGCGAACACTGATACTGTAACAGCATCCTCGCAATTAAGGCTGTGGATAATTGCCCTTTCCCACGTCGTCTCTCGGCTAGAACGTGTCCACTCCGCTCTCGTGGGTGCCGTAATCAGCATGCCGTGGACGACTATGGACAGCAACTTTGTCAGGTCGTACACCTCCTTTGTGGGCGTGCTCGTCAGTGCGAAACCAGAATACCTAACGCTAGTGCTGGGGAAGATTGCAGTTGGCTTTACCTACCGTGCGTATTGTGTTTTCGCCTTATCTCACGTTTGCTTACCCGGTGTACAGAATCGGGCCTACAGGCTCTGGATGTGTCCATGCCGGAGACATCCTCACGACCACTCACACGTCGGACAGTCTATGAACGTCTGCACTACCTCCTTGAACACTTGCTCTCGCTAGTACCGACTCTTCCCTCGACTCTGCAGCCACTGCTAGTCCAAAATTTCCCGCACAAGAGGCTAAGCCAGGCGGCGCAGGTGACTTATATTCGCAATCTCCTCCGAATAACGGAGTACTGTCCCGAGCTGTCCGACCGGATATTGGCGACGATTATAGACCGTGCCATCCAAATTGATGTATGTTCATTTATTCGGATATGGCATATAGCGACTCATTTGTTTGACAGGTCGAGATCCAAGTTGAGCTGGAGGAGCTGGAGGAGCTGGCTACCGAAGAGCAGTCGCAGCTGTTCGACTTCGACCCCTTTGACACGGCCGTTGGCCAAGAAGGGGAGTCTGACTCTGAGGACGATAGCGACGAAGGAGATGGCGACAACCTCAGCGATCTCTCCTCAGAGGCTGATGGTGAAGCAGATGATGATGAGGCGCCGGAGGAAGAATCGACCAACTTCCAACATGTGCAAGACATGGTCAACAAACTTGACGCAATTCTCAAGAACGTCTTCGACCACTTCACGCAACCGCCTCCAGTGTCAGATGTGCTCGCTTCTAGTTTACCGACACCCATTTCAGTGTCAGGCACCGCATCTCCTTCGTCACCTCCATTAACGCCTCGCCCGATGCAAAGGTTCGAGAACGCCGAAGACGTGAAGGCCCTCCGGCGCGCCCAGTTCTTTTCCCTCCTTTCCATCTTCGAGCGCACGATCCTCCGTACCTTCAAATCCCGATATACTCAGTTCCTGGTCTTCTGGTTCTCCTCGCTTGACCCCGAGTTCAGCGACCTGTTCCAAGGCATGCTGGTCTCCAAAGCGCTACTGGAAGAAGACCAGCCCACCGTGACGCGCGCTGCAGCGGCGAGCTACATTGCGAGCTTCGTCAGCCGCGCCGTCTTCGTCAACCGTGAGAGCACGCGCCAGGTGGTCGCGTGTCTCTGCAATTTTCTCAACAACCGCCTCGACATCCTCGATGCCATCGCGCAGACCGGCACGAACCCACCAAGCTTGGCGCAGCACAGCATGTTCTACGCCGTCACGCAAGCGGTGTTTCTCATTTTCTGTTTCCGGTGGAGGGACCTTGTGCAAGACCAGGACGAGCTGGACGAGCTGGCGGGCGCCGCCGGAGGTGCGCATGGTAAATGGATGCTGGAGCTCGAAGTACTCAAGCGGGTGGTACAATCCGATCTCAATCCCCTGAGGGTACGTCTTGTTCGCGGTGCCCGCTGCTCAGCTGCTGACCGCTGACCTGTCAGATCTGCGCCCCGACCGTCGTGATGCAATTCGCACGAGTCGCACACGCGACCGACTTCCTCTACTGCTACTCCATCATCGAGGCTAACCGGCGCTCAGAGTACGCGTCCCCGAACACGCAGGCCGTGCGGCGCTTCGTGAACCCGACCGTGCTTGGCGAGTCCGTGCAGACAGAGCTCAATACGTTCTTCCCGTTCGACCCGTACAAGCTGCCCCGCTCGGGCACGTACATCGAGGGCGTGTACCGCGAGTGGTCGTCTGTCGCGATCGGCGACGAGGACGACGAAGACGAGGACGAAGAGGACGAGAGCGGGGGCGAGCCACCGATGTCCTCGCATTATTCCTATGACGGTCTCTCGAGCCCCATGGCTTTGCGGCCCAGACGCGATTCGGAGGCTGATCAACTCGGTGCATCGTTCGGCGGGATGAGCATCAGTCCTGCACATCCTCCATTGTCTGTGAGCCTCAGTTCCGTCATGTCTGTTTCATAGTCACAGTAGTCAGTAGCTTCGCTTCCGTCACCTGGTTATCATGCTGTCGTTATAGAATGGGATGCATACTTCTGTTCGCTCTCGCGTGAAGGCGTGATCCACACTCAAGCGTTTCTTGCGACTTGAGATCGTTTAGTGTAAGGTCTCGTCAGCACCTTCTCCAGCGCGGACGTGCATGAATTTTGCAAAACACTTGTATATGTGCGATGCAACCACGAAGCAATATATCTAGTGGTCGTGAGCGGCATTGTACGCCTGATGGTCGAAGACCGGACCAAGCGGTGGCTAATATGTGTGAAGCAATGAGCGTTGGCATACTTGCAGCATACCCACAACAGACGCACCGGCAAGTTTCGTTCCCTGCAAAACCGGTCAGCATAAAGCGCAAAACGTATCATCTGTGCCACGAACCATTTGTTGCCATCCGGGGCAGTAGGGGCTATGGGCAGAAGCGTCAGGGCCGAGAGCAAGTACGCCGAGGACGAGCAACTCACGTCGGTATGGATCGGGATGTATACGCTTCGCAAGGTCCGCCTCCGCCTTCCCAAAGATCTCGGCGAGTGCACGAGGATCCTGCACGTCCCTAATCCATCACAGCAAGCACCAAAGACGGCCCGACTCAGCATACAGCCGACAACGAGCGAGGGTGCAGCACGACACACCGGTTCCTGTCGAATTCTGCGCGGATGGCAAGCGCCTTGGCGCGCCAGAGGTCTCGCCGGACTATCCAGTTCAACTCATTGTTGAGGATACGCCTGTACAAGCTCTTGACGTAGGACCTGTGCGCCGCGGTAAAGGGCTGAGGCAGTGGGGTCGACATGACCGGAGGAGAGTGAGTTTATGCAAGGCGCCTATTTCGCGCGCGCACTTTGTCCAATCGAAGAGTCGGCTGGGAAGATCATGCACTCAGTTATTTGCACATCGTGAGATAGAAATTATGTAGGTGGTGTTATATACAGTCTACGTGTAGCTAACGAGGGCAGATGGTACAAATTTGCAAGGCTGTAATTACAAATCCATAACCGGACACAACAAAAAATGAAGACTAGAGAGTTGGATTACAGTATCGGCCTCTCAGGCAAGCGAAGACTTCTTCGCGCAGATCTCATCGAGAGTCGGCCAATGCGAAGTTTGGACGGGACTAACGGGAGGGCCAGCAGTCGAAGGAGGGTTAGGACGCACAGTCTTGGAGTCCTTCGGCAACTTTGACGATCGCCAGTTCGCCGTCTCCTCTCCGGGAGAACGCGCAGGAGCTTGACCACTGCAGTTTCTCGAGCGCGAGCGACCAGAATTGCGGCCAACAGTTCCTTGTGAGTTGACAGAGCGACTGAATCTATCGAAGGCATCAGGGAACGGCAGTCCAGAATCCTTGGGGAATTGATTGAGAGTCGGCCCTGTCTGGAAGATTGGCCATGGAGGTGTAGGCGTCGTAGTCCTCTTCATGGGATGTGCGTGGCCTGCAGCGGAGACGGATTCCAAGCCAGGAGACATGTCGTTGAGATCTTGCATACCAGCCGGCATGAACGCCGAGGACACGTCAGAGCGAGCCAGACGAGGAACTGAAGAAGGTCGGCCTTCCATGCACATATCGGGACGAAGAACACCATCGTGACCAGCGACCCAGACCCAGGGAACCTTTGCATTAAGAGAGATAGATGCGCCTTCGGGAGGAACGGACGATGCGCGAGCAGCAATTGCAGCGTCCCTATTATCGTCTTTCATCCTGTCTTGCGTCGTCCGTTCCGCGTTCGGAGGAAGCGTTTTGGGTAAACCGCGAGTCCTCTGGAGTTCCTTGATCAACGCATCAACTTGGGCAAGATGAAGAGCAGAACGCGCTTCCGAGCTAGAACCGGGCAGGTTATCCTCGGGATCAGGAGTTTGGGACTTCCTCGGCGTATTGCAATTGCGCTGTTCAGCCACGTCAGGGTACGGCGAAGCGCGACCTTGCTTGGACATCTGAGCCCTGTTGGGTGTTAATTTTTGCAGATCCTCCCCGTCCTTAGCTTTAGATCCCGGAGCGCGCATATCCGGATTAGAGAGCCCACGACGCGGGCGTCGTCGAGGCTTTCTAGAAGCGGCCGGCTGACTTGGCCGGCCTTCGCAATCCTTTGAGTCCCTCGTTTCCCCCTTAGATTTGAGTCCTCGTCGACGGCGTTCAGGCCTCTTCGAACCGCCCTCCGGAGAAGTAGATGGTGCCAGAGCCCAGTTGGGTCGGGAAGCGCTGTGAACCTCGCCTGCGCCCTCGGTAGGAAGGTCTACTTGCGGTCTGGAAGACTTCATGCGGTTTGCCTCCGTCTGTGTAGTCTCCACTGAATCACCTCCTGTTTCGGCTTTTGCCTGCGGGGCCGGATCTCTGGGAGGCTCGTTGGGGGAGATAGGAATAGCAAGGATGAATTCTGCAGCATTCGGATGCAAAGAGGCGAGCTGGGTCGATAACGATGAGCATGTGCCCTGCCTTCTGATTCCCCAAGCTGATTCCTCACATTTGTTGCATCTGCATATGTAGCTGGGACTGAAATACCCAGTGGTTCAATCTTGCCTCTGCGAATATGAAGAGACCCAATGGTGTTACGAATGCCTTCCTTGGGGGGAGACGGAGAGTCGTCAAAAATGGCTTGCGTCGATGTCGACACGACAATCTTCGCCTCCTTGAACTTCAGAGATATGTCACTGCCGGCAGCAACAAGAGGGGTATGGAAGACTTCGTCCGTGGAGCTATTGCCAACCTCGGAATTAGCGGGTGCGAGATTCTCGTCGGGAGTTGTAGTACTGTTCATCTATCTGGTCCTCAGTATCTTAGACTACATGCCAGGCGTGAAGGATGCGCACCAGCGGAGACTTCACATGTTTCAAGTCTGTATTGGAGGTAGTCTATTCACCGCAACGATATTGAGTAACCCGCCACACAAACCTTTCAGTATACGTACGCTGTCTGAGGTAGTCAAGGTCGACTTGTTTTCCGCTGTGGTGCTCGGACGCAAGATAGGCGATCTGTTCGTAACCTCCGCTTCGTGCAGGGCCATGAGGCTTGCAGCACCCGGCGCCGACATCGGTCGACAAACATCGCTCTCGATTTGTGGGACGGCGCCGGCAAGACGACCGAGACCGGGAAACAGGAGACTACTGAACATCTTGGGCGTCGAGGAGAACGTTGGCTCAGCCCGACGCGAGCAAATTCAACATCCCCGGGAGTTGCCAGACTGAGTGACAGAGAAGCACACACCCGTTCGTTAGCGCTCCATTCGGAAGAGCACCTTCGTTTACGAGCGAACCAGATTTTGGGACTATTTTCAACATCCATTCTGTGCCAGCCCTACTATGCACATAGAGGCCAATGAAGTCAGAACTCGCACTGTGTGAGCCGAAAGACCCTTTAGTACGCCTTAGAGAGAACTGCAGCCTTGGGCGCGGGTCCCTCTTCCGGTCGACGTCCCGAAAGCTTCACAAAATCCTCCATGGCGTGATCACATCCAGACAGCTATGAGAGAGCGGTTAACGCCTTACTCGAGATGTAGAAAAGAGTAGGCATACCCATTGAGAGAAATCACGAAGGAAGCTGGGTAGCAACGGTACGAAGGGCACAAAGTTGGCATAGAATGGCAGGTAGATCGTGCGTGAATGTTGCTCATCTAGAGCAGCAATGACAGCCTTCGTGATTGCGATTGGGGGGAGGTTCGGAACAAAGAACTTGAAAAGCCAGTTCTGGGAAAGGCGGACAGTTGAGAACATCCGCGTGAGCACGCGTCCTGAGACGACCAGTGTGGTTCGGACTCCAGGAGCACGGTATTGATGATCAAGCTCGTAGCGCAGAGACTCGTGAAGAGAAATTAGTGCAGCCTTGGAAGCACAATAGTCCGCTACGAGAACAGTTAGTTCAAAGTCGGGCAGATGCGGAAGGTAGCTCACTCATTCGTGCCATGCCAACCATGCCGGCAACAGAGGCCATGTGAATCTGCTGAATATTAGTGATGCACATAACATGGTTTGCACAGACTCACGACGTGTCCCTTGTTCTGCTTGATCATCTCTGGCAGGAAGGCTTTGAGAGTCCAGAAGTGCGCTAGGGTATTGACGGAGAGAGTTCTAATCATTGACTTAAGTTAATTGAACGGAAGTAAATCGACAGGATACTTACTGCTGAATATCCTCTGGAGTCAGGTCGACCAGCAATTTTCCTTGCACAACACCGGCATTATTGATCAACACCGTTGGGTGTCCAAGCTAGTCAAGGGTGATGTTGGGACCTACTTGCACCGTAGTTATAGGCACATACCTCTTCTTGGATCTTCTTGGCGACTGCTTGCACCTCCTCCCATTTGGAAACATCGCATTTGTAATAGGCGATATTGTCTAGCAATTCCTCGTCAGAACACATCTGGACGCAAGAAATAGGTCTCTCACAATTTTCAGTCTCGATGGGATCGATGTCCAGGACAACGACAGTCACATTGCGTACGGCAAGTGTGTTCGCAATTAGCCCGCCTATCCCAGAGGACCCTCCGGTAATGACCACAATCTGCTCTCCCCAGTCAAACCGTGGAGGCCCAAAGAGCAGGCTGCCCTGGTTGCGAAATAGGCGAGAGTACCATTTGACGAGCCCTACATGTTCATGAATGTACGTCAGTACGCTGACTTGTCGTCCGCCGTCAGTGCTACGCACAGAATGCAGAGATTGCGACGTAGTAACCACTTGACACGACAAGTATCGGATTCGGCCATCGTGCACCTTGAAAGTAGTAAAAGACAGGAATAAAGAAAGTAAAGAAAGGACCTGCGCAGTAGGAGGGTCAGGTGTGTGCTTTAATGGACGTGGCGTACAACTCACTGAATGCCGTGTGGACCAGCACTTTGACGAGAAGGTCGATATCGAAGTTGTCAAAGACAAGGGTGGCATCGCCGACAGGGCCTTCCATCTCTCCTAAATTCAAGCACGCACTGTTCGCAAACTACACCAAGGAAATAAGGGAGGCAGGCTCAGCCTGTTCAGGGAAACGAATGTGGTGAGAGTGAAGTGCAAATGAAATCTCGATCTTGGCTACGTAGCAACGCTGGAGGCGCATCAAGCGCATCAGCATGATTGAGTTAGCTATTTGATCCGTGCTGTGTCGCGATCGGAGAGCGCTTTCGCGCGGCAAGCGGGCGGCAATTTCGTCGCTTGCAAGTGGATAAGTTGTCACATCCATTGCTAACACTGCAGCTGAATGGCTGCAGTTCGAAATCACAGTTACAGGCGATATAACCAATCGTGGCATTCCGCTCGCCTTTCTTTCCTCGACTTTGAGAATCCATGCAAAATCTGAAGGTGGGATGTGTTGCCATCTAACGACCTCACTTCCATATTCATGCTCAGCAGATGAATAGCTCCCCAGCCGACGAGCCGCCACTACCAGAGCTTCCGGCCGAATTGCTGATATATATCTTCGAATTAACGTGCCTTCTGTGCCATGAGGATGCACTGCGAGTGTCACTCATATGTTCCTGGGTACGCAACATCGCCAAACCCTACGTTTTTGACACAGTCATACGTAAAGCGGGCTCTCTGTACCCCGTTCAGGGGCGCGTCGAGCTATCTCACGAAGTGGCTCCGCCTGGATGTGGACAATTCGTGCGCCACCTCTGGCTCGAGACGGTTGGTGTCTTGTCGTCTCCACGAGAGATTGGCTTGTTCAAGTCGTGCCCGAACGTCGAAGATATCGCGCTTTCGGTCAACCCTCTGCGAACACTACTTGCGCTCTACGCAAATCCGTATTCCCATCTTGAGACCTCTGCCATCCGCACCCTTACTCTCATAAGCCCGACGCCTCGTATAGTCTGGATCATCAATCCGAGTGCTTTGCTGCAGGGCATCACGCATCTACAAATGATTGACCTGCGGCAGACGCCTTACATTCCCCTAGAGCACCTACCCAACCTCACTCATCTTGCTGTCCCTCTCACACATCTTCGTTCAACATATGCTGGTGGTGTACTCCCTGAGAACATCACCGGATGCCGCCGCCTGCAGATGATCGTCCTCACAGTAGATCATTATGACTGGATATACCGACCTTGGCTGGACTGGAGCCGGTACGCCACGTCCGCATTCACCAGAACATCGGCGGAGACGCCGCGGGACAGGTTTCGTTTGATAGGCGAAGTGGCGAAGAAGAAGGACCCGCGAGTGCACGTCATCCTTTCTCCCGTGATGGGACGAGATGACACACTTTTAAGTGTGTGCTCAGAATGGGCGGCTGCGGCGAGGGGCGGCGAGAGCATCTGGGAGAAAGCGGCCAGGACTTCTCAGAACAACTTTGATGACTTGAATCTCCTGCCCTTGACGTATCCCAAGGCTCGCACGTATCCCAAGGCTCGCACGTATGCAGGATAATCTCATATTGCCAATGAGTGTATACTTTCGAACGCGTTTATACTGTACCCTGTTCGTTATGCGGAATTTGCTCGTGGCAACCATATGGTGGATTAGGGTGGAGGGGCTGTGAAAGAGACTAATGACAAAAAGCGATGCAGCCGGTGGTAAATCACGTACACCGCAGCCAATTGTACAGGCCGCTGGACATCCCGAAATATGGACAGGGAACAACCAAGTTGTCCGACTACACATCCATATAGAACAACTGGACTACACGCATATCGCGATGCTAACGAACAAGTCTTTAAACACATGTGGTTATCCGACGACGACAGCGACGAGAGTTGCTTCGAAGGCTGGGGCGGATGGTCAGTGCGCCCGGTCGCGGCTCAAAGCTTCGGACAGCGGATGGCCGAGTCCGGGCACTGCCCGGGCGGAGCGCGAGCCCATCAGTGCATTCAGCGGGCGCCCCGAAGCTGGCCCCGCACGAACTGAGTTGCCAAGCAGCGACTTTAAATTTGTTTGCTGTGACGTCGTCCCCGCAGAGGACAACACAGCCCGAACGCATTATAAGACCTGGCAACGAATAAATCAAAACTACACGTTCTCAGTATGTCTCCTCAAACTGCTACCTTGCTGCCAACGCCTACGCACAGACCCATTGACCATGTCTGTCATCAGCCTAATGTGTCCCGCCGCAACGAGGTCGCCTTCGAGGCCCGGATCCTGACAGAACGCTCTTGCCTGAATGAAAGAACGGAGGATGCCTCGCCATTTTCATCGACCGCACACGGCATGTGTGGGCCGTGGCTAGAACACGCGCCAGGAGGATATGAGAGCTGCCCGGAACAGGAGGTGCGCCCCTTGACATTGGCCATTCACGCCCACCGCTTACATCCCACAATAGTTTGAACATTATGTTGACAGTATCATGGAGGAATTGGTATGTCGTCACTATATAAAGTCTGTCATTGAAACTCACTACATTTTTTCCGCCAGACTGCACGATCCGATATTTCCATCCCTTCAAATGTGGCGTCTGACCCCTTCGTTGCCGGCTTCGAAGAGGAGGATGCATCGCAGGAGCTCCTTCGAACATACCTCACGGCACGCTCGAGATGGGGACTGCCACAGGGCCTCGTCATTCAATCTGAGCAACCTGAAGTCTACCCGCACATCGTTATCACGCCGCCGGCGTACACATCATTCGAGTCTTACTGCCTGTGCGGTCACTGCAGCTATGACACACCCTCGTTACCTCCGCAGTCGGTAGACTATCTGAGTGTTCCGCCACGGAGAGACGAAGGCATAATCAAAGCCGTGTATCTGTGGCGAGAAGACGAAGCGGAGTGCAACCCTGTTCTGCGGGAAGCTCCCAGAGGGTCGTCCTCCAGTGATAGGACTGACCTCTTTGAACAGCCAATCCGGGTTTTCAGCCTCTCTCACTTCCGGCGAACCGTGAGTGTTATTGGAGGAAGATCCCGGCCCGGTGCTTACTTTCTTGGCACAGGTTGATGAGGCCGCTCGCGAGCGGCTTGTCTTCTACCATGTGCTTCCAGCTATACACCGATGGTACTACAGGCTCGTGGTAAGTAGATCTGGAATGTTCCAATGGATTGAAGGCTAACCCAGACACAGGCTATGCATGCAAGTGCGGTAGCTACGTCATTCCGCGCTCGATGGGACTCGGACCTCTTCTGCTGGCAGATAGAGCGACCGTTCAAGTGGACGGATTCAGCAGAGGTAAGAACGCCATCTCCTTTGCTGATCACTCCGGGGCTCACACGGTTGTGTAGCCTTTACTATCCCAGTACTGTTATGACCCGAACGCTTTGATACTAGATTCTGTAGATCCTCTCCTAACACCCCACATCGTCATCCACGAAGCTCCCGAGCAAGATCTCAGAACGCTAGAGAACATCTCCATACCCCCACAATGGTGTTACTACGGCTACTTCCTCACGCACCCTTTCGGCTGTTCAGGCTCCTGTTGTAATCACCACGCGTACTCCGCCCCGCCCATCCTAGACCTAGAGCTTCCAGAGCCCGAACTCTCGACACTGTCCGACTTGTTTGCCATCGAAATCGGAGGCATGGAGCTTGTTGACGAAGCCGAGTTAAGCAACGACTCTAGCAGCGACTCGGACTCGGGCTCAGACTCCAGCTCGGACACGCTCGTGACGCCGCACGACACGACATTCTCCCACGCCCCGTCGCTGCTCCCTCTCAAAGACACACCCCCGCCAAAGCTTTGCGAGCGCTTTTCTATTGACGAGGACGAAGATGAGCTCCCGCCTTTCGACGAATGGTACCAAACTATCGCGCGGCGCGCTGCTATTTAGGACTCTGACCTGCTTCTGGAAGGTGATCGCTTTGTCCTGCCCATACATTGCCCCCATACCCGCGCGCAGCTTGTGATACCACGCACATACCACGCATATCACAGACAATTTGCATCGTATCGCTCTGTATCTCTATGTGTATCGATAATCACCGTATTGCACAGTATAATGTCTTGTTGTATACAGCATGATACGTATATATTGCACAGCCGATGGCGTGCTTTGCAAACAAGCGACAGAGTTGCGTATTCGACAATGCTTATGTGGCTATCCAGCGCTGTCCCGAAATGAACGATCATCGAAAGAATGAGGGGCAAGCGAATTGTAATGCGAGGGTTCAGACGGCAGGCAGTAGCGAAGCTGACTGTAGACGTACTATCGCTGGATTTCGCAGGCAGCCGCACTGACAAAGCCGGAGGTGGGCTCTCCGACGTATTCAAAGAGCTTCCAGTGAGCTGGGTGTGCATCGCCTGAAATGCATGCGACAGACGGCGGTTTCGGGCTAGATGACTACCGACCCTGCAGAGAACATTGTCGTGAGTGCACGCGTACTGCGAAGATGTGCTGCGGCCGCGCGGACAGCTGAACCATGCCGATGTCATATATCACAGCACCAGGACGGCAGTGGTAAATGGTGAGCCTTTATTGAGCTGGACTGTAGCTGGATGGAGAGAAGACAGATTCTAGCTGGATCGAGGCTTAGGTTCGAGATGGCGTGGGCACGGCATTTATTAAAGCTTGGCCTGCTCCCAGAAAAAAACGGCCAACCTGCCGAGGGAGATACTCGGGTGGTATGCACAAGAGACTTCTAAGCGACTGACTATCCCAGCCTCCAGCACTGCCAGCCATTAGCGAAGATCATTGGCGCCAGGGATACGAATAGTTGCCGGTGGGCAGCACTATGCGACATGGGAACAATGGCCCCGCCCTGATGAGAAGAGCACCAAGGTCTCGACTGGGGGAGATGACGCTGCGAATCCACTGCAGCCACCGAGGCGTCTGTGCGGCGGCGGCAGAAGGCTTCTGCTTGTGGCCTTCGTTGGCGTTCCGATCCCGCGGTTTGATGTTTATGGTACCTAGTTGGAGCGACCCAGACGCGGAGGCTGTTAACGTGCCTATCGTGAAGAAGGTCGGCACACCTCCCAGGGACGGCCGTCGAAGGAGGTAACGCGTTGTCGAGAGAACGCGTTCTCAATTGCGGTAATCAATGCGCCCACACTAATCGAGAGACCAATGATCGCTCGACGGCCTGAGAGCAAAAAGTTGGTATCGCCAGCATTCAAGGTCAGAGAAGGTTGGTCTCGTTGGGGTGGATGGTGCCGCACGGCGGCACAAGTTCAGTGTACAGACGCACAGTCCGTCATGTGGCAGTGGACCAAGTGGTGGTGGGTATCGACGCGTCAGGCAATACAGCTGGCGGCGTGAAGGGGCGGATCTGCGCTGGCTACAAAAGCCGAAAGGAAGGCGGCGAGCGAACGTGGAAGCAGACCTGCGTCATCTGCGGCGGAGTTTGAGGCAAGAGAACGCCAGCACGTTTGGTTCGCGACCGTGGAAAGGCCAAGGGCAGGAGAGCTGCTCGGGCGAGTTCGGACACCCCTGGTCTGCTGGTAGCATATATACTCCACAGATAAGACCAGTGTAGAATTAAGCAGTACTCACCAGCGGTCCGATAGGCGGAGGGGTAAAGGTGAAGTGCAGCGCATTACTCAGATCATTATGCATGAGGGTTATCGGGAGGATTGGCCAGGCGCTTTCGCAATGTATTCGCAATGCGCGACGACTGGGAAGGTTCGCAGTGGCCAAAGTCCAGAGAGGAGAAGTGGGTTCCGCATTGTTCTCTATCAGATGAGAACTTGGACACTGCAGGCCAGCGTGGGATGCACGAGGGGGTAAGAAATGGGGTGCTCTGTTAAGTTGTTCACCGTGCCGTGCGGGCAAGGGAGCCCAAGCGAAACGGCTCAAGGCTGCTGGCAGCCAGATTCCGATGCCTGCAAGAAACAGGCGATATCCTGGAACAGCCGAAGGCGCTCGAGGGCGCATCAGAGCGCTGATTTTGAATGACCCCACGCGGGTAGACGCCCGTACTGTTAATGAGGTGCGTCCGAAATTGGAAGTCCGGCTGGCGGCAGGAGTCAAAAGTAGCCCCGGACGGAATTGCACGAGTCCCCCGTCTCTGGTTCGTCCCCCTACAAAACCACAGGGCCCTGCACTGTCCTGCCCCCAGGTACCCTCTCTATCCCGTGAATCCATCTCAAAACGCTACCTGGCCGGTCCACGTACCTGTGTCTCGCCTCTTGAGTTGACGAACCTACATACGATAGCTCTACACGACCCCTAGGACTTCAAGATACACTAAGCTCCCTATCGCATCCACCGACACCGACCAACTTTTCACTATTGTTCCCATGGCAAGCAGTGTCACAGTCTCGCTTCTACCTGTGTCCCTGTCGCTTGTGCACATCCCTCGTTCGCGCATTCATGACAATATACACTCTATCCTCCGACAACTACTACTTCCCAGCCGAACATTTCTCAATGTCACCATCAACGAGGTTGAGCTTAGCATATTTGCAGAACATCACACACTCCAGGACTTTGAGCTTGCTGCTCACGAAGACGCACGACTCTCCCGAGAGCAGAAGCGGAAACACCGTTCCAAGGATGAGTGGAAGCCTGTAGAGATCTCCTTTGAGAGGTGGAACGTTCTTCAGATTGATTCTCACTCGGACGGACTAGGTGAGCCCGGCTGCTTCTGTATGACAGCCGCTGCTGTTCTAACACTATCCACATCTCCTCAACAGACAACACTTCTGGTGCCCGCGTGCACGAACTTTCTGCTCCTTTGGCCGCCGCCGGTGTCTCCATCCTCTACCAGTCCTCATATATGAGCGATTTCATTTTTGTGAGTCCCGATCGTTGTAACACTCCTGAACCTTGCTTTCTATCACCCGTCTGCACGTAATGAGGACCCGTGCCATCATGCTCCAGGCCATCAGTGCATATTAGGTATTGGCCCTGATGCGTCTGGGATCATGATCTTCGCTTTACCAGAAAATCTTGATTCTTATCGCCGCGCCTTTGCTCGCGCGTCTCTTTCTTTCTCACTTCTTTGGGCCTTGCGTTTGCACTCGTCTACGTATTCATTGCCATGTACTCACCGCTTGATGTAGGTGAAGGAACACCGTCTTTCCGAGGTCATGTCACTCCTTGGCTCGGCTGGGTTCGACCTATATCAGTCAGATCCGGACAACCTCACGTCTCAGCTATCGCGGCTAACATCGCCTATTATTTCGCCTCTCACACACGCGGAAGATGATGATTCATCCATCCACCTACTTGACCTGTCGGCACAGTCATCTATCACCCCCGAAAATGGTGCCGTCTTGACACGCTCGCGGAGCAACACGGATTCCAGTCCGAAGTCGTCGTCGTCGTCGTCCCCGGTTCAGTTTCGCGACGACGTCGAACCCGCGACGCCTGATCATGGAGAACATATAGGGGGCAGGCCGGCGCCTACGCGCTCCCTGAGTCATTCGCCCTCCGGGAGTGACGTGCGAGTACTTGACCCGGACCTCACTTGCATCGGATTATCTGACGACAATGCTGACTTGTGGGGTCTGAAGATCGTCAAGCTCGTTGCGTTCCCCGATCTTATTCTACCGACGCCCAGCATGCCATCGCCCAAAATGCATCGCAAAAGACCGCCCAGGCCTCCCGAGCTTGCCATCGTCGCTTCTGTAGAAGTCGTGCTCTCTTCATCTGCCGGCCCCAGCTGCACGCTGGGGGACGGGGCCCCGCTCACGTCAGAAAGCGAGTGCGAGACCATTGGGAGCGCCAACACACCATGTATCGGCGAACTTGACAAAGATTGCCGGGCATCTTCTGAGTCGCCGATATTTGACCTCGATGAACAGGCGAGACCGTGGGACGAGATCGTCGGAGACGACGACGTAGAAGAGTCTAGCGAGGATGACGAGTCTTCGGACATCTCTACTCCAGTCCACCTGCAAGATAGATCACTTTCCACAAGTCCGCGCTCTGGGAAGCATCGTCGACCCAATTTTCCGCACTACGACTCTGGCAAGACTGCAATATTCAAGCCGCGGTCGAAGCGGCGTGCAGCGCGTCGTTCGTCTCCTCCTACACGGGGACCGCAGACACAGTCACTCGTTCCCTTCTTCTCGTTCACTCGCACACCAGAAGGCTCCTCCTTGACCGCCCCTGTATCACTACTGGCAGCCCTCTTTCCGGCAAGCGAGCGCTATATGGTTATCTGCAGCAGCGAACTCGATATGCTCGATTCGCGAGCTGCGTCACCTGTGACTCCATCTGCCGACGCATCTGAGATAGATGATGACGACATGTCGGAGGCGCTTCCCGAACCCGAGGGCACGCTAAAGTGTCTGCAAATTGACCTCCGTAGGTATGGCCTTGGTAAGTCCTAATTTGTGTGCAGGATGGTTCGCCAGCCTAACATCCTTTCCATAGATAAATTTGGTCTCGTCAGCCGTTATTCCCGCACACTAGAAGCAAACGGGATAAACCATCTCTATAGCTCGACTTACAAAACTGCCAACTTGCTTGTCGATAAAGCGCACGCTGGGCGAGCTCAAGCACTGTTGCGATCCTGCTAAGTCCTGTTATCTCCCGCCCTCAGCAGGTCGACGCCCGTTTGCTCTCGATCCACGGTTTTGCATGAATCTGCGATGGAGAGCGACGAGACGTAATGCCTGCAGAGCTGATACGACTGCAGTGGATGTCATAACGACCACACACCCCTTCTCACGGTTTTCCCGCGACGCGAGCTGTCCCTACTTACCCTGGAATACCCCCACCTTAGCAATGCTATCTACCCACTTTAAAACGAGGAGTGCCTTTACTACGACACCACTCCTTCAGCCTGTAAGCCATCTTCTCATTTTGCTGTCCTCGCTTCTCGGGACCAGCGCGTTTTATATGACCTATATACCCTCACGCGTCCGCTGTAAGGCTAGCCTTTCCCTGTTGTAGTAGTGTAGTAGTGCTCCGGGCCGACATTGTATCCGATAGAATATCCATCTCATTCGTAGTACCATGGGCTCTTACAATAAATAGGTTCTTAGTTCCTCAGCCTATCTTCCGTCGGCCGCCAAGACTGGAGAACTGGTGACGGTAATTTCGGCGTCCGCCGGGCGCCACAAAGTCTCGCAGTGGAAGCGATAATGATATTTTTGGTGTACATCGCCTTGTTCTCTCCTCCCAACGACGCTTTCCCCACCTCCGTTCTCCCCCCCCCCGCACGGACTGCCCGCTTTGCGGCGCTGATATTCTCCTTAGGCCTCCTCTCACACTTTCGACACCTCGTCGACCACACTCTCTTCCTTCACAATGTTCCTTCCTTTGATCGTTGCCGTGCAGCTCTTCGGTTCTCTGGTTTTCGTACTTGCAGCTCCTACACCCTTTATCCGTGCGTGCCAGAGTACTACTTATGGTGTATGAAGCTTACAGTCTGGAGTAGGCGACGCGGTCTATCCGAGCCTTCCTCTATCTAAGTTCGGATCTCAGGCCGCAGGCAGCCTCGACCTCCCTCACCACGATTCTCTTGATGTGGCTGGAAGCGCAAACGTCGGAGATGGAGACCCGCGAACTTCGCAGTCTACGAACGCTGAGCAGTCCTCTGCACCTTTGCCTTCCACAGATCCTGCAATACAGAGCTCATCACAGGCTGTGTCAAGCAGTGTGTCGCCTTCATCATCCGCCTCCTCAAGCTCGGATGCTCCCATCTCGAGCGGTGTCGCGTCAAGCACTTCCTCCGCCCTTTCTTCTTCTTCGGTTTTCTCGTCGTCCAGCACGGCGTCCTCTTCGCAGTCCTCTGTGCAGAGCACGGATTCCCCATCGTCTGTGTCATCATCTGTAACATCGCCCAATATCTCAGTATCTTCGCCATCTTCCTCGTTCTTCATCTCAAGCGCTATTACGTCTTCCACTCTGTCTGCTACGCCATCGGTGTCTTCTAGTACGCCTATGTCAACGACCTCGTCGTTCTCTGTCATTGTCGCATTCTCATCGACATCTTCGTCCTCAGTCTCGTCGTCCGCTTCGGCCGTTTCGACGACTGACGCTCCAAGCACTTCGTTGGCCCCTTCGAGCACTGCTTCCCCCACCTCGTCGACCACTTTCAAGCCAACTTCCAGCTCCGTGTCGTCAAGCTCGTCGGGTTCCTCGTCCAGCGCTGCTGGCACGACTACGAGCAAGGCCAGCTCGGTTACCACTACCCCCAGCCAGTCGCCCTCCTCTACATTCAATATGCAATCCACCAGTACAACCTTAACATCAGCTATCACTTCAGTTTCCTCTTCTTCAAGTTTTGCGATCTCTGCCTCATCGACTTCCTCTGAGGCCACGCCTAGTTCCGTGTCCTCGAGCTTGCCGAACTCCTCATCAAGCCTTTCTAGTGCGAGTGCAAGTGAATTCAGCTCGGTTGCTGTCACATCCTCCAGCCAGCCGATTTCCTCTTCGTCCGATGTGCAGTCTACGAGTTCATTCTCGGCTACTAGTTCTTTGACGGAGAGCAGTGCGGTAACCTCGCTGTCCAGCAGCTCATCTGTCTTTTCGTCGAGCACTCTGACTTCCGCATCGGCCACATCTTCCAGCATCGCCCCCACCAGCTCGTCTTCTATCTCTTTGTCCGTCTCTGACACCAGCTCTATCAGCAGCACCGCCACCTCGTCGTTCGCAGCCTCTTCCAGTGCCACCAGCGACTTGTCTGCCTCGTCTTCCGCAAGCTCTGCAGCTGTTTCTGCGACGTCGTTATCGCCGTCCTCGGTGTCGTCGTTCGTATCTGGAACGTCAAGCGCGACATCAAGCTCAGCCCTTTCGATCACGAGCTCTGCAACCACACCCTCCTCGGTTACTAGCTCGTTTGCCACGTCAGCTCGGGGCAGTCTGAGCAGCTTTTCGTCCCACGCGTCCTCTACAGTTTCTACTCCCAGTCTCCCGCAACCTACTGTCGGCCCGGCCGAGATCCAGGCTTACCTAGACAGTCACAACTCTATCCGATCCCAGCATGGTGCCAGCCCGCTGACTTGGTCGGATGACCTCGCCTCCTCGGCCCTGTCCTGGGCGGAGGGCTGCCAGTTCACACATTCGGATGGCGCCTTGGGTCCGTTTGGAGAAAATCTTGCTGCTGGTACCGGGTCGTTCACTACTTCCGCTGCGGTAGACGCGTTTGCTAGTGATGGCTGTAAGTCTTCTCCGCGCAGTTCCGTTTCCTCACGCTGACATATGAGTGCCACGACAGTTGATCCTGCCAACCCGACGTTCACCCATTTCACGCAAATGGTCTGGAAGGCGACGACTCAGGTCGGCTGCGGTGTCGCTTCTTGCAATAACATCTTCGACTCGAAGTTCGGCCCTGCGACGTACCACGTTTGCCTGTACAACCCCGTCGGCAACGTCATTGGACAAGAGCAGTAAGTTGATCTCACAATGCACTGGTGCGAATATTACTGACATTCCGCTCAGACTGAACGTCCAGGCTTGAGCTTCCCGCCTTCTCCCGATGTGGACATCGTGACTCCGTCTATCTTATTTCATATTTGCTCTCCGTCTTCTCACATATTGCCCAGCGCAATTTGATCTCCGTTATTCACTTTAGGATAGTGTTTACTCACGCCGGTGCGTGACGCAACTCGATGTTCGCTTTGGTTTATCCGGCAGCTTTTGGGCTGTTGATATGGTTTTTGCTGTCGTCTAGCTAGATGCTCTAGGCACCCTTACTGACAGGGTCTGTTGTACCAGTGCGTAGAAAGAAAGAAAAAATGCATGAGTTCACGTTGGGCTCCTGGCGACACCATGCACTTGAGTCTTCGCGGTCCCTTGAAAAGTAACCATACTACAATGAGGCGTGATCGTTGCCATCGTTCGCAGATGCTCTCAGATGCTCTGCTTCCATGCAACGAGTGTGTACGCATGGGACAGGCACCTACGGTACAGAAACGTGATTCGACTTGGTCCAGGCTCTAAGGCGAACGGCACATATCATTAATCTCCAGTGCTTTGGGTTTCAGGCCTCCACATCGGGTGTTTAGAGCCGCGGGACACGGCAAACCTAAACTTGCGATCTCAAGCAACATTTTTTTCCTACCTTTTCAGCCGTAGAGCGAGCCTGTGGCGGTAGGGTGTAATTCTCAGTCAAGATTGACAATACTGACACCTCGGCGTCGGGCACGACAAACTCCAAGACGCCGATGTCGCACGGGGACGGAGCGCGGCGGACGAGTCTCGCATAATGCTCTGTGCGGGAAGGCCAGCTCTTCAGGCCCTTGATGGCGGCAAAGGGAGGAGAAAACTGAGACATAATCTCGGACCCGTTGTGCCGGCGGCGAGGCGCATAAGGTGCGCCTCGCCAACGTTTGCGGCATAGAGTCCAGCGCGAGGACTTCCAGGGTGTCCATTTTTCGCGCTGTGGAAGCGGCCTGAGACCGACAGGCGGCGCCGAGTCGAACGGGAGAAGACGTCCTGTGGGATCTCCGTGAAACCGTGTTTTACTTCCAGCGTACGCGGGAAGACGCGGGAGCAGAGCGCGACTTGCTGGAGCCAGACTGAGGCTAGGCTAGGCCCGTAGCCCATCTAGTAGCGATGAACAAGTCAGTGCAATCGGTGGCGCCGTTGCTTACGACAAGACACGGGATGGGTGACGTAGATGCGACAGGGACTTCAGGGCATCCGCAAGGCTGCTTGTGCCGAAGGAGATCGTCAGCCAGTGTAGTTATAGTGAAGCTGTAGTAGTTGCTTCTCGTCGAGAATTTGGACCAGCGCGAGTGATCGGCAGCCATGTCCTTGAACACATTAGTTGCACATTGAGCAGGAGAGGCAGGCGGAATAGTTGTACTACCTTTACTGATAGCACAGCCGGAGGTGAGGCCATGACAGAGTGAAGATAGTGTTCATGCATGGCTGTGGACGCGGAATGATGTGATAGGAACGCGTTATATGTCCATCACGCTAAGATATAATCAGATGTGTTGTCTCAATCTGCGCCACAGCCCGCAACAAGCGTTGTGAACTGCTACATCAGATTGGACGTAAGCCTGCTTGAGCACAACACTAGTAGGCACGGGCTTCTGTGCATGGCTGAACGGCAATTGGCCGATTGTGAGGCTGCAATATTGTATGCGCCGCGGAAACGTGTGGCGCGTTGAATATTAAGCGACACGTGGAATTCGCGACTGGTCTTCTTCCACGGCCTCGCTGCTTGCGAGTCGGGTTGCGACAGGCGAGATATTTCACGGCCGATGTAGAGTAGAATATGTTCGCAAGTAGCTGTGCGACCGCGCCTGATAACGGAAGCGAGGACGATAAGTTCGAAGACGGAGAACTGAGAGGAGAGAGGGGGCGCTCCATAATCTGAGTTCGCCGGGTCCTTGCATGGAACCGCTCGCTAACCGTACTAGAACCGTCGGCAAGTTATATGCCAGGGTGCATGTTCAACTGTTGTCGACAGGATTCTCAGGCGGAGCGAGGGCAGCCATTGGGCTGTAACATCCTCATGTTCGGCGCGAGTTGCTGAAGCATGGAGGCTGCCGCCTGCAACGTGTCCGTGCGCGCATTTTCTGGTATCCTGCGTATCATCTTCGGGCTTCGCGGGGCCAAAGAACTTGTTAGAAGCTGCACTTAGCTTTGAATCTGGTGCAGGGAACTTGAGATTTGGCCATACAGGAGGATGGGAAGTTTAACGTACGTTTGCGTACGTTGGATATCGTATCCGTATACAGTACTACGTTTCATAGACCTTCGCCTGGCTTGTATAGCTATATAGCATCACGCTGTTACTGCCTTTCGCTGCTCTTGGTCAGGTCTCGATTAGACTAAACGATGGACCTCACCTCGTTCTGACTATGTGCTGTACAGCCATGATATCAATTCAGGCACGCTTAGAAGGGATGCCTGCACGCTGGGCTGCGGATACGTGAGAAGATAAGGACTGGATCCGACGTCCGAGCTGTCAGGAATTACGGCGCTGTTCGCACAATCACCATGTCAGGATGGTATGCTATTTGTGAGCATGCGCACCCGCGATGAGAACATGCTCTGGTGAGATCTTGCCAGTACGCGGCATGTCCTCCGTGATCCCCGGGCCGCAGCCGTGTGAAAATGACATCTGGTTTGTTGTGCGAATCGTCGGAGGGTGGCTGTAAGTGTAGCGGAGATATGGCGACGGACGGTGTGATGCGTAGGGAAGACAACGTAAGTGTGCAGAGGCTGAGATCAAGCTCGCTCCACGTTGTGCTATAAACGGGTAAGAAAATGCCATATGAGGAAATTGCTGCCGGCGGGATTTGCCGAGAACCCGGTCAGGAGAAGTGGAGCGGAGACTAGCCGAGATCGGCAGAACAGATCACACCGCGCTGCTCCTGTCAAGCCCCTTGTTCGTGGCGGGGACTAGACAGCGGGGACCAGACATGCCGACGCGTCTCTACCAGCGACGGAGACCAACGAGCGTCGACGGGGGGCTGTGGCAGACAAGGCCAGGGCGATGAACGTTCTGGAAATTGGGAGGGGACAAGGAAAAAATAGATTGACGTCACGCGCGAACTGACCCCATTTCATTTTTACCCACAACGAGCATGCAGACGCTTCCCAGCATTCGCACCGAGCTCGAAACTTTATCTGCTCTGCCCTCGCGACGGGCGCACACCTCCCTCTTCTCCTCCGCCGTCGACTCTCGTTCCCGACCTCGACGACGATGGCCACCTCAGACTCGTCCACCACTGACCTCTCCCCCGCCGCAGATCAGCCGTCGTCCTCTCCGCTTCTACGGCCTCGCCCACGCTACCTTGATGCGCACCGCTACTCCGCCGAGTCAGACTCATCCTCCCCATCATCCTCGGATAGCGTATGGTCGCCACCGCAAACGAGTCTTTTCACGGCTGCACCACCAAAGCGCCTTCCCATAGACAGCTATGCTAGTGCAGGCTCTCTAGACTCTCCTTTCCTTGGCGCAGGTCGTCCACTCTCATTAGGTTACGAGGTGCGCAGGCCAAACTTTCTTTCTCGCGTCTGATGATCTAACCCTCCTCGTGGACAGTACACCCTTGCTCCTGACCCGTCAACATGGGGCTCGGGTGTGACAAAGGAGTTCAAGGAGGACGACGATGACATGTACGAACCAGGGCCTATTCGCCAGAATATTGAGCGCGACGGTCACGTATTCTCATGGCGTGGCCTCATTAACCTCGGAGCTCTCGCCCTTATTATTGCCGCTATCCTTACCCTCCTGTGAGTCCCCTTCCTTATCCAGTTGCACGTGCTGGCATTCTCTCTTCTTCATCTTAAACTCATTTGGGCAATAGGGCTGGATATCCCATAATCTACCACTTTACGAGAGGTGATCCATCAACACTCGGGGCGTTCAACCTTGGCGGCATCAACGCCTCTGGCCAGGTTCCGGACCTCCAGGGGCGCTTCTCGCCCATCGACCCAGACACCCCGCAAGATGCATATACCCGCACATCGCCCATTGACTCTTCACAGAAGTGGGAGCTTGTCTTCTCGGACGAGTTCAACGTGGATAACCGAACTTTCTACCCCGGAGACGATCCCTACTGGGAGGCCGTCGACCTCCATTACTGGGAGACGAACAACCTCGAGTGGTATGACCCAGCATCCGTGACGACCCAGGGCGGCAGCCTCATGATCACCCTCATGGAAAAGGAGACGCATAATCTCAATTATCAGGGCGCTATGATCACCAGCTGGAACAAATTTTGCTTCACCGGTGGATACGTCGAAGTCAAGGCTCAGCTCCCAGGAGTTAGTAACATCGAGGGTCTCTGGCCGGCAGTGTGGATGATGGGCAATCTCGGGCGCGCAGGGTATGGCGCGACGCTCGACGGCATGTGGCCATACACATATGACGCCTGCGACGTCGGCACCGTCGCGAATCAGTCCATCAATGGCAACCCTCCCGCGGCGCTGGTCAACGGCGATCCTGGCAAGGGAGGCGTCTTGTCATATCTGCCTGGCCAGAAGCTTTCGAGGTGTACTTGCGGGGGGGAGGACCACCCTGGGCCGAAGCACTCTGATAACACGTTTGTAGGAAGAGCTGCGCCGGAGATTGACGTTTTCGAGGCGCAGATAACCACCGGCGGCCCTGGGGCTTTCGCCGGGGTATTGACGGGACAAGTTTCTCAGAGTGCACAGTGGGCTGTAAGCGACTTCAAAGCTTATCATAATTCTGTCCTGATGAGAAGCCTCTCACAGCCATTTGATGCCGGGTACTGGTGGCAGAATACCTCTAGCAACGAAATCATTTACAATCCGGAAATAACGATCCAGAATCCCTTCGTAGGCAGCGCAACACAGGAAGCGACGTCGGTCGTAACGAATACCAATACGCAGTGCTACGAATATCCCGACCCAAATTTCGTGCCCGCGGCTGTTTCCGGTGCGCAGTTGCCCGCGCAAGTGCCTGGTGGACCTCCGGCGGGCGCGGGGTGCTTTGCCGTGTACGGCGTCGAGTACAAGCCTGGGTTCGATGACGCGTACATTTCCTGGATGGCGAATGAGCAGCTCGCGTGGACGTTGAACGTGGCCGGCATGGGCCCTAACTCAGAGACGCAAATCTCGCAACGGCCAGTCCCACAGGAGCCCATGGTACGTCCCCGCGCCAATTCTTATCTGCTGATGAATGCTGACGATACCCTGCGTGAAGTATCTGATTGCGAATCTGGGCATGTCCTACAACTTCGGGCCTATCGACCTTACGCACATACCCTTCCCGGTACACCTGCGCATCGACTACATCCGCGTGTATCAGCCCTCAAATGCGGTCAACATTGGGTGCGATCCGTCAGACTTCCCGACGGCGGACTACATCAACGAGCACATGGAGGCGTACACGAACCCGAACCTGACGACGTGGACAGGCGACTATGGACAGCCGTGGCCGAAGAACAGCTTCCTCAAACAGTGCTGAGCTTATATGCATGAACTTGCTTTTCGCTACTAGACGATTTCTCACTTCATGACACTTGTCCCGTCGCCAAGACCTCCCAACGCTCATTCCACTCACTCATGCAAAACACGCCTTTGTACGCTTTTTCTTCCTGTTTGTAACATCGACATGCTTTTGACGGACAGTTTCATTGCTCGAGGGTCAAAAATGATATTTGTATCGCTAATCTTTTGATTATTCCGCACTGCACGCACACATACACTATTTGGGACGGTTTTTGATTGTAGGTTGTACAAAGAACGTATCATATGTCTTAAGGAGTGCATCAAGCTGTAAGGTAGGCCTCCTGCAAAACAGGGAACGGAGAACGACCCGACTGAGGCTGCTCGTCGTACGCGTATCATCGGTCGAGTTCGAAGGGGCAAACTCCGAACTTGGTGTTCTCTCTTCAGCATTCTATCCTTGCAAGGGCGTTTTCACAATTCTACAAGAGGCTCCGTCGGCCTCCGATTTTTACTGTTTTGTTTGTGAATCGTCTGGGTAGGAGGAGTTTGCTTTCTGGCCTCGTTACGCTTGCACTCATATTTTGATGCCGGAAGGCGCTACATTATTTTGGCGGAGTGCCCAACAGCAACGCCTTAATTTACTTGTCCCCCTTGCCAGACCGACGTCGTGTGGACAAACGGCACCAATATGTTAACTATGATCATCCGCCAACCTCGCGTGGCGTTCGACTTGGTTCAGCCATTCGCTCCTTATAATCGTCCACCACCTCATAATTTCTAAATTCTACTATTATCATCCTCCACTACCTTGGGTACGACAGGAAGGGGGAAGAAAGGAGGGCACCTTGTGCATTTCTAGTGCCCAGTTTAGAACTACTAGGCTCTTTAGATCTGTAGACAAACGTTTAGCGTGGGTCCAAGTTGAAGAGAACGTTAAGTCTTGGGCTAACGGGTCGATGGTGGCAAGGCATGTCTTTGTCTAATAGCTCATATTTGAGCTTGATCTCACGCCCCACCTAGTCCGTCCAGTTCAGGCGACAAGCGATCAAGCCGTACGCATGCCATCTCCTTGAACGACGCGTCCCATACTCACGTGTATTGCACTGCCAGAGCGCTGATGACGTTGAGAGCGCGAAGCTCGTCTCCCCGGGGCGGATGGCAGTATCTCCCATGATTCCATTGGCAGAGGACATTGCTCCTGCGGATGTAGTTCTGGGAGACAGAACCACTCCTAACGCCGGTTCCAATTCCAATTCCCCTGTGACAGGATTGTCGAACAGCAAAGGTCCCAGCGGGACTTCCTCCCACCGTCTTTCGACCACCATACTTCCAGTAGAAAAGCTCAAACCCGCAGCGGGTACCAATGCAGGCGCCAGAGGTGTAGACGCCGCGGCCAACATGATAGACCGGGATGTACGCCCAAACCAGCGAAAGAAAGAATTACCTGAGATCCTTTCAGATGCGTCCTCAGTAGCTTCGGACGAGTGTGTAACCGCAGAAGACGAGCCTCTCGCGAACGGAATGGACGTAGACGAGCCTTCCAACGCGCCTCAAGGCACGACCACAGCCACCTCTTCTGTTCTCGGTCCCGGGGCCCTCGATGGTAGGATGAGCCCGAAGGGGTGCCTTCCAGCGGCCCCCTTTATTCCGCCTACTACTCCGACCGACATCCATCGTCGATACTATTCCTGGCATGTATCGGATCCTGGACTTGGTCAGCGAACAAGGTAGCGGCGGTTTAGGTAAGTGGCCTGATGAACGTGAATGGATGAGAGCTCAGTATGATGTGCAGTTGACAAAGTCATCATTGCTCAAGACCCATTCGGACGATTTGTCAATGACATCTGTCCTGGTGCATACCAATCAGTGACCCATGTCAACTTTAAGGCCCTCGACGATTTCTCCGTCAGACCCATAGGCATATACGACCCCAAATCCGAGATTGTACGCTACACCAAGGATTTGGGCTTAATCAGTCATGAGAAGTGCGTGAATCCATGTCCCTTTTGGCTTACTCGAGCTGTGCTCAACAACGTGTACAGCGCACAGACTCTTCTTTCCGGAAAGGACGACATGCCTGCGACCAGAGCGTTGCGCTCCGGGCTGTATGTCTTCCGCAATGTATCTCTCGGCCTCGTATGTGTCATTTTCTGGCCTCAGGACACGACCTGGGACGACGATGCGATTTCATCCGTGGCTCGTAACAGGGTCACGTTTATGCGGTTGGTCGCAGTCGCATCCGAATCTAGCGAGTTATCTGCTGACTCTGCGTCAGATACCTCACGAAGATTGCCGATCAAATCGTCGTTCTCGTACCAGATGATTTTTCCGATTCGATGATTCTCGCAGAGGAAGCTCCCGCTGAGCCAGTTGAAGACAGCGTTGATCGGCTATTCACGTTTGAGGTCATGAAGACGCGTGAGGAAGAGGAAAACGTTATCGCTACGGAAGGATTTAAGGTATTATTGCTCTGTTCATAAGGTCATTTTTGTTGACCAACGCTTTCTCGCATAGATAAACAATCTGCAGCTCGGACTTGAGCGTGCGCCAGACAATACTTCCATACCTACAGAACTCTTTCGTCCGCGGCTCATCCCTGGCGAGACATGCTTAGGCTTCATGTTGATCAGCTACCAGATGGCCAGGACCATGCAAAGCGCGAAGATCGAGGAGTACCCTCGCACTCGGCTGTCGGAGTTGATGTACGAAACTTTCCCCTACCACCCTCGTCTTTTGCTGACGTATAGCGCAGCAAGAAGAGGTCTTTCGTTCTGGCCAGTTCTTTGTCGGAAGATGCATTTGGGATTCTGGTTAAGTTTGGCTTGCCGGCTTTCGTGGAAGATGATTATCGACAGCTGGAAGAGCAACGAAAATCTTTGACGGCTGACCTCAACAAGGAAGAGTTGGAAGTGTTCGACAGGTTAGGAAGTACCCTTCGAGAGCAAAACCCATTACTCGTCGACACCCTCTTCACGGAAGCAGCTGCCGTGGTTGAAGGCACATTCGGGTAAAGCCACGCACCTATCAGTTCTCTTACGCCCAGCTGACGTTGCATCCCGGTATCTTCAGCGTAGATGATCTACGACCGGAACAATCTGCCACTATCGATCATACAAAGGGCATGTTGTGTCAATACTCAAATGATGACACATCTGGTGAACATCCGCATAGCCGCGGAATTGCTCGAGCACTTGAACGCCCTCCATCGCGATGTTGGGAAGTATCGTCGTACTTTGCTTTCTGATCACAGGCTCAAGACCATTGGAGTGAAGAGCTTCACCGCTCAAAAGGAGAAAATTATCAAGTTACAAACATCTGGAAATCAGGCAAATTCTGCTCTAGGCCATTCAGAGAAGGGTTCAGAAGAGAAGACTGCTTCCGGTTTATGGGTGATGAACGTGGCGACCAGGGCAGCGTCGAAAGCAATCTCGACGATCGTGCCAGGTCCCGTCTTCGGGCCTGCGCACCACAACAGTCATAGCCAACGGATGCCTGATGACATAGATTTTCTGTGTACACTCCCTGCTGTGACTAATGCGTCCCCCGAGGTGGCAGCCGAGGCACACGAGGCCATCGCCATCGCGCGTCGAAATTTCACGGACTACATCTGGACATCGGTCAATAAAGTGGCGCGGAGGATTGAAGACCTTCAGCGCGATGAGTGCGAGAAGCAACTACAGGTCCATCGTAAGCGCCCGATAGTGAATACCTGGGATGACTCTAGGAGGACATTCATTGCGAGAATTCAGAACAGCTTTGTCCGCGACCCTGACGAGTGAGTATCAGTGCACCACTTTGGCCGTGACTGCATTCTCACTGTTTCGGACTTAGTGTATTTGAGATAGAAGACGTCCAAAACATTAGTTCCTCATGGCCAACAGACGGTCTGTAGAGGAACTGCCGAAAAAATCATCCTCCGCTGATTGTACTTTAGGATCCTTCCGCCTGTCTGGTATTTCGCAATGGAAGAACGAGGCATCTCTCAAGCATGCTATTAGCCCGCTTTACCTAACTGAGACGGACGAACAAGCTATGCGGCTCGATAAGACTCATGTACCTACTCCGCGACTCCAGAACTCAGCCTACTCGTTCGATCTGACCCTCAACCATCGCATACTGTGCGTCTTTTTGTAGATCTCGCTCCGCAGCCACCGCTTAGTCAAACATACAGGTTCATCCAGCTATTACATGACTCGCGCTGCCTGCTAATAGCTAGGAATGAGGCTGGAGGCGACGTGTCCATATACCTCGAACGCCTCATCGATCTCGACAACGCCGTCAAGTTTTCGCGACGCAAGAAGGTGCTCAGTGCTGACAAGCTACACGGCGACCTCCTGTTCTCATTTGACGAGACGAAGCGAATGCTCGCTGTGTGCACTATCGGAAAGGTTCGTCGGAGCGTCCGAGAATTGATCTTATGATCACATCTAATGAACCCCTAGTTGCATGTACATGCGTTCGTCTTCGACGAGCATTACCGAAACTTACAAGGCCTCGGATCGACTATCGAGCTCTCCCCCTGGTACGACCAACACATAAAACTGGTACACATGATTTTCCGCTGTGGTGCAGACGAAGAGTTGCTGCTCGTGGACAACACAGGACGAGCTCGCATACTGTCACTTACTACTCAGCAATTCCGGTAAGCATGATCGATCACATTGTGTACAGTTGACCCGGGATTAAGATGATGCCTCTTAGTCCTGCATCTCTGCAGTTGCCGTCTTCTACTCGGAGTTTGAAATCTTCACCCGATGGCTCCTGCTTCTTTGCCCTGGAACCGCTTCGAAACAGGCTGTTACTGCGAGCATACCACTGGGCCAGCTTCGGTTCGTCACGAGGAATTAGCGCTGAGCTCCCGGCCATCCTTTTTGACTCCCTTGAGATCACCACGTTTGTGAGTCGCGCACACTGCCATGTAGTCACTTTCGACATTGCCTCGGCCAGCATGCACTCCAAAGCTCTACATATCTCGCACAAGAGCACAGAGTTCACCTTCCGTGCTGACGACAGAAACGCCCATCGCCATCATGGGCAGAAGACGATCGCCCGCAGTGCCATTATTGATTGCCACCGCGATGTCTGGACCCGATTTCCTGTTGTGCCAGCGGTCCGCAGGTGTACTTTCAAGTTTTCGCAACGAGCTCGCCGATCATTTGACATTCGTCTCGTATCTGCCATCACAGCTCCTCTCCACGTACTTCTCCGACATGATCATTTCGTTCGAGAGAGCCACACATAAACCGGTCGAAGACGAGCTGGCGAACATCGATGTGTCCGGGATGACATATTCTGTTTTCATGAAGCAGGGTGATCAGGTCGTCTCGCAGCTGAGGGCGAGCGAGTGGCTCGTCGATATTCTCTGTCTGATTCCCATTCACATTGCTATCGCCCATGACAACCGATTCGTGCCTCTGAAAGATGGGGTATGGTCTGCCGACTTCGAGCGTGACCTGCTCGGAGCGACGGTCGAGCGGGTTGTCGATAAGCTGACATTCGGCTGGTATGAGTCTATCTTCAAGTCGTATATGGCTGCTAAAGTACGTGGTTAATCTTTATCCTCCTAAGGCTTTTCCTTATCTCTTCACAGCCTGTGCGGGTCGTATCATCGATGGGTGCACCGATAAATCAATTTGAGAGCCATGAAGCATAGTAAAAGATATTTTACTAGGCGAACAATCTGTCGGCAAGAGCTTTGCTCTTAACCATCTCGTGGATACCTCGTTTGCTGGCTCTGCAATGAGGACGACCGAAGGAGTTTGGATGTCGGTAACTCCGACGGAAGAGTGTCTTATAGTTGCGTTGGACTTTGAAGGCTCGTTGTCATTTTCCTTCCGGTTCAATAATCTTGATTGGAGTTTCAGGTGTCCACAGTATCGAGCGTTCAGCGCAAGAGGACAGCCTTCTTGTGCTCTTTAACACTGCAATCTCGAATCTGGTCAGTAGAGTGCGATTCGTGCATTATCCAATAGCGGACTAACGCTGTACAGGTTCTCTTTCGCAATAATTTTGCTCTATCTCGAGACATTGCTGGTCTTTTCCAGTCCTTCCAGTCCTCTGCCAGAGTACTTGATCCCGCCGTAAATCCTTCGCTCTTCAAGTCTGAACTGGTCATCATCATTAAGGCATGTTCATCTTCCCTCTGCTAGCATATTTGAAGTATCTTAGCTGATATCACCTCAGGACGTCGTGGACTCCGACATGAGAGATATTAACAAAGAGCATGGACCGCTTATTCGCTCTAGTGGCCATATACTAATCACGGTCTCGTGTCATCAGGTTCAGCCTGAAGTTTCATCAGATTGTGGAAGCCGAGCAAGAGGGAAATTTCATCACTCGCCTGCATGGCGGTAAGCTATCCATCATTCCATGGCCAGTCATCGAGTCGCGTCAATTCTACACACTATTCACGGCGGTAAAGAACCTCCTAAACAAGCGGCCAGTATCCCACAGCAAAGCCGGAATTTTCTTGCAGACGATGAAGACGTTGATGGCAAAGCTGAAGGTGAACATTCAGACTACAATGGTCGTTCTGGGGGAAAGCTGATCGAGACTAATCCAAGGCCAATGACTGGGGAGCCCTTGATCGTGAGCTTGAGTTGAATTGAATTGAATATCACACTGAAGCCTGCGGCCAGAGAATCTCGCGACACACCGAGCATTGCATCTGCAGAACATTCTCCCTCTTGCGCTGCACACACTTTCTGCCCAGATTTATGAATGCATATATAGGACATCGACAATGGTGTATCGTTGGCGCTCCCACACGGCGTCACTGCGATATTCTACCTACCTGCTGCAGACTCCGAGGACACGGCAGCCCATGATCGATCCCTCGAGTCACTCCGCAGATCCTGGAACCAGTTCCAATCTCGTGACGGCACAGCCGATCGCTACTGGATTAATAGCCTCGATCAATATCTTGAGAACTGCGTCAAGGCCCGAATAGAAGATGTGCAATATTGGATCGACGTCAATATAACCCGCTTCAACTCAGATGCAACTACTTTCCAGGCATTGCGTCGGCAGTTTGAAGCGTTGGCTGTTGCGCTGAGGGCTAGTGCGCAGCTGTGCAAGCTCCAATGCACAGAGTGTCAGCTATACTGCGTGAATTCGCGGCATCACTCTGGCGGACACGATTGTGGTACTTCGCATCGCTACATGCGTGCGTGCGTTTTCCTCGATGAGCATACTAGCGGGACATCGGCCTGTGGTCTACCGTAAGCCATCGCGCTCTCTGCTGAGCTCGTATCTAACGCGTCGATTCTCGGCAGGGCCGGGCATGCCGGAGAGCATGTGTAAGACACCCCATCTGCCTCTTATGCAACAATGACACTTATTACTCTTCCGCAGCTGCGACATAACTCTTCATCTGTGTGGGCAGCCGTGTCGTCTGTCGGGGAAGGGGGGCTGTCTGGGGCGCTGCGCGAAGGTACGACAGTTGGAATGCTCTGAGCCTTGTTTTGACTTATCGCTCGAACAGATTGTCAACCACCCCGAAGACGAGCACCTATGCCCAGCGACTTCTCATGAATGCGGCATGGTATTGTATAATATCTGAAACGATTGCACTCGTGCTCATTCGTCTTCACTAGCCTTGTAGCCTGAGAAACATCCGGCGTCCTGATGGCTCCATCTACAACTGTCCGGAGACGTGTCATATCTCGAGGTGAGTCGCTCTCCCTGAGCGTGGGATTACGGTAGGCACTCAGGCTGATAGCTCAGCAGTGAGGAGCCACATACCGAACATGTATGCCAGCAGCAGTCTTGCCCATTGTTCTGCCAGCTGTGTCGGCGACTCTGCTCTGAACCGGACCATTTGCACGGTCTGGACGAGCATGCCCTCCATCTTTGCGGGTGAGTCATATCTCGTGGTCTTCACGCCTAAAACTGAGATATTATCATAGTCAGGAACATAACTGCATGGCGCTGTGCCAGTCTGATGGTATATGTCGTATCGAGACAACGCCTCAGTCGGTAGAAGCAACATTTACTGGACGACACGAGACGTTTCAGTATACGAAGGTAAGTTTGACACATCGCGCCTTCAGTTGCAAATTTGACGCATCGATGGGCCCAGTATATGCAAGGTGAGTTCCCGAGCGTACGCTGTGGCAAAGGAGACGAGCAACCTACTCCACAACCAGAGTCCAGACGTCTACAATGCGTCATCCCGATACTTTCCTGATCGCTACGGCATGAAGGTTCTCATAAGCACTCGCTCGACCCGAAAGCCTTCCATTTCTGCGAGACGAAGCGCGTCTCCCTTCTCTCACATCTGGAAAGTAAGCACACAGTAAGGATTTAGGTGCGAGAATTGTGGATATTTCTGCACGCTGCCCTTGGGTACGCCCAGCTATGCATACTAGTACATGTCCACCACCGTATACTGACACTACGATGAAGGTCATCCTCAGCTGGAGCATGAGACGAGTCACGGTTCAATGTCGAGGACGAACTGGGCTGTCGATGGTCCCGATGGATCGATCATTGAGGTGAATGGACGCAAGTTCGGCTCTAATGACAGCGGCGCACCGCTTCTGGTCAGTTAGTGATCACAGCTATCTCCACTTATCATTTGACACTCGAGTGGTGCAGTGTTCTATGATATGTCAACAGATGGGCAGACATGTTCACATTGATTATTGTCGTACTCCGGTGGGCCAGACATGTGGGGGGAAGGGGCTCCAGCACTGCACGGCTAGAGTGGCACCGGAACCGATGAGACCGAAGGATTTCGTGAGTCACAAGTTGTATTGGAGGCGCACCGGTTCGTCCATTGTCCAGCCTACCTGTCTTTAGTTATCGCTTACACCACCATCCTGTTTTGCCTCGATAGGTTTCAAAGGTGACTTCATGAGATGCACTCTGCGCAGATTTACCTCACCATATGCGAATGACTAGATCCTTACTCAAACGAAGATCGGGATGCATTCGCCAAGTGGTGTGTGTGGTGTATCATACTCGTAGTCGACAATTCTCTAACACAGAGTGCAGCGACGCCATTTGTATGGGTATGCGTACTATCAGCTCGCTGTAAAACATTGATGCTCAGTTCCACAAAGACAGGGAGCACCAGACCGAGGCGAACAGCTCCGCTCAGCCATCTTACTGCACTTTGCCCATTTTCCATGCGTCCCTTAACCCTGCAAGGACACCTCCAGGCGGTGTTGGGTATATCTCTGGTGATGGGCATCATTTCAGCTGCCATAACCCTGCTCTTCTTCAGCAAGCATTCTATGTGTGAATATCCAGTGTGCTGCGCCTATTACTGGAGTTTTCTAACTTGTGGCTTTTAGCATCTTCGTTATTGACAGGTGGGGACGCCTATATCTGCAACTACATGCATTCTGACGCCTTCTTCCAGGTCTTCATCCATGAGTGTCACAGACAGGGAGCCGTTGAAAGGTACTCCAGTGACCGCAAGGATCGCTGCACGCCATAACAACCGGCTCGGGGCTGTGTACTCATCTCTGTATGCCTTCTGGTCGACTCGGCATGCAGTAGCGAATGGCACCACGAGCCGCCGAGATGCTTACAGCGTCATTCTATTCAACAGTGGTCAGCGACAGATCCTCACGAATGACTTTTTACAAGTACACCAGAGCAGTTGCTCGACCTTGTTCTATCTTATGGAGCAGATACCGGTACCAATTACACAGTCGCTCTTCAGGCTACGCAGTCTGTGATGGAACACAACTGGAGTACTGAGAGGTACGCTCGGTCAAGCATCTGTCTTGAAGCTATTGGTACTTATCGCGGTCTTATCGTTCTTTCAGGACGCCAATTGTGATTTTCCTGTCGGATGGTGAATGTTCGGTGGAGGACAGTGCCACCAGGAACTTGTCGCGCCGAGCCATAGCTCTGGGGTATGTACTGAGTCTAGGTGGTCCAAGTTTACTCTCCGATACTAATTCCGTGCAGATAGGCACTATCCTTCCATGCAGTATCCTTCGGTCCGTACGATGTGGTGTTACGTAGGATGGCCGACATTGCATCAGAAGTTCAGAGGAACGCGCCTCCTGATCCCATACACTCTGCAGTACCGTCTTCATATGTCGAAGCGCTCGACACTGTACGTGGATTTACGCGCCCCCATGCTGCATCATTATTGACTAGTTTCATTGATGACAGGTCCGCCTGGCTGAGACCTTCTTCGGTATCGCAAACTCTTTAATCAGACCGCGCGGCGGGCTCATGCATAGATAATTGCTGAAGTGTTGATCCGCATTCCGTTGTATAATTGGTTTCGGAAGTTGCAAGCTTCGATTTCATCCTCTGTATTCGGTCTCTCATGACCACCATACAGATTGCGTATTCGCGAAAGTGGCAAGTATGATGATGTCAGCCACGAGATCGAGCGAACGTGATACTGTGGACCCCAGCACTTTGCTGATATTCCCGTCCTCTGACACCGATGGATGGCGCCCGTCCTCGTGGCGCCCAATGCGGTCGAGCCAGCTTGTTTGTTGTCCACTACTTTAACATGAGTGCCCCGTCACATCATCCGTCTGAGCTGAGTGCGCGATTCAAAGAAACTCATGCGGCACTGGCTCCTGACGACCTAGGTGGAGTCTTCCTCAAGATAAACACGTGCACGTAGGATCAGCCTAAGGTACGTATCAGATTCTCATGCCACAGACAGTCTTGTAGAATTCATTGCTATGAAGCGAACAGGATAGTAGAATAAAAATCTGGCTACATATCTCTTCTCCTACAAAGCTTCACATAGGTAACAATGCGGATCATGAGCCCCATACGATGCACACCATTTACGGGCTGTGGTACTTCGACGCGCCTAATGCACGACTGATGATCAGACCTTTCGGTATTCCGCAGGATTCTACGTATACAGTAGCATCGCTCAATGCAGAAGTACACTTTCGAGGCTCAGGTACTTCCAATCACTGAGTGTGACGGAGGAATGTACAGCATACCTGAGTTAGGTTCCGCTTTGAGCCCATCAACGTCAGGTCGTTGGTAGTCTCAAAGCTGCGCAGTCCTAAACCTCATGCTGATTCTGTTTTTATACGCCTAGATCCACGATGCTTCGTCGCTGCAAAGCGTTCCCCAATGTGGGAGCTGAAGAGAAAAGGAACTCGGTCTGGATTTTCAAATACGAGGTTACTCCGCAACGCGTCTTCTGCATTAGGATGATCTCCGGAAAGGGGTTGTGACTCAAACATCCTCAAATACCCCTACTTGCGAGCCCCTGATTCTTGGACTCTTAGCTCTTTCTCTCTCGACTCTCTATAAGCTCACCGACGTAACTTTCAAGACCAATATAAACAGAGGGCCTCCAAAGCATGACGAGTGGGTACTCTATAGAACAGGACGGGACCCACACTAATTCATCGCGGAAGCACGGAACGGCAGACGCAGTAAGAAGACTAAAACCAAGTCGACCAGATCGTCAAGTGTTGGGCTGGCGGGTAGGCAATGGCATCGTGGGTCCTTGTTAAACTTAACTGACATCCGAGCTTGTCCTTACGTTTCAAACAGTTCTCCCTGTTCAGACATCAAGTGGTCAAACAGTACGTGTACTGTTCATTTGAATGTCGTGCTCAGTGCTCAGCGTGTATCGCACGGCTAGGATATTGCTCATAAAACCGAGGACATGGTACCTATCTCATCGGAGGGGGAAGCAGTATCTCCCATGGTTTCATCAGTAGGGGGCGCCGCTCCTGCGGATGAGATTATGGAAGACAAGACTCCCTCTAATCCTAGTCCCAATCCTGGTTCGCTTGTGGCTGGGTCCCCCGACGATATGCGTCTTAGCGGAGTTTCCCCCAAGCACCAATCAGTCGCCACATCTCCAGTAGCACTTGGGCAAACAGCTGGTGCAGGTATGGATGCTGGCGCTAGCGACGTGAACACCGCAACCAACGTGATGGATCTGGATGTGCCTACAAATGAGCAAAATGGGGAACTACTAGCGATCGCTTCAGATGTTTCTCTGTCCACGGTGCCTACGGACAAGCGTATAGCTGATAAACCGATCACTTCGCTAGAGGAACCCCTCGCGGATAAAATGGACGTGGACAAGCCTTCTAACGTGTCTCAAGACACAGCCACTGCGTCTTCTGGTCCCAACCCCGACACCTTCGATAGTTCGATAAATACACAGGGCGGCACCCATAAGCCTCCTAATGCGCTCCCGGCTCTCGTTGATATCGTCGAGACTATCCCTGGCATGTATCGGATCTTGGACCTGGTTAGTGAACAGGGCAGCGGCGGCTTAGGTGGGCCATCTCATTCAGGGTGAATATCTGATATCTTAGTATGTTGCGTAGTCGACAAGGTCATTATCAGCCAGGCTTCTTTCGGACGATTCGTCGACGACATTTGTCCTGGTGCTTATCAATCAATGACCCGTGTCAACTTCGAGGCTCTCGACGACCTCTCGGTCAGGCCCTTGGGAATATATGGCAGCAAATCTGAGATTGTTCGCTACCTCAAAGATTTGGATTTGATCACCGACGTAACGTACGTGCACGCATTGTCCCTCGGTTGAGTTGATTTGTCCTCATCGACAAGCACAGTTCACAGGTTCTTCTCACTGGACAGGATGACATGCCTGCCACCAGAGCATTGCGCTCTGGCCTATACGTCCTTCTCAATGCGCACGCTGATGTCGTATACGCGATCTTTTGGCCTCAAGATACCACTTGGGACGACGATGCCATCTCCTCAGTAGCTCGCAACAGGGTCACGTTCATGCGGTAGGTTGTGGCCGCACTCACACTTTGCAGATCTTTTTTAATTCCGCGCCAGATACCTCACGAAGATCGCCGACCAAATCATCGCTCTTGTACCAGACGACTACTCTGATTCGATGGTTCTTGCGGAAGAGGCTCCTGCTGAGTCTTTTGACGTGGACGGTGTTGACAGACTCTTCACATTCGAGGTCAGGAAAACACGCGAAGAAGAAGAGAATGTGACTGCTACGGAAGGTTTCAAGGTATTATCTTCGTTGTGTCCACATGGAATCGCGTTTCCATTCATCGGCGTTTCTCGTGTAGATATCTAATTCGCAGCTCGGGCTTGGACACATATCAGAAAACACTTCTGTACCTACAGGACTCTTGCATCCACGGCTCGTCTATGGCGAGACGTGCCTAGGCATCATGTCGATCAGCTACCAGAAGCCCATCACCATGGAAAGGTGGAAGACTGAGGAGTTTTCTCGCACACGGCTGTTGGAGTTTATGTATGCGGTATTTCCCCCCGCCGTTCTCTTCTGCTGATGTTGTGCGCAGCAAAAAGGAATCTTTCGTACTGTCAAGGTCTTTGTCGGAAGACGCATTCAAAGCTCTTGTTGAAATGGGCTTGGCGGCCTTCGCTCAAGATGAATACCAACAGCTAGACGAGCGACGAAACTCGTTGACAGCTGATCTTGCCAAGCGGGAGAAGGAAGTCTCCGACAAGCTAGAAAGCACCCTTCTGGATCAAAACCTGCTACTCGTCGACGCGCTTTTCATGGAGGCAGCTGCTGTAGTTACAGGCACGTTCAGGTAGCACGATATCCCTACCAACTTCAGTTCCTGGCTGATGGCGCGTCCCCAGTATCTTCAGCATAGACGAACTACGACCGGAACAGTCCACCACAGTTGACCATGTGGAAGGTATGTCGTGTCGATCCTTTACATGTATGATGCAGTTGGTGAATGCCATTATAGCTACAAAGCTACTCGAGCACTTGAGCGCCCTCTACCCCCCTATCCGGAAGCTCCGTAGTGAGATGCTTTCTGATCAAAAGCTCAAGACCATTGGAGTGAAGGGATTTGCCAGTCGAAAGGAGAAGCTCATCAAGTCGCAAACGTTCGAAGTTCAAGGAAGCTCGTCTCCAGCTCAATCTGAGAAGGACCCTGAAGAGATAACTGAAGAGAAACCCGAGTGGAAACCTTCCTGGGCAAGTGTGGTAGCTGGGACAGTGTCGAAAACCATTTCGGCGTTCGTGCCGGGGCCTGTCTTCCGGCCCGCCTACCAGGCTGGTCGTGGCCAAAAGATGCCCAGCAACGTAGATTTTTTGCGCATGCTTCCTGACATAATCAGTACTTCCCCCGAGCTGGCGGCAGAGGCGCAAGAGGCCATCGCTATCGGGCGTCAACACTTCACTAGCCACATCTCGACGTCGGTCAATAAAGTGGCAAAAAAGATCGAAGATCTCCAGCGCACTGAGTTGAAGAATCAACAACAAGCACACTGCAAGCACGCTATATCAGCTACCCGGGACGACTCTAGGAAGGTATTTATTGAGAGCATTCAGACCAAATTCTTCCGCGACCCCGACAAGTGAGATTAATTTTTCGCTCGAGACATAATGTCTTCTCACTTCGACCCAGTGTATTTGTGTTGAATGATGTCCGAGATACCAGCGCAGTATGGTCGGCGGCCGGTCTGTGCAGTGAACGCTTCGGAACTTCATCTTCGCTGACTGCGCTTTAGGATCCTTCCGCTTAACTGGTACCGCGCAATGGAAGAACGAGGCATCTCTCAAGCACGCTATCAGCCTGCTCCACTTGACCGAGACGGACAAGCATGCCATGCAGCTCGATAAGACTCACGTGCCTACCCCGCGACTCCAAACTTCGACCTGTTCGTTCAACCTGACCTTCGCCCATCGGATACTGTGCGTCTTTCCATGACCTTTGCGTGACTACCGCTCAGTCACGCACGCAGGCTCATTCAGCTATTGCATGACTCGCGCTGTTTACTGATAATCAGGGACGAAATTCGGGGCGACGTGTCCATATACTTCGAGAAGCTTGTCGATCTCGACAATGCCGTTAAGTATATGCGGCCCAAGAAGACATTCAGCGCCTCTAAGCTACACGGCGAACTCCTGTTCTCATTTGACGAGACGAAGCGAACGCTCGCTGTATGCGTTGTTGCAAAGGTGCGCCGAGGCATCTGATAGCTGACCTTTTGACTACATCTGATGATCTTTTAGTTGCATGTACATGCGTTCGTCTTCGACGAGCATTACCGAAACTTACAAGGCCTCGGATCGACTATCGAGCTCTCCCCCTGGTACGACCAACACATAAAACTGGTACACATGATTTTCCGCTGTGGTGCAGACGAAGAGTTGCTGCTCGTGGACAACACAGGACGAGCTCGCATACTGTCACTTACTACTCAGCAATTCCGGTAAGCATGATCGATCACATTGTGTACAGTTGACCCGGGATTAAGATGATGCCTCTTAGTCCTGCATCTCTGCAGTTGCCGTCTTCTACTCGGAGTTTGAAATCTTCACCCGATGGCTCCTGCTTCTTCGTTGTGGAACCGCTTCTAGACAGGATGAATCTGCAGGCGTACCATTGGGCGAGTTTTGGCTCATCACAAGGATTCAATGTTGAGCTCCCGGCCATCCCTATCGATTCTCTTCAGGTCACCACCTTTGCGAACCGCACGCGCTGTCACGTGACCATCCTTTCCATCGCCTCGGCCACCGTGCGTTCCATAGCACTGCATATCTCGCACAAGAGCACCGAGTTCACGTTCCGCGCTGACGATCGAAATATCCACGGGCACCAGGAACATAAGGCAACTGCCCACAATGCTATCATCGACTGCCACCGCGACGTCTGGACTCGGTTCCCCGTTGTGCCAGCGGTCCGCAGGCACACTTACAAGTCTTCAAAACGTGCTCCTCGCTCGCTGACATTCGTTTCGTATCTGCCGTCTCAGCTTTTCTCCACGTACTTTTCCGATATGATTGGTTCGTTCGAGAGAGCCACACACAAGCCCGTCGAAGACGAGTTGGCTAGCGTTACAGTGTCCGGAATAAGCTTCCCTGCGTTCATGAAGCAGAGTGCTCTGTCACTCTCGCAGCTGAGAGCGGGCGAGTGGCTCGTCGATATCCTCTGTCTGATCCCTATCCATATCGCCGTCGCCCGTGACAACAGATTCGTCCCTCTGAAAGACGGCGTGTGGTCGCCTGACTTCGAGCGTGCCCTGCTCGGAGCGACGGTCGAGCAGGTTGTCGATAAGCTGTCTTTCGGCTGGTATGAGTCGATTTTCCAGTCGTACATGGCTTCCAAGGCACGTAGCTAGCCTATGTCTCCGTGATGCTTGTCCTGATTGCTGCACAGCCTGTACGTGTTGTGTCCTCGATGGGTACGCTGACGTGTCAAATTGGCAGCCCTGAAATATGCTGACAGACTTCTCACCAGGCGAACAATCCGTTGGCAAAAGCTTCGCTCTGAACCACCTTGCGGACACTTCGTTTGCTGGCTCTGCAATGAGGACGACCGAAGGAGTTTGGATGTCGGTAACTCCAACGGAACAGTGTCTGATAGTTGCGTTAGACTTTGAAGGCGCGTTGTTATTCTTCCTTCCAGTTCGATGATTTTCATTAGGGCTACAGGCGTCCACAGTATCGAACGTTCGGCGCAGGAGGACAGCCTTCTTGTGCTCTTTAATACTGCAATCTCAAATCTCGTTAGTAGAGTGGGTCTTCCATCTTGCTTGAGAACATGCTAATGCTGCCACGTACAGGTCCTCTTCCGCAACAATTTTGCCTTGTCTCGAGATATCGCCGGTCTCTTTCAGTCTTTCCAATCCTCTGCCATGGTACTCGATCCTGCCGCCAATCCGTCACTCTTCAAGTCTGAATTGGTCATCATCATCAAGGTATGTGTGCCTTTCTTCTACTAACGTGTTTCAGATGTCTTAGTCTATATCACTTCAGGACGTTGTTGACTCCGACATGAGAGATATAAACAAAGAGTACGGACCGCTTATTCGTTGTCGTATTCTAGTAGCAGTATTCTAACCGAAAATTCATGCCATCAGATTCAGCCTGAAATTCCATCAGATTGTGGAAGCCGAGCAGGAGGACAACTTCATCACACGCCTGCATGGCGGTAAGCTGTCTATTATCCCATGGCCAGTTATCGAATCGCGTCAATTCTATACGCTATTCACGGCGGTAAAGAACCTTTTGGACGAGCGGCCGACATCCCATAGCAAAGCTGGGATTTTCTTGCAGACGATGAAGACCCTGATGGCAAAGCTGAAGGTAAATGCGCAGACTACGATCATCGCTTTGTAAAGACACTAACGTGAAAAAAAACCAAGACTAATGACTGGGGGGCCCTTGACCGTAAGCCTTATTCGAGTTGTATCTTATCTCAATGCTAAATTATCTGGCCAGAAAATCTTGTGACGCATAGAGCATTGCATCTGCAGACCATTCTCCCTCTTGCAATGCAGTTCGGGGCTAGCGAAGTGGAGCCGGACCATGAACCACTCAAAGTGGGTCCATCCCTGCACATCTTATCTACCTAGACTGATGAATAAACATACAGGACATCGACAACGGCGTGTCGCTAGCGCTTCCGCATGGTATCTCCGCGAAATTCTATCTACCCATCGCAGGCAGATCTGGGGACACAGAAATCGGAGAACGATGTCTCGAGTCACTCCGCAAATCGTGGGACCGGTTCCAGTCTCGCGACGGCACAGCTGACCGCGGCTGGACCGACGGCCTCGATCAGTATCTCGAAGGTTGTGTCAAGACCCGGATAGAAGACGTGCAGTACTGGCTCGACGTCAACACAACCCGCTTCAGCTCAGATGCAACTACATTCCAAGCATTGCGGCGGCAGTTCGAAACGTTAGCTGTTGCGTTGAGGGCCGGCGTCCAGCTATGCAAGCTTCAGTGCGCGGAGTGTCAGCTATACTGCATAAAGTCGCGCCACCACGCTAGTGGACACGACTGTGGCACCTCGCATCGCTGCATGCATATATGTGCTTTCCCCGATGAACATGCTGGCGAAAACTCAGCTTGCGGATTGCCGTAAGTCATTGTGCCTTCCGCTGAGCTACGACTGACGTGTCAATACTTGACAGAGCTGGGCATTCCGGACAGCACATGTAAGGCATCGTGGTTATTATTACGTAACAACAATATCTATAACTATCCCACAGATGCGACATTACTCTTCACTTGTGCGGGCAGCCGTGTCGTCTGTCGGGAAAGGGGGGCTGCCTGGGACGCTGCGCGAAGGTACGACAGTTGGAATCTTCTGGACCATGTTTCGACTTATCGCTCGAACAGATTGTCAACCACCCCGAAGACGAGCACCTATGCCCAGCGACTTCTCACGAATGCGACATGGTGTTGTATAATATCTGAAACGGTTGCACTCGTGCTCATTCGTCTTCACTAGCCTTGTAGCCTGAGAAACATCCGGCGTCCTGATGGCTCCATCTACAACTGCGCGGAGACGTGTCATATCTCGAGGTGAACCGCTCGCCCTGAGCACGAACTTACTGTAGATACTGACGGCTGAGCAGCGAGGAACCACATACCGAACATGTGTGCCAGCAGCAGTCTTGCCCTTTGTTCTGCAAACTGTGTCGGCGACTCTGCTCTGAATCGGACCATTTGCATGGTCTGGACGATCATGCCCTTCATCTTTGTGGGTGAGTCACATTTCGCTGTCTTCACGTTCACAACTGAATATTATCGTAGTCAGGAACATAACTGCACGGCGCTGTGCCAGTCTGCCGGAATATGTCGTATCGAGACAGCGCCTCAGTCAGTGGAGGCAACTTTCACCGGACGACATGAGACGTTCCAATACACGAAGGTAAGGCTTGTGTTCCGCGTCTTCTCCTTCAGAACTGACATGCCAATCAATGGACTTAGTATATGCAAGGTAAGTTCTCGATTGTACACCGTGGCAAAGGAGACGATCAAACCGCTTTACACCCAGAATCTAGACGTTTGCAATGCATTGTCCTGATACCTCCCGGGTCGCAGCAGCACGAAGGCCCTCACAAGCACTCGCTTGACCCGAAGGCCTTTCATTTCTGCGAGACACGGTGCGTTCTTCCTCTGCACACCTGAATGGTAGACTCACGAGTATTTAGGTGCGAAAATTGTGGATATTTCTGCACGTTGCCCTTGGGTACGTCCAGCCGTGCAAAAAATTCTGCTACCGCATACTAACTTTGTGATGAAGGCCATCCTCAGCAGGAGCATGAGACAAGTCACGGGTCGATGTCGAGAACAAACTGGGCCGTCGATGGTCCCGATGGATCGATCATTGAGGTGAATGGGCGCAAGTTTGGTTCTGATGACAGCGGCGCGCCGCTCCTGGTCAGTCGATACTTGTAGTTTCCCCGGACCCAACAATTGACGCAAGTGGTGCAGTGCTCTATGATATGTCAACAGATGGGCAGACACGTTCACATCGATTATTGTCGCACTCTAGCAAATCAAGCGTGTGGGGGCAACGGACTTCAACACTGCCCAGCTAGGATGGTACCGGAACCGACAAGATTGAAGGACTTCGTCAGTCACGAGCTATTTTGGAGGCGCACCGGTTCGTCTGTCGTTTAAACTACCTGTCTTCGTCGCTTACATCCTTATTCTGTTTTACTTCGACAGGGTTTAAAGGTAATTTCACGGGATGTACTCTGTGAGGTTTTGCCTTACCGTATGCGAATGACCAGATCCATACCCACACGAAGATCGCGATATGTTTGCAAAGTGGTGCGTGTGGTGCGTTCTATTCTCAAACGGCAACTCTCTGACACTCAGATTGCAGCGACGCCATGTGCACAGGTATGTTTACTATCAGCTTGCTGCGAAACGTTCATGCTTAGTCCCGCGAAGGTAGAGAACACCAGGCCGATGCGAACAACCCTGCTCAACCATCCTACTGCACTCTGCCTATATTCCACGCGCCACTTAATCTTGCGACCGCACCTCCAGGCGGTATTGGATATGTCTCCGGCGATGGGCATCACTTCGGCTGTCGTAACCCTGTCCTTCTTCAGCAAGCTTTCCATGTGTGAGTATTTGGCATGCAACCTTTGCCGTTGAGGTCCTCTAACCTGGTGCCTTAGTATTTTCGTTATTGACAGGTAAGAAGTCTCGAATATCGCTCTCAAGCACGTTTTGACGCGTTCGGCCAGATCTGGATCTATGGCATGCGCAGATAGAAGGCCACTAAATGACACGCCAATGACTGCGAGGATTGCCGCACACCACAGCAACCGAATTGGTGCCGTGTATTCGTCCCTGCATGCTTTCTGGTCCGCTCGGCACGCAGTCGCAAACGGCATCACGAGTCGCCGAGATGCATATAGCGTGATTCTGTTCAACCAACATCAGCTACAGATCGCTACGAACGACTTCACAAGCTCGCCAGAACGGCTGCTCGACCTTGTCTTACCTCACGGCGCGGGCGGAGGCACCAACTATACGCCTGCTCTTCAGGTCGCGCAGTCTGTGATGGAGAGCAACTGGAGTACTGAAAGGTGCGCATCGACCAGAGCCCTGGCTTTGGAAGACTAACACTATGACATCTCCCCGCCCGAAGGACACCGGTTGTTGTCTTTTTGTCAGACGGCGAATGTACTGTGGACGACAGTGTCACGAGGAACTTATCGCGCCGGGCCATAACTCTCGGGTATGGACAGGGCTTAAACAATCTTGGTTCAATCACTGATTCGGATATATGTGCAGGAGGGCGCTGTCTTTCCATGCAGTGTCTTTCGGTCCACACAACGCCGTGCTGCGCAGGATGGCTGACATCGCGTCTGAAGTCCAGAGGAGCGCACATCCTGATCCCATGCATCCTCCAATACCGTCTTCATATGTCGAGGCCTTGGACTCTGTAAGTGGTATCAAGCGTCTTCGCAATGCACTCCTGCTGACGAGCTCTCTTGATGGTAGGTCCGTCTGGCTGAAACTTTCATAGGCATCGCAAACTCCTTGACCAAGCCGCGTGGCGGGCTCATGCATAGATGATTAATGATTGCTGAGTGCTGTCAGCGTATCCCATTGTACAAATAGCTTAAGATACATGCTTCTGTTCACCTCTACTCTTCCATGATCACCACGCAGACCAACTAAGTACTCACAGAACTGGTGTCACCACGATAACCCAGCGTGCGTTTAACGCTATTAACAGGGCCAATAGGCGTCTAGAACGTTCGTGTGACCTCTGACACTAGCCGATGCCCCTCTGATACCGGTAGATAGCGTCTAGCTTCGTGGCGCCCGACGCGTTCGAACTTGCTCCTCGCCCACCATTTTATCTAACGTCTTCCGTCATGTTATCCATCCGAGTTCAATGCGTCGCCTATATAAAGAGACTCATGCAGCACTAACGTCTGATACTTGTCTGAAGCAGAGACTTCCCCACGGAGGTGAACGTGTAGGATCTCGAAGAATTGACCCGTGGTACGTACTATTAAACTCTCATGCAGACAGCCTTCCGGTGTTCACCGTTTCCAAGTGAACGACGTGATAAAAAAATGATATGCCTGCGTGCCTGCCTTCCTATAAGACTTCAATACGGATAACCATACAGGTCATGAGTCCATTATCACGTATGCCACTGCCGCGCCGTGGTACTATGACGCGCTTCACACACGTCGGACGGCCCTCCGATACAGAGATCTCCGCAAACACTTGTACATGCAGCAGCATTGCTCAGTGCTGAGTACAACCTCCGAAGTCCAGGTACTTCCAGCTGCCACTCTTATCGTTGAGTGTGACGGAGGAATGCACATCATATTTGAGCAAGGTTTCGCTTTGAGCCTATCAACGTCAAGGTCGTTGGTAGTCCCAAAGTTGCGCAGCTAGGATGTGCAGTCCTAAACTACATGCTGATTTGGCGATAGCGTGTTTGTACCCTACAACGTGCTGCTGTGGTCAAGCGTGTTGCATCGATTCCCGACGTGTTGAGCTTTGCGACTTCATAGAGAAGTCCTAGGGAAGTCATATTTCCAAAAAGGGCCACGATTCATTGTCGTGCCCCTGCATGATATCTGGAAACCAAGTACGACGTAACGCCGCTGCATGTCTTTTCAGCGGCGCGACTTCTAATAAGAGCTTCCAGTATTGATCGCAGCCTGAACAGAAGTCCCCCTGAACTTATCGGTTGACGTGGTATGCACGTTTCAACCTAATACCTGTGTCAGCTAATTATATATATAAATACCCGTGCTTGCGTACTCGTACTTCCTAGGTCCTCGCGCTCCCTCTTTCTCGACTCTCCAGAGCTTCACACTCTCAAATACATATTCCTGACGCAAACATCATCGTACACTTTTCCGGTCATGTCAAGTGAGTACCTTCCAATTTGGCAAGGCGCGTACTAACGTCGATGATAACGCAGATGCGGAAGGACGAAGCGGCAAGAATAACAGGAAGCCCACTGCCGGATCGATGCCTGGATTTACAGGTCGGCGGTGGTTCGGTGCGTCTGTTGGGCTGCCGATCCAAGAGCTCGTTCTGACCTGTTGCCCAGCTCCCACAGTCCAGACATCTCGCGTTCAAGCAGTACGTGTTCTATTTCCTCCAGTGACGCGCTCAATATTTACTGTTCATTGTGCGACCAGGACACCACGGACCACAGCGATGAACGGGGGCCTGCCACCCAGGAATGGGTGACTGTATCTCCCACGGCTTCATCGCGAGAGGGATCTATTTGTGTGGATGAAGATATGGAAGCCGAAATTCCCAATACTAGACCCTTCCCTGACTCGCCTGTGGCGGGATCCCTTAATCGCAAGGATCCCAGCGAAGAGTCCTCTGCCCGCCAATCGTTCAATACACCTCCAACAAACAAAACAAACGCCAGTAGGTCCACTATTGGCGCAAAGGTCGGTATCAACGGCGCCACCGCGGCGACCAGCACCAAGATTGCGGACGTGCCCGCAGGTGAGCAAAAGGAAGACTTGCCTCTCGCAAACAAGACGAGTACTGGAAGGAGCGTACCGAGTCGCCGTCCTCGACCTCCCTACGTCGCCTCCAAGGCACCCAACGACATCGTCGATACTATCCCTGGCATGTATCGGATCCTAGACTTAGTCAACGAACAAGGTAGCGGCGGTTTAGGTGAGTAGCCTGGTCAATGTGAGTGAATGAGAGCTCAATATGGCATGCAGTCGACAAGGTTATTATCAGTCAAGACTCGTTTGGACGCTTCGCCAATGACATTAGTCCGGGGGCGTACCAGTCTATGACTCATATCAACTTCAAGGCCCTCGACGACCTTTCCGTCAGACCTATAGGCATATATGGTCCCAAATCCGAGATTTTACGCTACATCAAGGATCTGGGTTTGATTAGTCGCGAGACGTGCGTACATCTTTGTCCTTGGCTCACTCGAGTTGCCCTTAACAACATGTACAGCGCACAGATACTTCTTTCTGGAAAGGACGACATGCCTGCAACCAGAGCGTTACGCTCTGGGTTGTACCTCCTCCGCGACGTTCCTCGCGATCTCGTATATGTCATCTTCTGGCCTCAGGACGCAACCTGGAACGATGACGCGATCTCTTCTGTAATTCGTAACAGGATCACGTTCATGCGGTGGGTTGCGGCTCTGTCCGGCTAGCTTGTCATTGACTCTGTCCCAGGTACCTCACGAAGATTGCTGATCAAATCGTCGCCCTTGTGCCAGATGATTATTCTGACTCTATGGTTCTGGCCGAGGAAGCACCCGCAGAGGAAGCTCTTGACCTCGACGACGACGACGATAGGCTCTTTACATTCCAGGTGAAGAAGACTCGCGAAGAGGAGGAGAACGTGATCGCCACAGAGGGTTTCCAGGTATGGTCGCCATGCCCATGAGGCTGTGTCTCCACTGAACGACGTTTGCCTGTGTAGATATCTAACTTGCGGCTCGCATCTCAGCATGCACCAGACGACCCTTCAGTGCCTGCAGAACTGTTATGTCCACGGATCGTCCCTGGAGATTCCTGCCTCGGAGTTATGTCGGTCAGCTACGAGAAGGCCAAGACCATGACCAACGCGAAAAATGAAGATTTCCCTCGCACCCGACTGTTGGATTTTATGTATGAAGCTTTTGCCCACTGCTATTTTCTTCTACTGACGGGAATGGCAGCAAAAAGGGGTCATTCGTTTTATCCGGCTCTTTGTCAGAAGATGCGTTCAGCATTCTTGTCAGGCTTGGCTTGCCAGATTTTGCGGAAGACGACTATCGACAGCTGAAGGAGCACAGGGAATCTCTGACAGCCGAGCTCAATAACAACGAGTCGAAAGTTGTTGGTGGGTTGGAAAGAGCCCTTGCAGATCAGAATTCCCTGCTCGTCGACGCCCTCCACACGGAGACAGCTGATGCAGTCGCGAGAACATTCGGGTGAGGCGATACTCTTGACAATGCTCCTATTCTTTGTTGACGTTGCGCCGCCAGCGTCTTCCGCCTGGACGACTTGCGAACGGAACAGTCTGCTGCTGTTGATCATGCGAAAGGTATGCATTGCCTACCACTCAAAGTAGTGCTCTAGTGAACGTCCATATAGCTGTGGAGTTACTTGAGCACTTGAGCGCCCTCCATCCCGACATCCAGAGGTATCGTCGCGACATGTTGTCTGACTACAAGCTCAAGAGCATTCAGTCGAGAGGCTTCTCCGCTCAAAAAGAGAGGCTCATCAAGTCGCAGTCAGCGGGGTCTCAGCGCAGCTCGGCATCGGACCAGGCAGAGAGAGACCCCCAAGACAGATCTTCCGATACATGGGCGAGTAGGGCTAAGAGTTTCTTCGTACCCGGCCTGAGGTCGCCCAGCGACGCAGATTTTCTGCGCATGCTCCCTGGTATGATGAGCTCTCCGGAGCTGGCGGCGGAGGCACAAGAGGCCTTCAACATCGCACGTCAGTATTTCACCAGCAACATTTCATCGATAGTCAACAGAGTGGCGCGGAAGATCGAGGAACTGCAACGCGACGAATGCAGGAGGCAGCTGCAAGCTCACCGCAAGAACACCTTCGCAGTAACCTTGGACGACTCCAGGAAGGAATTCATAGTAAACACTCAGGACAGTTTCGTCCGCGACCCTGACAGGTGCGGGTTATTATTCGCATGAGGCGTAGCGTTTTCTCATATTTTGGACCTAGGGTTTTTGTTGTAGAAAACGTCCGCAGCACTAATACTCATTCACATTGGTCGTCCATTGGTATGTAGAGTAGTTACTGAAGTGCCGCGTCTTCCTGACAGCGCATCAGAGTCTTATCGCCTCTTCGGCGTCGAGCAGTGGAAGAACGAGGCGTCTCTCAAGCATGCCATTGACTTGCTCCAACTAACCGAGACGGACAAACAAGCTATACAGCTCGACAAGACCCACGTGCCCACTCCACGACTCCCGAACTCGGCCTATTCGTTCAACTTGACTCTCAGCCATCGCATACTGTGCGTCTTCCCATGATCTTTCTTGCGTAGCCATCACTCAGTCGTACATACAGATTTATTCAGCTATTACGTGACTCGCGCTGTTTGCTGATAACCAGAAACGAAGTCCGGGGCGACGTGTCCATATACCTCGAACGACTCATCGATCTTGACAATGCCGTCAAGGCTAGGCGGTCCAAGAAGACGCTTAGTGCTGACAAGCTACATGGCAACCTCTTGTTCTCATTCGACGAGACGAAGCGGATTCTTGCTGTTTGCACAACCGAAAAAGTTCGTCGAGGTACTCGATAAACAATTCTGCGATGATATCTAACGAACGTCTAGTTTCACATACATCCATTTGTCTTCGATGAGCATTACCGAAGCTTGCAAGGCCTCGGGTCAACGATCGACTTTGTGAATTGGTACGAACCGCACACCGTATTAACGCACATGGTTTTTCGCTGCGCAGATGAAGAGCTGCTGCTTGTGGATAGCACGGGTCGAGCCCGTATACTATCTCTTACCACTCAGCAGTTTCGGTGAGCACAACAATCTTCTTTAACCCGACGCAACCTCAAACTGAGATGACGTTTCCCTAGTCCGGCATCTCTGCAGATGGCATGTTCTCCTCGGGATGTGAAATCTTCTCCCGACGGTTCCTGCTTCTTTTCCGTAGAAGCGCTTCCGAACAGGATGAACCTACAGGCATACCACTGGGCGAGCTTTGGCTCAACGCAGGGAATTAGCATCGAGCTTCCGGCTGTCGCTATCGACTCTCTCGAGGTCACTTCGTTTGTGGACTGCACGCACTGCCATGTAGTCATCCTCGACATCGCCTCGGCCAGTATGCACTCCAAAGCCCTGCATATCTCGCACAAGAGCACCGAACTCAGCTTCCGCGCTGACGACCGGAATTCCCGTCGACACCATGGACAAAAGGCGACTGCTCATAATGCCATTATTGATTGCTACCGCGACGTTTGGACCCGGTTTCCAGTTGTGCCAGCGGTCCGCAGGCATACTTTCAAGTCTTCGCAACGAGCTCGCCGATCGTTGACATTCGTCTCGCCTCTGCCATCATATCTCTTCTCCACGTACTTCTCCGATATGATCAGCTCCTTCGAGCGTGTCACACGCAAACCAGTGGAAAACGAGCTGTCGAGCATCGCAGTATCCGGAGTGAAGTATCCCGCGTTCATGAAGCAGGGTACTCAGGCGGTTTCACAGTTAAGGGTGGGCGAATGGCTCGTCGACATCCTCTGCTTGATTCCCATCCACATCGCGGTCGCCCGTGACAACCGATTCGTCCCTCTGAAGGACGGCGTATGGTCGCCCGACTTCGAGCGTGCCCTGCTCGGAGCGACGGTCGAGCAGGTTGTCGACAAGCTGTCTTTCGGCTGGTATGAGTCCATCTTCCAGTCGTACATGGCTACGAAGGTACGTCATGAGGAGTTTGTATCCTAGCAAGGCCGATCCTGATTATTTACAGCCTGTACGTGTTGTATCGTCGATGGGTATGCCGACAGTTTGCTTACAAAGTCTTGCATTCGCTAATAAAACCCCTGATAGGCGAGCAGTCTGTCGGGAAAAGCTTCGCTCTGAACCATCTTGCGGATACGTCGTTTGCTGGCTCTGCAATGAGAACGACCGAAGGAGTCTGGATGTCTGTAACTCCGACAGATGAATGTCTCATAGTTGCGTTAGACTTCGAAGGTTTGTCGTCAACCACTCTCCTAGTTGGGCTGTCATGACATGGGCAGCAGGCGTTCACAGTATCGAACGTTCGGCGCAGGAGGATAGCCTTCTTGTACTCTTCAACACTGCAATTTCGAACCTTGTCAGTAGTGAAATGCCCTTTACGTCAAACCTGGTAACGGACTAATGCTGTACAGGTCCTCTTCCGCAACAATTTTGCATTGTCCCGAGACATCGCTGGTTTATTCCAGTCTTTTCAATCCTCTGCCTCGGTGCTTGACCCAGCTGCGAATCCATCGCTCTTTAAGTCCGAATTAGTCATCATCATCAAGGTGTGTGCCGCCTTTCTCTGTTCGTGCCTAGTCACCAATCTACATTGCTTAGGACGTCGTCGATTCTGATATGAGAGAGATCACCAAGGAGTACGGATTGGCTACCCGCTCAGGAGGCGATACCCTAACTGACAGCCCATGTTACCAGGTTCAGCCTGAAGTTCCAGCAGATCGTACAAGCCGAGCAAGAGGGGAACTTCATCAGCCGTCTGCATGGCGGTAAATTGGCCATTATTCCGTGGCCAGTCATCGAATCGCGTCAATTCTATACCTTGTTCACGACAATCAAGAACCGTCTTGGCAAGCAACCGGTGTCCCACAGCAAGGCCGGAATCTTCTTGCAGATGATGAAGACGCTGATGGCAAAACTGAAGGTAAACAGATCATGACTATCGTTTTCCAGGAAGCTAACAGAAATTAAATTACTGCAAGGCCAACGATTGGGGAGCCCTAGATCGTAAGTGCTGCATGTACCACATGTCGTCTCGCGCTGAAGCGTCCGGCTAGAAAATCTTGCGACGCACAGAGCGCTGCATCTTCAGGACGTACTCTCTCTCGCGCTGCAATTTGGGATGAGCGAAGTCGAACCGGAGCATGAGCCGCTCAAGGCAAGTCGCGTTCTCCACACATTCTTATTCAGGTTAACATGTGCGAACATTCAGGATATCGACAACGGCGTATCGCTAGCATTGCCAAATGGCGTCGCCATGACGTTCTATCTACCCGCTGCCGATGGGTCTGAAGATGTGATAGCCAGCGACCGATGCCTCATGTCACTCCGCCGATCCTGGGACCAGTTCCAGTCTCGCGATGGTACAGCTGACCGCGACTGGATTGACGGCCTCGATCAATATCTCGAAGACTGCGTCAAGGCCCGGATAGAAGACGTGCAGTATTGGCTTGACGTCAACACGTCCCGCTTCAACTCAGACACAACCACGTTCCAGGCACTGCGGCGGCAGTTCGAGGCATTAGCTGTTGCGTTGAGGGCCAGCGTCCAGCTGTGTAAGCTCCAGTGCGCGGAGTGTCAGCTATACTGCGTGAAGTCACGACATCACGCTGGCGGGCACGACTGTGATACTTCGCATCATTGCATGCATGCATGTGCTTTCCCCGATGAACATGCTGGCGAAGACTTAGCTTGTGGTCTACCGTAAGCCATCATGTGCTCTGTCGAACTCCGATCGTGCTGATTCTCGACAGGGCTGGGCATTCCGGACAGCATATGTGAAGCATCAAATAAGCTTTGAATGTGATGATGGCGCTCACTGCTCTCTTGCAGCTGTGATATTTCGCGACATTTGTGTGGGCAACCATGCCGTCTGTCGGGCAAAGGAGGCTGTCTGGAGCACTGTGCGAAGGTTACGAAATAGATGTCCAAATTTTGTTTTCGATTTCTTACGATCTGAAATAGATTGTCAACCACTCTGAAGACGAGCACTTATGCCCAGCGGCGGCCCATGAATGCGGCATGGTATTGTACTGTCTGCTATGAATAGTGTGCTGGTATTGACTTATACCAACTAGCCCTGCAGCCTCAACGATGTCCAGCTTCCTGATGGCTCAATTTTCAGCTGCCCAGAATTGTGCATCATCTCGAGGTGAGACACTCGTTGTGAAGGTGTCGCAGAATCTGACTGCTTAGCAGCGAGCAACCTCACACCGAGCACGTTTGTCAACAGCAGTCTTGTCCCATATTCTGTGAGCTGTGTCGACGACTTTGCTCTGAATCAGACCACTTCCATGGTCTCACCGAGAATGCCCTTCATCTGTGCGGGTAAGCTGCATCCCGTTGTGCGATGACATCCGACTCAGTGTTGTTATAGTCAGGAACACGACTGCACAGCACTGTGCCAGTCTGATGGTATATGCCGTATCGAGACGACACCGCAATCAGTGGAAGCCACCTTCACCGGACGACACGATACGTTCCAATATACGAAGGTATGTTTTGCATATTGTACCTTCGCTTGCGAACCTGATATATCCATAAATTTAGTATATGCAAGGTAAGTCCTCGAGCATAGGTTGTGACAAAGAAAAACGATCAAGACGCCGTTACCAGAATCGAAACGTCTGCAATGTATCGTCTCGATACCTCCCGGATTGCTGCAGCACGAAGGCTCTCACAAGCACTCAGTTGACACGAAAGCCTTCCATTTCTGCGAGACAAGGTACTTTCTCCCTCTGCATGGCTGGACGGTGAATTTAGAACGAGGATTTAGATGCAAGAATTGCGGATATTTCTGCACGCTGCCCTTGGGTACGTCCAGCCATGCATATATATTTGCCACCGCGTACAGACTATGCGATGTAGGTCACCCTCAGCAGGAGCATGAGACGAGCCACGGCTCTATGTCGAGGACGAACTGGGCTGTCGATGGACCTGATGGGTCGATCATTGAGGTGAATGGACGCAAGTTTGGCTCTAATGATGATGGTGCACCACTCCGGGTTAGTCGTTAATCAAGCTTATGTCATCCTATTATCTGACGCTTGGGTGCCGCAGTGTGATATGATATGTCAACAGATGAGCAGGCATGTCCACGTAGACTACTGTCGCACCCCGGCAGGCCAAGCATGCAGTGGCAAAGGACTTCAACATTGCGCAGCCAGGATGGTGCCGGAGCCGGATAAACCTAAGGACTTCGTCAGTCACGAGCTGTACTGGAAGCGCACTGGTCCGTCTGTCGTCCAGCTCTTCAATATTCATTACTGATACAATATTTTGCCTCCAACAGGATTCAAAGGTAAATTCGTTACACATACGTCAAGAGAACAGATTCGCCTTATAACACCGAATGACCAGATCCCTATTCCCACGAAGACCGCGATGCGTTTGCCAAGTGGTACGTGTAGTGCTATCTCATGCGGTGCACTCTCTGACACTCGGACGACAGTGACGCTATGTGCACGGGTATGCCTGCTATTGTCTCGATATAGAACATTCGCGCTTAATCCCACAAAGGCAAAGAACACCAGGCCGATGCGAATAATCCCGCTCAGCCATCCTTCTGCACTCTTCCTATCTTCCACGAATCACTCAATCTCGCGAACACACCTCCGGGCGGTGTTGGATATATCTCCGGCGACGGACATCATTTTGGCTGCCGCAACCCTGTCCTTCTTCAGCAAGCCTTCCACGTGTAAGTATCCTGTGTGCTGCCTCCCGGGATGTTCTAACTCCTAGCTATAGGATCTTCGTCATTGACAGGTGAGAAGGTCTGTGCCCGCGGTTAAATGCGCTCTGACACTTTTTGATCAGATCATCATCCATGGGTTGCAACGACAGAAGACCGCTGGACAACACCCCGACGACCGCGAGGATTACCGGACGCCATAACAACCGGATTGGGGCCGTGTATTCGTCCTTGTATGCCTTTTGGTCGACGCGACATGCGGTCGCGAATGGCACCACGAGTCGCAGAGATGCATACAGCGTCATCCTTTTCAACCACGGCCACCAGCAGATCCTCACGAACGACTTCACGAATTCACCGGATCGGTTGCTTGATCTAGTCCTACCTCACGGCGCTGGGGGAGGGACTAATTATAAACCCGCCCTTCAGGTCACGCAATCTGTGATGGAAAACAACTGGAGTACCGAGAGGTGTGCTCTATCAGGCGTCAGCCTCGAATTACTGACGCTTATCACTTTTTTTCCTCGAAGGTCGCCGGTTGTTGTGTTCCTGTCTGATGGTGAATGCTCTGTGGAGGACAGTGTCACCAGGGATTTGTCGCGCCGGGCCATAGCTCTCGGGTATGTACTAAGTCCAGGTGGTGCGAGTTCACTTGCTGATCATAACCCTGTGCAGACGGGCACTGTCTTTCCATGCGGTGTCGTTCGGTCCGCATAATACTTCGCTGCGTAGGATGGCTGACATTGCGAAGGACGTCCAGAAGACCGCACCTCCTGATCCCATGCATCCGCTTGTTCCGTCGTCATACGTCGAAGCCCTCGACTCCGTACGTGACATTATGCAGCCATGCGCTAGAATACAATTAACAATTCCCCCTTTTTCTTTGTGGTGGCAGGTCCGTCTGGCCGAAACCTTCATAGGCATCGCGAACTCTTTGACCAAGCCGCGCGGCGGACTCATGCACACATAACTGCTCACTCCCGATGTCTTGTAATTAATGCGCGTGTACTATTAGCTCAGAGGCTACAAGTCCCAATATGACCATCTTTCTCTCTACACAGATCTAAGTAGACATCTTAGCGAAGTGGTGTACGCTCCAGGGGAACTTCAATCAAGGTGCAACTATTGTAATGCCTGGTCAGGGCCGTTTTGATGTCCTGGCGTCTGACGGATTGCACAATTATGTCTCCGCATAGGTAGCAGAAATGGCTGGTTATATAATGTCAGTATAGGCCGAGGGACTGGAGCTTGAACTCACGTGTTACAGCCCGGCGCAATGCACTAGGAGAAGGAAGACGGTCATGAATCGAAGGCCTGCAGAGTTCGTGAGATACTTACCGTCATATGGTTGCATCCGTCAACTTTGAGAATGGGGGTGCTGCAGCCTGCGAGAATATCCCGGTTAGCTCTGCAACCTAGACAGGCCGTGGGACACACCAGGGCAAATTTTCCATCCTTGCTGGGTCATAAGGTGGTTTAGCTCGGAAGATCCGTCACAGGAATGCGGTGGACCGCCTATCTCGATGGCGCGGGAGCACGCTTTGCACCATATGTAGTTGCACCCTCGCAAAGGGCAAACAATCAAGGATTGCTCGTTGTATTCTTCCTTATCGACGAAGATAGTCTGCTGGCATCTGGGCGCAAGCGTGAGGGGCTTCGCCGTTCATCTTTGAGAATGAAACCAACCTTCGACAGTGAAGTAGCACGGAGAATGACGCAAGCTCCAGCTCGGTAAACACAGCATACTCCTCTTCGTTCAATCCAACTAGCTGGGCCGTGACACTGCTGATCGCTAACGAATAGTTTCAGTCCCGCTTCTCAAAAGATAGGGGGATACAGCGACTTACTCCCAGGCTCCCCAGAACCCCTATCGGTGGCACAGATGGGGCAGAGTATTGGGAATCGATGCTCGCCGAGTTTCGACCGCAGATACGAGAGTATACAGTCCCTGGAGGGGTATGTGAGCTTCTCTGTCAACGCTCACGGCACCGCTGTGAGAGGTACCTGCAGAACTTGTGGCCGCAAGGGTCGACCTGGCAGACCGTCGACTCGACTTGTTCCTCCAAACATATCCCACATTGAAACGTCGCGGGAGCAGACTGTCGGAGCTCCTCGAACTGTGCACGAAGCAAACGGTCTTCATCCTCAAACTGCTGCTGCTGACGGAGTGCGAGGTCGAGGCTCGCCTTGTCGTCGACCTGGCTTCGCCACTCGAGCTCAATGCGCGTGGCAAAGATCGCATCGTCTTCGTCGTACTCCTCGATCGTTTTGAAGACCAGCTTTCCCTTCGAGTTCGGGTCCTTCTGCGACGAATGTATGGGCTTTTGACTCGATGATGGACTTCTGAGAGAAGGCGACCCGGGCCAACTGCCGCTCGCAGGAGAAAGGCGGGCTATCGAAGCCGGCGTGCTATCTGCCGTGGAAAAGGCTGCCTTCCGCACTAGACGTCGGTTTTCCTCCTGCAAGTCCTCAACCTTGGCTTCCAAATCGGTGTTCTCCTCTGCAAGATGCCTATTGTCGGAGTCCAACGCGCGCATACGGGAAGTCAGGTCCGAAATCTCAGCCTTCAGTTTGAGGACTTCCAGGCTCGCCTCTAGAAGTACTTCGCGCAGCTCTAACGGTGAGGTTGGCGTCTCTCGTGCAGTAAACATATGGGCTGAGCAATGCGCCAGTAACTGCGCTTGCCACTGCAAGTTGGGATCCGATAAGATATGCGCATCGAACTGGAGAAGGTCGTTGAGGTAGACCGCAGCTGCGCCCAGAGAAGGATGGAATATGAACGCTGCACCGTCTGGATGCTTCTTCCTCGGATGTGAATCAAAGGTGACAAAGATGGACCGTACTTCTTCAGTTGTAATCTTGAGCACGCTGACAATTTCTGGGGGACGAGTAATGATGAGGGCTGCTGATCTTTCCATGGACTGCTGGAGGCGACTGTTCGAATTGTAATTATGGTCATGCGCGCACTCCAAGACCAACTCACTCAAGTAGATTAGTGAATTGCTCCACACCGGGTTGTTCGTAATCCGACCATTTGAGCTGTAGGTTTTGCGAAAAGATAGGTGTTGCGTGTATCTCTTCCACGTCCAGATGACCTTGGCTCGTCCACTGTGAGCAAATACCTAGCACTTCCTACAACTCGTGAAATTAGGACGTGAGAATCAAGCGGTGCCCTAAACTTACCTCTGAGAAGCCCCGTTCAAGCATCCTTTGCAACAAGGCATGACCCGCCACAGAATCCCGATCATTTTGCAAGACGAGCCTGGCGCAATTGAGCGCAGCTAATCCACACGAGGAAGCGCCGCTGCCTCGAGCGCCATACTGACTTCTGCCGGGATGCGACACAACGAGCTCTGTCTCGCCCTGCAGGAACGCTGCCAGAGTACCGGATACGCCCTCGGACATCTTTGTTTTCAAGGCCGCCAAATCGATGGTTGAAGGGAAAGTTGCATTTCCATAACTGCGTGATCTGAACTTACAGAGCCCCTGACTCACGTGCACAGAACATGGGCGAACTCAAACCTCTCAGAGAGGAATAGACCTGCAGATTCCAGAATCTATCATTGACTTTATTACTTGGATGATGGTAAACATTGGGTGGCACTTGATATGGCTGCGTTTTCCATCAGTCGTAGATAAGGATCAGTGTCCTGTTGTTTTAAACTTTTGAGTGGTCGTAGCTCACAGAAGGAACACCGCGAGATGCGCGAACCACGTGCTTTCATGCAACTGCTGCTGGTCGAATATGATAGTCGCGCTTGAATGCTTCAAATTCTGCCTCCGTCGTTTTGTACTGTTCCGCGAGGTTCGAGACTACTTTCTGAATCTGCAGGCGACGTCTTGTAAGCGCAATCACTAGGCATGACTGTTTAAGACCTACACCGCTACGGTTAGTCTGCAGTGCAGGTACAACATCTTTGACTGTTCGCTCCACAAGGACACCGCCGACTAGGCGGAAACACTTGCGATCCGGCTCTGCTTCCAAAGCTTCATTGAGGGTCGAAAGAACAAGCCTGACGTACAATCAACATCTATAGTGAGAAAGAAAACGCGCGTGTGCTCACGTGTGTTCCTCAGCTTCTTGTTCAAGCTCGCCAATCTTGTTGGCGAGCGTTTGTAAGTCACTCTGGAATCGCGTGTAGTTCTGCTGGATCTCTAGCTGAATGGTCGTTCATTGACCACATACGTTGGTGAAGGATGAAGCATGCTTACCCTGCGAACTGAGCTGAGGCAGCTTAGACTGCTGTGGCTTCTTTGCTGCAGCCGTAGAGGTCGACATGGTGGGCAGAATCGAGTAGAGCTGGACGGGCGAAGAAGATGAGGAGTGCGCGCTTGAGGAACGTGATATCAACTCGGACGCTCTGATTGGATAACGGCCACCATCCCGGCATCCCCCGTCGGCGTCACCGGGTTCATTGCTGCCCCGTCGCTGTCGAGTACAAACACCTCGCCGGTGCCGCTGTGCACGACGATAAACGCTCTTTTCTTTACCGCCACAATGGCAATCCTACGACGGCTCGTAGTTGGTATCTCTGCCTCCCGCCCTCTCGCGGCTCGTCTGGCAACCTCGCGTCCTTCTGTCCTCGCCGCGTCCCGCTTGCTCTCCACAAACTCCCGCCAGCAGGCCCAGCATACTGATCATACCAATACTATGCAACCTAATCACCCAAGGTCTCCGTCGCTTCATTCCAATCTCCCTGGAGAGTACAAGGATCCGTACGCGGGTGGTCCCAGTGCCATTGAGAAGGCCGTCCACCTATTCTTTTTCACGGAGATCCTACGAGGTGCGCACAAACAATGGAGACTTGCGTTCGCACGTATGTCAAACTGATCTCGCTTGTATCCGTAGGAATGTGGATTGTGTTGGAGCAGTTCTTCCGCCCACCATACACTATCATGTATCCATTTGAGAAGGGCCCGCTCTCACCGCGCTTCCGGGGCGAGCACGCTCTGCGTAGATACCCTAGCGGCGAGGAGCGGTGCATTGGTGGGTCCCGATGGACTTCCTGAGCATCAAGATCGTGATACTATTCTATCTCAGCCTGCAAACTTTGCGAAGCGATCTGTCCCGCACAGGCCATCACTATCGAGAGTGAGGCCCGGTTGGATGGTTCGAGGAAGACCACACGCTATGGTCCGTGTGCTTCAGTTCATACACCTTCTTCCCCTCCTGATCCGACGGCACATTCTGCCCAGATATTGACATGACCAAGTGTATCTACTGCGGCTTCTGTCAGGAGGCCTGTCCCGTGGACGCGATAGTAGAGAGTAAGTTCACCTCTCTGTCACTGTCGGAAGTTCTCTGTGCATCCCCTTTCACATCGGCCCTTTGTTCCATTTGTGACATTCGGGCGTCCCCGCTCTTCTGGCCGGTATCTGACATCTATGTGCCAGCACAAAACCAGGAGTACTCCACCGAGACTCGTGAGGAACTGCTCTACAACAAGGAGAAGCTTCTGGCAAACGGCGACCGTGCCGAGGCCGAGATAGCTGCTAACCTACACGGTATGTGACTACATCCACTGACCGCTGAGAAATCCACGCTGACTGGCTGATGCAGCGGATCATGTGTATCGGTGACGACACTGGGCCGGAGAGACGTTGCAAAGCTTAAGGAGCGGACGGCAGTGCTCTGATGACGGTGGTTTGTAAATAATTTCCGCGGAAGATGCATGCGCTGCCTTCTCCCCCTAAACTAAAGTGAGCAGAAGCGGTCACGCTGGTCCCGACGGCGATTGGTATCCTCGTGTTGCCGCCACCAAGCTCTTGCGGAGATGGAACTTTGCTCGACTTCGCAGATTAAGATTTGTTCTAGTCCGATGCTCGAGAAGATCACATGGCGCTGGGTTAGAATTGCCATGTGCAGTCCCCTCTGGCGTCCTGCTGCCCGCCGCGAATGTCTCGCGCAGTCGAACATTCCCAGAGGGTGTTGATGACCGGCCGCGCCTGCCTTGCGCGAATGACGCAGCTGTGGATTTTACCGCCAGACTTCCACAGGCGGACTAGCACGAGCTGTCCTCGCCTCGAGGCTCTGCTACACCCGCCACCTTCAGCGCCAAGAGGTACGGATCTGTTCGACGAAACGTCCCTGGTTTACTCGTCCTTTGTCCATCATCGTCATAGCCTCCAGTCATCAGCTTCCTGCTAACAGTATTTGGCTGGTAGATGAGCCCTTACACCGCTATTGTTCATGCAAACCTAAAGCTAGCGTCTCGCAGTCTCGAGTGCCAGCGTGCGTCGGGTTTCGCTTTCATGTTTCCTGGAATGACCAAATGAACGTTCACATAGGGTAAGCGCAAAATGCCACGTTAGCTATCCCTGCTGTCGGACCGAACACGGTCTGACAAAGTGTATGTGCGCCCGTTCCGAGACTTTTCATACAGCCGGTTCGAGCCCCTATCACAATGCCAATCCGGCAGCGCCCCGGTAGCCCCTGCTATCGTCGCTCATCTGACTCTAGCGCAAGCACTCGAAGGATTTCAATACGATCCACCGGGAGAGGATCGCAGGGCGGCCATACGATTGCATCCGCACGGCGGAAGCATTAGAGGCTGGCGGTTGTCGCTCTCAGTGGGTGGCTGGCCCCGCGCGCCGCTGGGCGGATGCCCCGCTATCGAAGGTGGCAGTGCGGCTAGCTCGTAGTCGGTCGCGATTGCAACCCATGTCTCGCATAAAGCGCGGACCACCACGCTCGCCCAACTCACTCTTCTCGACGTCAGTCATGCATATGGACCCGTTCAGCGTGATCAGCCCGGACGACTTTGGAGGCCTGCGGGGCCACGAGGGGCAGGAACGGTAAGCAGTTCTGCCGTGGCAGGGTCACGGGCATGCGGGCTTATCCCATCCGACGCAGCTCTGGGCCGATGCCCAAATTTGAAGAAAGGACCACTGCGCGCCGGAGCGCCGGCGCCCGGTCTAGCCAACCGTCGTCCTCGACTAGTCACTCCGACACCTCTCGTCCAGCGAAAGCGCGGGCGAGCAAAAGCAACGGCGTCACGAAGCACAGCCATGGCTCCAGGGCGAGGAGGTCCGACCGGGGTGGGCGAGGGACCCTGCAGACTAACGGCCACAGCGCGCTGCGGACAGCCGCGTCGGGTGGAGCCCGCACCAACGCTTCGGCATCGAGTAGGAGCAGCCACCGCCGGCGCGAGGCGCAGGCGCAGAAGCCCCCGACCCACGAGCGCATCCGGCGCGCACGCGCGGCGGCCGACCTGTCTTCGCTCGGCTGCGGCAAGGACGTTTCGATCATGGACGTCATCCTCGACGCGCAGGCGCCGACGGCGCGATTGGACGCGGACGACCTCCTGGACGCGATCGAGCAGTGCCAGCGGACGGCGCTCGCGCGGCCGTCCGCGGAGGACGACGTGCTCGCGGACATGTTCGTGCCTGGGCGATACGAGGCGCGGCAGATCGCATTCTGGCAGGATGTCACCGCTGCGCTCGAGTATGCGCCGAAGAGCCTCTATCGTCTCTCGGCTGAGCGGTCGACCGCGGCGTGGGATACTGCGTCAGATAGCAAGCCGCTGTAACAGCACTGGACGTGGCTGTGCGCTTGTCCATTATGTCTACTGGCATGAGTCAGTCCTAATATCCTACGCGTATGCCTCTCGTAATATCATTGGTTCACGCCTCCTTCCTGGCTTCCATCCTAGGTCCCACATGCTGCGGTAAGACGAGGATGACCATTGCCGTGAAATCCAACTGTGCCGCCGAAAGTTTGGAGATCCAACGGCCTAGATGATCAAATCCTGTCTGCGGGGAATGGAGGTGCCTCTATAGCTTACCACGTACGTGGTCGGCTGCGCATAACGGGAATCACTCAGGTCGGTCGTTCGAATAGGAGTCTATTAGCACAGGGTATGGGGTTCGCACTGCTACAGACTCGCGACACGCAAAGAGAGACGGCGACTCACATGGAGAAGACATAAAACCTAAAGAGTATACGAAAAAGGTAACGAGTATGGATAATTTGGTTATTGGACCCCCTAATCCTCGTCCATCTTTTCATCACGAATAGAAGACGTGTTATGAAGGCGGGTGACCTCGCCCTCGTCTTCGCCCCTGCGAGGACCCCGAAGCTCCGACACGGGGTAGGCGCCGTCCGCCGAGGCCCCGCCGCGCGCCCCCTCAAGGGGCGAGCGCAGCTCCCCGGCGCGTTCGTCGACGTCGTGGCGCGCCCGCTTGCGCGGGTACTCAGGGTCGTGGGGGTACCCGCGCGTGCTCGAGACGGGCATGCGGTCGCCGCGGCGGTCGTAGTAGCCGTCCTCGTCGTTGAGCAGGCTCGTCACGCGCGGTGGCGCGTGCGTGCGCGGCGGCGGCGGCAGCTCGCGCTCGTACGCCTGGCCCGACGCCGGGCGCGAGGGCACGCCGCCGCCAGAGCCCGGCGTGTCTGAGCGCGAGCCGCGGCCGGCCTCGTCCTGCGGCCAGGGCCCGCCGCCGCCGCCGCGCAGCTCCTCCTCCTCCCTCGCCTCACGCGCGAGGCGTTCGCGCAGCATGACCTCGCGTTCGCGTTCCCTTTCGCGCTCTCTCTCGCGCTCGCGCAGGAGCTGACGTGTCTCTTCAGGGTCGCGCTCCGGGCGATGCAGATGCACCCCAGGGCCGACGCGCTGGTGGTTGTGCAGCCGGCCGTGCGTTGGGGAATGCAAAGACTGAGGAGAGGGGGGCATGTTCGCAGCAGGGACGTGGCTATGTTGGTGGGCATGGCTGTCAGCATGTTCGTGCGGCCTTGACCCAGCATCTGACTGTCCCTCGCCGGACATACTCGAGCTTCGACTGTGCGCAGCCTGCGAAGACGGGAAAGTATCCAGTCTGGTGGGCTCGGCTTGGTATTGGTCGACGTCGTGCCGAGACGAGGAGCTACGGGAGCGGTGAAGGGTGCTGACATGATGACTCGTGCTATTGGAAGTGGCAGACTCTGGCTGCGGCTCGTGAATTTGCGGGACCAAAGGGGCTAGTCGGCGGTCGGAATCATAGGCGGGCCCGGCGTCGTGGTGGAATCCAGGTTCAGTGGATATCGCCTGTGGCGGCGCAGGGTCGATGATTCCGAGGGCACCGCGACCTGATCCGTCGTCGACGGTGACGATGCTGCCGTCAGGGCCCCGCACGACTCGGGCATTGGGGTTCTTTCGCAGATACTCTTCGAGAGCCCGATCGTCCGGGATGACAAGGCGGGCTGCATCGGGATGGCCCTGTTGTTGCTGCGCGTATATAGGGTTATGCTCGGGAGGCAGCTCCTGGGACTGCCTTCCCGGTGTTGGCGGAACCGCGGCCAGACGTTCGTACAGAATTCTACGAGGTACCAGGACCTTGTTCACGACAGTGTGACTCGGACAAGTATGTGATGACTTACGCCCTTTCCAGATTCATACGGCGGATGTTCTTCTTTGCCAACAGCAGCTTGAGGTACAGCCTGTCATTGTCCTGCAGAGACATGCATCAGTGCAAACGTCGATGCTGCACAGGTGGACGGGCGACGCACGAGTTCGATTTCCTTGACCTTTTTTCTCAACTCCTTGTATTTGGCCTGGTACTTGACATCCTCCGCGCCAGCAGTGATGCCTGGAACGTGTGACTTGGACCTTTGTTTGGACGAGGAGACGAGGGGTATTTGGTGGTACATCTGCTGGCCGTGTGAGGGAGCGGGACCTGGCGAGGGCTGGCGAGACATGGTGGCAGGTGGCGGGGGGCGGCTAATGATGGGCTTGGCCCGGATTGGGTGGTCAGTGTTCGGCCGTACTGTATTGCATCCTCAACGGCGCTGTCATGGCGTTGAGTTTTCAACCTTGCCAAACAAAGTCGAGGTCCATTCTTCGGCATCTCCCGGGAGGTGCTCCCCATTCGCAGCGAGCCCTCCGCCGCCCATTGTTCACACTCGCCGCCGCCGTTATCGCAGCCCGAATTTACGCCTGAATTTCCTTATAAATGGGTGGGAAACAACGGGTCGACTGAGCGATTGTCGACGAATCGAGTTACATTTGTGTGAGACCGCAGAACACTGCCTCTGTCGCAGCACGGTCCAGCCTGGTTTCTATCGAAAGCGCAGCTTCCGAGTGTCCTTTCGCCGTGCGGCATCGCCGTCGTCGCCGACGAGGACGGTCATTGCATCATCCACGTGGCCCACGCGTGGAATAAGCGCCCAACTACCCGCTCTGAATTCGTTGGCGGCCGCGAACCGTGACTGTTCTCGCGACCTCACCACTGCGCTTGCCGACTTCACGCACCTGTCTGCTCTTAGGCCTCAGCGGCGGTGACACAGCCTTGCACCGAACAGCTGCTACATACTCTGCTGCGTTCATCCCGAAAGCGTATCCTCGTCCCAAGTTTATAATCCTCCAAGAGTACGTCCGTCTAGCTCCACGACTAGTCGCATTCGCAGCACTGACTCGTCCACACCGTCCCTCCGCTAGTGTCCGCACCGTACAGACAGTGAGTCAATCCTCCCCTGGCCACGCTGTCAGACCGTGCTGACCGCAATTTCCGCCGCGCTCAGGGACATGCCCCCTCCCGGGGGCTTCCAGCAGATACGGTACAAGCGCAACCTTCCCTTCCGCGGCCCGAGCGGCGCAGTCATCCTCGCCGGTGTGACGGCTTTCTGCGGCTACGGATTCTACCGCATCGGCCTGGGCAACCTCGAGAAGAGGTGAGTAAGCGCAGCTCGTTTGTCTTGCCTAGGAACGGCGTTCGGGGTCAGGCGGATGTCCAACGTGGCAGGACTATGCACGTACGCCGTGGAACGTGGCTTCTTTGGGGACCGTGGGTGAATCCAACCACAAGATTTGCTCTTATCACTGCGCGCACCGGATTTAGCCATTTGGGGAGGGGTATTAGGGGAAACAGTAGGCTCATTCGTCGTTTCCGCCCAGGGAGCTGCAGCGCGAGAGGGTATGGTCGCGAATCCACCTGGTACCCCTACTCCTCGCGGAAGGCGACCGAGACGCGTATCGACGTCAGCACGCTGCGCTGGAGCGGGAGAAGGAGATTATGAAGGACGTCCCGGGCTGGGAGGTATGTGGTCCTCTCGCTGCTGTTCGTGCGGGCAGCGCGGTGTGGGCGACGGCTAATTGGCATGTGGTCCTGCGCTTGTTCTCGCCGACCCTCTTTCATTCCAGGCAGGGAAGAGTGTGTACCACAACCCGAGGTATCGACCGGCGGACACCATGGTGGTGCTCTGATCGTGCTTCTCTGTATGCTACGCGCTTCGCTTCTCGAAACTTTGCTTGCAAACACAATCACGCGAATGTGCTCTTCGGCGGTGTCCAATCGCGCCCTTCGTGACTCGCCCGTGACAAATGGAGCCTCAACTTGAGCATGAGTGTCCCGCACGAGCGGCTGCGACGGCCGAGCTGATGCGCCGGGCTGTCCGGCACGGGCGCCTCTCTGCGAACCGTAACATTATGTCGGGGAGAAGCTTCCTTTCCTGGGAGGTATGCGTGTCGCGTTACAAGCGCCGAAGAGTTGGAATTCTTCCTCGACGTGCAACCTTGTGTGTGTTTCATCCTTTTGCTCTCTGCACGGCCTGTGAGAACAGAATCGGACAGCACATTGTGGATAACCCCAGCCGCTAGCTGGATTGCACGCTTTGGTGACATATACACCTGACAGCGCTTTTGGTTTCGCTGACTCGGCGGGTGCTGCGTCAGCTTCTGCGGGACTGATTGTTGGCGGGGAAACAGTTGGGTGATACATTGGTTGATACATCTGATACTGTGTCTGATCATGGGTTGCGGTAGGTTGGACGTCCGAGACGCAGGAGACTTTGGAGGACCGGCAGTGTCGCCTATCGCGGCGCTATCTGGCTCTGCCGACGATTCGAGGATCTAGTTTGCGTAGAACTTCTGGCCATAATTGTCCGGTTTGCCCGAGTGTATTTCTCACGAAATAGGCAACTGTCGTCTGTGCAGAAGTAGAGTTGGGAGTCAGTTGAGCGTCGGTTGAGGCACCGAATGTCATCCGTTCCGTTCACCCTCCTCCGCCGAGCCCCTACAAGAACCGCCCCCCGCTTCCCCCCACACTATAAATCCCACCAGTCTCTGATCTCCGCACTCTTGATCTCCCGCCCCCTCCCCGCCTCTTCCAGGCCTATACCCATAACCTTCCAGCCGCCGCTCCTCTAATGCCTGTCAGCCCCATCTTCAGACACTCCAACGACGACGGCCTCGCCATCGCCATCGCTGCCTCCGACATGTCCCTCAACGACCACTCGCCCTTCCTCTCGGGCTTTGATGCCTTTGACTCTGCCGACGCGAACATGATCTTCCAGTTCGACGACGCGGTCGCGTACGAGTCCAAGCAGCACATGTCCTGGGAACCGACTCACGACTATTCATTGTCCTCGCCGTCCTTCCTCCCAGGCTCACCAGAGTCGACCTCCAGTCAATTAGACCTGGGCGCTCCTCTACCTCATTTGCCTCCGGGCGCTCAGACGTTCAGTAGCTTCGCGGATGTTTCGCAGCACGCTCAGCAGGACTTTAGCTACTCGCAATGGCTCCAGGACGACGCGACCTGCCAGCCGTCCTCGTCCTCGCCCATCAACATTCCCATCTCCCACTCCCACTCGTCGACGTCGTCTCTCGCCGGCTTCAGCGACAGCTCCTCCATCTTCCCCGATGTCGGCCCATTCTCCCCGACCACTGCCTATGCTGCTTTGCAGCCTCTTCCCCGTTCGTTCTCTCCAGGAGAAGACGACTACGCGAACCAAGCTTTCCAGGCGCAGCCGGCACTGTCGACCTCGCCGTCGGAGCCTCCACTGACACCGCCGACATGGGCTACCCAGCTCTGGACGCCGCCTTCCACCACCCAGCCCCTTCCAGCCACACCGAGCCTCGCTGTGCCCCAGACACCCGACGAGGAGGACGCTTTCGCGACGCAACGTCCCCGCATGGCGATGCGCAGGAGTTTCGCGCCGGTGTCCGAACTCTTCCCGTCCTCGAGCGCGCCCTCGATGTCGCACATGCGCCCCTCGATGTCGCGCTCCTACAGCCGTCGCGCCGAGTCCACAAGCGAGCATGATGACGCCACCGTGCGCCGGAAGAAGCGCAGCTTGGTTTCAGGCGACGAAGAGCACCGGCCCACGGAGCGGACAGGCGAAGGCAAGGCCGGTGATGGTGCGTGTCTCCTTGATTCCGCGCCAGATCCTCGACTGATTTCCCACCCCTCTGTCTCAGCTCCGCAGAAGTCCCTTTTCCGACCACCGAAGCTCGCCCCGTCGGCCTGGCAGTTGTATTTTACCGACTGGATCCAGCGCCACCAGGCTACTAGCCCGAAGAAGCTCAACGTCGCGCAGGCTGCGAAAGAGGCTGGTCAGGAGTACGCCCGACTCTCGTCGGAAGAGAAAGAGGTTGGTCTCGGCACCTTATCTTTATCGCCGTTTTCCCGCTAATCTTGGGCCGTATGTTCTAGCCCTACAGACGCCGCTCCCAGGCAGCCAAGGAGGCGCGTGAGCGCGAACACTCAGCCTACATGCGCACGCTCACCCCGGAAGACATCAAGCGCGAGAACGCGTTCCGGACTGCGCAGCGCAAGGCGGGCAAGTCACGCAAGGGGAACATCAAGGACCCCAACGCCCCGAAGAAACCGCTCAGCGCGTACTTCATGTTCCTGCAGCGCATCCGGTCGGACGCCGCGCTCGTGCTAGAGGTCTTCGGCGACGAGACAGAGACGACTAAGCAGAGCGTCCTGGCTGCCGCCAAGTGGCGTTCGATGACCGATGAAGAGCGCAAGGTACTGTCAGCCCTTACATCATACGTTTGCGGGACGAGCTAATTCGCTTTTGGAACAGCCCTTCCTTGCTCAAGCCGAACAAGAGAAACTCGAGTACGAGGCCGCACGGAAGATGTACGAAGATGGCACGGTTGGCTCATCATCGAGCATCAATTTCAGCATCTTGCCCAATAATCCGATCAACTCTATCGTCTTCCCATCTTCGAGCTTCTTGCGACCTGTGAAGCAGGAGGCAGCCAGCTCTGAGAGCGAAGGTGAAGACGTCACCGCGGAATCCGGCGAGTTGGCCCGCCGGCGAGCACACTCTCACGCGTAAGCGTCGGTGTCTCGCGACCTTCAGCACGTTTCTCCGCTTCTTTGCTGCGTGTTTGCATATGATTACTTCTTCCTGCTCGTCGACCGTTATGAAACAGATGATGCTTCCCACCCAGGACAATTTGCCAGGTTACTCTGCATCGTCAAGGCTTTACCCCTCTGCTTGCTTCTTCTCTTTGCCAATAGGCAACCCTTTATGAAACGTCCCTCTGGACTTTGAAAACATGTGTATTGCATATACCACCGCTCCATCTCTGTATTGTTAGCCGTCTTGTTCTTGTCGTACGTACGTCACGAGCCTCATGACCCTCCCTCCGAGTCGTCTAGATACACCTTCGTTTGTCTATTCCCCGGGGTTATACCATATACGCTGCCTCAGTCTAGTTTGAGTCGGCAGACCATTAGCTGATGTGGAGCACCGTCCTCGTCAAATAGTCCGCCCTGTAGATTTATATTGTATTTAGACTTATGCCTCGCTAGCTATGCTTCTGTCATGTACATACCTGTGCCTCGTAACCGAGCCTGGACATTTAATATCACTATAAGCAGCCATGAAGATAGGATGGAGTGCGCCGCTGCTCACTTGGCGTAGAATGGTCGGATGTACAGCTGAGAGTGACAGCGTATGACTGCCCCTGACTGTCCGGACGCTTTCGCGTCCTGTTGTATCCACCCCTTGTGAGCTTCCACAAGCATGCGCCCGAATTTGTACTGGCGGTACTCTTTCAGCACCACGAGACGGCTCAGCTTGTAGTACCCGCTGTGCCTGGTCGCACGGATCGTGCCTACGGGTGTGAGCGACGGTGTCAGTCTGAGGAGGATGTGCGTCGCCGTCTCGTCGAGGCTGCAAAAAGCGCGGCGGGGTGTCAGGGCACTGGCCGGCGGACGCGTTGCAAAGCTGCGGTGGCACGCACTCGTCGAACTCGTCGTCGAGCGAGAAGCCCTGCTCGCGGTGGAAGACTTCGACGCGAAGGTCGAAGCACTGCTGCAGCAGCTCTTGCCTGCCGGGCTCGCCAGGGCCGGGCACGATGACGAGCTCGTGTGCGGGGACTGCAGCCATTGGCGTCGCAAACGTGAGGGAAGGCAGCTCGATGAAAAAAAAACTTTCGAGGCCGTGCAACCTTGTGTCTCCCTCGTCTACATGAACCGAGTCATTTCAGAAAATCCTGTGCGTACGCGTGAGGAACGGGATCTGCACACCGTACGTCCGGGAGGCAAGCGGCAAAAGCTGAATTTTGTGCGGGAGTTGCCGGAGGCGCCTCATTCAGAGCTAGACGCCTGCGCTTGAGCAACTCTTGTTGCTCGCGGCCAGCGTACGACCGTTGAATGTCGCCGCTGCAGGATCCTACACCGCTGCTTTCTCAACGGAGTCTGACACAGGCGAGTGCTGTTCTTGCATGTGCCGTTCGCTCGCGTGCTCATTTGCTTCACAGACCCCTCGTCACTGCTCGTCTCGGCGGGTACGGTAATGCTGGAGCCTTTCGCGGCCTCCGTCCTCACCTCCTTCCTCCACATCCGGCCGCACGCATTGCCCATCCCAGCATCACAAAATATTTTGAGGACGATGCCCCGAGCGCTGTCTGCAGACTTCTTCACCCCGCATCCGAGGCGAGCGAAAGGCAAGGAGAGGGCGCGAGTGAGCGAGGGCTGCTCAACGTCTGGGAGTAGCGGTTCGGTTGATGTGGCTTCGTCGTCTTCAGGTGCGTTGGCTGTCAATGCACGAGAAGTCTTCTTACGCTTCGTGAAAGTCTTTACGCGGCCGGTGAGCCCACGAACCGGACTTCCAAATCGTCCAAGAGCACGACGTCTCAGCAACCAGCGTCCGTTCGCAGACTCTCCTAGAGGGAGGATACCTACTATACATTCTATGAATGCCAGAAGTGGCATAATACAGCGACGGCATGCCTCAACACAGCCCAGGCTATCTCCCAGGGCTCCCAGAACGTCCAAGGCTGAGGTCGCTTTACATAATAAAAATCTAATATCCGCTTTTTACGACAGCGAAGCCGACGTCGATCGCCTATGGGACAGCTACGAGGCTTTACGCGCCGCAGGAGCTGTGAGAAGTAAGAAGATCAACCTACTGTCACTCGCGGACCGCTTCATCTCGCACGCTGGGTCGTTTTACTCGTCACCGACCGTGAAGGACATATGGGAAGAATGGGGTCGTAGAGTCCAAAATATCCTATTGGAGATGGAGTATCGAATAACGGACGAGTACGATGAACGGGAGCAAAGATATTGGCAGATGATGATGTCTCGTGCCTCGGCCCTGCAAGGACGCCTGGACGAGGCTTTGGAGATGTCGCGGCACGTCACGTCAACGTCCATACCTGATACAGAACATCGACGCGTCGTCGCGATGTATCGCACCTTGGTCGCCGCGCTCCGGCAATTCCGAGATCCTCGAGCAGTGTTCGAGTTCGTTCTGCATGACTGGGAAGCCATAGGCACCTATCTCAATGCCCGCTCCGTCATCGTGTCCCACCCCGAGACTAAACGGCCCACCGTATACGGCGTGGACGAACTCCGCCGTCTCATTTACGCGACCGTCGACGAGCTTCCGTCTGCTGTCGACGTCCTGGTCGAGTCGGAGCGCACGTGGCCGCAGTCGTGGCGGCAACGGGCTGGCGAATTCCTTATCGACGTCCTCATCTTCAAGCGAAAGGCTCACGAAGCGCTCGCGGTACTGCGGGAAGTCTACAGGCAGGGGCTCCATGTGCCAGGATACTACCAGCTTGAGATAATCCAGTCACTCGCCAAGGCTAATTCTTTTGAGATCGCGAATCCTATGTATGCGACCCTCCTGCAGGCACTGAAGGACCACCATGGAAAGCTAGGGTACAAGATCACCGAGACGGGCTTGTACTTGTTTGCTAGGCAGGGCGATATCCGACGAACGCAGCGTTACTTTCGAGCCTTCAGAGACGCAGGTGGTAACCCAGCAAGAGGCGCCGCGCTTCTGCTGCATGCTCACGCCGCCAAGGGAGACGCAACTGGAGCTGTTGCAGTCTTCAACCAGTACTGTTCGGATACTGCTTCATCTGAACAGGTAAAAGCCAATATCGTACACTACACCTCCGTAATTCACGCTCATGCCCGGCGCGGAGACCATGAAGGCATGAACTTGTGGCTACAAAAGTTGGCTGCCGCTGGATACACTCCGGACAAACACGTCTACAATGTCATCCTGAAGGCGTTCGCGGATAAAGGAGAAATCATCTCGATGGGGTCCGTCTTGGACCAGATGCGTGCTACAGGAATTCGTCCCGACCGCGTGGCTTACACTACTGCTATCACTGCACTCGCGGAGAAGAAGGACCCCATTGCGGCGGAGGCGTTGTTCAGGCAAGCTTCTCAGGACGGCGTCGTCCCAGACCGAGTGATGCTTACCGCCCTTATGAATGCACACGTCGAGGCTGGATCCTGGCAAGGCGCCATCAATGTCTTCGACTATCTGCTGACGCAAACGCGAAGACGGAAGATCAACTTGTCCATCGAGATTTATAACACGCTCTTGAAGGCCTACGTCCTCATTGGTGCTCCATTCAGCACCGTCTTCCGCCTTTTTCACCGGCTGGAACAGATGCATATTCGCCCCGACGACCACACGTTTGCGCTCGTCATGCAATCCGCCTGCGATGGCAACGTCATGGATGTCGCGGAGAAACTCTATACCTCTGTTAAAGCGATGTCCAAGAGCTGGGAGAATGGCATTCCACTCACTGTGTACCTGGCCACGATCATGATGGGCGGCTACCTCAAGCACGGCCACAGGAAAGAAGCTAGGCAGATGTACCAGGAAATGATCAAGCTTGGGATCCAGCCGTCGTCCGTCACCTTCGCGAACATCTTAACGGCGTACACCAACGAGCGCAGCGAAGAGAGCATCCAGATCGCGAAGAAATTCCTTGACGACTTATTATCCGTCGACCCTCACAACTATGACTGGATGCAGAACGCTCGTGGTGCCGGCTCGGGTCTGGAGGAGGTTTACGGGCCACTACTCCGGATCTACGCGAAGATCGAGCGAGCCGATGAGGTTGAGACTCTCCTGCAGGATCTTTTCGACAAAGGCGGAGAGCCTTCGCTCGCGAACATGACCGCGCTGCTTGATGTATACCGCCGAACAGACAACAGTGAAGGTGCGCGCGAAGTATGGCCGCAAATCTACAAGCTCGCTCTGGAGGTCTCTAACCTTGGGTATCTATTCCACGACAAGGAAGCCCTCCAGAGTGACGACCCTACCCGTCCAGGCGCCCGACGACAAGCAATTGTGCTAGCTATACCTCTTTCCATTTACATCGACGCACTTTCGACCGCCGGCCTTCACATGGAGGTCGCCAGGGTCTGGCAGGAGTTGAAGAACGCAGGTTTCACGTTTGACTCTCACAACTGGAACCATCTCTGCGTCGCGCTCGTCCGTGCCGGAGAGGTCGAACGTGCGTTCGAGGTTATCGAGCGCGTCATCCTCCCGTTTCGTCGGGCTCTCATGCAGCTGGGCGTGCAAGAACGTGATCAGGACCCGCAGTCTCCGCTGCTAACCGACTGGGAACCGACCGCGGACGACCTCAGCCGCCCGCCTACCCTCTGGCCGATGAGGGACGCTAGGCGGCGGAACAACATGCAGAAGCTGGTCCGGAAGCAGCACGTCGCAGTCAACACCGTCAATGAGCGGCCGCAAGACTTTGCCCACGCCTTGCACGTTCTCCGCCAGGTATCGCCACAGTGGAACCAATGGAGACCGCACGTGGCGACGCTGCAGGCACTTGCGGACGCATATGAGCACCTGCACAGCGGCAATCTGGTGCAACCAGTGCAGCCCGCTGGCTCGGCAGAGAGGGCGCCGCAGACTATCGAGGACGTCGAGGAGCGCGCGAGCAGGGCGCAAGGAGTGCTCGACCGGATCTATGACAATCATCCTAACGCACTAGATTACGTTACCCGCTTCATCGAGTGGCGTAAAAGCCATGGTCACACAATGAAGAAACGCGGATACATGCGTCGGTGAACCTCTCAGACGTGGTGTGAATGCAAAAAGCAGTATGACCCATGACATCGAAACCGGAAAGCATAACGACAACGAGAGACAGGTGAAAGGTACAGGGGGTGCCACCCGGGGTACACTCTACTTCTACACTTTCGATACAGAAAGCCTGGGCGCGGTCAGCTGTCGTCGTCGGAGTCTTCACCAGACTCATCCGAGCCGTTGCGCGCGCGCTTGCGGCTCTTGGTAGTGTTATTCCGGTTGCGCTGGAGGAGGGGGAAGACGTGAGCGGGGAGAGGATCGATGAGCGGCGGAGTCGGACGCACCAGTGGCAGCTTCTGGCCTTGGTTACCCAGAGCAATGGAGAGGGCAGTCGTATCTGGATATCATGTAGGGGTCTTCTAATCATGCGAGTCTAGTCGGGAGCTTACCTGGCACGCCCGGGAACCGCTTCGCTGAATAAACCACGAACGGGTCCGTGAATGTCTGCGCAAGAACTGGCGAGACGTCGGTGTGCACACGGTAGCCACCAGGTTCTGGAGCGGGCGGTCTGTAAGGCGCGCAATCGTTTGTCGTTACCGATCGTGGTTAGCGCAAGAGAAGCAGTGATAGTCAGTTCAACAAGCTCAATCAGTCGACATGTTCCGACTGGACCACTCACGCGCCCACGTTCATGAGCCTCAACCGCAGACGGAAAGTACCTATCAATCAAAAGCATGGTCAGTCCGTGAAGACTTCAGATTGCGTTTCGAGTGGAGCGAAACCCCCGATAGAAGCGATACGAGAGCACGTACCCTCGGTACGGATCGATAGGTCTTGGAAAAGGAAGAAGATCCCAGGCTTGCGGTGCTCGTCCAGCAGACGGCACGCGTTCGCCGATAGCGGGCCCACGAGCGTCCGGGTGTATGTGTGCCGCGGGAGCGGTGGGATGGTCGATGGCGGCGTCGGGTTCTGCGTGAAACCTGGCGTGTGCGGGTATGACGCCTGGGCCTGCGCTTGCTGCTGCTGCTGCTGGTGTTGCTGTTGTGCGTAGGACGCCGAGGCGTACAGCCCGGTGTCGACGGACTGTGGCTGATGTTGCTGCTGCTGTACTACTGGCTGGCCGGGCGAGCCTTGCGACGGGACAGGGCCGGGCACCGGTACGACGTGATACCTAGCGTTAGAATACGGGTCGATCGGGCTTGTGGACCATGCTTGGCTATGGCCAGCTGGGGCCTGGACAGACGGGTCGCGCAGTGCTGGATCGATAGCGTCCGGCGGGTTGCCCTCTAGCGCAGAATAGCTGGATTGCTCCTCCGGCCATGAACGGTACGCGTCTGTCTCGTCGCGAGAACCGCTCGTGACGTGCCAACTATCGGCGGCGTGGGTCGGGCTTGTAGCATCATATGAGACGTCCGCGCTCGCGGCTGCGGCGCTTGCTTGCGACTCGGCGCGGGCCATGGTTTGAATAGATGGAAGGGCCGGAGGGCCGAATGGCTGTGCGGGACGATCCATCGAGGGGGATGTTGAGTATCCCCAGCCTGAAGGATCAGTCGAAGGCTGAGAACCATATGGTGCCACGGGCGTGTAGCTGCCGGACGTGTCTTGGACAGTGCCATGCTGAGGCGGGAAGGGATACGCATGTTGGTAGCCCGGTGTTGTCGGAGTCATGTATGGGGTCATTCCTGTTCCAGATGTCTGAGACCAAGGTTAGTCGACATATTTTATTTCCGAACAAAATTGAGTCATATGCACCGGAGGGTATTGCGAAGTGGAGGGTGTTGGGGGTACAGGACTTTGGCTTTCCGTAGGCTGAGAGCTTGCCTGCGTGCTGGTTGTTGCGGCATTCGAAGCAGCGGTATTCCTCCGCTTCTTGTTGTTTGCACCGTTAGGTACGTAGCGGTCAGAAGATGTTGGGTGCAAGACAAGATTCATCTCCTTATTACCGTCTGCCGACCATAGGTCGACAGTGACGAGGAAGAACGAACAGTCAACTTCGCTGCAGGGTATAAGTGGCTGGACCGAGCGAAGGAGTGAACAGAGATCTCACTCAACGTCTACAACCGAGTGGTCTTCTCGTTGGACATGCATCTTCGCTACTGCGGCAGGAGCTAGCGGCCGTCGATCCTAGTGCGATGATCAGGTCAACAAGGAAGTTTTGTGAGACATGTCAGGACACACACCTTGTCACCAAAGCCACACATTCGAGCCCGAATGGGATTCTGCACCACCTCCAGAGAATAGTATCTGGTACCAGACGTAAGGATCTGATAAAGGTGCTGGTCGCCTCTTTACGTACTTTCGACCGTAGGGCGATGGAGGGCCCCATGAGCCCCAAATCTCGGGCACTGGAGGGTTTCCCGAATTATGCGGATTCACTTTTTGGATCATGACGGTACGTAGACGTCGCAGGCGAAGGGAAGGAGAGTTGGTACGTCGTGTGTGTCAGAGCTGAGGGTGATATACTGTATGTCTGGTGGTCGCCGAAAGGCACGCTTCTCACGAAAGTGTAAATAGGCGGTCGGTGAGCAGTTTGCGCAATGCGAGTACGTGAGAGGCCCGACCCGATGGTCTGGAGAGCAGATTCCGGTGAAGGCAGTGGTAACACTTGATATTGAGTACAATTCCGCGTATGAGCAACGATCAAGGCCACAAGTCCGGCCTTGGGGCGTGTCTGGTAGTCTACAGGCGCAGAACAGGTCTGTGCAAGATGTAGGGCCGGAGGGGATGAAAGCGGGAGGAAGTGAGGGCGGAGGCGGTCGTGGTCGTGGTAGTCGAGCGCATCCGCTACGATTCCCATAGCAGACCGGGCACGGCACCGGCAAGGTTATTTTCTCAAACGCACGAAACTTTGACGTTGATAGTCAGACATTGCCCGAGCCGTCTGGAAGATCAACGATGTGTATTTCACAGCAACGCTCCCAAATCCCGCCTTGTCCCACACCACAAGAGCGGGGACGTACGCCGCCGGAATGGAATACCGTATGTTACTTTGCTTATTATGTGCAATTTTACTCTTCGAATAAATGCAAAGCTCTTTCGAATTCGACGAACGGATCGCACGCTGACCTCTGCCTTGATTGATGCGTAGGAAATGAACAGTGCTCGTCATCTGGCGTGCAAAGCAGCTGTCCGGCGGGCAATTCGCGGGGACGCGTGTATATGAAGCGCAACGTGGCTGTTCCCACGCGTGTTTCAGCCCGCCTCCAGGCGCGCCGGGTCAGTACCAGCATCCGGCACCAGCTCACTCTCCACCTCTACCATGGACCAGGCAGTTGCAAAACGTATCCTGCAGGAACTCATCAAGAATGAAGAACTCGGGAACAAAAAATGCATAGACTGTGGAAACCCCAATCCGCAATGGGCATCCCTCAGGTCAGCCCCATCTGACCTGCCGTTGGTCTGCTCCGATGCAAATCTGTCGCCCTAGCTTCGCTGTATTCCTCTGTCTTCAATGCGCGGGTGTACACAGAGGTTTTGGCGTTCACATCAGGTGCGTCTACTCGAAGCTCTCGCGGGGGAATTGGATGCGATTATGGTGCAGCTTTGTGCGATCCGTTTCGATGGATACCTGGCACGAAGAGCAAATCAAACGCATGAAGGTGCGCAATATCTACCCACAGATATTTCCTCATCCTTACACAAATTTAGCTCGGGGGTAACGCTCCCTTCAAAAAATCTATGCAGGAGTACCCCGCAGACGGAGGCTGGAAGGATGGAATGAGCTCTTATGACACGTACCATACATGGGCTGCTACGCAATATCGCGAGAAGGTGAGCAGACATGTTCCTGCAATCGGATAATGGGCCAACGATTACATCATGCAGCTGGACGCGGACTTGGCAGGCAAACCCTGGTCGCCAAGCTCACCGCCTGCTGGTACTGCCGCTCCATCGGGGTCTCTCAGCCCGCCTAACCGGCCAGGGTCGGCTCAAGGACTCCGCAAGTCTAGGGCATCTACTCGTAACACACCTAGCAGGTCGGAGTCGCCCTTCAGTGGCTCACCTGCGTCGACTCCAAATCCCCCTTCCACTGCTTTCCAGGACCAGAAAGCCGCGAACGAAGCCTTCTTTGCGAATCTTGGTCAGGCGAACGCTACCCGTCCTGCCGACCTTCCTCCTTCTCAGGGCGGGCGGTACCAGGGTTTTGGTAACACGCCCTCCCCAGCGACGAATCCCTCCTTCGGCTTGTCATCTGCAGCTGCGCCTAGTCTCAGCGACTTCCAGGGGAATCCCGTTGCCGCTCTTGGAAAGAGCTGGTCGTTATTCTCGTCGGCTGTGGTAGGCGCCACACGCACTATCCAGGAGAACGTCATCCGACCCGGCATGGAGAAGGTCAGGGACCCTGAATTTCAGGCTAGCGTCAAGGGATACGTCTCTGAGGCGGGCAAGCGCGCCGGAGAGGTCACCCAATCGGCGAACACCTGGACGAAGCAGACTCTTGGCGTCGATGTGGCGGAGAGCGTGGGTGGTGCTGTGGGCGCGGTGAGAGGCCGGATGGGTGCTGGTCCGCAGCATCAAGGCTATGGCGTCGTACAGCAAGGCCCAGTTGGAGAGTCGTCGTCGCTTTACCAAGACCACGAGGAGGATGACTTCTTCGATCAATACAACTCCCCACTGTCGTCCAGCCATCCCAACTTCCAGTCTCCCACAGCTGCCACCTCGCTCACCTCAAGAAGCAATAGCCATACGGCTAAGAAGAGCGTCGATGATTGGGACGAGTGGAAGGACTTCTGAAGGATTGCGTCACGATTCTCCTCGGACCATAGATCGGCTATTTACTGGATGGCAATTATTTTGGTTTGTGTATTGGCTTGTGCAACGTGTAGACCCATGCTGTACATCATCATGACATAACGGAGTTTCAGGCACTCCGTCCGAAGATGTAACAATCAGCTGTTGCTCGGTTTAGTGTGTGGCCCTGTGTGGCCCACAATTCGTGTCTTTTAGGCTACTGTTTGTACGGGCGTCTCACTACACATTAGGTTTATTAGTGTCGGACACAGCCATGTCATAGCAAACCGCACAGGTGCTATGGATATTGCTGAGCAGACAACCCTTACCCTCACCACCATGAGCGAGTTTGAATCGCTCCCTGTCGAGCTCATCGCTGAAATTTTGGGCGAACTGGACCTGGAGTCGCTCATAACGGTGTCATATCTGTCCCGCCGACTGCACAGCATTGCTTCAGACTCCTCGCTGAACCCCTGGCGGCGTCCCATCCTGCGCAACCTCTTGCAGCATCCAGACGTGCCCTATGAATCATGTCTGACGCACCTCAGCGTTCGTTCCACTGTTCCTCGCCAGAACTGGATCGAGATCATGAGCTTGGGTAGGGCAGAATGGCTGTTGCTCGAAGCCACCCCGCCCCACCTGAAAGAGGCCGAATGGGAGGAATGCTTCAAGCGAAGATTCATTCCAGGGTGGCAAAAGTGGAAGAAGGACGAAGCAACCTGGAGGTCCACGTTTCGCAGGTACGCAGCATTCCCCATTGCTAGCATCTCCGTGCCGCCCGGACTAAATGTTTGCTCCTCTCCAGTGTTTTGTACCGTGTTTTGCATAGGTCCAACACGTCATGTACTTCTGACGAGTCGTGGACAAGGCAAGTGCTGTACCTCGTCGGTGAGCTGCGCAGCTGAAACAGATGCCCTGCACCAGGTATGTCCTCATCAGACGCGGCGGAGTGGCGAACGAGCTCGAAGCATCCTCGAGAAATTATGACCCTATAGCCATATTTGACGAGCTGAAGTATGCTTTACCGGCTAATGTTACCTCCGTAGATCATACTCATACGAGCCATAGAATGCAGAGCAATTTAGACCATCTGGAAACTCGTATCAGGGTGCGTCCCTTGGAGCGACCGGTCACAGGCCGGATCTGACTTCCCGACAGCTCGTCGTTGAGCTCGCCGATGTCCGCGTCATTGCGTTTGGGGTCCTTAACAAACCTCGCGGCGCGACGACGGTGAACACTACCGCGCGAATGCTCTTGCATCCGCCGGGAATTGAGAGAGATAACGCCGACGGCTCGTCGAGTGGGGCCATCGCTCCAGAAGCAACTTCTGCAAAAGATGAGCACAAGACAGCGCGGATGCTGTTCGGTACGTGCGAGCATCGCCCTCAGCATGAATTTTTGTGTGCTCATGGCTTATGAAGGCGATATCAGACAGATCTATCGGCAGATGACTTACCCTCTCCCAGCACTGTCACATGCGAACTATCCATTCTACACCCCAAGTGGCGAGGACAAGCGATGGATAGGAACTACTGACCTTGAAGAGGAAGGCATGCAGTGGGTGGGAGGCCTAATGTAAGCACCAAAACTAAGCGGAGTAGAAGCTCTGCTAATACTCCAATCACTAGGCTAACGGCTCAGCTTATCGGGCCACGTACCAAGGACCATTTCACTGAAGGTCCCCCCTTCCAAGACTGGGACCTCGTCCAGGGAAGTAACCGTGCACACTACGCGTCCTTCACTCTGGCCGATCTGGCCGCTATCGCGCCGTGGCTGGATATCCCGAAGCAGATAAGCGGACCAGGTTTGGGCAACGACTGAAGTGTCTGGCACATGCGAAGCCCCTAGCGGTCACTAGGCTAGTGGCCGATGGCGTGCGTACGGAGATCCTACCCGCATGGGAAGTGTGTTTTGTTATGTGGACTTCCGTGCCGTTTTACTTATTCTGACTCTTCGCTTCCGCATGCTCAGTATTCGAATATATGCGTAACTTATCGCAAATTCTGATACACGACGTCTTTTATCGCTGAGAACCTGTTGTCTAAGTCTTGTGGTCTCAGATTCTCCCGTTCGACCGGCGGATACGATCGCCACTCGCCACCACGATTGGTGGTCTTCGCGGATCAATGTAGTGTCTCGAGGCTCTTTGTTTATTCGATCTCAGATCCCGGTGGATCCGCGAGACACTGATGATCGCATGTTTCAGGTTCTATTCGGTATTTACACCGACTTCAATTGTTCTGCCGCGGCAGTGCATTCTCTTTATTGCGAAGGCGCAGTCCCCAAGGCTCGAGACAATTAACATAGCCACACGTCCATGAGCACTCTCCGGGGCTCGTTGAAAGGGGCAGGGAGACATTTTATCTCAACCATCTACCGATCGAGAACTCAGAAGGGTTATAAACGTCTCAAATCTTCTCTACAATGGCCCAGAATCACCTCTCACGAGTTCTCCCCACGCTCTTATTCCCAACTGGGTTGGCCATCACCAGAGCATAGGGTCTCTGGTCTCGGACACTTCTTAACATTTCCGGTTTATCTCGGAGCTGCTGTGCACTCCAGCCCTGTAATTTCACCTTCTCCCGTTTGTCAATCTCTGCCCGTCCCAACACCCACCTCAGCCATGGCTGCACACAGACACGCGCTCTCGGTGAGCCTCCTGGTTGTGGCGACTACCATAGTCTTACTCAAGGTCCTGCAGTCGCGGCTCATTTGCGAGTATTGTGCCAACGCGTACCCCAATGTCCCCCCGAAAGTGTGGAAACGCAAGGGCGATTATAACCGTCACCTCAAGATCCATGAGGACACCAGGTTTGTTTACGTTCATGGTTGATGCTGTCGCCATGTCGATCAACGACTTGCAGACCACACCAGTGCCCATTCAAGGGTTGCGGCAAAACGTTCGTACAGAACTCGGCATTGAAGACGCATGTGAACACGCAGTGAGTTCACCGACCGTTCTGCAGTTGGGATCATGACTTACCGACCGCTGTTGCTAGCACGGGGGCGAAGCCTTACCAGTGTAACTTTTGCAGCAAGCGGTTCGGCGATCCGTCATCTTGCTCAAGACATCGTCGCGAGAACCATTCTAGTCTCGTCGCGTACTGCTGCCCTGTTGATGACTGTCCTACGAAGTGAGGCAATGCGCTTTCGTGGCTATTTCGACTTGTACTAACAGTAGCTAAGGATCAAGCGGCGGGCATGCTTCATGAAGCATCTGCGGGAGGCACATGGCTTCTCAACAAGTAAGCTCGACGACTCGGTAATCGAGACGATGGCGATCAAGCGCGGGGGTGTCAAGTCCGAGCTCGAAATGACCCCTGAGCTGCCCGACATGGCGACGCTTTATTCGCCAAGCTCTGGCACGTCCTCCCCTACCATGTCGCCGTTCCTCGATTCGGACGTGAAACTTCAAGAGATGTACTCTTCGTCACCTGGCCCGACAACGCCTTGTATGTCTTGGGATTTATCAGTGTGCCTACTATCGCTAACCTCGAGCTCTAGACGACTCCCCATCCGTTTACGACTACGCCAATGTCTCAGCTAATCCCCATGGCACGACCCACCCCGCTTACTCTTCACCCATGTCGCAACAGATCGGCCTTTCCGCAGTATTCAATGGGTGCTCTGTCCCTGGCTACTACAAGCACTTGTACGAGGACGGCATAGTGTTCAGCGATGGCTCCTACTCTGCTGAGCAAGTATCCTCTGCGGTGGGTTGGGACCTGGAGATGCCTGCCCTCGCGGCGGACCGCGAGTACCCGACGATCACATCTATGTATGACTGCTGACTGGATTCAGCGTAACGACGCGAGTGCGATTTTACTCTGTACGTTTTATAGTGTACAGACCTGCCTGCTGCTACCAGTTTTGGACGCTTCGTTTCTGATCATACCATAAATCCCCGTTGATACCCTTTGTATCACCTATTAGTATATGTACTTGCACTCAGCCGAAAGGTGACCCATGGGTCGCACGGCTCGCTGCTGGATCTGTAGTGTACTTGTATGGCTACTTGATACGCTATATCTTGAAGATACAAACCGAACCCCGCCTTTCCCCTCTTCTACGCAGTCTGCACGCTGAGGTTACTGGTATACTCTGGGTCGGCCCGGGGACTCTGCGGCGGTCAGCCGGCGTCGGCGAGAGAGAAGCGCTCGTCAGCCAGGATGGACAGAAAGTTGACGCCTGCCCGTCCTCCGCTTCTGACCCTGCACACCACCCACATTCAACGCGACCCTCCCTTCCTCCTCCTTCCCTCCTCCTCTGTCTTCACTTTCATTGGCCGCTACCGGGCGTAGCTGCCGTCTTCAGGCCTAAAATGCTTGCCGCTCCACTACAGTCGACTTCAGCTTTCAATGATACAGATATTGGCACTCAATACCGCCCCGCCAAGGACCTCCAGGCGTTCAATGCGCTTCTGCCCCCTGCTATCGAGTTCGTGAAAGGTTCTTCTACCGGCACCATTTCTGCGATGGAGGGAAAGTACCAGCCTATTAATGCTGCTCCTTCAGTAGCACCTCCGAAGTGCGAGAAGGGCACCAATGTCAGTCCTAGGATCCGTGGCGCCAGCGAGCAAAAGTACTGAGCTGATCGTTTACCCTCTTGGCTGTAAAGACTCTCCCGGCGTCCCAATCCGCTTCACAACCGACAAGCCGGGCTGGCCCAAGCAAGGCCACCAAGCAGATGCAGGCGTCAACATCCTCGTCAAAACAGCTGTACTCGAAAGCGATTGACATGTCATGGCCGCCACAGACCAAGAGAGGCAGTGGCCTAATAAACACCGGAAATACGTGCTTCCTGAACAGTGCATTACAGTGCCTATTACATACACCGCCCCTACTGCGCGTCCTGTTCCAGCACGGCCGGGGCGAACCATGTCAGCCTCCTTCATTAAACTTTCACTGCTATGGTTGACATCGTTCCTTCGCAGGCGAAGTGCCGAAGAATTCGTTCTGCATGTCGTGTAACATGAGGGAACTGGCAGCGGATAGTTTCACGGCGAAGCACGCGATGGTTCCGTATACCATCACTAGGGCTCTCCAACGTACGTACACGTTTAATTTTTCAAGCGCCTTGCTGTGCTCACTTCGTGACCGTCCTCCAGACATAGCGAAGACCATGCGTAGAGGCAGGCAAGAAGACTCCCATGAATTTCTCCGATATGCTGTAGACGCGCTTCAGAAGTCATGTTTGGCCGGACAACCCCAGCCCCAGTAAGTTCGATAAACCAGCCTTGCTAGCACGCGCTCACCGAAGGAGTAGGAAAGTCGAGCCGAAGCTCGCTGAGACAACTTGGGTACACAAAATATTCGGTGGTCGCTTGCGTTCTCGAGTAAAATGCTTGTCGTGCGGACACAACAGTGACACCTTTGACAGCATGCTGGACCTCAGTATAGATATCTTCGGTGTTAGTAACCTCCGGGATGCTTTGCGCAAGTTTGTTGCCGTGGATCAGCTTAGGGGCCAGAACAAATACAAGTGCGAAAAGTGAGTCTCAATCTTCCCTTACGCATTCTCAAGTCTGATCATTGTAGGTGCAAGAAGCATGTCGCGGCCGACAAGCAATTCACCGTTCATGATGCTCCGATGGTGCTCACCATCCATCTAAAGAGATTCTCTCCCATGGGCCGCAAGATCCCGCATCTCGTTGGATATGACGAACGCATCTCATTACAGCCGGTGATGAGCGAGGGTCAGCATGGACCCACGTACACCCTCTTTGGCGTCATCTCACACGCTGGTGGCGGACCAAGCTCGGGACACTACTATGCGCACGTCAAAGATGCAGCTGGTCAATGGCATGAGATGAACGACGACACGGTCTCGAGGCAATCAGGAGCCCCTCTCGGGATGAAGAACGCCTATATTCTGTTCTACATCCGCGAGAAGGGGCAGGCCTTGGAGGCTGTTGTCTCACAGCCACAGAAGCCTGCATCAACGTCGCTGAAACCTGGCTTGGTCGCGTCAATGAAGAAGAGGAAGGTTGTAGAGAGCGAGGATGAGGCGCAGGAGGGCTCGTCGCCGAAGCAGCGACGCTTCATTGGCCCCCTGCTTCCGTCGCCGTTGATAGAGAAGCCGGACCCACAGGCGGAGGCCTTGAAGAAGAAGATCGCCAAGCAGACCACGTCACCGACCAAGCCGTCGAGCGCGCTTCTGAGTCTATCACAGTATGCAGATGATGATGACGATGACGATCTTGGCGAGAAGGTATCCCTGGTCATAGACAAGCCCCTTCCCGAAGCTCCCGCCCCAGCCGCTGACGCTGAGGACTTCGAAATAATTCCCACGCTTAGAGCGACTTCACCCACCGCTACACCTTCCTCCACCCCTACAAAATCAAAATCTCTTGGCCCGGTGTCTACTCAGTCATTCTATGCGTCGTCTTCGAAATCCGATCCTGAGTCCAGCAAGAAACGCAAACATGATGACAAGCACTCTAGTCCGCTGAGCCAGTACGCCCGGAGCCCGTTGAGGCACGATCGCAAGCATAGGCGGAAATTCCGCGGAGGGAACAGCCCCTTCAACCGCATGACTGGTGGTAACACGCTTAGTTTTGCTTCGCCTAGGAAGCGGTCGCAGTGGAAGACACGGTTTTAGAGTTATTCTCATGTACGTTGTCGCCTTGTAATGTACGCGCAGACCAAGAATACTAATTACAACTGCGCAGGATCGTGCACGCTTGAAGTACAATAATTTGTCGCAGTAATAGATCACTCTTGTAGTTTGTGTGCTTGCTTTCTTTTCCTCTGTCGTTCTCTTGTTGTTGCTCTGGGTTTGCGGGCTCTCGTAAATGTAACAGTCGAGTTCGTTGTACGCTATCAGGACGTCTAAATGCCAACACACCATTAGATTATCGAACCTTGTGTGCTCTAAGTGAGTAGTGTCGGCTTTCCTCCAGGAGACAGGATACGCCGTACCCGGCGTGCAGCGTAACAAGGCGGCTGGTTCAGGACACTGAGCCCGGATATTGGATAGCTCAGCGCCAGACGCACACTTCTCCATCGGACGTACGGTGTAGGACCGCTCCTTTGGGACAGCACCACTCCTTGGGACACTCCATTTTCTGCCCTCGCACAGCCTGTAAGGCCTATCACTACCACTTTACTGTATATAATACATCTATATCTATATGCCATTTGAAGCTCAGAGCCATCCGATGATTGTAGCGTAGGTGGGGGAGCAAAAAGCCTCGAAAATTGTCAAGCGCGCCGGCTTCAGTGATGCTGCGACCGTCACCAGAGCCGCAAAGTCAGCCTAAAGTTCGCGAAAATATTCTTTGATACTCGAATTTATTCTCCATTCATGTGAAAAATGCGCTAATGCTCAGCTGCTAAGTGTCGAGCTGGAATACATCAGAGATGATTCTACTGAGCTTAGGCGTGACTGAGGCGTGACAAGTTTGACTGCCGCGTCTGTCAAGACTGCTGGTACAGGTCACAAATCGTCACATCTGTCACATCTGTCACCCTGTCCCGAGTAGTGGTAGCCACTGTCCTGGGCCACCTCCGTCTTGTGTCCTTCGCCTTGACTTCAGCCTCCGTCCCCCCGCCTTGCAGCTTTTCACTGAGGTATCTCATATGTTGTAGTAATATAATGCGATTTATTTATTATTTATATGCGAGAGACATACGAAGGGGAAGCAAATATTGATCAGGTGTCCCAAGGAGTGGTCCTATACTGTATACAAAACTATTGCTCTTCGTGATAAAACGTGAACGCGTAAATAGGCGGTGCGCCTAAGGGCACCTGCGCGCGATCAGCCGTCTGTGTGCTTGAAGCAGAGAGGTTTCCGTGTCCTAGTTGAACTGCTGCAAGTTGAGGATGAAGCAGCAGATAATGACTGCCTGCTGCGACGATTATAGTCAGCACCCAGTCTGGAGGTGTGAGCTCTGGACGCCTTGACCACTGGAACAAATCGTTAACAACGCGCAGAACGAAACCCCAGAAATTGGCTTACTTTGGATTGAACTGGAATTGATGCAAAAACCATACTATCACGATGCGAAGAGGAATATTATGATGAGTGTTCGCGTGTAAATGGCTAAGTTTGCGTTGGCCGACGTCGACCGCAAGGTTCCGCATACCGCGAATATGTAAGATGCTCGCGTTTAATTAGGACGCAATGGAAAGTGGAGTGTGCTTCAAGGCTAAGAGCTGAGGGTCAGTGGCATGCTAGTAATGCGACCGTGACAGTGCTCATTCGCATTTCATACGAAAGCCAACTGTCGACTCGAGTAGCTGGGAGCGCGCAAGGCCGGTAGATCTGAAGATCGAAGGCGGAAATTTTCCTAAAACAGGCAGCGTCGGTGTTTGTGGAATTATTCCGAATTCGGAGTAAAACGCCGTCACTCACACTCGCGGGATAGGCTCGATTGTTGCAACGGCCACGGTAGCAAGATACTCCGAGGTCTCTATATATTCGCCCTGACGCGTCACTAAACTCAAAACCTCGTGTCTGGGGTCGTCAAAGTCGACAGCGCGGATATGATGGCAGATGGGCAGGCCGAGGAACCTCAGCGCGCATCGGCAGAGGCGACGTCCACCGTTGCCGAGTCTGTACCACCAGAAGAGTGAGTATCGCCTCCGTTTCAGCCTGATAACACTCATAAATGACAGATATAACAGAGCACAGATGCTCTCGACAGTGATCCGAGTCTTGTCGCAAACCATGAACCAGAGCCTCGCGGAACTCGGCTACTTTCCCTCATTAGGTGTCATGGTACAGGAGCTGCGAAAGCAGAACCGTGAATTTCACGAGGTGACGGTCAAGCTGCACTCGGATAATCACGTTTTGCACCGCGACATAGATCTCCGCGAGCAACACATCCAGAAGCTTCAGGCGGAGCTGGACGCGTACAAACGCGATTTCTTCAGGACGAACGAGTGGCTGAAGCAGATCACATCGGAGCGTGATCACCTATATCGTATGTACGCATCTGTCATTTCAAGGATCTTGGAGTTCGCGGGCCTTATCGATCGTTTGTGCAGAATACAGAATGGTGTGGCCAACGGACCACAGCACATATCATCGCCAATGGCGCCGCAACCGCCGCCCTTTGCCTCGGTTGGTCCTGCTTATGCCAGTGACGCCCCAGAAATCCACCCTTATGGTCACCACCGAGTTCCTATGATGTATGACGGCGCCCCAGGAGCTAGCCCAGAGCTGTCGTTCAATAGGGTACCTGTCACGTTCGCACTGGTCACGAAAGGTTCTTACCTGGAACTCATCATACAGCCGCCGCCTGCTGCAATACCAGTGCCTGTGATCCAAAACTATCACATGGCCGACCCAGGAATGCAGCCCCCACCGGGTGTTGGTCGACAAGTGGTGGTAAGATAGCACCTGCCATAGCTTCTGCCCTGTCTGATGTCGAGCTAGACGACGGCCATTGTACCGTCCCATGTGGCCCCGTCTAATTGGCCCGAATCGAGGCCTTCCTCGAGACCGGCCTCTCGACGGAACTCAGAATCGACTACAACAAGCAACGTGGGAGATGCGGCAAGCAAAACCCAAAAGTCTAGCGGGCTTAGTGCCATCCGTATCACCCCGCCTACCCAGGCGGGGAGACTTGGAACTATCCGGATAGTTCCTGCTCAGACAGTCGGCCAGCCGTCTCCTGTGCCTGCTTTTACGCAAAGGGCCAGGGGCACCATCGATCTTACGGAGAGCGTGAGCAAAGACGCCGTAGCTAGTGAAGAACCTGTACGGAAGCGACGGCGTACGACGCAGACCGCCGGGGAACCTGTGCTGCTCGCGCAGCCCCCGCTCGACCTCGCAACTCTCGGGGACCAACTCTCGCAGCTGGAGCAGCATATCGCATCGCCGAAGCCCCAGGCTGAGGTCCCGCTTCCAGCCCCCGCGCCAGAAGCAGACGAGGAGACGGACGACGATGACGGCGACAAGGACGCAGATGGTTTGGTACGCGTCGACGTCTGCATCAAGATCGCGTTTGAAGAGAAGGAGGGAAAGATGTGGTGCAAAATGTGCCAGTAAGCGTTACATTTGTGCGTTATTTACGATAGTGCTTGACGATTTGGCAGGTTCCGCAATGTGAAAGCCGTTACGGACGAGCCTCCGGTACCCATGCCGACCACACAACACGAAGACCTTGTCAAGCATCTGGAAGATGTCCATCCCGCAGGCTGGAGGCGACTCCGGGGCGTGTCATAACGCCGTACACTATACCTTTATATTTGCAGACCCTTTCTTGAGCCATTTCTTGTTCCCGCATATGCAACATTCGCAGCGCTTCTACATATACTGTACTTCCATTATTCTAGGCAGACCACCCGAGTACATCATTTGTGATATCCAGAAACGCCATCAAGGCTCGATCGTGTCCGCCATCTTGTGAAGTAGATGCTGTACGCGCTTGACCTCGTGCCGTGCGCGAGTGACGTTCTTCTCGTTCACCAGCGCATCATAGATCGAGGGCAAAGGCGTGGCACCATAGCCTGGATCAGCAGCTCAGTACGCTCGCCGAAACAGATACGGGAGCAAAACACGTACCTAGCCACTTGCCAGGTGCAATAATGAGGTGCCTGTACCATTCACGATCTGTGATTCCATCTTCGTGTATGAATCCCTTCTCAAACGCCACAAGCTTCGAATTCGCCTTCTGCACGCGCTTCGCAGCCTTGATGAATTCGCGCATGGGGTCCCGCTTGCCCTTGAGCATGCACAACACGCGCTGCCACCAACGCCCGTTGAACGGCGTCCCGCGCTTTGGCAGCTTGCCGAGGAGCTCCTTGAACCGCTTCTCGGCGGTGGCCTTCTCTTTGTCGAGTCTGTGACTGGCGTGTTGCAGCTTCTTGAAAGCGTGGCGCAAGCCTTTGAATTCGACAGAGGCAGCGACGTCGGAGGGCGCGTCGTTCAACACGCTGCAGCTGTCGTGAGACACGCATCACGCCGCACTGTCGGGATTAACTTACAATTCCAGATAGTCATCCAGCTCAAGCGCATATTGTGAGGTGTTAAGGGGCAGTATAACGGCGTCTGTCAGCCGTAGGGCGACTAAGCCCAGATGCTTGGCGACGGCCACCTGGGTATCGTTGAGCAGATGAATTGACAAGGCTCGCAAGAACGAAGCTTACATGACGATGGAAGCCCGGATCGGCGTAGAGCTCCTGCCAGCGCTGCGAATCATAGATGGAGTGATAGTGGTAGACCGCATCGGACGGTGTCTGGGCAAAGCCCTGGTCCATGCTCGCAATCTGGTGGAGTCAGCCCGTTTCCAGTAGCTACAGCTTGACAGTTGACATACCCCAAGCCTTTGCAGGAACGCTGTGTAGTCACTACCGGAACCAAGCGGATAGATGCCCGTACTGAGAGATTGTGCTCGCTGCTCCTTCTCGTAGATCTCGATGGCTTCCAAGTCTGCATCGCCAGCGTATGGGCCGTTGTCAGAGCGTGCATCCCAAAGCGTCTTTCCAGGGTCAGTAGGATGGGGAATCTCGAGGGCAACCTGACGAATCAGGTGTGCAAGCGACGGCGAGGCTGAGGGGCTCCATTGGGAGCCGCTAACGGAGACATCTACGACACGAAAATTAGGTTGATTGGATGGCAAGGTCAGCGAGCACGTACCTAGGTTGATATATGCGACGACATTCTCAGAGATCCACTCAGCGAAGTCCTCAGCGAACTCTGTGCTACCGATGAGGCCGTACTTAACATCATGATATAAGAGTTAGCTGCCAAAAATCAAATAAGGATACCAAATGTCAATTACCTCTTCCGCATCCCAGCTCGCGATAACAACATTCCTCAAGGGTTTCCAGCCGTTCCTCAGAAGGGTACCAAAGCCCTTAATTACCTCATGCAAGGACACCGTTCCAGAGGTGGGGTCGGCAGCACCCATGACCCACGCTACATGAAAGTTAGCCAGAATGCGAGAAACCGAGGACCGCAAACTGACCATCACGATGGCACCCGATGAGCACAGTTTCGTTCTTGATGTGTCCAGGAATGGCAGCCATAGTATTCCAAATGGGCATGACCTTGTCGTCCACTGGCAACTCAATGAGTATCCAGCCGCGTGGAGACAGGCTGAACGGGACGCACCATGGTTGACCAAGCGAATCTTCCTCCAGCTTGGCGCGCCATTCAAGGACCGAGCATCGTGGTCATGCGAGATCTCGGCAAGGAGGCGTTGAGCATTCGCCCAGGAGATAGGAAGGCTTGGAATCTTCGGGATATTCTCGCCTTCGACGCGAGTAGCGTTTTCATACGCGGGGTATCCAGGGGTGGTCGGGTCACCAGGGTAGAGCGACAAGAATTGGACGGAGCCGCGCTGTACAGAGGTGGGGTTCCTGGCTGGGCCAGCGGGGTAGGTTTCGTAGCCATTCTCGACTGTCACGCTCCCATCGTCACGAGGATCTGTATAGATGAGCACGCCAGCGGCACCGAGTCTCTGCGCCCCTTCGATCTATGGATATTCAGCGGTCAAGTATATCTGATCAAACTGAACCTAATTACCTTAAGACCTCTGAAGTTCGCTCCGTAGCGCGTAAGGACGATCTTTCCGGTGAAGTTGGTACCTTTTGCAACGAGTTCGTCGTAGTCTTCCTTCCGACCATAGTTGGCGTAGATGAGTTGACCTTCAACCTCCCCGTCACGACTCAAGCCATGCCAGGTGGGAATGTAATCCCTGTAGATGGCTGCCAGTGGGTCCAAGGGATCGCCGTCTTCGACTAGGTCTGCATCCCAGACGGTCTTGCCGTCCTCGCTAATGATCTGCAGAGCGCGATCAAGAGGAGTATTCATGATGGGGTAGTAGACGTCAATCCATGCTGACGGGCCAGTGAGCTTGTTGATACTGAGAGTGGCATTCCTGGATGCCTCACTGCCTGCCGAAAAGACAGGCGCGGTCTCAGGCGCGGAGACGTCGAATTCGTCCTGGAAGAGCTTGAGGATCACTTTGGCGTCCGCGAAGTCCTCTACGGACGCAGCAAGATGCGGGTGCGTGGCAAAAGCTCTGGATGCGGCCAACGCACTCGCTTCATCCGGCACAGACCTTGAGAGACGCGTCAGCCCATACAGCAAGAACTCCGGCTTCGACTGGGACTAACAGGAACAATTTCTCTGTTTTTGCTGAGTCCAGGATCTGAAGGCTGGACTCGTAAATATCGTACGGCCAGTTCTCGTCAGAATAACTCCAGGCGGCGATCCCCACTCTGGCGAGACAATACGCAGCTACAAGACCGACCAGCCATAGCTTCGTGCGAACTTCGCTCCGACGAGGCTGGACAGGCGTAGCGGGCTGTTCCTCGAGGGTCTTGAGGTCGACCGGATGGGTCGCGGACTCCTTCTCGCTCATGGTTGTCCGGGATAAGGCCTGTACTCGCGACAGCGTCTTACAAATACCTTTTTTTGCATGATCGCGGCCGAACACATGGACACGCTTAACAATGTGTAGCTCATCACATGCTGACACCAGCTTCCCCGGCGCTTCCCCGCATTACGCTCTTCTCCGGCTCACCACCATGTCCGACGGTGCACAGGTCCCGCCGCCGCCGCCTCCAGAGACTACAGCGCCACAAGCCGGAAGTGCTGGTGGTGAACCGAGCACCGACGTGTCGCGTCCTGCTCCTGAAATGGGAGATAGATCAGAACTCTTGCAGCGCGCAAGAACATTCCTGAGTTCGCCGCAGGTCGCGCACGAGGATCTTTCAGCGAAACGCAAGTTCCTCACAGACAAGGGTCTGAACGATGCTGAGATAGAAGGGTTGCTGCGAGAGACAGTAAGTGCCTTGACGTACCTCTGCGCATCGGATGTGCGGCCTGACAGCCTGTATAAAAGCCCGTGTTGGCTCCTATGGTGCCGCCGCGAACATATCCGCAACCACCTCCTTCCAATTTGCCCGGTCTCCTCGTAGGGATTCTAAGGATTGCCACATGGGTCGCTGGAGGATCCGCTGCATTACTCCTGATTTACTTCGTATGTCATCGTGCTCTACTCCGACCAGAAGTTGCTTCCGCCAACCTTCTGGTGTCGTTAGCGGTTCATATATCCCCGCATCGCGCAGACATTCCACGCGAGACATTCCCTTAGAGCGCATCATAAAACGCTCTTGACTCGGCTCACGTCTTCCATTGAAGAACTCAAAGCAACACAAAATGAGACATTCGCTGTGCTTCCACTACCACCGGCCTACAAAGTGGAGCCGCCGTACGCGGAATGCAAGACTCTTGATGATGTCGCGTCTGCTGCTGGCGAGTCACGCGACATTCCGCACATTCTGCTACTGGAGCGCGCCATTGCGGAGATAAACTCAAAGAAGCAAAAGGCGACCGCAGAAGCGATATTACAGCTCTTGGAAACCAAATTTCCTTGGATCCAGTCCGAGAAAGAGGGCAAGTTTGAGGTGCGTCAGACGAGACCAAGCCGCATGAGCAATCGCACACTTACCCATGACATCTCTAGAATGAGCTATGGGAGGTCCTGTCAATCTCAGTGCTGTTCGAGCAGGACACCACAGACGATGTATCCGTGTGGTCGTTCAAGGCCCCACTTCCACCTCCGCCCTCTGCGCTTCAGTTAGCGTTATCCGCCCTTCACGAGGCGCTACCGGGTCCCAGTAGAGACCTCGCGAGTATACGGAAGACCTATGACGCGCTCTCAAACTTCACTGGGTACATGAGCAGTCAGCTCTACGCCATGCCGTCTAACCTTCGCTTCACTGCCAATGGCATGTCGACCGTGCTATCTCCGGAGGAAGAGGAAATACGGCGCGAGATACGTGCTCTGAAGGGCCTTATGCTGAACCGGTGAGTGCTGCCGTGCGCTGTCGCTTGGCGGAAACCTTGCTGAGCCGCTTCCAGCCGCTCGTTCCTGCCTCCGCGGCCGACCTCCGTGCCCGCACTGTCGTCTGTGGCTGGCTCGGTGCCCTCGTGACCCAGGCTGTTGATTATGACGCCAAGCCATTGCCACAGTCGCGTTTGCTGTTCGGGTTCCAGTGTGAACGTGCCTCTGCCATACGCAGTGCCCTTGATAGATGCTTCTCCCGGCTTCTCACGTACAGCAACCGTTGTCTGTTACCGTGGATATATTTCAATATCTTCCTATCGTGTGGCGTTTAGCGTGGTAAGGTCGTCGGTCGGGGTGGCTGTGCAGTGATTCAGATGAGGTCAGAAGGAGCAGCGCGTTATCTAGGTTCGATCCTGTTCGTAAGACTTCTCAAATTCCGCACAGCTACCGTACCGATATTTCGCACTGCATCTGCTAAGATGCGCCTTGACATGCTTAGCATCCGTGGGCCGCGCGTGATCCTCATCCAAGCGAGACTAGAGGTGGCTAAGAGAAGCCGTGCGACGATGTGGACGGTGCCCGCCTCGGAAATTAACACGCGTCTGCAATTCCGACCGGATAGTGTGGACATAGACTAAGTCTGCTTGACCATGTGGCTTTTGCACAGCTTGCAGACGGCAGGCGGGATTCCTGAATGCCTAAATGACAGCTGCGTGTGTTCTGCAACAGCTGCGCAGGCAAGTCTTGTTGTTTGCATCAGACGAAAGCATTCATATTGTCCGCGTAGAGTCCAATGCGTCACTTTCCCGCAGCTACGGTTATTGCAAGGCCGGCTGCCAGCCCGCAGCACCCGACAAGCACGATACCAAGTTGAAGAGCGATATTAGTCCGTGCGACATAGTTCTACAGAGTCCATCAGAGTGTTGTATGTTAATGAGCGAGATGTACGGGAACGAAGTATGCTATGCAAGAAAGAACGACAGCGAGGGAAGACAGAGCATGCAAGATGTATCATGAGGGCGAGTGTGGTGGCGCGACTGTCGGCGGCGAGTATTCCGTTGGCGTCGGGGGTGGAGGTGGTGTAGGCTCACGACATGCTTCGGGCGCGGCGACGACCTGGTCGTATGCAGGCGCATGCTGGTATGGGGGTGGTGGGGGCGGTTTCGGCCGGCGGAAGTGTATGGCGGCGCGCACGCGTCTCTCAATGTCCTCGCGCTCGCGCTCCTGCATCTCCTGCTCGAGGTAGTGCCGATCGACCACCGAGCGCACGCGGTCGCGCGAGGGCGTGCGGCGCCAGCTGTTCACGCACCGGCCGAGCGCGAAGAGCACGAAGCAGCCCACGATGCCGCCGAGCACGCCGAAGACGATCCCGACGATCAGCCCGCTCTTGTTGCTGCTGTGCCGTGCTGGGGGCTGGTGCGGGTGCCGTACCGGCTGGGGATGCTGGGGCGGCAGCGGCTGGGTGTGCGGGAAGGATTCGGGCGAGGGAGCGGTGGGGAGCGGCCGCTGTACGGAGTGCGATGTGCTGGTGCGATTGAGAGTGACCGCCTGCGGTTGTTGCGACAAGCTGCTGCCTGAATCGGCAGCGGCACCTGCGGCGGGAGTGGGTTTGCTGAGTGATGCACGCGACTTGCTCGTCGAGGAAAACGACCTCGTGGACGATGTCGACGGAACATCCTCAATGGACGACACCGGAGCGGACGACGTTATCGCGTCCAAGACATCCGGACTGTCCTGGGTTTTGGCAAGAACCTCAAACTCTGCAGATGGCGACGCGACGTTGGCCATCTGTCCCAATGCAAACCTGGAGCGTAATGCGCAGTCAGAAACGATGTGGGAATCTACTACTGATTTGCAACTCACTGAACGGACATGCAGAGCATCCCCAGGACCAAGGCCATGGTACGCATGTGCGGTCAGTCTGGCGAGGTGGGAAAGAGCAAGTGGTAGTTAGGAGGGCCAGGGCAGGTATATATCGTGGTTCTGACGAAGGTCGTGCATTGTGCACGAGACTCTGGCTATATGCCGGAGCGACGCAGTTTGTTCACGGTGGGAACAAAGATGGACATTGGCCCGTTTGCGGCGACCGTGGCCCGTAGGCGCCTGACGGTATTTATGGACAGAGATCAGGATCAGGATCCTAGGAACACGCCGCAAGGGGTCGGGCGGGCAACATTGCGGTAGGCAGGAACGATCCCAACAATGTCCCATCAGCTCAGGAGGATTACACCCAGCTTGTGCATCCTGAGGCCTGAGAGTGAGTGCGCAGCTCGACTCCCTCCACCGCGTCTTCTGTTTTGGTAACTATCTGAAGAACTTTTGATTCAGTGAAATTAGCGTCGCGCGATGGTGAGACAAGTTTCGAGCGGGCAGCGGCTCTGCGAAACTTTCCCCGCGGCTATACTTATAGTCCCGTCGGCGTGTGGCCAGCTCCTTCGGGACATGTGCTCGGCGCTCGGCGCTCAGCTCTCGAGGTCGTCGGAGCGGCTGTTGACCCTTTTCCACCATTAAATGAACGAACTAGGTACTCAACGGCGAGTTGCGAACACTATTCAGTGCACCGAGTGTAGCTACCGCCAAGGACGCGGGTCCTCGTACGCCTCCTGCTGCTTCTGCTATAGTCTTTGATCTAGCCGTCGGAACGATGGTGAATTGTTCGGCATGAACCACAACTCCGGACAAAGCAGGAGCTCAGTCACTGTGCGCATGTGGAGGACAGCCAGGAAAGATGGGTTCCCTGTCGTTTACAAGCATTCATCGGGATTGCAGCGCTGGGCAAGAAATTCCAGACAAGATAAAATAAAATAAAATAAGCCAGAGTAGCTTACGAAGCTGTAAGTACGAGCGCGTTACGCAGGTCAGTAGTTTTTGGTAAAAGCTGATGAGCTTGTCGAGGCATACTGTAAGGCGATTGGCTGAGTCAGCGCTCTGACATGGGCGCCTTGGCATGTGCCTCGGGATGAAGCGACCCGACGCGGTACTCCGGACGAGACCCTTCATACAAATACCCATAGCATTCCACCAAATTCCTACCGGTCTATCACAGTATACCTCCTCACTGGTCACCGCTCCCCCTCCGCCGTCGTCCCCTCGACAGCATGCCGTTCCACAATGAGCTCAACGGCATCGACCTCGGCATGTCGGACCTCGCTTTGCTCGATTTCCTGACATCCCCTGACTTGCCCGTCGCAAAACATGGTTTCAAGCGTCGAGACGCAGACCTCGACCCCTTGATGCTCGCTGCTGTCTACTCTTCAGGCCCCCAAGTCACCCGCAACCACTACGCGCACGACTTTTTCCCAGCCGTCGGAGACCCGCGCGCCGAGGGGGCCTACGATTGGACAAAGTGGCAGCCAGAGACGGCGAACACCGTGGGGCAGCGGCGGCCACGACTCAAGTACGTGAGCAGACAAGAGCCGCGCAGCCAGCGGCTGAAAAGGGAGGGCGTTGCGGTCGACGAGCAGCAGGAGACTGCAAAGGTTAGTCAGAATACGTGCGCTTGAGTTTAACAAACCGCTTAGTCCGGAGTGCAGCACCCACCTGCGTTGAATGCAGACGCTCCTGCGAGCTCTCCATTGCCGGCATCGGTTACCTCCGCACCTCCCGCCTCCGCAGACCCCGTGAAACCTCCGCTCGAGGTGAAATGCATGGCTAGGACTCGCGTTCCCACTCCTCACGGACCAGTGTTTCTGCACCTATACCACAACAATCATGATTCCAAGGAACATCTTGCAATAGTGGTGGATCCTGCGCAGTTGTCGGGACCATCCCATACCCATAATCTCGCACCGCCAATACGGAGTCAGTCCCTGGATGCCATATGGAGCGACAATGAGACGGAAATGGAACGTATCACTCGCGGTGCCTATGTCGGACGTCTGTCCAAGGATTCCCAGATACCATCCACTCCGTCGCAGGCGCGACCCACCATCACGACGGATTCGATACCATCTCCCCTCATCCGCGTTCATTCGGAATGTTTCACCGGAGAGACCATCGGTAGCATGCGTTGCGACTGCGGAGAGCAGCTAGACGAGGCGATACGCCAGATCTCCCAACCCATCCCCATTCCCCCCTCCACCGCGTCCGCAGAGCCGACGACGATCCCAGGGCGCGGCGTGGTCGTGTACCTGCGCCAGGAGGGCCGCGGCATCGGCCTACTTTCGAAGATCCGCGCCTACAACCTCCAGGACCTCGGGCACGACACCGTGACCGCAAACCTGATGCTGGGCCACAAGGCAGACGAACGCGGCTACGAGATCGCGGCGGCGATACTGTGCGACCTGGGCCTGGGCACGGTGACTGGCGAGGGCGTGCGCGTACTGACGAACAACCCGGACAAGATGCAGGCGTTGTCGAAGGAGGGCATTAGAGTCGTAGAGCGCGTGCCGATGGTGCCCCGTAGCTGGGCGTGCCGGCAGCACGACGCGGTCCTGGTCAACCAGTCTGTGAAGACGGAGACATGGGCGAAGAGGGGAGCGGGCGCGACGATGATAGGTGGGGGAGCAGTATATGGCGAGGACCTGGATAAGTACCTGCGGACGAAAGTTCTTCGGATGGGTCATATGCTGCCGCTGATTGCCACGGGAGAAGAGGACGACGATTTGTAGTATCTCGACGTCTTCTCGAGAAAAGCTGAAAACTTGAGATAGGCGGAGCCTTTATATCTATTGCATTGTCTGTCGGATTTGTCCAGACGATCATACTACCATACAAGCAGCCGTACTGCGTACTACACACCAGGAGAAATGTAGAAAGATACTATGGACACAAACTGTTTCGCAAATTATACTGTATGGATAGCGCAGTCTGCGCAAACGGGGAGCTGCAGTGCACGGGTCGAGACTCGACTGCGGTGCTTGAAAGACCGGCACGAAGCGAGCGTGTCAGTGAGCCGGCATGCCCCAAGCGCGAGAACACTTGGAGCATTTCTACGTTGTCCACAACTTCCACTCGGGCGACCTCGCCGCACACCAGCCACACTGGCGACAATCGACATGTTCGACCCCCTCAGCTCGACATTCGGCGAGGAGGCGCAGCCCCCATGGCCCACGACGCCACGCACGCCAAACACACCAATACCCAATCTCCCGCGGCCGTCTTCGCGCCCCTCGTCACGCCCACAAACCCCGGACGAAAGGAACGCTGGCTGGAATGGTAGACAACCTCAGATATATGGTGCACCCGAGCCTGGTCTTATCTCCCCCACAGCAACGACCGGCTCGAACGGTGTCAAGTATGAGAAGGCGGAGCCTTACCTCAAGGTGCGAATCACCGGACTGGACAGGAACAGAAGAGACATTCTTGTGAAGTTCGACGCTCAGGTGCGTGCGCACACAGTTATGCGTGGTGTCCAGATTCTCACAGGCCGCTGCGTATCTAGACTAACCTGTCCAACTTCTCGGGCACAACCTACCGCAACGCCTCGCGATCATACCTTGAATTCCAGCAGTTTTACGATGCCATCATCCACAACAACCCGCAAACGATCATCCCCGCGCTCCCCCTCGCACAAACGTCCGCCCCAACAGACGAGGAAGATGACAGGCTCGTGAGGATCATGCTCCAGCGGTGGTTGACCCGCATCTGCGAGGACCCTATCCTCATGCAGGAGGAAGAGCTGCGGTCATTTATTGAGAGCGACTTTGGGTACCAGCCGACACCTGTGACACGCAAGAAGGCCTCCTCTGGCTTCAGCTTGATTCGGCGCAACGTGCCGGACGAAGACGAGGAGCTGCAACGGGCACGCTTTGAGCTCACCAAGCTGGAGACCCAGTTCTTCGAGGCGGCCAAGGCCATCGACAAGCTTTCGAAGGTGCAAAAGTGTACGTCATCGTAGTTTCTTCTCCGCGTCAACCTTCACAAATTGACATCTCTGCGCAGCGCTCGGGGCTGTGAGATCAGATGTCGGCAACAAACTCGTGAACGTCGCCACGACAGAGGCTCACCCGCCTCTGGGCAATGCGCTGCGCAAGCTTGGGCGAACATACCACAGCTTGTCAGACCTCGACCAGGCGCAGGGCATCAGCGAGTGTGTTATCATAGGAGACACACTTGGCTACCAAGGGTTGAACGCGCGCTCCGCCAAAGAAATCCTGCAGCAGCGAACATCGGTGCTGGAGGAATACCAGGCGGCCGTGAAGACCACGATCTCGAAACGTCGAAATATCGAACGTTTGAAAGCCAGTCGTAATATTGGCGCAGAGAGGGTGGACGAGGCTTTGGAGGATCTTGAGGAGGTATGTGTACTGTAACTTTGATGCGTTGTTGGCTAATCCTATGTATGTCCGCCAGGCGGAGAGATACGAACAAATTCTTGCTCGTCGCGCAGAGGGCATCTCACAAAACCTCCATCGTGCATTGGCCAGGCATAAGCGTCTGGTGGCAGAGGACGTCACAACAGCCCTCATTGAGCACGTCCGGTCTTCAATCATGTACGAGCGGCAACATCTCCGCGAGCTCGAGGCCCTGCGGCCTGACGTCCAGAACGCAGACAAGAAGCATGTACTCCAGAAACCCGTCACGACGCCGCGACCAAGCCATGTCCCGCCATTGGAAGACTTTTCCAGACCTGTTCCACCACCATTGAATACTGCTCCTGTTTCCAACGAGGGTCGTACATCTTCCACTACTCCCTCTGTCTCAGGACCCCTATCGGCGCGTTCTGCATCGCCCTTGCAGAGGTATACCCCCACACTTCCTTCTGTTGCTGCCAACAGTCCTCTGCAATCACCCGGCGCTGGTCCATCGTCCCCGGTTTCGCAGTCAGCTAAACCTTCATCATTCACCTCTCCCGTCAGCGATGGACCACCCCTCGGCGGCCGCCTTGTAGACGGCACGAAATCCATGTTTGTGAAGCCTACACCGTCACCGCTGGGCCCGCTCGCCGATCCCAGCTCACCGAACCGCCCGCCTTCTGTGAGAGCGCAGTCACCATTGCACTCTGCCCGCACGAGCTCGCCCCATCCCCTCGCACAGTCCGCCTCGTTCGAGTCGCCGTTGCACTCGTCGGCGTCTGTGGCTAACGGACGGCCAGACGACCTGGACCCGCTGGGCATGGTCAAGCCGTCGTACATGAGCGCGTCTGTGAGAGTGCAGCCTACGAGGCCCAGGCTTGATGCCAGGGAGGCGGCTAGCAAGCTCGCGAATATGTTTTAGGATACCATGGTTGTGTTGTATCCTTATATATGCCACCACGGGCCGCTCTTGTTAATGCATATACCTTCCGCTGGAGTGTTATCTTATTTTCCGTAGACGAACTGAAGCTGGGAGGGAACATGCTGTATTCAATCTGGGCAACGCTTTTTGCTATTTGTACACGGGTATTCGTGCCATGCCTCGACGCGTGTCTAGAGAGTAGACTTCAGGATCTCGACGATCTTGTCGCCGATGTCCCTCGTCTTACTGCTGCCCCCGAGGTCCGCCGTGCGCAGACCCTCGCCACCGATCTCCTTGTCGTCCAAGACCTTGCGGACAGCCGCCTCGATCGCCTTCGCAGCCTTTTCCATGCCCAGCGAGTACCGCAGGAGCATCGCCGCGCTGAGGATCGTGCCGATCGGGTTCGCGATGCCCTGGCCGGCAATGTCGGGTGCCGAGCCGTGGATGGGCTCGTAGAGGCCGGGCGTGGGCTTGAAGGATGGCGAGGTGTAATCTGCCACGGAAGGCGCGCTTGCGAGGGATGCAGACGGGAGTAGGCCGAGGGACCCGGGGATGACGGACGATTCGTCCGACAGGCTGGCCGGAAAAAAAAGAATGAGTCCGACGTGACGATATGCACAAAACAAGAACGGGCGCACTCACATGTCGCCGAACAGGTTCTCAGTCAGGATGACGCCGTTGAGCTTCTTGGGGTTCGACACGATAAGCATCGACGCCGAGTCGACGAGCTGGTGGTCGAGCTTCAGCTGCGGAAACTCGTTCTGGAGCGTCTCGGTGACGACCTTGCGCCAGAGGCGCGAGCTCGCGAGCACGTTCGCCTTGTCGATCGAGTGGATGGCGAGCGGCGGGTCCGAGGCGAGCGCGACCTGCGCCGCGACGCGCGTGATGCGCTGCACCTCGGGCACGCTGTAGATCATCGTGTCCCACGCCGCGTCCTCCTGGGGGCTCGCGCCGAGCTCCTTGCGCTCGCCAAAGTACGCGCCGCCGATGAGCTCGCGGAGGACGATGATGTCGACGCCCTGGGCGACGGACGGCTTGAGCGGCGAGTACGCGAGCAGGCTGTCCGAGGCGAAGTTGGCGGGCCGGATGTTGGCGTACAGGCCGAGTGTTTTCCGGAGCGTGAGCAGGCCGGGCTCCGGGCGCACCTTGGCGTTCACGCCCCACTTGGGGCCGCCAATGGCACCTGGATGCTCTCGTAAGTGAAACCCTTGGGTGGGAGAAAGGCTGGTGTACCTAGAATAATGGCATCTGCCGCCTTGCATGCCTCGAAGGTGGCATCGGTCAAAGGCATTCCGTACTTTTCGATGGCAGCGCCACCAAAGTCGTGTACGTCGAGCTTGAGCTCGACATCGATGGAAGCGGCAGAGACGACTTCGAGCACACGGATAGCCTCCGCTATAACCTCAGGACCTGCAAGGTGCAATTTATCGATACAGGGTCTCACACGGGCCAGTTGGGCATGAGAATACCGATTCCGTCCCCTGGAAGGACTACGACGTTGAAACTGGCACGGTCTCTGTCAGTGCGGCAACGCTTGGGGATGTCTAGGCTTGCTCACGACTGCTTGGACATTGCTGCTGGCTGGTGGGGCGAAGACAGGGTTGGTGGTGGGAGGTGAGAACCTGCTGAAGGTCGCAGCTTTGCCAGGGCTCATCGCGCAATTGACTCGACCTTGTGACATGAGAGGAGAGATAAGATTAGATTACGGGGTCGGACTGATCGGCCTTGTGGCGACCACGTGTTTATCTGGATGAGCACTCTGAAATTTCGTCCTCTTGCGCTGACCTGCATGGCTGCTTCGACCGACCCGAATCCCGCGTGCAAGAGCCTCGTGCTCGATGCCGGCCCCCTTCTTGCGCTGTCTCCACTGCGGGGCCTTGCAGAGACGTTCTACACCGTCCCACAAGTGCTCGATGAGCTCAAGGACAAGCGGGCGAGAGAGCACTTTGAGAGGCTCGGGCTGTCCGCCGGTGTGAGAGTCCAGGTGCAAAATCCTGATCCCAAGTCTTTAGCACACAGTACGCCGCGCTCCTTTTTTTCTATCCATGATTGAACTCACCAGTGTTCTTAGTTGTCCAGTTTGCGAAGAAGACCGGCGACTATTCCGTCCTTTCCACTGCCGATCTCTGCGTCCTTGCCCTGACATACTCGCTTGAGCAGAAGGCGAAGGAAGAAGCTGAAGCGTTTGGCTCCATCCCGCAGGTATGTGTACATCGTAATGCCCCAGCACTAACATGACCCAATTTCGCAGCAAGATAATGTGCCATCCGCAGCAGAAGCAAGCAGTAATCTGAGGTCTGCAGAGTCCCAGGTCGAGAGCGTGTCGCAGACCATCGAGGAGCCTACTATCGCAGAAGAAGTGCGAGAAGAAGAAGCGGCAGCAGACGCTCCTGTTGAGCCCTCTGAAGCCGCTCCCGAGGATGAACAAGACGCCGAAGAGGACCAAGAGCCACTAGACGTCAAGCTCGAGCCCATCACTCTAGAGGACGAAAACGTCGATGAAACGTCCTCGAGACCAGAGGACGCGGCGGCTGCGCCACCATCGGCTGAGGACGACGGACCGCTATACGACGATCCGTCTGACGAAGACGACGGCGAGGGCCAATGGATCACGCCGTCAAACGTCGCTTTGCACAAGTCGAGAGCTCTCCACCTCGTCCCGGAGGAGGCAGGGAAGGGCAGAGGCAAGCCTGCTGCACAGATCAAGGTCGGATGCATGACAGCAGATTTCGCAATGCAAAACGTGCTCCTGCAGATGGGCCTCAGTTTGGTGGGCGTCGAGGGCAAGAGGATCGACCGGGTGAAGAGCTGGGTCCTTCGTTGCCACGCTTGCTTCAAGTATGCCCGTCTTTCGTCGTGTTTGCCCCCATCATTGACATCGTCCCTCAGGATCTGCAAAGACTCGTCGCGAAAATTCTGTCCATCATGCGGCAATGCAACGCTTCTCCGTGCCTCTGTCACGCTCTCATCGCCTAATGCGACGAACTCAACACCAACGCTGCAAGTTCACCTCAAGAAGAACTTCCAGTTCAAAACTCGCGGTACAAAGTACTCGATACCCGCGCCCAAGCCTGGTACGGCCAAAACAGGGCCAGGCGAGGGTCTCATCCTCCGAGAAGACCAGACCGCTTGGATGCGGGCAAAGAAACACGCAGACGGCAAGAGGGAACGGGAGGAGAAGAGGATGCTCAGCACGACCGCAAATAGTCGGGAGCCCGGTAGCATCGCGGTGGGCAGTTGGATGGACCCGGACTGGGTGCCGGAGATGCTGAGCGTCGGCGCGGGGGGCAAGGGCCGCAGCATGCGGAGCGGGCGCATGGACGGCGACATGCCACAGATTGGCTACGGCAGGAAGAATCCCAACGAGCGGCGCCGGCGAAAGTAGAGGGTCGCGTCGGTCGTGGATGTTCTGCTGCTCACCGGGACCGACATGTCCGGTTCACCGCGTCATATTACATTTCTTCCAGTTTTCTTACATCACAGGCGTCCCCTCTATGTATCTCTTAACTGCCCAAGCTCCTGTTCATGAAGCGCCTCTTCTGGAACGCCATCCACCACTTGCTGGGCTTCCCTGTGCCGTCGGCGTAGAGGCGTTCGATGAGACGGGCAGCGATCTCCTGCCGGACCTGCGTCAGGTATTGCCGAAGATATTCTTCAAGCGGGTTAGACACTATCATTGTGTGGAGGTGATGAGACTACGTACCGCCATCTGCTCGGCTTGGCGGGGGCGTGTAGTGCGCGTTCAGAGCAAAGTTGGCGTCGCCGGGGATGGGGAAGTTGTCTACGGAGAGGGTGTTGAGCGTCTTGCCCGCCTCGAGCTGCGACGGCGATGCGCGCTGCGATCCGAGTTTCGCGAGGCAGTCGGAGACGTAGAGGATGAGGATGATGAGGAGACGGTCGGCGGGGCCCTTGATCTCGAAGTTACGGAAGAGGGAGTTGGCACGGAAAAGGTCGAGAGTCTCGTCAATGATGTCTGCGGCATTGGGATCCGCTGGTTGCGCGCGTAAGGCCTGGTGTGCACCGAAGACACCGTCAGACAACGTACCTAACGGAGCAGGACCACGAATCTTTGTCTTGATCGGGAGGATGGAGAGATTGCCCACTTGGCGGACATCTGGTTCCTCATTGTATGCAGAATGATAGGCCTGCAATTGCGCTATATAGTCTCTGTAATGCAATATATTCGCTGGCTACTCACGGGCATGGTCGCTGCGTAGTGCGTACTGACAGGGTGCTATAGCGAAGTGCAGCAGCCGCTTGCGACGGGCGACTGCGATGAGCGCCTGGTTTAAACGCTAATATAGGCGCGCCGAAAAGTGACCTCATCAACTTGGCGTCCTGGCCCCTGGGCTTTCGCCGCCAGGCAGACAAGGCTGCCCATCCTGCCTCTTGTTTACCACTATCCTCAGTCTCGTGAGGCTCTCTGAGAACTCAGTACCGATGGTTCAACCACATAATGGTCTAGACACCGAGGATCAGGCGTCGTTGGCATCTGCAGCGTCCACAAAACCCAGTCCAGACACTTTAACAAGTTTGTTTGTTGAATAACTGCCACGCACCCTCCTCCTCACAGAGACCGTGGTAGAACTTATCAGACGTCTGAGGGCGTTGACTATGTCGTTATTACCGGTTGAAGTCTCTCCAGACTCGGTCAGCGATTCCACAAGCCGCATCATAACACCACAGGTAATTAAAGCGTATGTTGCTGCCGCTGGGGATCTCGTAGAAGCGGTGAGTGCCAGAGTCGATAATTTTTGAGCGGTCCTGATTATTCTCTTCTCTGTAGCTTCCTTACTGTCTCCTTCGCGCCCGCAAGGAGTTCATGTGGGACTCGAACCACAACCCGGCTGATTACGGCGAGAGTCTGTGTAGAGGTACGCGAACAGACATCATACATTCTTTTTTTCCAAGATTGACGTTCAGAAAGCGACCGCATGTGAAGTGCTCGCTCGCAAGATAGTCCACGCCTCAGCTCCAGACAGGATCACACCTATAATGACAACCCGCTTCACGCACAGGGAAGCAGACGGAGATGTCAGCGACAAGAATAGTGCGCTAGAACTAGCCATTGACTCCCATTGGTATGAGACCCTGTAAGTCATGCCACTCACTTTTTTCTGACAACAATTGCAGCACAATCTTCCTCTCCTCAAACGAGTCCCAAGAAGGTATGTCCCATCGCCTTCCTCGTTCAGATTTTCCGCTTATCCGTCGCAGTGGTCAATCATCTCTGGAACGGAAACCTCATACAGCGCCACGGGGACAACCATAACGTTGAATGTGAGGCTTTTCACCTGCATATGGCGTTCACTGGTCTCACGACATACTAGTCCGTCCTTTCCATGAGGCATACGGAGATACCATCTGGGGTCATATGGACCCCGAAAGGTTAGCTGTGCCGAGGTGAGTGCTCACGTCAATTTGTACAATGCTTAACGTCTGGCTCGAACGATACGCTCTAACATTTTCGCAGATACCAGAACGTTCTTCGCATATGTGTCTGGGCATTCTTTCTATTTTCCTATTCGCAAGCTGTCCGCGAACCTCTGGATACAATCCATCGCGATCATTCAGATCTGGACCCTTGGGAGATTGTGATGTATGTGCTGGGACTAGCATTCGCGCTCGAAGGTCAGCCGCTACTTTCTTTGGGAGGTGAAGATTTTGACAATATTCTCTTTGCAGATCTGCAGAAGGTTGGAAAGTTGTTCTTCTTTGTTTCATGGAGAGCGCTTGGTTTCTGGCATTTTGTCTCTCTGTCTACGGATGCACTACTCGTTGCAGCTTTCTGTCTCCGAATAATGGGGCTATCCTCTCATGGAGAACAATACACCAACTTGCGAGTGAAGAGTTTCCAAGTATTGAGTTTTGTAGCGCCCTTGGTGTGGTACGTTGAACATGGTTTCAAATCTCTAGACACTGATATCTCTCTCTCCATAGGACGAGTACGTTGGCAAGCGTCAGCGAGACGGGTAGTAGCTGAGTGCTTCTTTCCAGGATTGATACCAATTTTCGACGGCTACAGGTATGTCGGCACGATGCAAATATGCGTGGCACGGATGCTTCAAGAGTCGGGCATCTTCTTTGGTGTATGTGTAGTTTTGCATTCCCGACCGAATTGTCTAAGCCATCCCTTATAGCTACTGGCGCTGCTCAGTATTGGTTTCGTTCAAGGACTGTATGCGTTGGACGCGGCAGATGGCCATACCGATCACCCTATACAAGTAGCCTCTCTGTTTCTTGCACTGCCGGGAGCCTAATTGACAATGGCCCCACAGGTCATAAATTTGCTCGTTCAGGCCCTTTTGCAGTATGTTCAATCTCAGTAACTAAGACATCGTGTACGCTCGTTGACATATCTCAAGGGCACCGAACTACGACCGGTGGTCTAACTTTGCTCCTGCACTTCTGCTGTATTACTTGTGAGTGCATGCATTCACGTGCTCTGATCCTTGCAGCTAAAACAGGTATTTAAGCTGGAATGTGGCAACGGTCATTATCCTGCTGAACATCCTCATTTCGCTGTTTTCGTCTGCATACGATGACGTACGCCGATCTCTCCTTGTGGAGGCAATGGCTGAGTTTGGTATGTTTTATATCAGGTCGTCGAGGATGCACCTGCCGAATATATGGCGTACTTCGCGGACAAGACTGTCGGGATGATTCGTGCTCCGGACGAGTTTACCTACCCGGCGCCATTCAACCTGATTGAATTGATACTCATCGCTCCCTGGGAATACGTTATAAGCCGCGAGGCTTATCGCAAAGTGCGTAAACTCATCGCTTTCATGAGCCCCGTGACTGACGACCCCAAAGCTCAACCGATTCGTCATGTTCATACTGTTCTTCTTCCCGCTTGCCTTCATCGGACTCTTCGAGGCCGAGCTCGATCCGTCGAAGAACAAGTGGGTCAACGACTGGCTTTTGCATCCTGATCAGGGCATGGAGGACAGTCCAGAATACCGTGACCCGGAGGTCGACGGCGAGGATGCTGCGAGAGGACTCAAGATCAGCCGCGTGCCTTTTGAAGAGTTGGTGAAGGTGTTCCCGGACACTATGCATGTAAGTACATGCGTCTATCGTCGTGCCATAAGAGGCTGACGTGGTGACTTTCCGTAGTCAAGCGACACGGTGATTGTGAAGGAAGTAACGGAGCTGAAGGCGCAGATCGAAGAGCTCAAGAAGTTGCTGCTCGAGAGGAACGGCCCTTGAGAACCTGTCACGCGCGATAAAGTGCTAACGGTGTACGTTCGTGATGGTGGTATAAAACGAACCGCGCCCGTGCATGGCTGTGCATCCACAATCATACTGTATACGTGCTTGTATGAATGGTGCATGTCTATTGTTCCATTTGCCGCGCTTCAGGATCTTTGACTAGCTGGGTGAGAACGCCCATCGAGCGTACGAAGAACGGCCGAATCTCGTTAATTTCCATTGAGCTGAGGTTCGGTAACTGAGACGTGTTAGATGAAGACAGAGATACAGAAGAAGCTCAGCGTACACTCAGCTCGCTATGGTCTAACTTTGAAAGACCTTCTCTACTCTTGGCCTGGCGTGCTTCCCGGATGTCCTTGAGTAAAGATCGTATCTTGTCTGGTTCTTGGAAATCATCCGACGCACTTGAGAATATACTCGTTGATTAAAGGCAAAAGCGTTAATACATGAGGACGTACATGTCAAGGAGGACCTTGGCGATCTCTGCAAACCGGAACGGCATCTCGCTGAACTCTGGTCGCGTGGTCTCCAAAAGCAATCGCCCCTGTAAAGTTTCTGTACCCACAGTCACAAACCCCGACAAGAAGGAGAGTGTACATGCGCTAAATCACCGAGGTTGAGCCAGTCTGGTGGCACAATATGGCACTTCTTCTTCAGCTTAAGATTTGTCGCCATCCATATGGGGACCTTGCACTTGGCCGGCGGGCGTAAAGGTCCATAGGCACCCTAGCAAGGCTGGATTAGATCAGAAAACAATCTGTGCACATCGTATGACTGCATACAGAAATAAATGCTGTTCGTTCCATTGCGACTGACGGGATGATCTCGACGAGCTGCTCTGAGGCGATGAGCTCCAGCTCTGCAGGAATTACGGACGTTCTGAGGGAAGGAGGCAGGGCCATGTTTTCTGAGCAGATGTACACTCGCGAGTGCGGTATGAGACCTGTCGTACCAGCAGGCCGAGTGATGGGCGGAGCAAGAACGAACACGCGCTCTCGCGAGGTCGTGACTTGTGACTCGTAACGCGTCGCGGTAAACACCGTGCACGTGGTGTGTACGCGTTGCATCTTTTCCCACGGTTCTCTGGTTCCGCACCGCGTCGGGTCGCGGTTTACGTGCGAACTTCAGACGACACAGGTTGGTTCCCTATCATCGATCTTCGTCAGCGTTCACCATCTCTCACAGTCAGCTGGCGACATGCTAGGAACAAAGACTCGGCAGGTTGCTGCGTATGGCCGACGAGGACACAGGATCGTCAACGTTGACGACAGCGGCCGCGAGGCTAACGTGAAGAACGACTCTGTGGCTCTACCCCAGCACCGCATTGATGATAGCATACAAACCCCACGCTCGACTCGATATGGTGTCTACTCTGTCTATTCTGCTACGGCAAGCCCAGATATGGCCCCGCCAGAGTTCACGTTGAAGACGAAGCCTGTTGCGAACAAGACTGGCGACCTGGCTAAGGCCAAGAAAATCAGGTCCGACACTCGCGTGCGGAAGCCTCTGGCCATGGTCCCGGCCAATGTACTGTCAGGCACTGTGAAGGCTTCTCGGTCCCCGCTTGCGAAGAAGCCAGTCCAGAAGCTGAGGCTTGGGACCGCAACAGGGAAGAGAGCCAAGGCGCAAACTAGGATTCCCCTCTCCATGAAACCTGTCTCACTCACCGTCGACGTGGAGATATTAGTCCTCGATGACACAGGAAAGCAATTTGGCGTTGAGAAGCGCAAGACCAATCCAACGATTCCCACAAACCCCCTCCCTCGAGCTGTATCTAAGCCAGCAAAGGGCAAAGGGCCTATCTTAAAGTCTCTCCAGACATCCATAGACGAAGAGGACACCCCTTCGACTCGCGCTCGACAAGCCGCGCCAAAGCGGCGTCGCGCAGTTATTATCTCGTCTGACGAGGACTCAGATATAGAAGTCTTCTCCGGTCCTGAGCCGAAATCGAATTGTGGGCCACCTCCAGCCTCGCCACCTCCTCGGTTACCTTCTCTCGCGAAACGCAGAACCACCGTCCTTTCTTCCCCAGAAGGCACACACTCTTCCTCATCATCGCGCGATATAATACGCCCTCCCTCACCTATCACCAGGCCTGCCAGAGCACGTTTAGACTGTCAGCCTGGTAAATCAGCACACTCGAGATCTAATACACATGCGCAACCGTCCCGTCTCTCAGTCGGCCTAGAACAAGCTGGAAAATATAAGCCTCGCCCGCTCACGCCCATCCGCTCGCGTGCAGCCTTCCCTGCACCTCCCTCGCCACCTTCGCCTACGACGCCTAGTGAAACTGACGCCGAGCTCTCGTTCGACTTTGCCGAACTTGCACTATCTCCCAATACCATCCGCAGCATCGAGGCAGAGGCCACAGGCTTGAAGTGGGACGCGCCAAATCAGCCAGTGTATCTGCAACCGCTCTTGAAGGAGTGCGGGCAGGACGCACCACATGAGTTCTCCGCATTCATCGAGATGTTCCCCTTCGACCCCATCGTGCAGACCTCGCATAATGGTGTCAACATCCAAACTTCTTCAGGCACGAAGGCAGCCTTCCGGAAGATCGGCGAGGCGTCATACTCTGAGGTTTTCGGCATTGGGGATGTTGTGCTCAAGATCATACCACTGCGAAACGAGGAGCCTGTCAAGAAGGGCAGACTTTTCACGGATGACATGGAATGCCCTGCACCTAGTGATGTGAAAGACGTCTTGAAAGAGATCGTCGTCACGAGAGCAATGGGAGAGCTGTGCATTGGATTCGTTGAGTTGCTCAGGACGTATATCGTTCGCGGAAAGTATCCTTCATTACTTCTCGATCTCTGGGATGAATATCACGAGAGGAAGGGAAGCGAAAGTGTCAGGCCTGGTAAATCTCCGCCCTGGACATTGCTACACCTCATATTGAATTTACTCCCGCAGATAGCTTCCCTGTGTCGCAAGTTTATGCGATCATTGTTCTCCCGAACGGCGGCCCTGATCTTGAATCGTACACTTTCACCTCATCCTCGAGGAATGGCTGGAGACAGGCATGCAGTTTGTTCTGGCAAGTCACGCGAGCCTTGGCGGAAGCTGAAGATCTGGTTGAATTTGAGGTAAGCGTCCTGGGGGCCTCATTACACAAGATATATAACGACGCGTTAAATTTAGCATAGAGACCTTCACTGGGGCCAAATCCTCGTAAAGAACGTCGAGGAAGATGTCACCGAAGTTCCCCACCCGAAGATGGGCAAGGTCCCGATGGACGACGACTTCTTTGGCGTCCGCGCGACAATTATTGACCTCGGGTTGTCGCGCATGAACGCGGACGACGGTGCCAGGAGATCGGTGCATTGGACGCCATTCGACGAGGAAACTTTCGAGGGTGAGGGGGACTACCAGTTCGAGGTGTATCGTATGATGCAAATGCATAACGAAGGCGAGTGGAAGAAGTACCGGCCGTTGACGAACGTCATGGTACGCCGCTCAGCGGTTCCTTGCTTTGCGCGCGCGAACTGACGAACATGTGTCCGCGCACAGTGGCTGCACTACCTCGTCGACAAACTTCTTCACTCAAAACGCCTTCGGAAGCCTTACGCTTCCAAGGCCGCCAAGCCCACCCGGACGTCGCTTGATTCACGCGTTTTCTCCGAGGCTGAGTGTCATGCAAGCCTTGTCGAAGTCGAGGCGTCTCTTAAGGAGACCGTGGATGCCTTCCGGGTGTCCAAGAAGGGTCGACGCAAGACCCAGGCGGTGTCGAAAGCGAGTGAGCCCGGTGCTCTGGGTTGTGCGGGCGACGTGCTGGGGATGGCACGCGAGCGTGGGTGGCTGAGCTGACTTTTCTACATGCAACGTTATGTGGTGTATTGAGATGTACTTTAAATCACGACGATACCCGTGATATCCCGTCATCGAGTCCTTGCAATGATGTGCAAACGACGAATAAGACCTTTGAAGGGCGCCATGCGCAATCAATTAAATTAGAGAATGACGAAGTGGTTTCGTGTACAAAAACACAAAAAAGTACAGCGGAGTACAATGAGTACAACAGAGACGGTTGACAGCGATTAGCGATGGGGAGGGTATAATCCTAGGGATGTAATGCTAAAAACTAGGGGAGGAGATACAAAGGGGAAACAGCATTAAGCGATAGCAGGGATACATGAGGAGCAGATAAAATGGGAGGGATTAGACATAGACGGATACACGGGCTATTGGCAAAGCACAACAATCCAGTACACACAATTCTTTCCTGGCAAATAAAATTAGGATGGTTGGGAATGCGGCGGGGTAGGCTACCGCCTGGCGGGCTGCTTGCCCTTCATGGTGCGAGGACTCCTCCGCACGGCGCCTGACACAGCCTTCGGGCTGCCTGCCACCTGCTTCGCCGTGCTGGAGCGCGTCTTGCGATCACCACCTGCCTGCCTTTTGCTGGGCGTGGCACTACGGGACGCAGGCTTCTCCTTGGTGGCCCGGTCGCGCGGCGCGTGTTGACCCGTGTCCGCAGAGGCTTGCGGCGACACGTTATACGCTGAAGAGATGTCCCGGAGGGATGGGCGACGACCGCGGACAATGAGATTTGAAGTGCCACCGTCATGCTGACCAGCTGACAGCGATGGAGTGGACGACAGCGAGGTGAGACTCGAGCAGCTGAGGCTGGAGCTGCGACTGAGAATGTGTGCTGCCATCGGTAACACGGGGGTTTGTTCCCGAGTTAAGCCTGTTGGCGACGTTTGGCCCGCGAGGGGCTCATCAACATCCATCGCGACCTCTACAAACTCGTGCTTTATCCCCGGCGAAACCGCTCCATTGACTGCGGCGCGCGCGCCATTTGGGGTAGGGGGAGGCGTGGCGATCCACGGTTCCGACATCGATGCGCCTTGCGCCTGAGACGAAGATGCACCCGCAGAGGAAGGGGTCATTGGGGGAGTGAGTATCACGTTTAACGACCCAATGACTGGGGTAGACGGTGGCGTAGGATCGCATGGCCCCTGGCTCGAGGGACCTTCCTGAAATCCGCCCAGTCCTGAGAAGCTGCTACTCGGAGGCATACCCTGGCTTTGTGGGTCAGGCTCGGTTGGTCTTCGCTCGAGCCTCGGCCGCTTGGCTTTTCTGCTGCCCTGACTCGAGGACACGCCCTGACTGCTGGGCCCCGCGGCGGCCTCGGCCTCAGGCTCGAGCATGTCGCGTGTCCGTTTGAGAGGCTGCGGGCCCCTGCGTTTCTCTTTGCGCTTCAGCGAAAGCTTCGGCACGGGTGGCAGCTTGTTCTCAAACGCGTAGTCGCGCACTTTTATGCCGTGCTGGGCGAGCATGTGCGCGTGAAAGCTCCTGCGCTCCTCTGCCCAATCCTCCGGCTCCTCGTTACTCTCTACATAGCGAATCCGAGGCTCCCTTTTGTGCTTGAACCGCCGCCGGGGGTCGCGCGGTTCTCTCAACTCAAGGAAGCTGGGATCTGTCGGGTATGGCTGCGGTTGACTTGAGGATGTGGCCCAACAAGAACAGTGGGTCTCACTCACAGTCGGGTACAAATCGTCGTTTGGGGGCGCCATCGAAAACATCGCAAGACTCGCGATGGCTGCCACTGAGGCACCGACCCACTTCAAACCCTCTACTACTATATGATTCATCGCGTGCGAACTTTGGCTTTTCCCTTTTCGACACCCGGAGTGCAGCGTTCAACGTTCAGCGCTCGCGGGTGCGGCGGCGGGGGGGAGGGGGATGTGGTGGTGGAAGAGGGTTGTGGATGAGCGGCAGGGGGAAGGCGGAGGTTATATAACGCGTGACACGAGTTGGAAACGTTGGCGGCAAACGTCGGGGGCGCGAACGCGCCCTCTCCGTGGACCCATTGTTACCCAGATTTGGATCGTCGGTGGTGTGTGACACGTGATAGTAACAATAGACGTGACAGCCCTTCCTTTACCAGGCCCACGAGGAATGCATGGCATGCGCACCGAACGATGCGCAAGCGCAGATGAAAGCCATGTTGTTCAGATCCCTATGTACAAACCCAAGCCTTCCTAGCAAATGGCAGATACACTAAATAATATACCTTAATTGTATTTCACGGGTGTGGGGAATAAATTAGTCGGATACTACTAGTACAATCCTTCCGGAAATCAGGGCCCATAGATAAAGGCAAGAAGACAAGGGAAAGAAGAGAAGTTCTTTGTGATATGCTCCGCTTACCTGTGGGCACTGAGCGTTTGACGCCCCTACGGCAGGCGTGTAATGGTAACGCTGTAACGATGATTGGAGGGAAATGAGCTGGGTCGACCTTATGGCGTGTACGCGGGAGGCTGCGTCGTCGTCTGGCTGAGAACCTCTTCGGCATCTATGTCACTTGGACCGCGCAGGCTAGAGCCCGCGTAGTCGTACACGGCTGGCAGCAGTCTTACGGCGGGCAATCGCCTGTTGCGCGAGCCCTGGGAAGTATGACCCAACTCCAGGGATCGCGCGCGTTGGGCGGTAGGTGGCTCGTGGTCGCCGTCCGGTCGGCCGCGTTCATTGTCGTGAGCAAGTGCAGCCGCGGACATGGCTCCGTCGGAGACGCTGACAGAGGATATCTCGCTCGGCGCACTGTCTCTGCGGGAAGTCGTGTTGGGGCCCGAGCTGGTAACTTCTGGTGACCGAACCTTCTCGTTCCTTGTGGGAGGGATCTCGACGACCCCGGGTACGGGGCGTAAAGCCAGAGGAGCCGACAACTCTAAAGGGACAAAGTTGAGAGACGAGCTGTCGTAATTCCGCGGCAGCAAGTATGGAGTCACTCCAGGGATATCACTCGGAGGGCTGAGTGACGGCGTCGGTCTTTCTTTAAAGAAGAAGCACGGTGAGCACGCGGCTGAAAACACGGAGGTACGGTCAATACCTTCCATCGTGCTGTGTTCGCTCTCCGATTCAGCGGCCTTCCTCTGTCTCAAGCGCCAAGCTGACAGGCTAAACAGTATGGCCAAGAATACGATACCACCAATCGCTCCTCCAACAATCGAACCGACATGGTTCGAAGGGCGTGACGTCGCAATATTGGAGTGCAGTGAACCAGTTGGTCCTGACTCCGTCTGAGATGATGAACTCGATGCCGGCGAAGCACTGACAGACAGTGCGGAAATGATTAGTGACCGGCTTGACGAGTATGTAGAAGATGGCAATAATGGTGATGAAGGCGATGAAGACGGAGACGATACGTCTTCAGAGCTCGAGCTCAGGATAGGCGACGCTCCAGAAGTGACGGGAGGCACGGGAATAAAGATGAGATAGTCTAATAAATATGGAGAGTCTCCGGAAGCGTTGTCAATGCTGACAGTCAGGGTGTGAGTGTCGAGTGGGATGGTGCCAGAGTTAAACATCATTAGGCCATCCGTTTCTTGGGTCAAATCGGGTGCTACGAAACTGTCCATCTGCTGATTGTCGAGGGAATAGGTCGAGGTCGTGCCCTTCTCTTTAGCGCGGACGACTCCGTAAACTTGAATTTGGCTTCCTATGTTCAAAGTCAAATCTAATAGAAGATGATAAGCTCACGTTTATGCGTGCCTGTGAACGTGAAGAAAAAGCCACCGCCGGACGAGTCCAGCTCCTTAAGTGACCCGTTGTAGATAGCTGGGTTCCCAGTCCCTAAATCCATCCAATCACCCAGATACCCTATGCGATCGCTCTGGTCATCGACGACAACTGCACCACTCTCCGCTGGCTGTCTACGCAGGTTCACTCTGACGGACATTGGAACAATGGGCAGTAGCGGGGAAGAGTCGCACAGGAAGAGGAGAAGGGAGCGGGAGAGGTGAGAGGAGATCGTCCGTTTTGCTGAACCTCATTGCCATTGCCATCACCATCGCCGTTGGCATCGACATTCGGTGATTTCGCACGTACATAGCGTGTCGCAAAGGCTCGACTAGCGTCGTATAGAACGAAATAGCCCGACAACAGGAGTTGCGGAAGCCTGCACGAGACGCCATGCGAATTTTGAGCGGAAGCGAGATGGTGAAGGTTCGGCTTCTGTGCAATGACGACCATCGGTCACGTCAACCAACACTTCAGTAATTGAGAACGGCGACTCGTAAGAGCCTTCGCAGAAGAAGAGGTACAGTGTTTTCAGGGCTTTCATTTATTCCTCTTAGCCCTGAATGTCCGAAGGCTGGCCTCCATGAATCTGTAAAGGCGCGTACAGTCAGCACGAGTAGTAAGCGGATTATCACGACATGCACCCGCTAAGTTCACCATCAAGCACCCTGTCCACGCCGCCGCCGGTTGCCTCGAAGTTTGTGCGTATATCCTTGACCAGCTGGTACGGATGCAGAACGTAGCTTCGAATCTGTGAGCCCCATGAGATACCAGGAAGCGATCCGTGAGCATCTGACTTTTCTCGCTCTCTGCGTAAGAGGATAAATGTCCATGTTTGAGCGAAGAAGGGAGAAGTTCACCTTTTGGTCTGCTCAAGCTCGTACAGCTTTGATCTCAAGAGAGCAAGGGCATGTCTTCGGTTTTGATGTTGGCTGCGCTCTTGTTGGCACTGTTAACAATGTTTCAACACTCATTTCAGGCCTGCGCTGTCGCAGGACTCACTGATACAACTATACCGGACGGGACGTGGACAACGCGGACAGCACTTTCTGTTTTGTTGACATGTTGTCCACCTGCAGATAAACGTTCAACGAATGCGCACGACTTCTTTCCGAATGCATGCCTACCTGCTCCCTGACTTCGCATTGTTGTGATCTTCAAGTCAGCAGGTTTTATTTCAATTCCTGTGTCTTGCGAGTCTTCTTCAAAGTGCGGTGTTACTCGGACACTGGCGAAAGACGTATGCCTGGCGCCATTCGAGTCGAAGGGCGATGTACGCACTAGACGATGCACGCCCATTTCGTATTGTGCATAGCCATACGCGTATGGACCGTTGATGAGAAGGGTAGTAAACTTGATTCCTGCAACGTCTCCAAGCGACTCGTCGAAAACCTCCACTGTGCGTATATTCAGCGACGGCCAACACAACGTGCATGTGCACTCGCCTGTGTAGTTCTGTGAGTGCGCCCACCTCGTATACATCCTGGCAAGCATGGAGGCCCAGTCACAGGCTTCCGTACCGCCTGACCCAGCGTGTATATCGAGGTAGGCGGAGTTCGCGTCGACAGGTCCAGCCAGCCAGAGAGCGACCAATGTCTTCTGTGATGTATCCAAAAGCTCATCTAACTCCGGCAACATCTGCTCTTGCATATCGGCGTCTGCGAACTCTGTATGAAGTGAATGTGAAGTCCTACTCAGTCATCATAACTAAGTATGCACCTGCCAGTTCACGTACATGAGAGACAGCTGCTCGCAATTGACGATAGCTTGAGAGCTGTTTCTCTACTCGGGCAAGCCGGGTCTGAAACCTCATCGTCTGCGCAATTTGCGCCTTGTCCTCCCAAGACTTCTCGTCCTGTGGGACGAATCAGCCAAGTACTACGACTACGCCTAAGACTCTGCAGACGTACTTGCAGCTGATCCTTCAAACTCTCCGCCTCCTCTTCGATTGCAGACCAGTCCGCATATGCCGTAATGTCCAATAGCACATTCGAGACTCTATTCACTTTCTCGCGAATAAGTGACTGGAGATTTTCGGCAGCTTTTACAGCCGCAGCGGTTGAAGCAGGCCGAAATAAGATTTGCGGTCGTGGGTGAGCAATATGATGCGAGAGGTGCAGGGCCCGTGTAACACCTAGCAAACTCCTAAACATGCGCAAGCGACCTGGCAGACGATGTGCTGTAAGGAGACGGTGAGGGTCGTGATCGAGTTCGCGCGAGTGACGCACTACGGTTGCCAGGCTCAGGTCGAATCCCCAAAACCCAAGTCCGGATCACAAAGCCGATGGCGAACTACGCAATGAGCGCCCAAGCACCTTTCCGCAGACAGACGTCAGTCTGGGCGTTTTTAGGTCTTTTAGGGCCTGTTCGGCTGCACCTCTTAGCCCTCCTTATGCCTCCTTAGCTAAGAATTTGCTTATCCAGTCACTTGTGACTGATGGGTTACATGATGTAACTGATGGCGGTCCGGCCTTACCGCATACAAAGGAGTGTAAGCTCATGCAAGCACTACGCTGACCTGCTTTGTGTACGCTTACTCTCAATGTATACTCGAATGCTTTCCCAACCTTGTATACCCATACATATTACCCCCTTCTCAAACTGCAGTATCTTACACCATTATTCTCATCACATAGAAAATATTTGAGTGCAGATAGCCAGGTAATTATCTAAGAAGAGTACTACAGTGTACAGAACAGGGACTGAAGTACTGAAGGCTAGAAGTAAGCATGGCGAGCAGGGTGACGCGAAGGTGACGGTAAGCGTGATATAGACGCTCGTCGGAGAATCCATGGCTGATGAACTTAAGAGCGTTCTTAGCTAAGGCAGGGTTAAGGCGGTGTAGCCGAACAGGCCCTTATATGTTATGAAAGCATGAATGATGCTGTGTCTGCATACTCTGAGGTCAACAAGGGTGGTAGCGAGCCGAGGGCCATTATCTGACCCAGGCTCATCGAAGCGATAATCAAGCGCCCGACGCGTCGATTATCCTATCGAGCACCTAACCCTAAGTTGCCCGACAGCTAAAATGTCAGTCTGGAAGAACACGGCTGCATGCCGCACGGTAGGATGATTGTGGTTAGACGCGTGAGTCCAATCCAGCACATGCGACCCCTAATGTCAGCAACCCAACGACTGCCTTGGCCGTGTCTGTCACCTTATAATATATTAATAGCAATTTTAGCAAGTATTAGTAGCCTTACTAAATGACATTAATCTAATCATAACCATGATTAGCAGCTGATTATATATATACATTAGATGAGATAGCTACACAGAAGGGCAAGGTCAAGCGCACCTGTAACGACTCTGACGACAAGGGGTGCTTCGGGTCCCGGTCGGGCCCCGACGCGCCGCTCTATATGGAATATGGGCGCCTAATGCTGCCGTCGCACTGCCCGCCCCGCCAACGAAGACTGGCATGCTTCATTTGACTTCTAGCCTCGTATACATGCAATATCAATCAGTATGCTGATAATGCTCGAATGTTTAGAATAAGAGGCGCTAGTGCACCCCGAGCCCGAGGTTGGTGGTTGTCCGAGCGCTGATGGTATCAGATTTGACTTGGGTTTTATTTGACCTGAGCCTGCTCGGCAAACCGTACTGGTGGTGATAGACATACACGAGTGTAGGAAACCCTTTTTTGATGAGCGTCCGCGAAACACATATATACGAGATAAAGTTAATGTATGACACAGGTACTGCTAGCCAGGACGCATAATCGAAGGGTTCGTTGTTCCCTAACCCTCGGCACTCATCTCCAGCTTCCCGGGAACCCCGTGCGGTCTTTGAGCGTTGTCACCAGCCAATCCGGATCTACATCTCCTCCTCTTTTCTCCAGCTCCGCTCACCGATTCCTCCCGGATATCTCCCGCTCGGCAACCCACTTCAGGAGGGCATTCTGTTGCATGCAGCATGCCTGCAGGTACTTCGAGACGGCTGGGAATGGCGACTCTCCCCAATCGACTTTCAACAGTGCCGCAGCTTCATCGACAGTCCAGTCTGGCGGTACAACCATGAACGAATCCAGCGGCTCTTCCACCAGCAAAAACATGAGGCCTCCGGCGCTGAAGAACATGCGGACATTCATGCCTTCGTCTTGATAAATGATGGGGGTCGGCGTGCCAAAGTAGTTGAAGGTGTGCTCCATCTCATATGGGAAGCGACCGAGGTAAGGGATGAAGCTGAGCGTGTGGAACATCGGGACGCCATGGAAATCATCGTCAGGGTCTGGAGCAGGGTCTGCTGACCAGTCGGAGCTCCATCCTGAAGGCACTCGGGGACAGCTCGCACGCCAGGCGTTGGAGAGCTCCCTCAGCGTATCCATCAGCGGGTACCGCGGACCGCTATACGGGAATGGTGGCGCCATCTTGTACGTAGCAGCAGCCTGTAGTGCACCATGGTTAGCGGACATGTAATGGTTTACACTTCGAGGTATACGGCAACGTACCGTAGGAAGCTCTGTATCGCCCTCTTCGGACATAAACTCGCTCCGCTGAAAGCAGCCCGCTAGCATCTGTGAAGGAAAGGCACCGTATCTGTACAGCGCGAGCTCGCCAAATGCGTTCCCAGCGACGAGCAGTCCAAGCGTGTCGTTAAAGTCACGCGTCGGTGCCAGGTACAGCGCTGGCATATTTGTGCCTGTCAACTTGGCAGACTTTACGCCACTCATGCTACCATCACAGTGGTCACCGTCAGTCGGCAATAGTGTGGTGACGAGGCTGAAGTCGTCTTCCGTCCTCCCGTCGTCCACGATATATGATATGGTATGACATCCGTGTCCAAAGGACGGAGAGACAGTGGACTTGATGTACTTGCGGCCATCCGTTGATACAGTCGCCGAGGACCAGCGGTGTACGGGATGATACTGCCCATTCACTGTCTTGAGAGGGACATGATAGACGTTTAGTCGGAAGGGGCTGCAAACAGCAACATGAAGGTCGATGGGAGGACACGGACCCTGATGGATACAGTCTGTGTACGGCGAGCATCCACTCGAAAATTCGACCGTGGCGGAGACGATTCGGTCGTCGAAACATATGACCTCTGTGCAGATAGCTAACGACGGAGCATTACCCGATGGGAGCGTATACAGAGAAAGTTGGTAAGGTTCGACCACGGCAGCTAGGTTGCCGTGGAAAGCCATTGCGACACGACCGCCCTTGAACGACCGTGAGGCAAGAACCAAGATGCGCAATCCAATGACTCACCTTTGTACTGGGTTCTCGATAGAAAAGGTTCACACGGCCCCGCCGCCAGTTCCAGACGCACGGTACACTCGGTTCATTGAAGAGCCCGAATCCGACCAAGTCTCCACGAAGGCTTCGGAGAACAGCTGCACCTTCTAGGCTCGCTTTCTGAAAAAATGTTGGGGCTAACTGGCTTGTGTAGCGAAGACACACGACTAGGATGGAAGGTACGCTATGATACGTCAGTCATTCATACACCATGACGGTCGACACAATAGCGTCTCACCTGCACCGAAGTTCAAGTGCAAATACTGCGCCGTCGCTTTGTGAATCTGACGCACCACGGTACACAGGCCACGGAAGGTGACATTCTGTCAACGATGCCATAGTTCTCTCACTTTGGAGCAGCTCTGGGATGGACCAGAGAGTAAGAGAGCTCTTGTGAGCATCCGACGAGGCGACGACGACGAGCTGATCTCGAACAAACTTGACCCAAGTCACGGAGCGTGGTTGGTGGAGAGGAATCGAAGGGGCTTTGATTACGTTCATGCCGGAAGGATTTGGGCGATACAAAGTGTCGGTTAGCCGGAGGGCATGCGAGACGAGTGCTTCCACCTCAGAACCAGACAGGGCGGAGACCAATTTGTGATATGCGGGAAGAGCGATGTGTGGTGCTGTGGCAACACGACGACGGATGTGAATCCACAACTGGGGATCTCGAGTAAGGATTTCAATCTGCTTGCAGGTCTGAAGATAGGGGTCGAAGGACGAAGGAAGGTCAGACCTGCAGGCAGGTATGTATGCCGAATCAACTTACTTGTCTCATTGCAAGTAAATCAGGGATGGCGAGGTACATGAGAAGCTGGCGAAGCGCGTCCTCATCGAGGGTGAGCATGGTTGTCTCAGTGATAGTACTTGGCCTCGTTCGGAAGTAAACTCTGTTGTCGCCTATTCTAAACTATTCCAGCTGCATGCTGCTCCGATCGGCTGGCCTTGCAGCCTTTCGAGCTATGATGCTCGAATGGCGGGTAGGGGTTGGCATACACTGTCAGCTTGATTGATTTTCCGTGAAGGTCACAAAACAATTGATGGCGTCCGGCCTGGTGGTCGTACATCGTCCATACTTGCTGTCCGTTCGGCAAGACGACGGCAATCGGAGCCCAAATCGGAGGCGATCGCGAGCTGCTCATTGCGAAAGCCTTCACATGTAGACTTTGCTTGCAAGCGAATGTGAAAAGGTCAGGTACAATATGACTTTGCTTCGTGCAGTGTCATGGTCCTAGTCTGATTATCAGAATCGTGTGAATTTGTCGTCTTATCAGTTGCCCAACTCGCACGCACAACCAACCACCATGCTAGAGAAGCTGGTGCGGGGCTTGACGCGGTTGCGGGCCCCTTGGTCCTGCTCGCGGAACGAATGTCGAAGCACAAAGTGAACGTTCACTAGCACTGCTGGGCCAGTGCTGGACGTGCTCGCTCACGTGCACTCAAGCGTCATCTTATGATGTCACGCGTTTCAAACAGCGCCTTTGCATCGGTGAACTTGACCACGCCAGTGCGCTGGACAAGGTAAGGACCAGGCAGAGAAGTACAGTGCGACGCATCAAGGGTAATATTTGAGAAGAAGGATTCGACCTGCTTCTTGCCGCGAAGCGTGACTCCAAGCGGCGCGACGGCAAGGTTGTTCGACAGGACGGTTGCTAGCATAGAGTAGCATATTAACTCAGACTTCAGACTGAACTACACTGACCTCGTCTCGCTGAGCAGGAGTGGAACAAGTGAGATATCCGCGTCAATACGAAGAAGACTGTATATAATAAAAGCGCAGGCGAAGAAGGGTACAGGTGCAGTGCAAAGACATGAGATCATTGAGATGCGAAGAAATTCTGCGTTGGTAGCAAAAGTAGCTCTTAGCGAGATATAGACATGGCAGTCAACGCACGCAGAACTGCGTATGGGCCAGAAGCCGCTTGCTGAGACGGAGGCCGGGCTGCTAGAGATCAAGTCAGACGACGAGCGTCGCAGCAACTACCCACAGACATATATACCCCCAACTTGACCCCCAAACACCACTTAACCGGGTCCACTAGTGCCATTCGGGATCCTTGTCGTCTGTAAACATGTGCGCCACGTTTTGCCGGGGAGTGTCGTCCGAAATATCCTCCATTAACATTGTAGAGCCAGTAGAATAAACGATGTCCGTGTCGTATTCTGCGGGGCGGGCGACCATCGATTAGGTACGCGTCCTTGTCTGGGATCCAGCACCGCTTTTGAATTGCTGGAAGCAGCCCAGAACAATAATGATGCGGAGGATGTGCCGCTTTCTGCGCCGGTAGGGCACTGCGTCAGGAAACTCTCAGCGGCACCCAAGCGCCAATCACGAGGGATCCAACTCTCACTTTCATCCTCATCCACTACACGAATCTCTTGCCACTGCCAGAGTATTTATGTGGCTAGCGGCTGCTTGTATGCTCACGTAGGGACATACCATTACACGGTACAAAGGTACGCACACTCTGCGTGTCGACATAGCCAAGACCTGAGTTCGCCCCAGCAGATACCAGTGCTGTTGGCATAACAGTCCGGTTTGCACAGTCTACGTTCCCATAGGAAAGCCTGTCTCCTTCCAGCAGGACCACTACGCTCTTGCAGAGACGTGCCAATGTTCAGACGGTTGTGGAAACCAGTTGTGGGCACTGCCGTATTGGTTGGTGCGCCAGGCTACCTCTACTTCAAGTACACCTCCAAGCCCAAGCCAAGAGAAACATTTGACCTCTCCGTGAGGGTTAGAGGACCTGACGGCAAAGCCTCTATGTCCACTCGTGCCATTCAACTTCTAATCAAAGAAGAAGTCGAGGAGCGGTTACATGAACGTGCCCAAGCGACGTCGGTCTTACGTCGTGGCATTGTTTGGAAGCAACATACAGCACATCTCGCGTCGAATAACCCAATAGAGGACGCTAATGCAAGCAAGATTGTGGAACGTGATCCATCAGAGTTGTCTCCTCCAGGAGACATACTATTCTTCGCTGTCATGGATGGTCATGGAGGTTATCACACTTCACGTCTACTGTCGCGGGTTCTCATTCCAGCAGTCGCTCTTGAGCTTGACCTACTCATTCGAGAGCCATCCGCTATCATTCCGAAGTCGGGAACGTTGACGAACTTAAAAGCCCTGCTGTCTCCCGCCGCGGCTACCCAGATACCATTCGACGCGAACCCTCAATTTGTATCTCTTGCAATACAGAGGGCATTCACGAATCTGGACTCAGAAATCGTCGACGCTCCTCTTCGATTTCTAGCTCAGACCATGGTACAAGAAGGCACTAAGGAGCAGCCTATACCGGACCTGAGCAAGCACCCATTGGCGGAGGCCATGTTGCGGCCTGCCATTTCAGGTACGAGTCAGCTCCCGTCCGCAAGTCTGTCCTGGTCCGTAGACTTGCTCCTCTAGGTAGCTGCGCGCTGCTCGCAATGTTTGACACAGCACACAAGAATCTCTATGTCGCGTTGAGTGGAGATAGCCGTGCAGTTGCTGGTGTATGGGAACAAACGCCCGATGGAGCCGGCTTCTGGCGAGTTGACGTGCTCACTGAAGACCAGACCGGCCGTAATCCAAATGAGCTGCGAAGGTCAGTATACTCCGATTGAAAATAGTTTTCTGTTGACCAGAAACTCAGGATGCAAGCCGAGCACCCCGCTGACGAAGCTGACACTGTCATCATGAGAGGACGTGTTCTCGGTGGGCTCGAACCCAGCCGTGCATTTGGCGATGCGCGGTATAAATGGCCGGCTGACGTTCAAGCCCTGTAAGCGTGTCGATCTTCTCTTCAAATGCGCAACTCCTCACATGTTGGCCCAGTCTGAACAAGGCATTCTACGAGGGCAGCGGCCAGTCCATGCGGCCTACTCCCGCGCTGCTCAAGACACCACCATACGTCACGGCGCGTCCGGTGGTGACACATCGCGATCTTTCCTTCCTCCCTTCTTCCGGCTCTGTGCCTAAACAGAAACCCAAATCGACAATGAAGTTTGTCGTGCTCGCTACTGACGGTCTCTGGGACGAGTTGACGTCCGAGGAGGTCGTCGCGCTAGTAGGTGGGCACCTCGCTGGGCTCAAGGGCACAATTTCCAAGTCGGAGCTGTCGCACCTCGTACCGACGACGACGGGCAACACGATTGAGGGCAAGGATAAGCGGCAGCGGAGTGCTGAAGAGAGCTCTTGGGCCTTCGTCGACAGCAATGTCAGCACGCACTTGATCAGGAACGCGTTTGGTGGTGGAGATGAGGTGAAGCTGAGGCAGCTGTTGAGCATCCCGTCGCCTTTATCGAGGAAATACAGGGACGATATTACTGTGACGGTCGTGTATTGGGAAGAGGGCCAAGAGGATAATGCAAGGACGTCTACGTTTACGACTAACGATCAAGTCAAGGCTAAGCTGTAATAGTAGCCGAATAAACAGACCCCATCTTTCAAGTCTCTAATTTGGCTCACGCTCGTGCTGTCCTTGAGAGGTTTTAAGGTCCTCGCGCGGCCACACTTGCCGTCTTCCGTGTTCCAGCACCACCATTGAAAATCGTTAATACATGTATATCTACGAAGAATTACGACATCTACAAAAAGGGCACATTCTGCATCTCACCAGCAGCGAGCAAATCCTCATCGAACGCCTCCTCCGCCACTTCCTCCTCGTTGCCTCCATCGTACCCGTAATCCTCATCTTCGCCGTCCTCGTCGTCCTCTCCAAAATGCTCCTCGTCCGAGCTCGACGATCCAGGTAGGGATCCCGGCATGCTGGAGACACTGCGTCTCCTCTCGCGCCTGCGCGGCACCTGGCCCTGCTCGAGGTCGTCCTCGTCCTCACTCTCCGAGTCCATGCTCGTCGGCGTCGTCGTGCGCGGGCTCGCGATCGCCGAGCCCGACACGGCCAGGTTCGACAGCGTGCTGCTCAGACGCTCGAACGAGCTCATCTGCCGCAGGTGCGTGTCCCTTCGGCTCACTGCTTCCGGTAAGGGGGATGTGTTCTGCCAACTTGGAGTGCTCGAAGTGCGTGCGGTCAAGCTGAAGTGTCGTAGGCGCGCGAGGGTACTCTGGTTCGAGGTGTCGGAGCGCGCGCTCAACGCAGGGGAGGGTGGTGTTAGATCTGGTAGGGGGATGTCGGGGATGGGTGTCTTCCAGTAGTTGAGGTCGGTGAACTCTGGAGCCCACTGACGGTTAATTGGTGGGAACATCTGGTCTACCAGGTCCGTCATATGGATATACCTGTGCATATATGCGTCAGTAAAATGGACTGCAGTCGCATTTGGTCACCTACGAAGACTTGTACCCAGCCAACTCAAGTAGCTCCATCTTCACCTCTCCCGACGAATCGATCGTAAATATCCTCGAGCTGGGGACGCTGACGCTCCGGTAGGATAGCGCATCCGTGATCCTGTTCCCGAAGCCCGCATAAAACGGATTCTTGGACAGTGGACTAAACAGCCTCTGGATATCGCGAAGACATGCCATCTTGAACATCTCAGGCTTGCGCATAATGACCTCACGGTGCAGCGACGCCATGAGCCGATCCGGGCTCATGATGACGGGGCCCTCTGGCAGCTGGTAATCGTTCTGCTTAATGCCACGTAGATAATCTCTTGTCGAATCGGCCTGCCCAATCGCTCGCGATGTGAGGTACATGATCTTGTACTCGTTTCGCGCAATGTCAGTGTAGAGCTTCGCGACGCCGAGGTGCGTCCAGTCGCGGCCAATCATGGTGAAGACATGCCCCAAGGCATCCGACCTGGCAGCTGGCATTTAGCATATAGCAAGGACATACCAAAGAGCAGACGCACTTTGTGATGGTGCCGTCAATATCAGAAATAACTACCATGTCTGTGTAATCCCATACAAATATTCGAGCTGTGCACGCCGCGGCGCCGGAGGAGGACAGCGAGAATGTGATTGAGTTCGCGCCAGGCTTCAGATTAAGCGATTTCTGCAAGCGTGATGCGTACATGTCAGCGGAGTAACTATCGCAAGACGTTTGGAGTCATACCAGCTGCTCGGAGGTCAAGCGCAGTGTCTTCGCAAAGCGCGTCCGAGGTTTCTGCTCGCCATCCTGCTGGAATGAAGGTGCGAGGTCCAAAGTACTGGGCGCCGGTTCAGGCGAACCCACAAGTGTTGGACTAACAGACCGAGATGGCGGCTGAAAATCGCTCTGTAATTTCTTGACGCCATTCTTCTTCTCCTGGAACTACCATCAGAAGGCACAACTGGTGAGAACGCGTCAATTCATACCAATTCTGAGGGCGCAGAGTTCCCCTGCTTCAAGTCCGGTCTTGTCGGAGATGTCGAGTCCGCAGTCCGTCTGCTCCACCACCGTATCCAAGATGATGATGAGGGCTTTGGCGCTACAGGTTTGCCCTCGTCTCCCGTCGAGGGCCGCGCGAGTCTGGGACGCTCCGGGCGACTTTCGTCTCCTGATAGTGCGCTTTCCTCGTCGGAGAATGGTGCTGGAGAAGCAGCCCGAGAGGAGGCCTGTGGCGGACCTTTCTCAAGAGCGGCACGACGCCATAGTAAAAGCGCCTCCATCAATGGGGAGTTGTCCGCTCGCGTAATGTATCTGCGTAAGGTGAAGAATAAGCCTCCGCGCAAAAGTGCCAGCACGGCACTGAGACCCACTTGTCATCCTCCAAGCACAATACTAGATTCTCCGACCTAACAATGTCTTCGTTACGCAAGAACGTCTCGAAGTCAACCTTGCCCTTTTCGAACAGCAGGGCATCTTCTACAGAGTCCTTCCCACCCAATGTGCCTGAATGACTCCTCGAGCGACCAGAGGCACGGGCACGGTCTGGAACTAGGCTCAGTTGGAATTCAATGGAGTGGCCCTCGATGAAGACGCGGAATCGTGTCGGGTCTCTGCGATCCACCGTGAGCATCCCACCCGAACCATACTTTGCCTCCTGGGACGCTGTAGGCACCGGTATTTTAGCATGTCGTGGCAAAAATGTCAATCTAGTCGGGCCACCACTCACGCGAGTTCTCGTCCCTCTCTGGAATATCCGGAAAAACCCTCTTGCCCTTGCCCCTCACGTCCTTCTCCGCAAACGCAGTCCACACGGGCGTCTTCTGCGGGAAGTTACCCCACTCCCAGGAATACTCCTCGACCAATGCAGGATCCCGCTCGGGAAGGCTGAGTTTCAGAGCGTCAGAGTCTGCCGTAGGCCGCTTGTTGTGTGTACGTGAAGAGGTGCCGTAGCGCGAGGTAAGAGCAGGCATGTGATGGTGGTGAGCGGGCATCTCGTCATCTTCGAGGTCTGGCGGAGGCTCAGATGTGGCCCGAGGGAAGGGGATCCCTGCTGCAGCATCTGGACTGGGCGATCCTAAAAATCATTCTGGTGAGGTGGCCTAGGTTTAGGAGAAAGGCAAGCAGCGTACTTGAAGGACCGGGTGTAACATCTTCTCGACTGCTCGTAGAGTCTACAGATGGGCTACGACGGCCGCCGCTTGTGATAGTCCTATCCGACCGTTCCTTAGTATGGGATTTCGAGGAATGGTAGCCTTCCACGTCAAACACCATGTCTGACAAATGACGCACTCAGAGCTGAGATATCGATAGCGATCCAGATGAGCGTACCATGTCCGTAGGTGACATCTGGAGTATCAGCCTTCTCCGGAGCACTAGGCAGGACCTCGTCCCCTTTGTCTCCAGTAGTCCCGTTGGACTGTGGAAAGGAGTAGAGGTTCTTCGCAGCGACGACGCTGTCCTTGACATACGACCTCTTCTCGCGTTCTACCTCCTTGATAGCCTCTTTGACCTGGTGATCCTCCAGCTTGTCCTTCCCAGCCCTCTCAACCTCACGAGCCATCCCCAACGCAGCCTTGCCTGCCGCTGCCGTACGCGCCAGAAGTCCTACCTTAGCTTGCTCATCAACAGTAGCCTCTTCTGAAGAGTTTACGTCTGACGCAGTATTCGGCTGCGCAGCACTAGGCTGTTGGGGCGGAGGGCTATCTTTGGGCTCTGGACTGGCGTCGAGATCGAGGTAGTCGGGCTCCTGTGCGCTTTCAGGCAGCTCCTGGCTCTGGGGTAGGGTTTGCTCGCCGTCCTCTTTCGCGCCGAAGCGTCCAGTGCGCTGTACGTGAGCAGCCGTGTTCGCCTGGCCGGGCTTCGTCGCTTCGAGGATGGGACTTGTGACAATGTTCTCTGGGATGTCTTCATCCGTTTCAAAAACGAAGAAGGCTTCGCCGGCATCGCCAATCTTCATTGAGAATGGTACTGGGTTTCCATTGATGTACACATTAACCTAAAATGAATGATTGCAGTGTGATTGATCTGTCTGCACTGCGGGATTGTGTGCACACGCACCTTCTTGTCTGCTGGCCTCAGGACCTGCCATTTGCCAAACCTGACGTGAAAGGGGGAACAAGCAAGCTCTCTCTCGCCATCTGGGGCGGGGACCTGTTCATCTGGGTTTGTTGTGCTTGGGACGAGCTTGGGTCTGGATATTACTATGACGTCGATGGCGCCGGTGAGTGTTGAAGGGTTTATGTCCTTGTAGTACTGGTATGGGGCACTGATTGCGCTGACAGCACCCCGGAGATAATTCATGAAGACGTGGAGGAGGACGAGGAGAGAGCACTCTGCGCGCAGTGTAAGTACCGCAGGCCAAGCTCCCCCAAAGTGCTACACGCGGCGTCTCGTGCCATGTGAATATCGTCCCACTCCCGAGTTGGAAACTGCGGTCGTTCGACGTTCGTCCTCGCGAGCTCTCGCGTCCAGAAATGTCTCTGCTTTGAAACCACGCTGTTTGCAAGTCAGAAAAGATCAGTACGGAGATACGCCGCAGCCTCGGCGCAATGCACAGGGACGCAGTAATCCTGCCCGCTCAAGACGTCACGTGACGAGATATGGCTTCAGGGTCTCTACCAACGTGCACCATGGCCGAACGTCCGTCGGCCAATTGCAACGACGGCTGGAGTGGTATCGCCGTACTCTCTGCTTGAGTTCGCGTCTAGAGCGACTCTGAGCGGGTGCTCAGCGCTCACGTGGTGTTACGTCACGACGCGTCGTTTCGCGTTGTGGATTGATGCCAGCTTGACGCCTGGGTATAATCCATGCAGCCTCTGACCCGAGATTTCCACTCGAACTCACCACCCACCTCATCGCTGTTCCGCTGAACGTCGAGCAATGCCAACTCCCTCGCTTGACCGCCAGTCTGTACTCGACCTTGACCCGTGGCTCGAGCCCCAGGTCGGCGCCATTCTCCATCGTCACGACCTCTTCAGGAAATGGAAGGACACCATCGAAGAGACCGAGGGTGGCTACGACGCCTTCACAAAGGGCTACGAGAAAATGGGTATCAATGTCATGCCTGATAATTCTGTCGTCTATCGCGAATGGGCTCCCAACGCGGTTGAAGCCGTCTTCACTGGTGATTTTAGTCCGTGCGACGCCTCCATCGCGCGAATCGATGTTCATCTAGCACCCTAGATAAATGGAACCGCATTTCGCATCCTATGACCAAGAACCAATATGGTGTATGGGAGATCACCGTGCCTCCCACGGCAACGGGCGAATGCGCAATTCCTCATGATTCCAAATTGAAGGTACGGCCTTCAAAGTCTCGGAACGGCAACTGGCTAAACACAGACCCAGATTTCGCTGATCCTACCTTCTGGGGCGCGTGTTGAACGCATCCCCGCTTGGATAACGCGGGTCACCCAAGATCTGTCCGTGTCGCCCGTATACGAAGCGCGTTTCTGGAACCCTCCTCCCTCTGAACGCTACCAGTTCAAGAACAAGCGTCCACCGCAACCGCGCAGTGCTCGTATATACGAAGCGCATGTCGGCATCTCGACACCAGAACACAGGGTTGGAACTTACAAGGAGTTCACTAGGGACACACTTCCGCGCATCAGAGACCTTGGGTATAATATTATTCAGCTCATGGCCGTTATGGAGCACGCGTATTATGCCTGTGAGTTGAAGCGAATACTCATTTCGCGCGACACTCATTTGCTTTGTAGCGTTCGGATACCAAGTGACCAGCTTCTTCGCCGCCAGCTCTCGCTATGGTAATCCGGAAGACCTGAAGGAGCTCATCGATACTGCTCACGGCATGGGAATCACTGTCCTCCTTGATATCGTTCACTCTCACGCGTGCAAGAACGTCTTGGATGGTATCAACCAGTTTGACGGCACAGATCACCTCTATTTCCATGGAGGCGGCAAGGGCCAGCACGAGCTTTGGGACAGCCGTCTTTTCAATTATGGTCACCACGAAGTGCTCCGTTTCCTCATGAGCAACCTCCGGTTCTGGATGGAAGAGTATCATTTCGATGGCTTCCGCTTCGATGGCGTCACCAGCATGATGTACGTCCACCATGGCATCGGTACAGGCTTTTCGGGAGGATACCACGAATACTTCGGAGATCAAGTGGATCTCCAAGCCGTCGTGTATTTGATGCTTGTGAGTGCCCTAGAACCTTGACATGAATGACGCAATGCTCAGCATTGTCGTAGGCTAACGACGCCATGCACACCCTTTTCCCGGGATGCATCACCATTGCAGAGGATGTGTCCGGCATGCCACTTCTCTGCACACCCGTGTCGAAGGGTGGTGTCGGCTTTGACTATCGTTTATCTATGGCCATACCAGACATGTGGATCAAGCTTTTGAAGCACAAGAGTGACGATGAATGGGACTTTGCCAACATCGTCCACACTCTAACCAACCGGCGTCACGGAGAACGGAGCATTGCTTACGCGGAGAGTCACGATCAAGCGTTAGTCGGAGACAAGACCCTAGCGTTTTGGCTCATGGACAAAGAGATGTACACCAACATGTCCGACCTAACGGAGTACACACCGATTATTTCCAGAGGCATCGCACTGCACAAGATGATCCGGCAAGTTTTCTCGTTTTGCCCGCGTGAACTCAGGAGTTAACGCAATTCCTAGGCTCCTGGTTCACTCCCTTGGTGGCGAAGGCTACCTCAACTTTGAAGGTAATGAGTTTGGTCACCCCGAATGGCTTGACTTCCCACGCGAAGGCAACGGAAATTCCTTCCACTACGCCCGCCGCCAATGGAACGTTGTGGACGACCCCATGCTGCGCTACAGGTACCTGAACGAGTTCGACAAGGCAATGAACCACCTCGAGGAAAAGTACGGTTGGCTCGCGGCACCCCAGGCCTGGGTCTCGCTCAAGCATGAAGGCGATAAAGTCGTCGCGTACGAGCGCGCGGGCCTCGTCTTCGTGTTCAACTTCCACCCCACCAACTCCTTCACAGATTATCGCATCGGTGCGGATGTTGCCGGCACATACCGCATAGTGCTTTCCAGCGACGAGAAGCGGTTTGGAGGGTTTGACAACATTGACTTGAACGCGACGTTCCGCACGACGCCTGAGGAGTGGTGCAACAGGAAGAACTACATCCAGGTGTGTCTGCCTCCGTTTTGCAGAATATGCGGGGATCGCTGATCAGTGTTTGCAGGTGTACGTTCCTAGCCGCACCGCTATTGTTCTCGCCAAGGACTAAGTGGCTCTTCGTCCTGCCTGAGCCTCTGGGAATTTGGTTTTTCGCCATGAGAAGGATCGAACTAGAAATGGAAGTTGTAAGAATATCGAAGTGTACTATTAGCCCGAGTCTAGAAAACCTTGAAAGGAATATACTGCGCGCTGCTCAAAATACTTGCCAGCGAAAATGTGCCTGATCATGCATCATGAGTCGGCTGGACAGAACTTGCGAATCTGGTAGCGGAGGCTACGCGCCGACGGCGCGCGATCACTAATTGCAGCTTTGCGCGATCTCACGCACCACGTATATAATTCCCTTCTCCACATGCTCCAGCTGGGACCATATCTGTTTGCTACACCCATGTCCTCCTGCTGAGAGCTGCATTTGCCAGCCAGAGATGGACTACAAACCGCTATCGACGAATGAAAAGGAGGGCATCCCGCCCCCTGTGCAAGCTCCTGCGCCTGTACCCGCGAAGGACGCAAGAGTAAAGAAATGCCGTCGCCTGGCGACATTTGCCAGGCACCTTGTCGTACTCTCGCTGGTGTTCCTTACCCTGCGTTACTGGGGCTCTCAGATGAAAGCCGAGGTCGACGCCGAGGTGGGTGCCTGGCTCCCTGAGTTATTCGCGTTCGACCATCACCACCACCACGGCGGCGGGAAGCATGGGGGTGCGAAGCACCCAGTTCTGCACGGCAAGGCCACGGAGCACGCCTATCTGTGAGTGCTCCTCTTTCGTCGTTGTACTCGCCAGGACTAGTGTGAGCTCATGGCGACCCAGAACCGTTCCCAACCCCGCGAGCGCAATCCTGGCCTCCCGCCAATATGCTACGACGCCACACATGGCAGGCACACCCGGCGACTTCGACACCGCCAAGCTCTGGCTCTCTCTGCTACAAAGTGAGCTCGGCGCGGTCGCGCCTGCGAGCGAACCCATCTATTCCGCCGGCTCGGCCGAGTCGCGGAACGCCACCTTGTCCATCCCGCATTCGAATGCCCCTACGGCGTGGATCGACGTGTACTACCCGGTCATGAATACCCCGGTTAACCACAGCGTGACAATCCTGGGTGAGGACGGGCAGCCTGTATGGACTGCCCCGCTCGAGGAGGTCGCGGACGAGACGGACCCGGAGGCGGGACAGTACGTTGAGGCTGTACCAGTGTTCCATGGCCTTAGTGCTTCGGGAGAGGCGTCAGGCAAGCTCATATATGCGAACTATGGGCGACAGGAAGACTTCAAGGCTCTCGTTGAGAAAGGTGAGACTCACTGTCGTACTGTCGTGTTGCCGAAATTCTGACAGACATCAGGCGTAAATTTCACTGGCTCAATCGTCCTCGCTCGCTATGGAGGCATCTTCCGCGGTCTCAAGGTCAAGGGTGCGCAGGAGCTTGGCGCTGCAGGCGTGCTCATCTTCTCGGACCCTTCCGACGACGGCGCTGTTACCGAGGACAACGGCTACCTTGCTTACCCATACGGTCCCGCACGTAACCCGACGTCTGTCCAGCGCGGTTCAGTACAGTTTCTCTCAATGTATCCTGGTGACCCTACGACGCCTGGATCTCCCGCGTACGAGAACAGCACACGCACCGAGGGTGAAAACATTCCCCGGATTCCGAGCCTGCCAATCTCGTGGGCGAATGCGCAGGTGTTGCTCAATGAGATCTCTGAAGGCGGGCTGAACCGGACGGTGTCGCTTGTCAACCATGTGGACACTGGAGTTATCCCGATCTGGAACACGATGGGTGTTATCCCTGGGCATATCAAGGACGAAGTCGTTATTGTGGGAAATCATCGTGATGGTAAGTCTTCAGCTACTTTCTCAATACTCTTTGACTGAGCCTTGATGCAGCATGGGTCATGGGCGCGACCGACCCTTCGTCTGGCACTGTGTCAACTCATGAGTTCGTCCGCGGACTGGGTCACCTTCTCAAGAAGGGATGGAAGCCGCTGAGGACGCTCGTCATCGCAAGCTGGGACGCTGAGGAGGTATGCGCACTTCTTGCTTCATCAGTGGACATATCTAATCGAGACTCCCTAGTATGGTTTGATCGGTAGTACTGAGTGGGGAGAAGATTTCGCAGACTTCATTGAGGAGAACGTTGTCGCGTACATCAACCTTGGTACGCGTCTCTCCGCACGAGGATGTCTCCAATCAAACTCATAGTTTCTCGTCTCACAGACTCTTCTGTCTCTGGCGCTCGCTTCGGAGCCAGCGCCTCTCCTTCGCTGTCCCACCTTGTCCGTAGTGCTGCAGAGGAGATCCCACATCCAACAATACCCGGGAGATCCCTATGGGATGCCAGGAACGATGTTGGTATCTTCCAAGGTACCGCCAAGGAGGGGGTCCTCGAAATGTACGAGGCTGAAGCACAGCAGGCGGACGACCTTGGCGTCAACCCGCTAGGCTCCGGCAGTGACTACACAGTGTTCTTGCAGCACATTGGAGTTGCGAGCACGAATATGGGCTTTGGAAATACCCCCCATGATGCGGCTTATCACTACCACTCTGTCTACGACTCCCAGCGGTGGCAGGAGCTCTACGGGGACCCGGGCTTCTTCCGCCATGTGGCCATCGCAAAGTTGCTCGGACTCCAAACTCTTCGTCTTCTGGACTCTATCACCCTTCCAATCAACACCACTTACTACGCTTACGAGCTAGGCAGCTACTTGGAACGGGTCGAGTCTATCGCTAGCGCGACTTCGCTCGACGTAGACTTCTCGTCTCTCCGACACTCGTTGCACGCCCTCCAGAGAGCGAGCATCGCTCTCGACCAGGAGAAGTATGAGGCGGAGAAAGAGCTGAAGAAGATTGTTCGGAAGCTCATGAGACGCAGGATCATTCACCGTAAGGTGCGCAAGGCGATCTGCAAGATCAAGAAGGTCTTTGGCAAGGAGTGCCACCAAGAGCACAAGAAGCTCGACAGTCAAGAGGCTGTGTCCGTTGTCAATGTCCCATCCTTCACCACTGAGGAAGGCCGTGCCATCCAACCTCGCATTGGACGCGCTCCCATCTTGGTGAAGGAGCACCTCGAGGGACATCATTGTCAGATGAAGGGCAAGGGCCACCACAACAAGCATCTGTATAAAAAGCTGAAGAAGGCAGTCAAGCGTGTCCGCAAAGCTAACCAGAAGCTCGTCGCATTCGAGCGGGGCTTCATCTCCAAGGATGGTATCAAGGACCGCGAATGGTACAAACATCTCGGTGTCGCCCCTGGCAAGTGGCTCGGTGGGTCGACTTCTTACGTCGTTTAGAGAAGGTGCAGCTGACGGTTTGCGCTTGCAGGTTACGGTGCGACTACTCTGCCCGCTCTTACAGAGTCCTTTACTATTGATAACAACGCTACTCTTGCCAAGTACGAGATCAAGAGGCTGCAGAAGCTCGTCGACAAGCTCGCAGATAAGATCGAGCCTTAATTGTTTAACTGGCGGTGTGCGCCGGATTCTAACATGTATTGAACATTCGTCTGTAATCTCTTGACTGCTGAATATACTGGGCTATGTTGTCTGGTCTGCGATTGTGTCTGCTAGTGGCGCCAAAGCTCGTCAGGAGGTGCCTGACCCGATCACAGGAGGAACCTCGGAAGAGATCCATTTCCCCGCACTGCGCCAAGGTCGCCCTTTCATCAAAAATCAGGATGAGCTCGCTGGCGGACGCCTCGTCTTCACTCCTCCCCTCCACCAGAAGACTGCCTGGCCATGTCACAGCCAGCCGCACGCGGCCCCTTCGTGTCCGCAGCAAGCAACGCTCTTTCCCTCGTCGTCCTGCTTGGCTTGTCGATCGCGACGTATGGCTACGAACGCAGCCTGCAGCCGTTGTACGGCTCCGCGCCGACCCACCTCCACCTGAACAAGGTCGTGTGGCTTGCGTGCATTGCGGGCATGTTCACACCGACGCTCTCGCTCTCGAACGCGCTGCTCGCTGTCGGCGCGCTGCTCTGCGCGATGCCGCAGACCGCGTACTGGGCGGCCGCGCACACCGGCAGGTGGCACGACCCTGTGTGGGGTCCCGTGGCGACACATGCGTGCGTGATTGGGCCGGTGTTGTATTGGGGAATTGCGATAGTCAAGGAACTGCAGGTGCGTGTCGTGCTCTTGTCTGCCGGGGCTAAGCTGATGACGGGGCAACGCTCGGCAGAAAAGCACGGAGCTGCAGGGCTCGCCTTTCCAGGCGATGAGCTTGCCTGTATGCAGAATGGCCATCATGACTTTGCAAGACCTCTGGCCGACGTTCGAGTTCCTCTGCAACACATCCGAGAGAGATCTGGTTAGTCTTGGTGTTTTGCGTGTCAGAAGAGTCGACTGAAGGATGCAGCTTGTATATATTGGCTGTGCCGCGCTCGTATCCTGGGCAGCTCTGCCGTTTGTCCCGTCTTTCGACACTATCACAGTCCCTGGCAGGCCTGCGGTCAAGGCCAGGTCGAATTTCACAAGTAGCAACCTCATGCGGCTCGCTGTTTTGCCTCTCGTGCCATTCATCTTCAACAATCTCCAGCCTCCCACTCTGCCGAAACCCCTGCCAGAGCCCTTCATTCACCCCGAAACATCACTTCGGATCCTGTCCTCCGTCGGCTCTCCCTATTCCGGAGTCGTAGTAGTTGGGGAGGTTCCGCCGCCGACGCCCGCCATGATCAAGGCCGGCAATGTCACTGAGCCGCATTCGATAAGGTACATGCGTGCTGGACACTCGCTGCTAGGCGGTGTGTGGCTAGGTGAGCGCGTCTTCAGCTTAGATCGCCGCACCCCCCTTGGACATGACAAGCATTCGACCCCGATCGGCGACTCGATCTATTCGGCCTTTGTCGCTCAAGAGGCTGCTCTGTTGGTTGAGCGACCCGGTGCTGGTGAGAAGCAGAGTGCATTAATGATGTGGGTACCTGGTACTCCTCTTGGTAGCCTTACTGACGACCCTCGGACACTAGTGGACTTGGTACTGGGATCGCGGCGTCGTCCTTTATCAAGCGTGGCGTCTCCACGACGATCGTCGAGGTCGACCAAGCAGTGTATGATGCGGCCACCGAGTACTTCGGATTGGAGGTTGCAGAGCCGGATAAGGTGTATATCAGCGACGGCAGAGGCTTCGTCATCCAAAGGACCGAGAACACGACGTCGGCGGATGATGGCTCGAAGGCGGAGTACGACCCATTCGACTTTGTCATACATGATCTGTTTTCCGGAGGCGGTGTGCCTAGTCATTTGTTCACACTCAGGTTCTGGCAGGACCTCACGAAGATCATCAAGCCTGATGCGGTTGTAACTGTTGTAAGTATTTCCATGCAGTACCAGTCGTCCTATGATCAGAATCATTAATGGGGCCCTGCCATAGAACTTCGCCGGAAGCTTGCAGTCCGACTCGGCGAAGGCCGTCTACTTGACATTGAAGGAAAATTTCCCACAATGCCGGGTTTTCCATGATTCGGTCGAACCCATGTCTCAAGAGAAGTTGAAAACAGAATTCGTAAACTGGGTATGTTTCTCGTCGATGAGTCTGGGTACTGGCATGCTCACGTTGCGGCAGATATTCTTCTGCAGCCCTTCACCAGAACCTTTGATCTTCCGCCCTGCAGTCGAGGCCGACTTCCTCCGCTCCTTTTTGCGCTCCCGCATACTTTCCACGATTTCCGAGCGCGAAGTCAGCGGAGATTTGATTGTGGGGGGACTGGACCTCGCCGACAAGGACGTCAAAGAGAAGTATATTCTGACAGACGAGAAGAGCTCCCTGACTGACTGGCAGGACGTCGAGGCGCTGCGCCATTGGAGATTGATGCGGGATGTGTTGTCAGATGTCTATTGGGAAACATATTGAGTTATGTTCTTTCATTCATCTATGCTATACAATGTATTCCTAGTTACTATTTCGGAGTTTATCGGATGTCTGGCGGACGTGTCATGCGCTTTGCCACAGCTCGGGAGAAGTAACGATGCGCCCTCCGTTCTGTGGATATCCGATAGAGTGTTTCCAGGTATGCGATAGGTATACGTGTGTAGGCCATCGTTTTACAATAATCCTGTGGTCAAGTTTCAAATTTCGGCCTATAAGCTTCTGGGATCTTCAAACATCTTGACTTGCCATTTCAAGTCAAGCTGGACGCTTACCGCCATCAATGAAAAGGCGCCCATTCCCGCCCCTCGCTCGGAGCTTTGTGTCGCTCGACTCCAGACCCGCATGTAACAACATACCGTTTTCTCCCTATGTATGAAATTGCGAATGTTTTGGCTCTAGTCCGCAAGACCGATGCGTTGCGTGGAAAAGCTGGGGAGCGATCGCCATTGTTGCACCGCCACGGACTTTCTGCCACAGCTCAGCCTCGCTGGTAGCCCCATTAGCAGATGTACGTTTCTAAAATTGTACAGAAGGCATGGCTGTCCGACATTCTAATACAGTGGCTTTATCGTTTAATTTTATTGTCATGTGGCGCTTGAATTCGGCAACTACCACACCAAAGCCTCGGGCAGGTGTTACGACGGAAGGAGCCTCACGAGCGGAGGCTCCGGCTGAGACCTCGACAATCCGGTCAGCAGTGCCCTGAACGCGAAGAATCTGTAGAGCTGCGGTGACAAGGCACACGTAAAACCATTTGAGCATCAATCAGTGCGCAGCCTTGTCTTTGTGCCCCTAAAATGTCGAGCTCTCGTCCGGCGGGCCTCCGGAGTTTGTATTGGGATTGGCTTCACAGGTCTTCTCGGAAAATGGAAACGAACTGTGGTAACTTACAGCATCCATTTCCGACTATGCCGCTTACGGGCGTGCTTCAGTCTGCCCGCTAGGACGTGTGCTATTTGGTCGCTTTTGGTATGTCCCTACGCACAATACTCGAATCTCTCCTTGGATCTAAGTGCCTGGCGTATGTTCAGGCTCATTATGGTGACTTGCTGTGACACGCGCATGTTCCCTCCGCTTCAGACATGTGCAGAACGAAGGCTTCTTGACAGGCTATTTGCTCTCAAGCTGATTCGTCAGGCTATCCGAGCACATAGGATGACGAGTCTGCCTACCAAGAACGGCCACTCTGGCAATATGCCGGATGTTATAGGGTACAAATCTGATCCGTCGAGCTTTCAGGCGTCCCGACTGTTCGCGTACCTAAGCTCAGCTGTGCAAGCAGAAGACCTATCAGCTTGGATCTTCCGCACGTTTCTCTTGGGTCTGCGCTATCCTAGGCTCCTCGTTCACAGTCCGAGATGGACTCGGTTGCGGATGCGCTCGTCCTTGACTATGAAACGTGCATAGTGAGCACATCAACGCCATGTACGGGGTATGCGCTGACCACTGTCTGGACGACAGGCATCCCTCGAATGGCTCATCCACCCACCTCCATCCGAGACTCATCCTGAACGTACCACTGCCCGCCAGTTGTTGATCCTCGAAGGCCATGGGCAACATATCCCTACATCATTCGTCTACCTATCTGCGCAAATCGCCGCACGTAACGACTTTCGCCAGCGCTTCCCTCACATTGTGGCGTTGAGGGCGCAATGCGAAACTTCGCATTGCCTACGAGGGGCAATACACTGGGCCGTCGGACTTGGGCCATCTCTCACTACTTTATCGTTGCGATTGCCCCGAAGCGTAACAGCTGAAGTCCAGGCGGTGGCGCTGCGCAGCATACGTGGAAGAGTGCCGTACCTACAACGCCTGGAGATCGAGATGGATCTGCGAGGACTGAGCGAAGGGCAGGCACTGGATCTAGCTTTGCAAGTGGTCGCTTTCTGCGACGACTTGAGAAGCTTGACGGTGCTAAGTCTGCCTGTGGAGGTACTGGAGACAGCCTGGCAAGTACGTGGGCAAGCTGTGTCCAGTCTACCGTTGCTCCGGGAGTTGTCACTCAGTACGCAGTCCCGAACCGCTCTGTCAAGGCAGCCGCCCGTACGCGAGGGCGGCTTCAATAACTTGCATACTCTGCGTATCCGAGCACCTCTATTCCAATGCGCCGACATTTTAGGCTCCACGAGCAAGAACCTCAAACGGCTAGACATTCAATGCGATTTCCTGGAGAACGCGCATATCATCACCGGCAGCTTACGCACTATTACCAACTTCTGCTCCACCACGATCTCCCACAGTACTTTCCTGGAACTCCCTTCGAAGAAGCCACATAGCATGTTGCCCGCGAACATGAACGCGTTGTTCTCTCCGCGCGGTATCCCTTCCCCCGTTCTTCTGTCCAATCTCACCGACATCGAACTCACGTTCACGCAAGGCAGCCCAGAAGGCTTACGGCTATGTACCTTCGCACCTCTGTTATCGGCACAAGCCTTGCGTCGGCTGTCCATTAGATACCCATATGCGCTCTCATACACCGCAGATGATCTGGGAGACATGTTGGGTAGCTGGCACAGCATCCAGTCCTTGTATCTCAACCCTCGGCCTTCGCGGGGGCTCATTAGCCTCAGTTCCACACCTTCTGTCGGCATTCTATCTGCCGTTGCTCGCTGCGGGCCCTGTCTCCAGAACTTCTGTGCCCTGGTGGAAGGTTTGGGGACGTGTCGGCCGCTTCCTGAGCGCACCTGGGCACCAAGCTTGCAGAAGTTGGACCTGGGGCACTCGCTGGGGACGCGCCAAAATGAAGAAGTGTTGGTGGCAGCAAAGTATATTCGTAGCCTCTTTCATGCTGTGCACATCGAGACCGAAGACTGTTCAGATTGGGTTGTAGACGTGGCAGCGGCGTTCGGTACTATTGATGATGCTGAGTAGTATCTCACTTTCTGGATTTTGATTGCGAAAATACCGTATTTATTGCGTCTGCGATGCCAGCTAGAGCTTTTCTCACTGGTTCACTTTGCACACGGGAGCTAGATGGTCGGTGCTTGGGGTTAGGGGTAATTATGCACTGTCACGGTCACAATATGATGCGTGACTGATATAGCCTCACGTGCCCCAAGAAGCAAACAAGGTTCAAGGTAAACAAGACTTCGGTGTAAGCACCAGAGGCCACCGAGGATCTTGTCTCTCAACTTTCATCTCGACGCCTCGCTGCAGAGCGGAGGCCCTCGTTTATTATTCCTATCTAACTTTCCTCATCGCCTCACTGCGTTACTCACCATCCTACACGCATACACCATGCCACCACGTCGCTCGTTGAGGGCGGCCCCTGCTAAGGCCGAGTCCAAAGCCGAGCCCAAGAAACCAGCCGCAAAGGCAGCTGCGAAGCCGCCAGCGCGTAGTCGAAGCCGCGTCGCAAAGCGGCGCGCCGTCGACGACCCGGATTCACGTACCCCGTCTCCCCTACCACCCGCTAAACGTCGCCGGGCCAGTTCACGGGCGGCGAATGGCATCATCGCACACGAAGAGCCGAAGACTACTGAGGCTGCTGAGACCTCCAAGGAGAACAACGCTAAAGAAGCCCCGGAACTAGCCAAGCCAGCCAAGCCCGTAGAAAAGAAGGAGAAAAAAATCGTCAAGACCGTCCAGCAAAAACCTTATTTCAACCCGCTCCCGACGCCACCAGAGCACGTCCGCCCAGCTCCTGTGCCTTTCGCATGGGGTGCTGGTAACTTTGGACAGTTTGGCATGGGTGAAGACGCTCTCGGCGAATTCGAGAAGCCCACACGCAACAAGCTCGTTGAGGAAAAGATGGCAGAGGGTGTGTTTGGTGGCGAAGGTGCTGGCTTCGAGGCTGTTTCGGCAGGTGGAATGTACAGTCTTTTCATTGATGAAAAGGGCACAGTAAGTGATCCTCGCGATCTCCATAACTCGCCACAAACTGACCCGCGACGTAGGTCTGGTCCTGTGGAACGAACGATGACGCTGCTCTCGGTCGTATCACTACAGATGTCCCTGACCCCGACAAAGAGGGCGAATTCTTGGATGTTGATACTCTCACCGCTCAGCCATTCCCTCTTCAGACTTTGGTGGACGAAGGCTTCCGAGCGACCCGCATTGCTACCGGGGACAGCATATCCGCGGCTATCAGCCAGGAGGGAGAGCTGCGCGTCTGGGGCTCGTTCCGAGTAAGTGGTTCTAATGTTTCACGTACGATTCCTATCTGACTGTTCCCTAGTCCGTCGAGGGTCTGTTAGGCTTCAAGAGCGGACAGAACCATCAGTTTACACCAATCTCCACCATGGAGCTGCCAAGCAAACCCGATGACGCAGAGAAGTTCACTTCCGTTGTCGCAGGAAACAATCACCTCGTCGTCCTCACTACCCACGGTAACATCTTCACCTGGGGTGCTGGCGAACAAGGCCAGTTGGGCCGCAAGGTCCTTGAGCGGAGGAAAATCCACGGTACAACTCCAGAGAAAATTGTTCTCCACTCGCGCACACGGAAGGCCGTCGTTGTGGGCGCGGGCAACTACACCTCGTTCGCCGTAGACGAGCAGGGCGGTGTCTGGGCTTGGGGCCTGAACAACATGGGGCAGACTGGGACCGGTTTCACTAATGCGGCAGCTGACAGCGAGGTCGGACTGCCCAAAAAGGTCGTGGGCTTGAGCAAGTCAGAGCTCGACGGTGATCATGTCGTCCAGATAGTCGGAGGCGAGCACCACACACTCTTCCTTACCGCCACTGGCAAGGTCTTTGCGTGCGGCCGGTCAAACGGCGGACAGCTCGGACTTCCGGAAGACCACTCTGCATTCCAGGACCGCGATGAAGACCACCAGGACCTGGTCGCAGTGCCCACTCTTGTCCCCTTCCCCGACGACGATGACCCTGTTGTCCATATCAGCGCTGGCATCCACAACAACATGGCCGTTACGAAAGACGGTGCACTGTACACATGGGGTACCGGTCCCCAAAGCGAACTGGGCGTCGTCGGCGAGTCAGAGGTGAAGACTCCCAAGATGATTGTCAGGAGAGATGGCGGCGCCTGGGCTGCTGTCGCGGGTTCCTGTGGAGGTCAACACACCCTTGCATTGCTGCGTAAGAAGACCTAGTGATTGGACAGCATCCTCTCACGCTACAATGTGCTCCTAATCCTTGCACTGGACCTTCATCGTCTTCATGTTACCTTGGAAAGCACACCATGGACATCCATACATTGCTCTTCTTGCGCTACCATCCACTCATCAATCCGCCTCTAGATTCCCGCATCAATGCTCGGAGTAACCACTTGTATCTTGTTTTCGTTTCGCTACACTATACTCGAATTTGTATCCTCATATCCCGATATGCTTCCGGAGTTTGCGTCCAACAGGCGACGATGAGAAGGAGCGGCGATAAAACACCTCTGCGTCCTCGTAGGCGCACGATGGACGATCCTACCGGCTCGGAGCTGTTCGGAGGATATAGGGCATACCTATTCCCACAACTCAACACACTTCCTGGGAGTTTTCTTCCCGGTTGTCTTCTTCCCCTGACACCCTGGGAGCTGATGCGAGGGGTAAGCGCAATAGTGTTGTATGAAACAGTCACATTGACACAGTCTAGAATTGCTAATCGAAGTCTGAATGGTTGCAGAACCAACACTCCGAGGTGATCAGCCTAGCGTCCGAAGAGGAGAGCCTGGATCAGTGGTTTGATTTCAGAGTTACTGCGACCACCGCAAGAACGCCAACGGGAAACAGGACGTATGAGCGGTCGGCATGATACGAGAGCGCAAGAATCCTTGGCGGAGCGAGCCGGGTCTACCGGTTCCAAGACTTTCCGTAAGCGTAGCACCGCTACGGATTGCCCCATCCCGTCAGTTGCTTTGGCCAGGGTGGATTTTCAGTGCGTCCAGTTCGTAATGTCATGTTGCAGGTATCCAAGCGCGGAACAAGGCTATTCCATCGGCGCAGAGAATGGCAGAATCAGACTGCTCACGTGTACGCCCTGATTATCTCGTATCTCAGATCCGTTCGTCGTGAGGTCCTCCACACCGTACGTGGTAAGACAATTTCCTGGGGTGAGTGTGAACACATCAATTGCCGAACGCCGTTTCCAGGACTCATGACAGTTCCTTGTGTGAGAGCTTATATAAAACGGCTCAAGGCGACATGTCGTGGTGTACACCTTCCTGAACTACCGACACGATGTTGGACGCACTGCGATCCCTGCTAGCAACCCTGCTGTCTCCCGCCGTAACGGCCCCAGAAGGCCTTTTGGATGGTGTGCATGGAGACAGCGCGGGCCCACCTTTCTCGCTGGGTGACTTCCCCATCGATACTCCCAGGCCTCTGAAAGTGATCGTCATAGGTGCTGGCTTCAGTGGAATTGCTGCGGGCATCCGCTTCCTCCAGCGTGTTCCGAATATTGATTTGACTATCTATGACAAGAACGACGGGATCGGCGGGACGTGGTGGTCGAATCACTATCCGTATGTCTACGATCCAATCAGTTTGTCTTCTCAGACCTGAAACGGCTGACACGTTCCAGCGGACTGGCCTGCGATATCCCGTCTCACTGTGTAAGTAATCCTCTGATATCCAAGAACTGACGAAAGCTTAATTGTCCATCTGAGCCTAGTATCAATATACCTTCTTCCCCAACACGCAATGGTCCGCCTTCTACGCCCCCGGATCTGAGATACAGGCGTACCTGCAGAACGTTGCATTCACGTATCAGCTCGAGAAGTACATCAAACTTCAGCATGAGATGGTTGGCGCAAGGTGGAACGAAGCGGAAGGCAAGTGGCATGTGACCATCCGACGGCCCAAGGCTGGCACGAACACCTCTGGCAGCACGGCTGAAGACTTCGAGGTCTTCGAGGATACGGCAGAGTTGCTGTTTACGGGAATGGGTGCTTTAAGCCGGTGGAACTGGCCCGATATCGAAGGGCTCAAGACCTTCAACGGCCTGGTGGTCCACAGCGCCAAGTGGGAGGTCCCCAATCCAGCCGAGGCGATGACCGGCTCTCCTCAGATCAGAAAGGACTGGGAAGAAGATGTGAAGGATTGGGGCAGCAAGCGTGTTGCGGTCATTGGTGTGGTAAGAGCCTTCGTTGACATCTCCTGCGATATTTTGATGACACTAGTGGCATTAGGGCTCTTCGGCAATTCAGATCGTTCCTGCTTTGCAACGCAAGGTTGGCAAGGTGCTCAATTTTGTTCGAGGCAAGACCTGGCTGGCACAGCCGTTTTCTCAAGGCAAGATGGCGGAGCTTCTGAATAGGGATCCGAACTCGGATAATTGTAAGTTGACCATTGTGCACACATCCCGACGCATCTCGGCTGTTAATATGTCGACTAGACGTATTCTCTGCAGAGGAGAAGGAAGCATTCCGGGATCCGGCGCATTATAAGCAATTCCAACACGCTCTAGAGGAGGACCTTAACGTACGCACCTCTTGATCTTCATGCAACGCAATTGGCTCAACACACGGTGGTGGTACAGTCGGCACACCACAGTACGCTGAAGGACAGCGAGATGCAGAAGGGCGCCCGTGTGGCGTTTAAAGCAAATATGCTGAAGCGTCTCGCGAAGAAGCCATGGATAGCGGACCATCGTGGGTTATTCTTTTGACAGCGTTACTGGTAATATTAACTATTCCTTGATGATTAGTGATCCCGGACTTTGGTGTCGCCTGTCGACGTCTGACGCCTGGCCCCGGCTATCTGGAAGCCCTTTGTGAAGACAATGTGCGCTCCGTGAATCAGCTTTAATGCGACGGTCTTCTCATGTGTATGCAGGTTGACTTCATATCGACACCGATCAAGCGAATCACGGAAAATGGTGTTGAGACGGTTGACGGTCAACTTCACGAAGTCGATGTGATAGTATGTGCTACTGGTAAGCGTTAGGATAGTTAACATTTCCGCCAACGCCCACTAACAGTCCCTTGCCCGGTCCATAGGATTCAACACTTCCTTCACCTACCCCTTCCCGATGATCGGCCGCAATGGTGTGAACCTTGCAGACAAGTGGAGCCCGCACCCGCGCAGCTACTTGTCCATCTGTGTCGATGATTTCCCGAATTGGTTCTTTTCTCAGGGACCGAACGCCGGCGTTGGCTCTGGGAGTCTCACCGCAGTCATTGAGTATCAAGTCGACTACGCGGTACGTGTTGCTAGGAAGATGCAACGCGAAGGGTTGAAGTCTGTAGAAATCAAGAAGGAAGCAGTCGATGATTACGACGAATACATTGAAGTGAGTGACACTCAGGTCTGGGACGTCGTGCGCTGACTCAATCTGACTTTTAGCATTACTTCCCAATAGTGAGTTCTATGGTATCAGTGATTCCGGCATCGGGCTCATGCGGGTTTATAGACCATCTACAGCGAGAAATGTAGATCGTGGTACAAGGCGGGCAAGGAAGAAGGGAGAGTTGTTGGGCTTTGGCCAGGTGAGTGTATGAGTACACATTGGTGCTGCGCCTGCTCAACTATATATCTAGGTTCTTGCCTTCATGCGCTTGTTGCTCTAAAGGAGCCGAGATGGGAGGACTTCAACTATCAGCGGTCTGACGGATCGACGAATAGGTTACAGTGGCTCGGTAACGGCATGACGTATAACGAACAGCATATGAGCGGTGATAGTGAGTGTAGAATGTCACATCTTCCCTTGGTTATCTGACGAACCTGTGAACACAGAGGCTTGGTATCTTAATGAAGAGAACGTGGATATTCCACCCGGTGAGTCGTTCCGCGATGCGAGCTTCGAAGCCGCTCTGATACTCTCGAGCCCAGTCCCTCTGAGACCGGACTGATTGTCCTACGACTATTTTCTATGAATCTCTAGTTGTACTATTGTATCTCTATATGTCCACCAATCTCCAGATAATTCCCATTCTAATGCCATGACTTTGATTGAGCGGAACCCCGCGAAGGCCACGGACATATATCCGAGTCATACTGATCCTGCTCGATACAAGCTGCAAATAAAGATGGTGAGAAAACACGAGGCGGTAGCGAGTGCTGTACATCACAACGCGGACCAGATTGCAGTCAAGTCGTGACACATCGGGTACCAAATCCGCACGTACTGTGGTTGCACTCCATGCTATAAAACCCTCGCCTCTTACTGACCATCTCCACACTCTAGTTTCCTTCTATCTCTTAGCGTCTACTGTCTGCGAGATGCCTTCAGCCAAGCCTACTGCAGTCGAAGCCGTCGCAAGTGCTGAGCCAGCGGCTGCTCCAGCGAGACGTTCCACTCGCGTAGCCTCTAGCACTACTGCCAAAGAAGCTACAGCTGCGGAAGTGCAGCGGCCAGCAGCGGGTAGCAAGAAGTCCGGAGGCGCGTCTGGCTCGGAGGTGAAGGAGCTCGAGACCAAGATGCGCTCTACAAACATTGGGAGTGTCGAGAGCGCTGAGGCGAATATGAAGCCACCTAAAGAGCTCAAAGAACCCAAGGAGCCGTATTTCAACCTGCTGCCTTCACCGAAAGAGCCCCTTCGTCCAGCTCCCCTGCTCTTCACCTGGGGATGCGGCAACTCTGGCCAGTTTGGCGCTGGTGTGGATTACCTGAGCGAGCAGGCTAAGCCTCAGAGAAATAAGCTTGTCGAATCCATGATGGAACAAGGCAAGTTTGGCACGAAGGGCGTCGGGCTTGAGTACATCGCAGCAGGTGGCATGTCAAGTCTGTTCATAGACGAACAGGGAACTGTACGCAGAATTCATCTCGGATTTCATGCGCCTTGCTGAGCGTCTTTCAGGTCTGGTCCTGTGGTGCAAACGACAATGCAGCCCTGGGAAGGGAGACTACAGGAGTTCCAGATCCGGAACAGGAAAACAAATTTCTTGATGAGGACTACTTATCTTCGACTCCGTTTCCCATCTCGAGCCTTCTGGACGAAGGATTACGAGTGGCTCGCGTTGCCGCCGGGGACAGCATCGCCGCCGCCATCAGTACGCAGGGCGAGCTGAGGGTCTGGGGAACGTTCCGGGTATGAGCATATATATGCTGCACGTCTGACAATGGCGAGCTGATAGCTTGGATAGGCTATGGAGGGCCTCCTTGGCTTCTCCGGGACGCAGAAGCACCAGTACCAGCCCATCCCGGTGGTTAACCTGATGTCCAAGCCCGGCGAAGCCGAGCGATTCGTCGACGTCATGGCGGGCAACGATCACGTCGTCGTCCTTACGACACACGGAAACATCTACACGTGGGGGACGGGCGAACGTGGACAGCTTGGGCGCAAAGTGCTCACGCGCCATAAGCTGACCGCGACGACGCCCGAGCGCATCGTAGTCGGCACGCGCGCGAACAGGGCCGTGTGCGTCGGCGCTGGCAGCTACACGTCTTTTGCCGTCGACACCGACGGCGCCGTGTGGGGCTGGGGCGCGAATTACACTGGCCAGACCGGCACTGGGCTCAGAGCGGGTGATGACCGCGAGGTGCACACCCCGCAGAAGGTCGTTGGACTCAGCTCCGCAGAGCTTGGGGACGATGAGAGCGTTGTCCAGATCTCGGGAGGCGACGATCATACGCTCTTCCTCACGTCTCGCGGACGGGTCTTTGCGTGTGGATTGTCCATCGGTGGACAGCTCGGCCTGGCCGACGACGACGAGGCGTTCCGTGAGAGAACGTTCCCCGACTTCTTGGACAAGCCCGCACCCGTCACGCTTCCCGACGACCCCGAGGACGACCCAGTCGTGCAGATCAGCGCTGGCACTAGAACCAGCATGACCATCACACAAAGTGGGGCGCTTTACATGTGGGGAGAAGGCTCGCAGAGTGAGCTCGGCGCTGGAGACGAAGAGATGCTGAAGACCCCTACAGCAATTGTGAGGAAGGAAGGCAGTTGGAGGGCAGTCATGGGCTCCTGTGGCGGTCAGCACGCTCTTGCGCTGCTTCAAAAGAAACCCTGATACGATATGTTGAAGACCGCATTCACTGCTGCATGCGTCCTCAGTCAGATGGAGCGGAATCTTTGCACATGGAGATAGTATATATGGCTACAGCTTTTCCGCACATTACTCTGTTCTCTAAGGCGATCACTCCTTGTTCGACCAGATATTATGCGTGACCTTCGCGAACGGCTCTAGGTTGAACTCTACCACAGAACAGGGGTACGAGATCTCAAATTTCTCGAGAACGGTTGGATGCAGAATTCCGAGAACGCCGATTTCCTCGTCGTCTGGGTGTGTGAATGCCTCCTTGAGAACATCGAGAGCGGAACGGTCGTGCTGGCGCGGGCGGCGGTAGTAGATGGTCGCCGCACGTCCCGGGAAGAAGGTAGGATCTGGGGAGTCCCTCTTGAGTAAAACGTACGTGTGCAGTGCAAATATTACCTTCTCGCTCCCTGATATAGTATCCCGTTGGCGCATTCTTATCCGTACTAACAATGTGCGGAACGTCAAGCATCTGCATTGCACGATCAAGCAGGCCGTGCACGACCTCGAAGCCGGCCGTCTTGTTGCACCATACTGCGGCGGCGTGTCGAATATTTCTCGCCTGGCGCTCACGCTTGCTGTCCTTGAAAACAACATCGGTAGACTCGAATACTCGGATCGGCAGTGTATGTGAACGGTTCTCCCTAACGGTCTTCAGGAGACCCTGGAGAAGAGAGGTCCGCACGACCTGGAACTCAAGCGTCTTCGGATTCGCAATGCGGACAGCGATGTCACCGGTGTCCTTGCGGTTGAGCCACTCGAAGTTCTCTTCGTGTGAGCACTGGGAATGACTTATCAGACTGTATCACCACAAGGACTTTCGCATAACTTACAAGGATGAGAGGAAGCACTTCGACAAACCCTGCCATGGCCCACTCCTTGCGAACGATGTCACTCAGTTTGCTGATCTCGAGCGGCTGTCCGACGGTGCTTGTTGGTGGGAAGGTGTCTGGAAGGTTGTTGAAACCGTAGGCAATAGCAGCATCCTCCATCAAATCGCACTCGTGCAGGATATCTGGACGTGTCGGGGGGACTTGCACGGCAACCTTATCAGGATCTGCTGTGTCCTGCACAGCAGAGAGTGTCATGCGCTCGAGCAGGCTGGCAAGCTCCGTCGAGTTTACAGACAGTCCCGCGCACGAGTTGACATATGATGCGTGGGCGGTCATAGTACGATATGTAAGATCAGGGTAAACGCGTTTGGTGCCGTCTGGATATATGACCTTGCAAGGTTCTATGCTAGAGGATTGAGAAGACTTTCAGCAACTGCCTCCAATTCTCAGTGAGATGAACGTACGTGAAAGGTTTCTCGCAATACTCTGAGAACATGGCAACCATAATATTGAGTACAATGTTCAGCTTCGTCTCGTCGGTACCAGTGATATCGATGAAGACGTTGCGAGTGTTGAGCGTAATTTTACTGTGTTCGCTGTTAATGATTGGAGGCATCGAGGCGACAGTGCGAGTCGAATCATAGATGATCGGGTATACTGGGGAATCCTTAATGATAGGAAGATACCGCGCGAGGTGTTTTTCTGACTGCAGGCAAGATGCGTCAGGAGTCGATTTAGCCGATCGACTGTGGCTATCTAACCTCATATACTGTCATAAGCTCCTCTGCAGTGTATGCTTTCGTCTTCGACAGGGGAACGAACTTGATGTCTTTTGGTGGCAGAGCCTCGTAGCTGAAAGGTGGTTTCAAGGTGTCGAGGTCGTGGGTACCGATGGCAACAAACTGCCGACGTCTACATATATTCTGATGGAGCTTATCTTGAAGGTCAATGAAGGACTCGTAAGAATGCTCTGTGAGCTTGATGTTGCGCAGAATGGCACAACCAAAGAACTGTCTTATTCGCTTCGTCTGAGACAGCCGCTTAAGCACGCGTACACGCGTAGAAGCACAGGAGGGACGTACCTCAGGTGTGATTGTTGCAGTAATGAGAGCATCCTCGCCACCGGGTGGGTAGACGAGTTTGTACGTTGGCGGGCGATCCTTGCCCAGGAAAACGCGGAGTGCGCGGGCAATACCTTCAATGCACAACAAGTCGTATCTGGGCCGATGGTCACAACGCTGCCTCTCAGCGACATAGCGCACTGACCAACCTGTTGGCAGGAACTTCGATTTTAAGTTGCTGTAAAATGGTCTTTGAGTCATATGGAGCTGGGCAAAGAAGATGATACTCACCGGACGTCCCGCGGGCAAGCCCTGCTTCCTCGAAGCTTCTACTTCCTCGGTGGTCTGGCGGAAGTATTGCACACTTAATGGATATATTAAATTGATCATATATGAGCACATACGTCCTCGTCAAGTTCGAGACCGAAGTCGAAGAGCAGGCGATCGAATTCATCGGGAGCTGCGAAAAGCAATCTTCGTCGCCGTACGCTTCACCTGCTAGCGTAAACTCTTACCATACTTGTTGCCAAGACGTTCCCAAAGCTCCTCCTTGTCTACAGCGACTGTCGGCATGTTTGTCGTCTAACGGTAAGAAGGGTAAACACAAAGCGACCTAGGCCTGCACAAGACTTGGATTCTGATCTCGAATCAGGGCGCTTAGATCGAGTCAAGGCTCAAGCATTGTGATAGGCGACCATCCCTGATAAGGCAATCAATCAATCCAGCTCATGTGTTTTCCGAACGAGGACAACATTGATACTATGTAATCTCAATTGTTCTTCAATCTGAAGCAATCGACTCGTTGTCATCTCCAAGACTCCCGCTCATATCACTGGTAAAATCCAGGTCTTCGCTTCCAAACTCAAAGCTCGTGCCCTCGCTGCCGTGCTCACTCTCGACCCCCTCCATCTGTACTCTCTCCGCACTGCCTACCGCCTCTCCACACCGCAAGCACTCCCATCTCGTACCTCCAGGTCCAGTTCCTGACGCTTCATCTGCGGTGCGCATTAGGCGGCCGGTGATGCAGACGTAACAGTAAGTGTGCCCACAGTCGGTGATATACGGCGTGTGGATTGGGAAAGGTGGTGGTTCTTCTTCGGATCCTTCTGTGACATCGGGCGGAGGACCCGTGTTTGATGATGAGTAGCTCGGCGCCGTCAATGAGGAGAGTGCAGCTGTAGGGTCGGAAAGGTTCGTCATACTATCTTGATGGCAGATCGCGCATTGGTCCAGGTATAGCGACCAGTACTTTCCCCGCTTCGCACTTGAGCGTGTTCCAGCTTCAGTACTTTCTGACAGGCCACACGCGGCTCGTATAGGTTGAGGAATGCCAGATGTGATAGAGATTTGAGACAATTGTGTCAGTCTCCGTCCAATGGTCCGCGTATTAATTAGAGGTAGCAGGAATAGCAAGAATTCCTGGCTGATATTGAGCTCGCGATCCATTTTTGATACCTAGAATACGTACAGTGAATGCATGCCAGACCATCTGGCGGTTCATGAACTCGTATGACACGTCTCGCGAGGTGATCCTTTGAGTTGAAACGAGACGCATTCTCAGCAGTCTATCCGCGAGCATTCTATACCTAAGAAGGTGTGAAGGGAAGAAAAGCGATAGTATACGCCCTGCCATACCTGCCGTTCCACATGAAGGCAACAAAATTTAGCAGCGTTAAGGTGGAATGCAGCGACTCAAGCCGGGTAAGAAGCTCCCATGCCTTTCTTCTCCTGTCAGAAGAGGGAGCATCCGGCCAAGCTTGCGACAGTGCGTGTGCCCTAAGGCGAGTATGAAAGTAGGGCACTAACGTCGTGATTACTCCATGTATAAGAAGCAAACGGCGGGGTAACCTGAATGCTGGCATGCGCTTGAGCCTGCGTTTCCAGTTGACGACATGCGACTCACACATTGAAGATCCATCTAAATGGGGTAAGGCCGCATAGCGTAATCCCTGTAGTTTTGCGCCATATGTTGCGCCAGTGTCCCAAAGCGAGAACTTGAACAGGGTAAGTTGGATGCATAGGGTCAGCTCAGGCTCAAAGTGGCCCTTGAAGGAAGACTGCATACAAATAATTGAGAGGAATACAAGCAAAACCATACGATCGCTGACGTACGTTAACAAGGGCGAGAGCCTTCGCGAGGGGATCCTGCAAGACCTGTACCAGCTCTTGGTCTAGTAGCTCCGCATCGAGCTTCCCGACGCGTGTAATTCGCGGCGTTGGCGTCGCTTCATGGGTGAGAGATTCATGTATAGAAGACAGCCTTGCCTGAGAGTCGTCCCATATACGCTGCCAGGTTGCATAGCTCGAGGACGAGGTGCTGGCCATGAGATTACGAACGGAAGCGGGCGAAGCACACAAGCGCCTGGCGCACTGACCGTCGGGCGATGGCATCTGAGATCCGATCAGATCTGCATCTTCCCTTGACTCAAGCCCAGGTATTGCTTGACCGCCAGCTGCCTTGCACTCCCCTTACCAGCATCATGGCAGAAGCCATCCAAAAGCTCATTCTCGATACTCTCGATAAGCATGGTATTATTCAGGACACCAGGACACTGACATTGCCCGACCAGGAAGATCCCGCTGCAACGCACGATGCGCAGATTATTATCCTTGGTGCTCTTAATTCACTCTCAAGTCGAGAGGTAGGTGACTGCTACTTATTGCATGAACATAAACATTGATTATTGCGCTAGATGATCTCGTATGAGACGCACGAGACCACCTCACACGTCCTCACGCCCGAAGGTGCCTCTATAGCTCTGAATGGGTCCCATGAAGCACGAGTGTGGGCCGCTGTACCGGTCAAAGGGGAAGGCAGTCCGATGACACCGAAGGAGCTCGAGGCGAAGATTGGAAGTGATATTGCAAAGATCGGACAGGGTCGCGCTTTTAAGAACAAATGGATAGGCAAGGAGGGCGACAGTCTGGTCAAGCTCGTGAGTATCCTTGGCGTCACAACGCTGCTCGTGCTGAACGTGATTTGCGTAGGCTGCGCAAATAGATGATGTGACTCAGAAGGAGATGCGCGAGGTTGACTCTACCGGGACCTTGAAAGGAGGAGAGAAGGCTCTCGCAGAGCTCAGGAAGCGCAAGCTTATCGTGCAAAAGTAGGTCCCCTTGTTTCCTGTGCGCTTTCAGCTCTGATTTCTTGTTGATAGGAAAGGACAGTGGTTCACCGTGCACAGAGGACCTAATTTCAGCACATCGACAGCAAAGCCTGAGACGGATCTTACGATGGAGATGCTCACGACGTAAGTGCGCTGTTCCCCTGATTCTACAAAATTGCTCATGGCGATAATGAAGAGGTGCATGGAAGACCTCTACCTTCAAGAGGTACAATTTTGAAGCCGAAGGTATCCCGACAAACGGCGGTGCGCTCCATCCTCTCCTCAAGGTGCGCGAGGAGATCCGGAATATCTTCTTGGAGATGGGGTATGTTTCTGTGTATCTCATCTCTATGTATGCTTACAACAACTATCCCCAGCTTCGCCGAAATGCCAACAGGAAACTTCGTCGATTCTGGCTTCTGGTGCTTCGATGCCCTCTTCGTACCTCAACAGCACCCTGCACGAGAGCTGCAGGACACCTTCTACTTATCAGGTCGGTGCGCCCCTGCCCCCAGGTTATTCGGTCCTCAACAGCTCATTAGATCCCGTCAAGTCACTCCCGCCACCCGCCGACTACTACAAATGTGTATCCCGAGTCCATGAGCGTGGCGATTTCGGGTCTACTGGTTACAAAGCCCCTTGGTCAGACGAGGAGTCTCGTAGGCTCCTATTGCGGACGCACACCACGGCGTCATCCGCCGCAATGCTCTATAAGCTTGCTGCGCGGTTCAGAGGTGAGGACGAGGACGAGGACGCGCTCACTGCACATTCCGGCACCACTCGCAAAGGCAGGGACGCGGGCAAGGGCGATGACTTTCGGCCGGCGAAATTGTTCAGCATCGACCGTGTCTTCCGTAATGAGACTATGGATGCGACACACTTGGCCGAATTCCATCAAGTGGAGGGTGTCGTTGCCGACCGTAACTTGACACTGGCGGATCTTATTGGTATGTCAACTTGCTTGAGTTAATGTCATGTTTTTCACGCTGCCCCCGTCAGGCTTCATGCGCGTCTTCTTCAAGAAAATGGGGATCGAGAACATCCGTTTCAAGCCTGCTTACAACCCGTACACGGAGGTACATCTCGAAATGTCGCTCATTTCCGCATGTTTCTGAAGTATTACCGTAGCCGTCACTAGAGATCTTTGCCTTCCATCCGCTACTTAAAAAGTGGGTCGAAGTCGGCAACAGTGGAATGTTCCGCCCAGAGTTTTTGCAGCCCATGGGCTTCCCTCCGGATATCCATGTCCACGGCTGGGGCATTGGTCTCGAGCGGCCAACGATGATTCGGTGCGTTGGCACATGCGTGGTTTCTTTCTTTGGCCGCACTAACCTAATCTGCAGGTACGGTATCACCAATATTCGTTCCCTGGTTGGACACAAGGTACCTATCGAGAGTGTAGAGGAGTCGCCAGCAGTCAGATTCTAGAGTATATCAAGATGTCATGTACATTAGAAAGGCAAGTGCTGCGAATGACTCTCCGCTTAGCGACGCCTCACGTATGGATACGTTCAGCCATAAACGCATTGCTTCTCGTCATACGGCAGAGTAAGACCAGTCGATGGTGGCTTCTGTTTTGGTACCAGTTGAAAAACATCTGCCCTTCCGCGCTGAGGTATGGCACACAGGCAAGTCAACTTGTCGCTGAAAATTTACACAATCTATCCATCGTGGAAAAAGACGAGTTTTCAAGCCTGGCGCAGCTGTAGCTGAGCTCGACAGCTCTCATGAATATTTAGCAAACCTTCGAGATACCGTTATGCTGGGTGTAGCGGCTCAATGTGAAGACGCTTATCGTGTACTATAAGGCTAGTAGCGGCATTCACAACCTGAACGTTACTAGCGAGCAAAGTGCGCGCCAGATCGCATGTATTCTATCTGCGTACGAGAGCACACTCTACGGAAAGCAGCGTGAAATGAAAGCGTCACACCATTCAGCGTGCCTATAGAAAACAAGACTAATATTGGTAAGATTGCATTTTGGGCCTCAGCCGGCAACAAAATGTTGGTGTGACCCATATCAGGCAACCGTCGAATGTTTTTCACGTGGCGGTCTTACGCCACGGTGCTATATTCGCCAGCGTCTCCTCTCATTCCTGACCACAACCTCGACCTACCCTTGTGAGTTTTCGGGATAGTCGGTGCTTTCTCATTCTTCCTACAATCCAAGTATTTTGCCACCTCCTCACCATCGCAAAGTGGCCGGCCTGATAGTCGCGTAGTACTAGACCCTATCATTCACTACTGGGCGTTGCTGAGTATACCCTCCTTTGTGCTCGTTTTGCGTTGAGGTTCTTCCACAGCTCTTAATTCTCTTAAACCTTCGTCGCCGTACACGAGACATAACACTATCATCTATACGTCTTCCATCAGGGACGTCTTCCACGACCTGCTGTCATCCCATACCCTTCGCCACATAAATGCCGCCGCAGTACCAGAATCAGAGCGCCTTGGACGTCATCGATACTCAGCTGGAAAGTCTTGCAAGAGAGGAGGCTCGCTATCACGACGAACTGCGCCGTATACAACAACGCCGAGACCTTCTCTGCAGGCAGCGCGCCCTGATTCAGCGAGGCAAGACGATCTATTCGCTGCCCACCGAGATCTTATTGCACATCTTCTGCTTCTTCGTTCAATGGGACGAGGACGACTGGCAAGACGGCGAGGAAATTGACTGGCGGCCGATCATATTGTCACACGTATGTTCTACATGGCGTGCCGCCGTCCTCGATACATCCTCGTTGTGGGCGTGCCTCGATTTCAGCAGATATCCCGGCGTCCGCCCGCTCATCATTCGAGCCAAGGAGCAGCCTGTTGACGTCGTACACGGCACGAAACCTCTGTCTGGGTATAAACCCGACTTCCGGTTTGAATCCGTGCTAAGGAACACATCGCCTCGATGGCACTCCTTACTCTGGGAGTCGTCCGAGCTGAGGATGACCGACGTCTTGTCCGTGCTGAACAGCGGCGCATCATTTCCATATCTTCGAAGCGTCGAGCTAGGCATCGAGAAGCGGTCGCTACCGGGCATTCCATTACTTAACCCAAGCTCGGGTGTCCAAGCCAGCTCGGGTAGTCTCCTCCCCTGCCTGAGGCGTATGTGCCTCTCCAGCGTCTCACTTTCCGAACTCCCGCCCACCGACTTGCCGTCGTTACGTTCCTTAACCCTTCACTTTCCTGCTAAGTATCCCGACAGTCGCGCGAATCTTTTCCGCATGTCCAGTCTTTGCTCTTTCCTTGCCAGATCTCCTGCGTTGGAGACACTTGTGTTCAGCGACTCTACGCCGCTCATGGATGTATTCGTTCGCTTCGATCACGACACAAGCGATCATGCAGCTTCACTTCCTCCTAACAACGTCGCTCCTTTTACTGTAGCCAATCTTCGCCGTTTCGAGTGGAGCCATGCGCCTCCCAGGGACCTTTGGAAGTTCGTCGCGATAGTTAAGATGCCCGCCCTCAAAGAACTCGAGCTTTACCTCGACGCCGGCGACAAAAGGTGGTTCACATACTACACTTCTGTTCTTGAGCCTATGGCGGACGAGCCCTTCAACCCTCGCGCAATGTTGCCTGTCGTGCGCTTCGAAAGTCTCGAAGAACTGTCCGTCTTTGTGACAGACACGGACGGGCTCTACTCTGCTTTCAGGAGCGCACTCTTTCCCAAGTTGAAGAGACTCGCCATAAGTCATCTCATCGAGCGGAACAAACGCTCATGGAGGACCTCGCCCACAAAGAAAGCACCCTTCGCATTCCCATTACTACCTGCGCAAGAGAGCATCTTCCGGGAACCCCGCATGTCGACCGTCACACATCTCGCCCTATCGAACTTTCGCCTGGAATACCACAACACTGTTGCGTCGATGCTCGCTTATATGCAGAATCTGGAGCATCTCGCGATCGAGTCGTGCAGAGGTACGTTTCCACTGACGTTACTGCGACTCTCTGACATCGTGATCACAGATGTGAATGCCGTCATCTGCTCTCTCTCCGGGACCTTCGAGGTCTGCGAAGAGGCGAGTTTCATTGCGGAACCTCGGCGCTGGGTCTGTCCTCGGTTACAGCATCTCTCATTGATCGACTGCGATAATGTCACCTTCAAGTGCCTCCGCCATACAATTCGAGCGCGGAAACGGTGCGAGGATGGCGCCCAGATAGATTCGCTGCGGGTAATCAGGTCGCCGCGTCGACGTCTCTCCAGGGTGAATGTCTCGGAGGGCAACCAAGCGCCGCACGATCTGTTCTCGAAAGCAACGGCGCTGCGGACTCTTCGTGTTGAAAGATGTGGCAGAATATCGCAAGCGGAAATGGAGTCTCTAAAGGCGGCTGGACTTGGTCTCAAGGATGTTTATTGGAGTGATTAAGGCATCAACGTATCCCCTACTACCACCCGTCGGTAACTGGGTCGCTCTCTCGTTGCATGATATACACGGACTTTAATACCTACAGATGGCTTATAGTCAAAAAGTTCACTGTTTTATGTACGGCTACAAATATCGTTGAATATGGTCTGAAGGACTGCGGCGCGACGCGCGCGTTACGGCGGGCCATGTGATGGACGCGTAGGTTTGTCACGAAGCGTGACGTAGAGATATTGCCTGTGTCGTATACCGACTTCTATCTTCTCTTGCCTCGTTGCTTACGTCCTTTCACGTCATATTATCTTGAATATTCGCTAATTTCTTAGAACCGGATCCCACGCTGACCAGAAGATTTGTGCAATGTCGCCGCCATCTAACCACGAGCCACAGCATGTCAATCCAGAAGAGCTGTATCAAGTTATCTGTGCCGCGACCTCCCAGGACCCAACACAGATCAAGGTGTCGTCTGCAAGACTGAAGGAGATGCTCGAGATGGTCGGCGTGTTTGACATGCTCTCGCAAATTGCAGCCCAGAGCAACCTCCCTGTTCAAGTCCGTCAGCAGGCTATCATTCAGCTCAAGAATTCCTCTCTGGGCCACTGGAAGTCGCGAAAGTACGTCGTGACATGTGTAGCAGAAATGTTGATACGTCTGATGCGGAGTATATAGGCTGACAAACGAGGAGCAGAAGCTCAATATCAAGAGAAGATGTCTCGAGCTGCTGCACGAACCGGACGATGTGGTGCGCCGTGGTCTATACGTCAAAGATTTTGGACAAAATTGACATTGTGTGGCGCTAGATCGCTGAATGCAATGAAGTCATCCTATCCAAAATTGCACGGCTCGAATATCCCGCCATGTGGTGAGTCTCGGGCTCTATCGACAACGGAAGCACATACTTAACGACCGTCAGGCCAAACGCCCTAGACGATATCATGAATCTCGTGAATACGGGAATACAAACGTGGTACAGTGGCTCGACGGCACCAGAAGTCCTGATCACTTTGCGCCGAGCTCTCGAGGCACTGAACGCCGTTCTGAAGGAGTTCACCAACATGAAAATGCTTTCGGGTGTTCGGACATGTGGGACTGTATGTGTGAAGCGCTACCCGTCGTGTTGTTTGTTGACCTCGATGCGTACTTCCTCGCAGGTTGTCGAAAATATCCATATGATCATGCAGAGCCATTACTCGACGGCGGCTGCCAGCCTGACGGGGCTTGATCCAACCACAATTTCGAGTCCTCGAACCGCACAGAACCTCCTTGTTGCACACCTTGTCTTTAAATGTGTGGCAAAAATGGCAAGCTGGGTCTACTCTCGTTCGAAGGGCAATGACCCCGCGGTACGTCTAGAGGGCTGGGTAAGTTATGAGTTCTTTGTGCATATACCCGTACTCATTCGTTTCGCAGCTCCTCGATCTTTTCCGCAGCTCCACCGTTCAACTCCAAACTCTGAGCGAAGTTCGTATCAACCTCGTCCTAGCTATACGCTCCGGCGCCGCTCCGGCAACGCCGGTCAGCAAACAGTCAATAGAGACTCTCACGCGACACATCCGTCTATTCGGCAAGCTCTTCAGGCGTTTACAACAGTTAGACTCCATGAAGTTCGTCAAGCTGCCTTCGTGCAGTGACCTTGTTCTTTATTACTGGAGCAAGGTTGTACAGGCCACTAATAGCCCAAATGACCAGGTGGAAGGTAGGTCGAGCCATGCTACTCTTGACCGACGTTTTCTAAGTCTCAATCCCCGCCGTCGGAAGATGACCCCACAGCCGTATTCCCTGTACGCTTTCTGGTGCAAGCCATGGTTCTTTTCAAAGAGAGTCTCGCACAGTGGGCTCCTGTTCGCAAGGACGGTAGTGAAAATGAGCAAGGTGGGGTTCATACCATCAGTACTTGACTGCATGCTGACGTATTCCGCACAGTGCTCTCGCAGACATTTGTCGAGGACGCTGTGAAACTCCTCGTGACCCGGTTCATTCCTCTCGACCCGTCTGACCTTGAAGACTGGATGTCTGATCCTGAAGAGTGGGTTAATGTTGAGGAAAAAGACAACGAACAGTGGGAGTATGAGCTCCGGGTAAGTTCTCTGTCTGCGATTCTGCTTTCTCAGCTGATGAGGTTTTCCAGCCGTGTGGCGAGCGTGTTTTGATGACTCTCGCACACCAATATCGCCAATATGTTGTGCCGCTTCTGCACATGACATTCCAGCAACTTGTAGGTATGTGTGTTGGTCCCTGTGACGCCAAAATGACGCTAAATCTCTGTCAACAGCTCTCCCTACCGGGGATCTCCCCAGCATCCTTCAGAAGGAGGCGCTCTACTGCGCCATTGGACGCTGCGCTACAAAGCTCAGGGACGTCATCCCTTGGGACGACTGGTTAACGCAGAGCTTACTTCCCGAAGCCCGGTCGACGAACACGAGGTAAGTTTCCGGAGTACGTATCGTGAGCGGTAGCTGACTGTATTCCCAGCTACCCTATTATCAAGCGACGTATTGCCTGGTTAATCGGAAAGTGGATCTCAAGCTCATGTGCGACGCCAAATAACCCACGCGTATGGGAGGTACTCATCTATCTCTTGCGAGATCGTGGTCCGGGTACAGACGCGGTCGTGCGCCTCACGGCGGCTGTCGCGCTCAAGGAGTGCGTAGATGTATGTCACTGAAATGGCTTTCATATGTGGTGCTCGCTGACGAAGTTATGTAGACAATTGAATTCGATGTTGATGCATTCCTGCCTTTCCTTTCCATGGCCATCGAGGAGCTCTTGCGGCTCATAGACGAAGCCGACTCAACTGAGAGCAAGCGACGCATTCTCGGCACGTTGAACGTGGTCGTTGAACGTGCAGGCACTCATGTATGCGCTGCCGTATTTTTTGAAGATGTGCACTAATCACCTCATAACAGATTGTTCCTCTACTACCTGTTGTGGTGCGGCCTCTTCCTCGGATGTGTGAGCGTCGGGTTGCTGGCGTGCAACGTGAACTTATCAGCTGACTAATTTGGGTTAGGGACGTCGGCGGAAGAGGAGTGGCTGCTTAAGGGCTCGCTTCTCGAGACTCTGACGAAGCTAATCGAGGTAGGTTTCCACCTCATAGTACACTCCGGATAGTGAGACATTACCTGTATAGGCTTCGAAAGAACCGTCAAGCACTCTCATTGGCCTCGTCGTGCCTCTCGTTAAGGAGAGCTTCGGGCCCGTGGTAAGCCAACACAGGTTCACCGCCGCCCTGTCACATAATGAATTATTTTTAGGCTCAAATGCAACTCGACGAAGACGCGCTTATCCTCTGGCAAGCATCACTTCGTAACACGAACACACTAGAGGCTGCAGATGGTTCTGCGAGCCTCTTTGAGCTCGTCCCGCTCGCAGTGCGGCTGCTCGCAGAGAATCTCGATCTACTCGGCAAGATCACGAACATAATCGAATCGTACATTCTTCTCGACGCACCGCGTCTCTTGCAGGTACTCTGTTCTGCCTATGTCACAACAAAGAGGTGATTGACAATTAATTAGGCTTGTGCAAACGAGCTCTTCGGTGCGATCGTGGCCGGAATGAAGCACGCTGTGCAGATAAATGTCAAGGACATGGCGCAGGGTGCCGCGTTGGCGTGTCAGCATGCACCACCGAGCCTCTGGGGCGAACCACTCCATAATTCGGGGCTCTTTGCATATCTTATCAAGTCTCTGCAGGAGGACAAGGTGCGTTATCAGTTATACCACACAAAAGACTGACGCTAACCGGAGAACGCAGCTGACGGTCGAGCTCCTGACCGAGTTTGTTCTCGTCATGGCACGCATCGCGCTCATGGACAAGCGCCTGTTCGCGCAGCTTATCGGCGCGAGCGTACCCGCGCTCAAGCTGAGCGAGACAGAGCTCTGGGAAGCTGTCTTGGACGAATGGTGGCGCCGCGTGCGTTTCTTTCCTTATCTGTGCATTCATAAGCTGATCGGATGTGATTTGCCAGTTTGACTGCATGTCTGAGCCGCGACACCGCAAACTCGCGGCAATGGGCATGGCAAGCCTGGTGTCGACGGGCCGACATGAGGTGCTCGAGCGGCTGCGGAGCGAGATATGCAACCTCTGGCTCGACGTGCTGTGCGAGATTCGCGAGGCAAAGGTCGCGGAGGAAGAAGGGTGCGTGATCTACTTGCATTGCGTGCACTTCGACCGTTGACTGAGCTGCCAACTCCTCAGCGGCCCGGAGACCCTCTATTTGTACTGGGACAAGCCCCCGTCGACGTTTTACCGCGACACGGAGGGTATGCCGGAGTACACGAGGCGTGAAGCGGTGCGTGTGCCATTCTGTATCGGTAAATGTTCTCATGCTCATCTGAACGGCGCGCAGAGCTACCAGAACGACCCAGCGCGTGTGACACAGCTCACAACATACATTCAAGCATGCCTCGCCGAGGCCGAGGCTGCTGTTGGCGGAACCACAGTGCTACAAGAGCGATACCTTGCCAAGGCAGATCCGACGGTGCTTGCGCAGATTCAGGCAGAGCTGACGGGTCAGAAGATACAGCGTCAGTGAACACCGGACCTTCATTGGTGCATCGAGGCATTATGGCTTCCTTGGAATAATTCATCTAACTCGTAGTACTCCATATATCATCAGTGCCAAATGTATATCTCGTTTACTCAGACCTCTGGTTGAGTGTGTGGACATACACCGTTAGAGAGTTCGTCTCAGTGCAATGAAGCCATAGCAAGGGATATCTCTACTTCTGGGGAAAGAAACTCTTGAGACTGCCCTGCCCTGCCTTCGACCCACTTGATCGTTTGACGGGCCGGCCGGGTCTAATGACTTTCCGTGGTTCTTTCTTCTCCCCCTTCTCTTCCTTCAATTTCTTCTCGCTCTTTTTCGCGCTTTTCTCCTCGTCAGACTCAGTGTCCTCGGGCGCATTCTTGCCTCTTGTGGGCGGTTTCTCGTCCTCAGACGACGCAGCCTTCTTGCCCTTGGCTTTCTTACCCTTGGCAGGTGGCGGCGCGGGCTGCGCGTCAGGGTCATTCTCGTCGACGGACTCATACTCGGATTCGTCCACGGTTACTGCAAAGGACAGGCGATCCCATGAGCCAAATGCAGAGCACGGAAAGTGAAAAGAAACAAGTGGACACGTACTGAGGAAATTCCGTTCATCCGTGCTCATCTTACTCTTGACTACGCGCCGCTTCGGGAGCCCATTCCTACCGAGGGGCACCGCTTTCTTCAATGCGCGCTTGCGCCGCTGTGGCTTCACGTTGAGCGATGTTTCGTAGTCGTCCGCCATGTCGACGTCTCCGTCGGGACCTCTGGTGCTCTCATCCGGCTCGTCAGGCTCGGGTGAGGGGTGGGGCGAGGTCTCGACCGAGCTTGGTGGCGGAGGTGATGCAGCCTTTCTACGGGAGGACGCACGGATAACCTGGTCTGCATCCCGCAAGTCAGCATTCATGCAAGCATGCAAAATATAGAAGAAAACCGAGTAGAATGCTACGTACTGTCGTCGATATCCATCATCGCCTGCAGACTCATCTCCTTCTTGCTCGGCAGCGCGTCGACGTCCATGTCCGCTTCGACGGCCACCATCCGGCCTCTGCCCCTACCCGCACCCTTTGTAGCGGGCTTATGGGGGATATCGTCCTCGTTATCTGAGAGGACGACCATGCGTGTCAGCTTTGCAGCTTTCTTTTCCTGTACAGGTATAGATGCGGGCGGAGGTGAGGGTGCTGGTGAGGAGTGGACGACAGAGGAAGCCCTGGACGAGGGGTGCGAGGAAGACGGAGCTTCTTCCTCTTCAGAAGAGTCCATGTTGAGCGCGCTCTTGCGCTTGACACCGCGCTGCACTCGTGTCAGAACTGTGCAGGAACGAGGAGTGACCAGTGATCTATTACCTTAGGCTCCAGTTTGGTCTCAGATCTAGTCGGTAGAGCGGATTTCGAGGCCGCAGGCTTGACAGGCTTTGTAGGAGGTGAGGTTTTCACTTTCGGTTTGGGATCTTCTCTAGGTTTGTCCTCTTTGACCTTAAGCTTTTCTTTGGGTTTCTCGTCCTTTGGCTTGTCCTTCTCTTCCGCCTTCGCCTTCGGTTTCGCCTTGCCCCAATCAAGTGTGCCCGAGGGCTTCAACTTCTTCTGAGGTTCCCCTTCCTTATCCTCTTTTTTGAGAGTATCTTTTGCTTTAGAGACGGCTGGCTCAGTAGCCCTGCGGGAGAGCGGCTCTTTGACGGGTACAGCGGTGAACTTGACGGGCTTGCCTTTCTGCGAGAGTGTGAGACGGTCATGTGCGACGAAACATATAAGCAGTAGCTCACTTGGACATGCGGGCCAATGACCCTACCTAGGAGGGCTGCTTGATCTTGCTTGTGCTTCATGTCTACCTCGTGGACCTTCTCGGAGGGTGTGCAGACGAGACCAGCATCCTACGTAGAAGAAAAACGGATATAGTAAGATATCAAAAGTATAACGAGTGGCAGTAAATGCCACGCACGATAACGGGAGACGGCGAAAGGCAGTATACGTGCTGCGAGAGAATGCGGCCATAGGTGGACTTGACACTCTCAAGGTTCTGTTCTCCGACGAGGGTTACCCGCACTTCTTGGACATGTTCTCCGTCTTCGTCTGTCTGCGAGTTCACGTCAGCGTCGACATCCATGCTATCACCATTAGCAATTCGGGCGGGTGCGAGCTCGCCGGTAAGGAGATATGTTGCGTGAACCGAACCGGAGGAAGGGTCGGGGTTGGCGTGAAAGTTGGCCAGCTCACTGCGCAAGTGATTTTTAGTAAGAAAAGACGCAGACAAGCTTGAATACCAGTGCACTTTTTGGCTGCATTGATATGGATCTTAAACTGCCTGCTCAGCGACCTGAACGTCACCTAGAGATAGAGGAGTTGACATGAGAGATGGTAGAAGCGCATAGTCGGAGACACATACGACGTTCTTATCTATGAAGAGCTGTTTCGTAAGATAATCGTAAATTTCGTTTCCCATCGTGGTCGACGTCGAGGAGGTGCAGCGCTGGCGCTGGAGAACAAGGCGATCGCGAAGTGTCACGCGGTCTGTCACGCGTCGTAAGTTCTATTTCGTGTCACGCCCTCCTGGTTTCTATGTTTGCTCTCGCGAGACGGCAGCCTATAAGTAAGATAGCAATGGTTCCCCGCGCGCTGAGGATCCCCACTCGCCCTGCAGAGGACGACATCGTCCCCGACTCTGAACCAGAGCGTGAGCAGCGCAGGCAGCAACATGCCGATACACGCAGGCTCAGACGCAAGCTCTCGCATTCCCAATCCGACAGCTCCGTAGTTGTGCTCAGCTCAGACGAGGATAATCCACGACCCTTGTACGCCCCACGCCGCACCGTCGTTGAGATCTCGGGTATGTCAGCATGTTTGGCTCCGACTGCTCAGCCCGTCGCGTTCCTGAACAGCATCCCAGACTCTTCAGATATCGATCGAGTAAGTCGCCGCATTCCACCAGCTTATCCAATATCCAGCGAGCACAATGGAGTCGGTGAGGACGTCTGTCACCACCCGACACCGACACCCTTTAAATGATGCTTCCCCCCAGGTGCAGACAACTCCGAGTCCTGTGATGGCGCCACGCGTCTGCCTTCCGTACGGGAAATTCTTGGCCTGCCACGCAACCCACTCTCCGCTTCCCCTACTCGTATTGGGGTTGAGCTGCCTCCGCTAACTGCCACAACGAGAATAATCCTGGTCTCTCCTGACCCTCTGCCAGTCGGTCCAGAGCTCTCGCCGCCACCCCGCCATGTTCGACCTCTTGACCTCGCACGCTTTGCTTACACCGGCTCTTCACGTTCGCTGTCTCGCGCCTCCTCCAGGGCACCCTCTGGTCGTTCTACACCTGCAATGGTCCCGCCGCCGCCTCTGGCCGTTGTTCCCACCACCAGTACCTCTTCGAACGTTGCTACATCGCAGCCGCTCCTGCCCTCCGCGGATCCCAAGGGATCAGAACGACGTAAAGCTCACCGTTCTGCTGTCTTAGATGGCATCTCCGACACCGAGGTCGCCAAGCTCCGTAAATGTGTGTCCTGCGACCTCGCTTGGACCGCGCGCAAAACTGCGCCTCAAAAATCCAAACATATTACCTCCTGCGCAAAGAAATACGGTCTTACGCCAGAAACCGTTCAACATCTTGTTCGCGCCGAATTGCGCCGCATACGCGAGTCGCCTCCTGAGGTCGGCTCCAAGGGCAAGAACAAGGCCAAGAAGGAGGAGGACAAAGAAGAAGAGGACAATGCGGATACGCTCCTAACGGAGACGATCGACGGTGGTACACGCAGGAAACCCGGGCGGCGACCCGCTGTTGTCGAGACTGTGCGAGAGCTTACAGAGACGAGGTCGAGCATCCTTGAGCGTGCACGGCTCCTACTCGGATCTACTGCGAAGCCTTCATCTCTTCCGCAGGACACAGAGAAAGGTGAAGGTATCCCACCCAGAACGCAGCCCTTTGACGAGAGCGCGCTCGCGCGGACGTATCGTCCCACATCGATTTTGCACGGTACGCAGGCTCCGGCGTACGTCCCTAGCCCAACGCGTGCTGTGGCCCCACTTGAGGACGACGAGGACGATGATCTTCCGAAGACACAGCCTTTCGGCGGGAGTGGCCTGGCAGAGCGGTTTGGCAAGGCTCTGATGCATCATCAGACATTGCATGATGGAGACGAACCCGTGAGCCCGCCACGCACGCAACCCTTCGGTGAGAGCGCGCTCGCAAAGCGGTTCGGCACGCGTAAACGCGTGACAGACGACGCAGGCGACTCTCGGACAGCAGGTACCGCAAGTCCAGAGCGACAAGTATTCAGCGTGATGTCCAATTCGTCACCCATTCGCGGCTCTCCTGGTTATGGCGGCCCTCGGCGTGAGGACGACAGCGACGCGGAACTCTGGCTCCCTGAGAACGCACACACTCCTGTGAGTGACTTCCTTTCGTGCGAGAAGCAGTGGGCGGGGCTCACGCATGCAGGGTATACATAGCTCAAACGCAAACACAGGACGTTCGAGGATGCAGAGCCCGTCTGGCTCTCTCCGTGACGTTCCGCCAGATGATGTTGACAACTGGGACGATATACGACACGAAGAGTGTGAATACGACTATAATGATGAATGGGAGAACGTGCGAGATGATGCTGTGATACACTACGACCCCGACAACCTACCCAGTGACGCTTCCAGTCTACCCTCCTCGGAGGACGCACCTATCTGTACACAATCTGCCGCTCGTACACCCGCCTCGCGTCGCAGAACCAGCAAGGACCCGGCTCTTTCGCCAAAGCCGAAGCGCAAGGGCAAGTCCAAGAAGACCTCCAAGCGTGCCTTCGAAGAAAGTGGGAGCGAGAGCGATAAGAATGGCGGGAGATGCGGAGAGCTCAGCGACGACGCGTTGCACGCCGCCTTGCACGCGCGTATCGTCGCCGATGCACAGCTATACGCCAAGATCCTGCGCTACGAGCCCGTCCCGTTCGCAACGTTCCTCGCGCTTGCGGCCGATCTCGACACTTCGCCCACACGGGCCGCACCCACCAAGCCCGAAGGCAGGGGCAAGGGCAAAGGAAAGAAGAGAGCGGACGAGAATACCAGTGATGGGGAGTGCGGGGATCAGGAGAAGGACGTGTCGGGGCGTTTTCGCCTGCGGGTGCGCGACTTTTTGGACGCACAGGCTATCCACTTTTATGGGGACACTGTTGGGAGGGCGAAGACACGGCGCAGTCGTCGTTGAGTGAACTCAAGTTCCGCTGGATCGACATCACTACGAACTAAAGGATGGCATACTGGATTCCGCTAGTTGAATACCTATTGGTGCGATAATACTAGGATACATTACTATTTATTACGTCGGCATGCTTTGTACCTGTTGAAGGGTGTGTCGCCTTGTTGAGAAGGCCTAATCTAGGAGTGTTCGAGTAGATATTGGAGGCGAAAATGGAAAATCTACGGTAGCGAGCCCGCGAATAACCAGGGAAGACTGTAAGCTTCAAACGTCAAGCGAGACGCACGGTTACAGCGCTACATCCTTCAAATCTGCCACCTCGATAACACCACCTACGAGATGGAGGCTGCCCGCGACGAGGACATCGACGGGCCCGGGCCCCTGCCGGGCAGCGTTCACGGCGTGCTCAACGGATGGGAGAACGTGCAGACACTCAGCGGGGAAGGACGGTAACAGAGTACGCCATGCATCGGCAAGTTCGTTCTGCGTCGTGAGCGCCGCAATATCATGCTCGTGAACATTTTTGCTCGTAAGGTCTAGAGCCGAGAGATCAGATGGGGGCCAAGGTACCCATACCAGGAAGACACGCACCGCCCTTGTAGTTTCCACTCGCATACGTCACGTTCGTGCAAAATGCGACTTGGTCAAAGAACGTCTCCTTGCTCTCGCCATCTTTTCCATGCTCCTTGAGGAGTTTTTCGATACCGTCGAGCATTGCACCCAGGAAGCTCGCGCCCGTGCGCCCTGCCGTGCAGTTGAAGATAAGCACACGCCGCGGTTGCCCAGCGAGCGACGTCCGGAGTGTCGCAGTGGGCGAGACGAACCAGCGGACACAGCAGTCGAGACTCTCGAGGGTGTGCGCGCCGTCCAGGAACCACGTTGTCCCTGCATGCGCCGGATCCTGCACGGTCTGGCAGCGACCAGGCCATCGGGCCGCCTCAAGCGCCTTGACGTATGTCTCCGGCAGCTCGTCTGCGGGCGGTGGCGGAATGTTCGCATGCACGGAGAGGAACTTTTGCGCAAGGCGTACGGCTAGTGCGGCATTCTGGTACTGGTGGGCACCTGAGAGACCGAGCTGGATGGTGCTAAGCGCGGGGATCGGATGTACGACTTCAAAGGAGGAGGTCTGTGCTCAGTGTGTGAGTTATGCGATAAGGAGGAGATGGAGAGAGACGTGCCTTAAGCTCGGCAGCGCGCTGCTCGAGCACTTTCATGCCTTCCTCCGGTTGCTCGACTGTCAGCGCTGGCACGTTTGGCTACACAAGTCAGCTTGCGCGGTTCTCTGGGACAGGAAGGATAAGCATGCCTTGTAGATTCCGGCCTTCTGCCATGCTATCTCGGGAATTGTCTTGCCGAGAACGCCAATATGGTCGATGCCGAGCGCGGATACGCCCGTGACAACGGGACGCGGGACGATGTTTGTGCTATCGTATGCGCCGCCGACGCCGACCTCGAGAATCGTCGCGTCGACTTTGAAAGAGAGGAACGCGTGGAAAGCGACGAGAGTCACGAAGCGGAAGTACATGGGCTTTGAAGGAGTAATGGGGTTGGCGCGCTTGGAATCTGGCGTGAGTGGGGCGGATAAGTAGAGGGGAGCGCACGCGTACGACATCGTTCTTGTCGAGCCGGTCCCAGACTTCAAAGAAGAAGCGTGCAAAGTCTTCCTCGGATATGGGGGAGCCGTTTATGCGAATACGCTCACGAACAGCAACCAGATGGGGAGAGGTGTAGAGTCCTGGGTCACGGGTCAGTGGCAGGTGTGGCACGATAGACATGGCTGAACATACCGACTTTCCATTCGGGCTTGACATGGCGAAGGACCGAGTCTGCGAACGCACACGTCGACCCCTTGCCCTTCGTACCGGTGATATGGATGACATTCAAGGCATTCAACTCATCCGGCTAACTGAAGGATGAGAGGCACGGTCCCAGAAACAGGGCTTGGAACACTCACAGTGTAGCCTATCCTGCCAAGATACTCAAGCATCTCCGGAATGGCAAACTGAGTCAAGCGACCGCCAGACGCACGAACGGCGTCAAGGGTGGCGGCATTGCTCTGAAGAGAATTGAGATGGTCGACAGCGTCGGCATAGGACCTAGTGGAGGACATGATTCGGCGAGCTCGAGAAGTGTGTTGGTGAGAGGAGGCAAGGAGGATGACTGCTCGACTAGAAAACCGCGTGAGACCTCTGAGCATCATCAGGGCACCGCCCTGCCCTATCAGAATGCTCGATAGCCTCCCGCGATTTCAATGCAGATGCTGTTCGAAATATTCCAGACAAAGGTTGGCGTCTCCCGAGAAATATGAGTCGCGCGGGCGTGATGGGCGCCCCCGCGTCTTCAACTGTTTTGCGCTTTTGTGGTCAACGACCAACGTTGTGGAACCAACGCCGGCCCGCTTCTCTTATGTTTCGCCATGCACCCTCCCTGGCCACCGCTAGAAACAGCTTAAATGCTCTACGACGCACTCTCTCTACATCCCATGCGTCCGCAAACCCCATAGAAGCCTCGCAATCTACCTCAACTTTGGCAGGTACTTCTATCCCCGCCAAGCGGGAGAGGAATGAGTCTGAGAGACAAGACAGAGACAAAGCCTCCTCATCATCACCTCGTCGACCTGTAGGTCAATATCGCCAGCAGACCCACCCACCACAGCTTCGTGGACCGACCTTGTCATATCGCATCCAGGCTCTCGCCCGAGGTGATTTTATTGACGATGCAGTTCTCCTGCTCAAGAACGCTCCGCTCGACGCACAAAACGTTGTCAATTGGAATACTCTGATTGCTGAGGTCATGAAGGCGAGGAAGTACAAACTTGCTTACAGTGTTTACGTCGATGTGAGTGGCAGTCCGCATATTCCGTATACTATGGTCTGATCACCCCTCAGATGAAGCGACGAGGATTCGTACCCGACTTCATCACGTATGCGACACTGCTGAAGGGCTATGCTCAGATCGACGGAGCGGATTGGCCGCACTACACGCTACAACTTGAGAATGTACACAAAGCATTCGACAGCTTCTTGGCGTGTGCTAAGACCATTAAGGATCAGAAACAAATCCGACCCGAATACACCACTGCACCCATCACCCACTACTTCGTTATCCTCGGCAGGGCCGGACTTCAACAACGGCTCTTCGAGCTGTACAACATCATGAACATTGAAAATCCTACAGCCCTAAGCCCTTTTGTCTACAGTGCCATCTTCACAGCATTGAGCTATAGGAAGATTCTCCCTCCAGGCATGGAAGGCGACGTAGCCCACCAGAATGCGTCGGATGCGAAACTCATCTGGCGTCAGATGCTCAAGAATTTCGACACGCACGGGTACAAGATCGACTCCCACATTGTCCGGAGTCTCTTGTTTATTCTTATCTCTGGACGTCCCGGCGATCAGTTATTCGCGTTCGAGATCATCCGCGAGTACGTGGGCCTTGTGCCGCCTGGAGACCCCCCAGTAAAGCCCAAGGTACCTCTGAATGCCTTCTTACTCGAGAGCGTGCTGCAGCTATGCATGACATGTCGGAAACATTCGCTCTGCATACACTACTTGCTACAGGTGTTGGAGAAGGAGCCTCATGTCGTCGACCACAGGCACTGTGACACCGCATTGCGTGCGCTCGCCGGGCGTGCATCGCTAGGTTCGCTGACCGAGCCATCACAAGCGCTCGGGATCGTCGTGCTTATGCTTCGCGAGGCCGTCCTCAACAAGACCAAGGCCCGTCAGATTTGGCCGACGCTCCACACCTACCGGGCCGCATTCGCTACATGCTGGCGTGGCGGCGACTGGCCAACCGCCGTGCGGCTCTTCGAGCTTATGACGCGCCTCGACGCGGACAACTTCCTTGACAACAAAGAGGCGGGAGTGGCCAGACCCGGACGCACGCTCTGGCCCGATGCGCCGGTGATGTCGTTTCTCGTGCGCACCGCTCTCGTCTCCCGCGAACCCGCGAATATGCGACAGTGCCTGCGCATGGTCGAGCGCATCGGAGTACTCTGGGAGCTGCGGGCCGATGCGAAGCCGGGAGACAAATTCGACATCCGTAGCAAGGAGCGCATATTCGAGTCCAACCACTTCCGTGTGCAGTACGCGCTGAGCACCATCGAGCTCGTTTCCTCCGTGCTAGAGCACAACAAGAAGGCGGTAGCAGGAGCCGCCGGCGAAAGAGACAGCTATGTGGTATCGGAGGAGGAAGAGGAGCGGTGGAAAACGTTGCAGAAGGAAGTGCAGGCGCGCCTGGATGAGAACCCGCCATGGGCGGCAAACACGCTGGTGCCGTGGTTGGAGCAGAATGTGCTCGGAAGTGTGAGAGGTGTCGCGGCGATGGACAGTCATGTAGACTATCAGATGACGAACAGGCACATCAAGTCTGCGTAATCTAGCAATACCCCCTACCTATACACATCACCCCTCGCACGCTTACATAGACTAATTCGAGACTATGAATACGAAAGATTCATTGCTGCATTGCTTTCTGAGCCACTGTATTATACAATACCAGCTCGTCGAAATTCACGAGGCTTCCACCGAAGATATCGAGCGAACTGAGTGGGACCAGTAAGTGGTGGAATATAAGCGGTCCAGCGGGCTTCATACCTGCCGTACGTCAAGTCGACTTTGCCTCCGGAAAGGTTGTCGACCAGGTCCAAGTCTGATATGGCTGACCACAAAAAGATCAACTCCGGAAGTCTTGCATATCGTGAAAAGACTCACATCTTGCCCCGCCAGCGTAAGTTGTGGGAATCGTCACCCACTCGCCCAGCTCTGGAGGAAATAAGACTATGGTGAAGTGGTTAACCCGTATCGAGGCTTACTTTTAACAAGGTCCTCGTCGATGCCTTGGCAGAGCCCTTCCACATCTGCGGCGTGGATCAGAAACTCGCTGCAGTACTTTGCGAGCGTGTCAAGCGACTCTTCAAGTAATACATGAGAGTCGTGGTCTGCTTTGTTATATCTTTACTTACCCTTGCAAACCTCCATTTCTGTAATCCGCTGCCATTTGTCCATAGCGACAAACCAGCGACTATCCTTCCGCCGGCAGCTGACAACGAGAGTGAACAACAATCTTTGCGAGCTAACATAGCCAGACCTTACGTCTACAACCAGACTGTCCTTTCCAACAAGACTAGAGATTTTCTCTAACCTCTCCAGGGAGAACTTTCCCTCCGGAAATAGAAAGGAAGTCACAATGACCTGAGAGTGTTGCAAGGTCAAATATACGATACCACACAGAGTCAGGAGTATAATTACCTTGCTAGCACCAGCTCCTATCCACGCCTGGCAGTTCTGATCGGTAATACCACCACCGACCTGGAGCCCACCTGTGAGGGACTCGTCGAGTCTGTTATTCTACGATCGCCACAGGAACCCCTACCTGGCCAAGCAGCCAACGCCTCCTTTGCCGCATCGTTGTTTCCCTTTCCGAGCATGATGACATGGCCACCCTCCAGTCCGTGCTCCTTGTAGAGCTCCGCATAGTACGCGGTAGGCTTTGTGGCGACGAAGTTTGTCTTGAGTGACTCGGGCGCGTCCGAGAGCGTCCCGCCGACAATCTGCTTGACATGCCCACCATGCAGATCGATGCAAGGTTTGAAAAGCGTACGGCTTTGCTGTCCGGCCATCTTAAGCTTCACTAGCTTCCGGCAGCGTATTCCAGCTCCTGCGGTCGGAGCGTCCAGGTCAAAGGAGCGTCGGGCTATGGCGTCAGCTGCCGAATTTGAAGGAGACTGCTTCACGAGTCGATCTCATTGACGCACGCAGGACCTCCAATTCCGCAAGATTCCCATGATTGCATCCTATCAAGGTTGCTTTGACAGTACATAGCGTAAAATTCAGATTTGTAAGTACTAGTGCTCGCCGTCACCACAGGTATTTGTTGTCTAACCCTCGAGAAGGACTGAAGGACTGAAAAGGTAGCATCGCCGAGAAATAGGCTAGTGTGTTTCGACTCGAATACGGTTCAAACCTTCGAGATTAGGATCAGAGACATCCTACCGGACCTCCTGCCTATACGCCTCGGGTGAAGTGTGGGAGCGTCCCCAGGTGCCTTACAAATCCGCATGTGCACTCTCCTATATATTTCGACGGTAATACACGGAATGTTTCCCTCGAGCACCTCTCCTTCACCCACATCCTCAGAGCATAACCAGAGAAGATGGTCGCATCACTCGCAGGCAAGACTGTTGTTGTCGTCGGGGCCACCTCTGGCATAGGCTACGGCGTCGCGAAAGCGTGCTTGCTCTCTCAGGCCGCGCACGTCGTCGTCGTGGGCACCACCAAGGAGAAGGCGGAGCACACAGTCCAGCGGCTGCGCACCGACATCGCTGCGGAGACAGCCAGTGCCCCTGCGGGGACTCTCCTGCCCGTCAGCGGTACCATCGCGTCTGACGCGCTCGACGCACACGATCTTGCGTCCGTGCGCGCGTTCTGCGATCGTGTCGGCGAGATCGACCATTTGGTCTGGACCAGTGGCGATCCACTTCGCGTGGGCTTCCCACAGGCACTAAGTCTCGACGAGCACCGAGGTGGGTTGCTCCAGCTTCCTCGTCATTACTTCCAGACTTACTGTCCGCTAGACGCATTTGATGTCCGATTCTGGGGCGCAGCGCAAGCTGCACAGTCTATCAAGATTCGCAAGGGCGGGTCTATTACGCTGACCATTGGTACGTCATTTGACGTGCTATCCTTGATATACTGGCAATTCACGCCGCAACAGGCTCGGGCATTGCTCGTCCTCGCCAGCAATGGTCGCTGGCAGTTGGTGTCCTTGGTGCTGTCGATGCCCTCGTCCGCGGTCTCGCAGTCGACCTCGCTCCCGTGCGCGTGAATGTCGTCTGCCCTGGCGTCACAGACACTGAGGTGAGCATAGCACGATGCCTTTCGCCGAAAAAACATGCACTCACAAATCTGTGCTGTGCTATAGCTCTGGAGAGCCATGGACCCCGTCGCAAAACAGAATATGTTCGAAGCTGTCGCGAAGACACTCCCCGTTGGGCATATAGGCTCTGCAGACGAGGTTGCTGAGGCCTATCTTTTCTTGATGAAGTAAGTCTTGAACTCTGGAAGCATCCAGTTATGTTGATACCTCTGCGCAGATGCAGTTTTGTTACAGGTCAGCGCATCGAAGTCGACGGAGGAAACAGGCTCTCGTGAGGAAATATTGTGTCTATAGCAAGCGTTTGTGTATGAAATCATGAGTAGTAATGTCCAGTCGGAATTTTACTTCAGTACGCACTGCGCGTGAAGCAAGATGTATGTACCAACTACCACCGTGGGATTAAGTTCTCTTCTGCCTCAGACCATCACTACATGTAATTCTTGACCACGTAGCAGGCGCATGATGGTGCACTACTGCTTGAGCCTTGCCAAGGGCTAGCGCTCATTAGGCATCTAGAGTAGACCACGGAGACAGTGTAAAGGACACGCCTATCAACTTAGGTTTGTTGGGCAGCGAGAGTGGTGTCTAACGAGCCATTTAGGAGGTGGAGAGAAAGCCTGCACGCATACCGAGGCATCAGCGTGTAAAGAGCCTCCGACGTACTGGGAGAAGCGTGAGCGCCGCTGGCGTACTGGACTACGGGCACCGGTAAGGTCATCAGCCCCAGCTCCAAATCTGAGGCAGCTGGCCAGCCTCGGGTGAAGTCAGATCTGGAAGCCTTGGGTGTCATGTAAATATCAGCCTATGATAATAATCCAAAAGGGTATACATCGGGTGTCATTCATCTGTAGCGACGTACCAATGGTAAACTTTCCGTCGGCAGCTGGTGACGAAAGTAAAGACCTTTGCGAGTCGATACAGGCTTGATAGTCTACAGATCGGAGCCTACAGCAATGACCTACTCGAGGCCGGAGGCATACGAGGACTGCTGGAACCTGCCCATACGAACGAGTATCGTCATCTGCGCATAGCCGGTGCATAATTATGACGGAGGACCACTGGCGCATCACTTCTGGACACGACAGAACATTGTTACTATCGCACCCTTCGCAGCGGTAGCACCATCCATGGCTCCGGGGTGTTCAGAAAACCAAACGTCTGTCTTTACAGGGGGAAAAAATCGCCTTTGCAACGCAAGTGGTGTGCATTGTGTCAGCGACGACAGAACAAGCACCGCTGTCGAAGTCGCAAAGGAGATGTGTAAGCATATAGCAGTGAGCTACGCCAGCAATGGAACAGTGGTCCTCATGCTCACTGGCAACAACCAACTCACCGGAAGTACCAACCGCATTGCACAAGGATTTGGCTAGACTAACAGCGTCCGGGCAACCATAAGAGAAGCGCTGTTTTCGTAATACTATGGTAACCGCGAGGAGGCCAGAGGCTCGAGTTGAAGAGCCGCATGTAGGTGCCTCTGCACTGGGATGCACCATCCTGGGCCTTTGCGAACCACTGACATTTGGTAGTCGGATAGCGCCAATATCACTTTGTCATATTGCGGTAGGCTGGTGATGCTAGTAGCCTTTGCTGAGGTAACAAGTGCAGCTACGGAATGGTAAACCCGAAATGACCGAATACGCTGACGACAACTCAGAATGCAGAATGGCTCAAATAGTGATTAGATAACACAAACGCCTATAACACGAAATCTGGCTTCGATTGTTCGCAACCTCCAAGGAACCTCGAGCACGGGAACTGCGCATACGTATTTCACGGCCTCATTGTCGCACGCAGAATTTTAATTTCCAACCTGCTCGTCATCATGACACCCTGTATATTACGGGGCTGTCCTTACAATCATTGCATACTAGATGGCAGATTTGTAAGTGTTCAACATTACCACGCACGGGTATTTGATGCCTAACCCTCGGGGAGCCGCCTAGGTTCTCACGAGTGGTAGCTTCGCTGCTCTCCGCGATTGCTGTCTTCGCGGCTGCGGTCGCCGAATGTCATGGTCGGCTCACTGGCTACCACAAATAGATGATGAAGACGGAGTCACACGGATACAGGTCAAGCAAAGAAAGCCTGGGCAATCGGTGTCCAGTACTCAGCTTCCTCGGGGGATAGTCCCGTGTTCAATAGCCCCTGGGAGGCTTGCGAGGGGATCATCGCCGGAAAATGGGCTGGTGTGTACCAATATGGTCCAAACCTTCGAGAATAGGATCAAAGGCATCCTACTGGACCTCCCACGTATACGCCTGTGGGAGCATTCTCAAGCACTGTGTTACAAATCCGCAAGCTCATTCCCTCCTATAACTCTTGAGAATAACGGGCGGAACATTGTCCTCGAGCACCTCTCCTTCTCCTCCGTCCCAAAGCACAAACCGAAAAGATGGTCGTATCACTCATTGGCAAGACTGTTGTGGTCGTCGGAGGCACTTCTGGCATAGGCTACGGCGTCGCAAAAGCGAGCCTGCTCTCGCAGGCGGCGCGCGTCGTCGTCGTGGGCACCACCAAAGAGAAGGCGGAGCGCACGGTCCAACGTTTGCACGCAGATATCGCCGCAGAGACCGCCAGCGCCCCTGCGGGGACCCTCCCGTCCATCAATGGCACTATCACGCCCGACGCACTCGACGCACACGACCTTACGTCCGTGAGCGCGTTTTGTGAGCGCGTGGGCGAAGTCGACCATCTTGTCTGGACTAGTGGCGATGCACTTCGCACAGGCTTCCCACAGAATCTCGATGAGAACCGGGGTGAGTCGCTCATCTTTGCGGGCATCATTTGCAGGCTCATCGTCCGCTAGACATATTTGATGTACGGTTCTGGGGCGCTGCACAAGCTGCGCAGTCTATCAAGATTCGTCCGGGCGGGTCTATTACACTGACAATTGGTGCGTCGCTCGATGCGTCACCCTAGCATACCAAGGGCTTATCCTCAACAGGCGCGGCCATTGCTCGTCCTCGCAAGGGATGGTCGCTGGTTGTCAGTATCATCGGTGCGGTTGATGCGCTCGTTCGCGGTCTTGCCGTAGACCTCGCTCCTGTGCGCGTGAACGTCGTCTGCCCTGGCATCGTCGACACGGAGGTGAGCACAAAGTGACGCCTCCCCCGAAAGAGCATACATTTACATATCTGTACTATGCTACAGCTCTGGAAAGACATGAATACTGCTACAAAGCAGGGTATGTTCGAAGCCGCCGCGAAGTCACTCCCCGTCGGGCACGTAGGCAGTCCAGAAGAGATCGCCGAGGCTTACCTTTTCTTGATGAAGTAAGTCTTCAGCTTCGGAAGTGTCCGACGATACTAACACGTACCCAGGTGTGGTTTTATCACAGGTCAGCGCATCGAAGTCGATGGAGGGAGCAGGCTCGCGTGAGGGTAATATTTTGTGTATAGCAAGAGCCTGTATATGAATGACTGTGAATAATACCCAATCAGAATCTGACCTCAGCGGGTGCTGTACCTGAAGCGAGACGTGGCGTCAGCGATCACAGTATCCCTTCCAGTGCCGCCATCTTCACTCGCGAGGATCGTCCGCCCGTGCCCAAGCCGTTCCATTCACCGACATTCTCTGTACACTAAGTACCAAGAGTATCTCTCTGGGACTTTCTCCGTGAGGGATCATCGTTTTCGATGCATGGCACTGGGAGCTATAAGCAGTGTTGTGCCGGTCAGTGACTGGTCAATGAGACCGACCTCGGCAGCCAATCGCGTGGCGCTTCCGACGCTGAAAGCTTGGCCTGCTCTGCTCAAATACCACAGCCTATACACCCAGAACCTGGTACGAATCACTCTATTTCTTTGCGATGACTACGGTAAGCTACTCAATTCCCGAGCTATTGATAGGCTGTTGTAGTACATTAGAGAAGATATGATACCTCCGCTCCGTTATTCTTCCAAAGCATAAGCCATTTCGTCTGAAATTTATCCAAACGAAGGTCGTTTGAAGATATCTGGCAGCAGGAGATCCGCTATGTTAGGACACAGAAATGTAAAGTCAAATTCGCTTTATGTGCGCAGAATGTAAGTATGATAGGTGCCTAGGTTGGGTAATTTTGCTGGTCGATACCAATACTAGGTCTAGCGAAGTTAAGAAGGAACAGACTATGGCGTCGGCAGTGCATCACGCGATGCAGTCAAAGTCATGCTCGAAAGATCCGCAGCCTGTGCGAGGCTCGGCGGCTGCACGTCGAAGTGCATCGCGTTCAAGTTCGCCTATGCAGGAGCAGACCTGTTGCAGTGCCGTTCCCCGGATTGTCGGAGCCAGGGGAGCGCATGTTAAAAGGGTTAAAAGGGTTGGAGAAAGGCGAGAATGCCGCCGAGGGGCTGGAGTTGCAAGCAGATTTATTATTCTGAGACCGCGCCTGGTCACAGCCTCTAGAGGCGACGGGGAGCTGCAGTTGCGCTCTGTCCGTCCATTTGTAGCGCAGCCATCGTGAAAGCTGATTCCTGATCGGTTGGGAGATAACCAGCAGGCAAGCCGGGAACGTCGGAGTTGTGCTTCGTCTTTGTGGGTTGGGACACGTTTGTAGAATACGTAGGCTGTGGGTGGGCTACAAGGAGACCGACTTCCTCAACGAGACGGTGGTACGCCTGGATTGTAATCGCCTTCAACTTAATGAGCACGCGCTTGGTGACCTCGGCGTAAGCGACACGTTGCTCCGGGCTAACGAAAGGGCTTGTCAAGAGTTTGTGAACAACAGCGGAACCATTGACTTGGTTGCTGAGAACATCGGTTAGGACACGGTCGTTCGGAGACTGGAATAGGGCTTCCACAACCCGAGCGGACGCCTCAGGCTCAACCTTTTGGTTGACGATCCTGAGTACCGCCAAAGAAGCCAGGTCGTGTGTGCAGAGATGAGATAGGCGAGGTGTGAAACGTCGCGCCAGCAGGCTATAGCGCGACGGGAAGTTGGAGGTGTCAAGCAACCAAGTCAACAGGAGAGCGCTGTTCAGGTTGGTCGCGAGTGAAATTGAGTCGCGGATGATAGCGGTGGCGATCTTGTGTTGCTGGCTGACGGTGACGTGAGAGCTTTCCAGACAGGCCCTCATACTGCGGGCTCCAAAAAGTCCTTGAGCGATCCTCCAGAGATGGCCGTCCATGGCCTCGAATAAGAAATCAGTCGTAGGAGAGCCAAAGCGAAGACAGCATCTAGCGTACGTACAAGTTAGCAAGTTGAAGAGGTCAGGAGAGACTACCACTTACTGCACAACATGATTACCAAACTGATCCAATAACAGTGACAGCACATAGGGCCGAAGGTTTTGGGTAACGAGAGCCACCTCTTCCGGTGTCTGCACGCATTCTATAATCTTCTGGGCTGCCCAAGTGCCGTTCCTGTTAATACCGATCATGGCGAGATGAGGGGCAACGCGTTCCAGCATGGCAAGACGAGTCCCGGCAGAGCACTTCTCGAACAGCTTTTGAACGATTTGGAAATAGGTACATCAATTGATTTACCTTTCAAAGTACACCAAAATACGTACCGTGTTTCCCAGCCAATCCATAGCAACATCTGCTATCTCGTCATCAAGGAAATTAGCCGCGACATCATCTACATCTTCTACGGTAATCTTGCTGGTAATCAAACGCTTGCGGAACTCGTGCAGTTTAGACCCATCCCAACGCCTGTTGTGCGACCTTTCAGAGATCAACGGGAAGATGCAAATAGGGGTGCTGGGGTTAGAACTGGGCAGTATCGGCGACGGAGCCGTAGAGTATTGTGGAGACGGGTTGAAAGACGACTCAATAATCATACCCTCCAGATGCCGGACAGAGTGTGTAGATGCGTCACTTTCGCCATTAGGAGTGTATGACGATTCCGGGTCGTTCGTAAATTGATCATCGTGCGGGGTTTTCAAGAAGCTTGGGGAGCAGTCCTCTGAAGGCTGCGTTATGGATCCAACTCGAGCCATATGAGGATTTGCGGCGAAGCGGGGAATGACCCATACTCACCCTTGTTGTCACCCACTGTGATAACGGGTCGCACTTGCTCAAAAGCAGCGGCAGTGTCAATCGGCCAGTTCGCTAACCGGCTGAAGATAAGCGCATATCTCGTTGTAGGGAGGCGACACGCTTACTTGGGGACCAGATGTCATACAGGTCGTCGTGACAGACAATTGCACTTTCGGCGGGTGATTTCTGCTCAAGGCGAATCATGAGACTTGGGTGGGTACTTCGATAAAATGGACACTTACCGAGAGAATATAATCCAAAGCTGCGTTCAAAGGGTCGCTGGACTGCGGGGAGGCCGATGAGCTCAAGCTGCTATCCTGGGCAGAAAACACTTACTTCCCATGTTGACTCTGGCATTTGTACAACTTCGTATTCCTCAATTTCAGCATCGTCAGAGTTGTCCCCCGCGGCCACCGCTGCAACAGGGACAGACAGTTTAGAAAAAGCGATGATCTTGAGAGACTTCACTGACCTGCAGAGCTTTCCGTGTCATTCCATGGTTGCGGATCCCGAGGCTCCGCTTGTGCCTTCGGTTTCAAGCGCATGAGAGGCAGCGCTCTACGCATCCTGAAATAGCGGAGGAACAAACACTGGTCCTGTCTAGCCTCTCCGTCCTTGAGTGGCGGACTGACGCGATGCTCGGCTGACGCTCGTATATCGTTCGTGCAATCAAGGTCGAAGGCAAAATCGACGAACGGAACTTCCTTCGCAGAGAATGACATTGTGTGTGATTCGCCGCAATTTCGCGCTGCAGCAAGGGCCCAGCTGTCCGTCTTGACGCAGCCGTATACCAATATTATGTCCTCCGGTTTGATTATGAGCTTCAGATCGTCTTTCGCGAAAGCGTACCAAGACTCGTGGTGAGTTCGCATGTACTCAGGGAATTGTGAGCACTTGTGCACACGGGAAGACGTCAGCGAGGCGCCTGGAATCACGACGGCTCCCTGCTCCCTGTGACATTTAAACGTGTACGAAAATCCGGCATTCTTGCTGCGCAACGTTGTCCACATCAACATTCGTTCAACAATTTTGCGGGTGGAACGAAGAGCTTACACTGTCATTGCCGTTCCTGCTGAGACACAAGACATAGACTGGCTGTAGATCGGGTTTGAGGCGAGGAAGTTGTCTGTCGTGTGCAAAAAGCGATATTCGTCATATTCCAGAGGGACGAATCCTTTGGGAACACCCCGCACGTTGATGGGGTCGTCCGCTGGGCGAAGAACGTTGAAGAGACGGTAGAAGCCTCCGTCGTCTAGGTATCCAACGTCCCCGATAAGAACCTCACCGAACTTTACTACAGGCTCAGGGAACCACAGTGGTTCGCCATGCCCATGTCTGCGGAGCTCTTGGGCATATACATCGGCAGAGCTAGAAGTCATTGCGGAGAGAGCGAGACACCTATTGTGAGGGGAGGATGTGAGGAAGGGTCGCCATCGATAAGACGCTGCGTACGCTTCAAGGGTATATTAAATGATGTCCAAGTAGGGACAGCATTGCGATGCAACGTGCGAAAGCAAAGCTGTTAGGCCTCACATGCTGTCCCAGGGGAGGGTAGACGCACAACCATGAGCGTAAGTGGAGCATCAGACTAGAGTGGTTGACTTACTGTTTCGTCCTCAGCGTCGTCACAGCAGAATCTCCTTCAGGTGCAATCGCTGAGACGTACAAAGCCCTAGTGACGGCACGGTCGATTAAAGATTAGACTGTGATAATCATACATAAGCTCGTTTGCTGTGCTCTGGAGAAAATTCTGAACATGAGGCACTCCAAGAGCGCACAGATACGTGGGGCTTACTTGATGACTTCCGACACATGAAGGCGCTGGAGAGGTTCAGGGCACTTGCCGCGTATAGCGCACATCCATGGCCAGTGCAGAGGATTGACAGCAGATATGAAAAATTCCAAGTCAATTTTGGTATTGTACAAGACAGTCGGATTCCAAGCTCTCTGCATGCCACTAGTAGGACATGGACTGCTCAATGATGTGCGTGAGATGTTCCCGGCCATCCTCGCCAGCGACATCACCAACACCGGGCGCGAGATCGAGCACACGCCGCTGAGGCAGCGTGCCTTCGACGAGCCTCGGGATGTCCGCGTTGGTGTAGCCTACCGCTTTGAGTCCGCGGGGAACGTCGATGCCGTCGAGGAACTGCGCGATTGCCTCATACAGGTACGCGCCAACCTCGGGATCGGGAATAGACGCGATAGACGGGTCGGAGGACGTGGTGCGCCTGAGGATTGCGAGGGCCTCACGGTGGCGTGAGGGGGCTGAGGGGGCCGTAAATTGGAAGACAGCAGGACCAGTGAGGGCGACGCTGCGTATAGGTTAGATAAGAAGTATCAATAGTACCACTAATACTTACGAGACACCATGAGGGATAATCGGATGGTCAACGTTATATCCGGGGTGCTGCCACTTCGGTCCTGTCTTGTTCAAACCAGAGATCTGATTGTACAGTTAGCATTTAGTGAATAAGTAGCTTAAAGTCAACGCTCTTACAGGATAACTAATGCCGTGGCACAAATGCACACCAGCATTACCGAACCCGATACCTGCAAACGAAGCTGCGAGACTGGGGGAAATTTGAGATAATTATCACTAAAGGCAACAAACGGCTTACAGCATCTGTCTCAGAGCTTCGTGGTCACTTTGATCCTTTGCGACGCGAGGCAGCATCTCCACTGTCGTCCTCAATGCCCACATGGAGAAGACGTCAGCGACTGGATTACTACCCTGATACGCAGGTCGCAAAATAGGATTCGCCGGCCGGGGAGTGCGCTCCGTGTAAGGAATGGCGGTGTAGCTTTCCAGGCTGTGGAAGAGAACATCCAGGCCTGCGCTGATATGCAGCTCTATGGGCACATGAGACCACGTTGACCGACTTGCGAAGAAGCTAGCATACCTCGGGAGCAGCTGCGTGTGTTTAGAGTATCCACGATGCCGAGAGTGGGCTTGAGCGCGCGGTTTGCGATGCCAGTCTTGAAGTTCATGGATGTAATGTCGAGAATAGCCGTTCCGGTCGTTTCAGCGCCAGTTCCTGCAGTTGTAGGAACGGCGATCAATGGCCTGAGCTTTTCTGCAATTGGAAGACCTTTGCCGACTGGGGCGTTGATGAAGTCGAAGAGATCAGCGTCCTTGTAAACAGTGAATCTTGCGAATCTCGTCAGTACTACAAGAAAGCGCTGCATGTCTCCGAGCACATACAAGTTGGCAGCCTTGGCAGTATCCATGACACTTCCGCCTCCGACACTATAACAGTCGCATGAGCACAGAGCTCTCTGTACGAAGAAGTAGACCTACGCAAGGAAATGGCTACAGTCATGCTTCCGCGACCAAGCTATAGCATCCCGCCAACTCGCTTCCGTGGGTTCTGTAACGACTCTGTCATAAACCTCGAAGGCAAGGTCTTTCTGCGACTCAAGGGACGCTATAGCCTGTATTATGATTTTGTGATGAGTCTCTGGCCTTTGAGTTCGAGGTGGGAACATACCATCTTCATTGCAGGTAGATCCTTGACATTCGGATCTGTAAAGACGGCGACCTGGAAAAAACGCCATAAGGCGAGGTTACAAGACTGCCAGGATTTTAGTGCGAACCTTCCTCGCTTTCATGTTCTTAAAGTCCATGCCAACCTCGCGCGTAACGCCTTCTCCGAACCTGAGGTTCGCAGCGGCGACCTGAGAGTGTGCAATTTCAGCACTAAGCTAACGACACGCCGTGTGTCCCACGAACCTCAAACGCGTATTCCTTCTCAGGCGGCGGCATGTCCACCGGAGTCGCGTACTTTCTCATCTGGTTGATGGCCTGCATGGGATTGTGGACGCCGCCAGAGCGGCATCCATGGCAGGGGCACGCTGAGTGCTGGACAGCGTTGATGAGACGGCGGATGACGCCTCTGGGGGCGGCCTTGGTGGACATGGTGGGCCTGTTCAGGGTGGTGTCGGGACGTGTGAGAAAGGAGGGCCGGAGGCGCAAGGTATTTATGCGGCCATTAGTGGAAGGAACCGAACCGGAAAACTCCAAACGGAACCCGGAGGAGGATCACGAGAGTGAGGCGGCGGGCTCTTCACGTGTTCGCGTGCGGAGGCGTCTGAGGTCGCTTGCGGCATTGGCGGATGCACAGTCCGAAACGTTTCGTCTTCGGACTTCATGTCGACAGTATTCATCGGACCTCAGGGGTCTGACCTTCGGGCGCAGCATTGGTTTGAGAGTGAGCAGCAATAAGTTTGGCCCTGACTGAGACCAGAAGAATATACCCAAGGAGTTACAACGAATGCTGCATATTGTGATAGCGCCATCAAGTTTAGGTTCCAAATGAGAATGAGGATGGCGAGAGGGCTCCAGTTCATTCCGATGTTCTTCTACTCATTCATGTGCAGCGTTGCGATAGTAACAGTGCAGCCAGGAATTGAACGGGAGTAACATCGAAGCAAATCGTGAGAACTGCGCTATGCTTACCGACGCTGAGTCCGCTTGAAAGGTTGATTGAAGCCGCCATCAGACTGGGCACAAAGAACCCAATGGGATCAAAACATCCAGACGGTTGGCCTTTCTGCAGGGCCTGCTGCCAGCTCATGCCACCGTGCTCTGCGCTCTGCACACTGTCCTTTCTCCTGGTGCTGTTCCCAGACACCCGTCGGTCCCTCCCACACCCATTCTCTTCCAGTCACTCGTTCAGTTTCGGTCACTTACATCCCCATGAAGTCCTCGGTGCTTCCTCTTGCTCTCACGCTCTCCGGCACCCTCGCAAACGCGCTCGTTTTCCCGGTCAAGCAAGCCAGGCATGCAGCGACAACGCTTCAGAGAAGAAGCGGCAGCACATCCTATGCCCGCCCGAAGGTCCTGGCGGCTGCTTCATCCGAGACCCCCGATGAGATAGACATGTCGTGAGTAATGGCACAGCTCGAAGCTCTCCAACGGCCTCACAAGTCCGTGAACGTCAAGTACATACCATGATATCATATACCTCGCTAATGTGAGTGCTTTATCCTCTCATTGCTGTCGCGACCCTGGAGTCGGTCCCAATGGAATGCCGGGGTGTGGAGTAACACGGTTACTCCCGTGCAACCTTTCATGGCGCCCCTCGTTCCTTTATACGTCACAAGCCTAAAGGCAAATTGCTGACAATCAAACGGTATAGATCACCATAGGAGGCAACGGTACGTGCCGAACATCTACTGTTGTGATCCTTCTCTAAGCGGACCTATCAGACTACCAGGTCCAATTGGACACCGGCTCCTCGGATCTTTGGGTGAAAGGTCCGACATCCCCTTTGCCAGGCGCACAGCAAACGGTGCGTTATGCGACCCGTTGTGTAACTTCCATGTCTGACCCGCTTCCAGGACATAACGTACAACCTGACCGTAAGTCCCAGTTCCTTCATGCCCAAACGTGTACATTCACAGCTATCAATTCTAGTATGGCATTGGTTGGGCGTACGGAGAAGTGAATTATTCTCCAGTACAGTTTGCGGGGTGCGCACAGCGCTTCAGACCAACCTGGCTCTTGCTAATCGAACTCTTGTCCCAGGATCTCCATTCCCTCGCAGGCCTACCTCGACGTGTCTCAAGCGCAGAACCCAGCACTCGCATACGGTGCTGTTGGCATCGTAGGACTTGGCTTCACCCAGCTGTCCACCATTGACGCGCTGGTCAACCATACTGGCGCCAGCACCGGGCGCAGCCTGCTGTACAACGCGTTCGAGAACAGCAAGGCGGAGCCCAATTACATCGCGTTTTCGCTCCAGCGTTCCTCGGACCCAAATGACGAGGTCGAGGGCGCATTCTCTATTGGTGAGAGACGATTCGTGGGTGCACGGCCGGTTGCAAAAGTTTACGTGTGCGTCAGGCGAGGTTGACCCGCAGTACCAGGCCGTCCTGGGAAACGAGCCGATACCCACTTGGCCAGAAAGCTACCCTTCGAGGTGGAGCATTCTTCTGGATGCTGTGCTCATCAGTGGCGAGCAGGCAGTACCTGTGTCCAGCGTGGTCGCGGGTGTCCCTGAGGGCCAGGCGGTCGTGCTTCTTGATAGCGGAACGTCTTGGACGTACGTGGTTCCACGCTGCCGCGAAACTCTTTGCTGACGCACATGCCAGGTATGCACCGCCAGACGTATGCACCGCCATATACGGCAGCGTCCCCGGTGCGACCTTCGACGATGATCTCGGTCAGTGGACAGTTCCGTGCGGTGCAGAGATCGATATCGCCCTGCAGTTTGGGTATGTGTCAGACTGCTCCCGTGCTTACGCGTTGTTGACGCGGCTTTCAGCGGCCAAGTGTATCCTATTCACCCTCTTGATGTCAACGCGCAGAGCCTCACCGACCCTACCGTCTGCGCTGGTACTTTCCTTCCGCAAGCAGTAACCGTTGGCGCGGGAGAGTTGTCAGTGTGCTTATTGTCTCCTGCGGAAAATTTCACTCATGCGTCCATTTCATTCAAACTGCTCAGCGACTGGCTCATCGGCGACAACGTCCTCCGGTCGATCTACTCGATCTACGATTTTGGCGACTACGACTCTTTGGGCAACATGGGCAATCCCTACGTCAAGCTGCTCTCCCTCGTCGACCCTGCCCAGGCGTCTGCCGACTTCCATCAGCTGCGCGGAGGTACCGCTGCCACGAACATCACCTACAACGCGGCAAACTCCACAAGCCTAGCTTCCGGCGGCGGCAGCGTCGCCGTCTCGCTTTCTGCCGACATGGTGCACACGATCAGCCAGCTCGGGAGCTACCTGCCCGTCGTGCTCGCGATCATGGCGCTGAACGCGCTCGCGGTGCTCCTGCTCGTCGCCGCGGCGTTCGCGTACATGTGCCGGAGGCGGCGGGCCAAGGTCCGCGCGCGCAGGACCCCGGGCAGGATGACCCCGATGCCGGTGGACCCCGCGTTGTCGGCGTCGGCGTTCGGCATGGGCATGGGCATGCTGCCCGGCGGCGGCAGCGGCGGCGAGGGACACACCTACGAGCCGGTGTCGATGGCGCTCTCGGAGGACACCTTCGTGCCGCCGTCGCCGGCGTTCCAGAAGGAGGGCTCCTCGAAGCTGCGTCCTTTGTCGGTCGCATGAGTATATCTGCCTGCACGGCTCCGCTACCGGATGCATTGGATTTAGCTATCTCTTTTCTTTTTTTGGTTGGAGGGACAGTTGTGCAATTGCTTTTCTGGATGGAGGGACAGTTTTGCAATTGCTTTTTCTCTGTACACACGCGTAGGATAACTTTTTTGTTCGTCTGTCTGGACTATGGTGCTTCTGCCAATACATTTTGATCCATGCTTGGTCTCGCGGACGCCGAGGCTCGAGGCCGCTGTCGTCATCACTGGCTTCGTTCACGGCGGCAATTCGCACGGCGTGCCGGGCGCAGGGGAGGGATGCAGCCGCGTCTCCTGTAGATGAATGCGGCGTGGCCAATGTATCGCCTTCTGGCGAAGGCCAGAAGGCTCGGGTTCGAGTGTTGGTGCGGCAAGGGATTCGTATTTCCAGCTGGGCTCCCACACTTTGCGTCTTCTCACTGCGGGCGGTAATGAGACGAAGGGCTGTTTGCGATGGCCTGATAAGGGACCGCGGCTGCCACGACGCGAAGCGACTCGTTGTTGTTGTTGCTGCTGCCATTGCGGGGGACCCTAGTATTTGAAGGCGCCTGTGGCTGATCATATCTGCGTGGCGGACAAGTCCGAGGAACCAACTGCTGGGACGAACGCTTACGTCTGGGCAGTCGCCACAGGACGCGATCGCACATGAGCCTGAGCGGAATGATCGGACGTGCATGCACACCCACAGGCCGCGCGGGCGGCACCGAGTTGTCCTCGTTGCGGGCTGGTGTTGCCTGACCTGGGCTGGCGACGCTCGTTCGTGGGCTACGATAATTGAGGATGGCGTGCAACGTGTTGCGCTAGGGAGCCCCCGCTGTCGAAGAGAACCTGTGCGGGAGGGCGCCCCGCGCGGACGAGGGGAACACGAGGGGTACATGCGTTGTTGTGTAGCGTGTTGTTTCAGTGCTCGCTGTGGCCGCGAGGATCTACATGCGCATCATGAGCTGGGGGTCGTTCCCATCACGGGAGAGTCGCGGACAGTGGTGGCACCTTCCTCTTTCGGGCTGTCGGGGACGGGGGGAGCAGCCACGTGTTCGCAGGACGACGCGCGCTGGCCGAGAATGGGAACCTAAAGGACGGCGAGCGGCGACCCTGGCCACCCTCAGCCTCTTTGTCGCCTCATCCGGACATCTCAAAGCGGCCCCCACCCGCGACCGTTTCTCCCGTGGTGTATCACAGCCATTTAATATTATTTTGTTGGGCCTAGCGTAAGTCGCTGGTATCCCCCCGGAGAGACAGACATTAAACAAGTCGTGTCCATGTCGTCAGACTGCCCCGCTGCCAATCACCATCTCGCTGCAGCGGCTACGAAAGGACATCTGGCGTTTCCCTCCCTCCCTCGGTCGGGACTCCCTTCCCAAATCTCGCTGTTTCCCGCCCATACATCCAACAAGTCTTTGTCGGATCTCTCATCTTACGGAAGCCTGGATAACAAAAACCTGCCTGTCATGGAATGTGGCCACTCCTCATTCCCCCCCCCCCCCTTCTTAAACCGTCCTCCGCGGCCAAAAGATGTCACACACCCTCCTTATTGTCTGCCAGCCATGGGCTCCTCCGCCCTCCACTCTCTGCCCTGCCGCCTCCTGCAGATGCTCCCCGCCCTCGACAAGCCCACCCGTCGCGTTGGCAACAAACTCCCGGGCGCGAACTCAGACTCTTCCGAAGTCTCTGACAAAGCCCTCTACGACGCCTGGCTCGCCTCTCGGGCCGTTCCTGCCTCCAAAGCCATCCTCCTAACTCCCGGCGCCCAGCGCTCGCCATCACGCGAGAATGCTGCGCTAGCGGTCCGCATCGCTCGTCGCTCCTCCCTCGGCGTCCTCTCCCTCCTCTGGCAGCTCTACCCCTCGCGCATCCTCCTCCTCGTCGCCATGGACCTCTGCCGAGGCGCGTTTCCCGTCTTCAGGGGTTATTCCCAGGCCATGATCATCAACGAGGTGCGTCGCCCCGTCTCGCCGCCGCCTCCAATCATACCGAACCGCTGCTTCTAGGTTCAGTCCGTGATCTCGTCCGGTAATTTCGTCTGCACGAGACTCTGCCGACTTATCGCCACTGAATTGCTACGGCTCGCTCTCGAAAGCGGCTTCGATTCGTTCGCGTAAGTCCCAAGATCCGGAGAACGGGGTCCCAAACATCTGATTTTTTATTTATTTACTTTGTGACTGCGCAGGTCTGCAAACGAGGAGGTCGTCCAGAGCTCCGCCAGGTTTGCTCTCGAGTACCGTCTCATGGAGCAGCGGGTCCGGATGGACGTGCCCACCTTGGCGGATCCCAACGTGCGGGACTTGTTCCAAGAGTCTGACCTCTTCGTCCGTTCCTTCAGCGGCGTCGCCAACTTTGGCCTCTTCTCTCCCCTTGATCTCCTACGGATATTGACTCTTCTGTCCGAGATGCTGTCTCACCTCTTCGTTCTCTGGACCCTCACAACAGACCGCACACATCTCTCCTTGCTCGCTTTTTCCATCATCTCGTACATTGTACCGCTATTAATATCGTGGTGGAGACAGTACCCCGAGTACACGGATGACATCCAAGATATCAGGGCCGCTCGCGCCACCGCAAAGCAGAACAAAATGCGGGCGATGGCGCACAGTGACGCCTACCGCTCCGAGATCGTCCTCTTCGGTCTCGGACCTTGGATCCTCGACAACTGGGCGAGGGCACGGATGGCCACCCTCGGCCTGGATCAGCCACGGTCGTTTCCGGCCGAAAACAGCACATTCAACGTCCTGACGTCCAACATCAATGCTTCCGGCCTGCTCATGGCTCTCCAAAACGTAAGGTGCTCCACTGCCACGTCCGGCGTAGTCATCTGCAGCTCACGCTACACGCCCTCCAGATGCCCGTCCTCCTGGCGATGCAATCTTCCTCTGCCTCGCTGGGATCGTTCACCCTCTATCGCAACTCTATCCAGTCGATCGTCTTCAGCATTCAGCAGCTGTCCCAGCTATCGCGGATGGCCTTCCAGAGCATCTTTCTCATGGGCGCATTCTCCGCGGCGCTGCAAGTCCGACCCCGGCTCCAGCCTAGCCCAGAGGTTAAGCTTGCGTACCCGAGCAGTGGCAACGGGATGAAGATAGAAGCAAGGTACGAGTGCTCGTGTGACCCACGCCCCGACGCATGACCGGAATGCTGGTGATAGGAACATATCGTTTTCGTACCCAGGCAGTCACGAGCCTGCGGTCCGCAACGTGAGCTTCACGCTCAACCCCGGCGAGACCCTCGCCATCGTCGGCTACAACGGCTCAGGTGCGGGCCAGGTGTCTCCCCCAAAAAGCGCGCTACACGAGCTGACACCCGGCCGCAAATTTTTTTTTTCTTTCTCTTTCCCTGTTTTTTTTTTTTTTTTCCCTTCCAGGCAAGTCGACGCTCGCGAACATCCTGCTGCGCGTCACCGGCTTCGACGAGGGCGAGCTGCTCGTGAACGGGCACGACGTCCGGCGGTACGACGCCGCCGAGTACCACCGGCACCTCACCGCCGTCTTCCAGGGCTTCTCCAAGTTCGACGCCTCCGTCCGCCAGAACGTCGGCGTCGGCTACTTTCCCGACATGCAGCACCCCGCCGCCGTCGCCCGCGCCGTCAAGCTCGCCGGCGCAGACCCCGTCGTCGCCGCGCTGCCCCAGGGCCTCAAGACGCGCCTCGACGCCTCAGGAGCCGGCGCGTCGCTTCCACACTTTGCGGCGGCAGACCAGGGTCACCGTGCCAGTCCCCGCGGCCGTCCGCAAGGGCTGTCTGGCGGCGAGGTACGTCTTCTTCGTCGCAACCCAACGAGAGAGCAGGGAAGACGCTGACGCACACGCACACGTCTCCTTTTCGGACGCGCGCAGTGGCAGCGGATCGCCATCTCGCGCGCCTTCATGCGTGCGCAGCGGCCCGAGGTCGAGCTGCTGCTCCTGGACGAACCCGTGAGTGTCGCGCGTGCGCACATGCCCCGTCCGGCAATCTCCCTGCTGACGTCCAGTCCTGTTTTCATAACAAAATTGGAAAAAAAAAACGCACGCACGCACGCACGCACGCACGCAGACCGCCTCGCTGGACGCGCATGCCCAGAACCGCGTGTTCGAGACCGTCGACGAGCTCGCGCGCTCGGACGCGGGCGAGCGGACGAAGACGGTCGTCTTCATCACCCACCGGCTGTCCACCGCGCGCCGGGCGGACAAGATCGCCATGATGGAGCGCGGGGTGCGTTTCTCTCCCTTTGCTTCTCCACAGCCATCACCATGTTTTTGGCTGATTGTTTTTATATTTCTTCTTTTTCGCAGACGATCATCGAGTTCGGCACCCACGAAGAGCTCCTGGCCGCCGGCGGGGCGTATGCGTCTCTTTACAAGGCGTCCATATAGAGCGAGGGTGCACCCTCGGGACGGCACACACGGCACACACGCGAACGGGAGAAAAAACGCATGCTTATACAGCTCGTAGATGGTCTCTTGGACGATCAATGTACAGTTAGTGGGATATATTGAGGTACATTAGTTTTCCTGTATGTTCTATTCAGTAATGTCGTGTAGAATACGTCATGACTCCGTCGTGCAAAAATGCGTCTATGCCGTTTGACTCGAGCATCGGCAGCTGGCTCGCGACGCCAAAGGCCCCGAGCAGGAGCCCGCAGTCTTTCACCGCCTGGATCAGCGACGGTACCTCGTTCTGTTGCGCCAACAGAGCAAAGAAAAAAAAAGTAAGGAACAAGCGTATCGCATCCACTCAGTCGTAGGCACACACACTCACCAAGAACTCCGCGTCGAGCAACAGCCCGAGCAGGTTGTTCGTCTTGCAGACCTCGACGGCCGAGTTGAGGCTCGACACGCGGTAGTCGCGGGCGTCCCGGACGGCCAGCGCGGTAGCGCTGGGCGCGTGTGCGCCCGTCCGTCCGCACTGTGACGCGAAGAACACGGGATCTACCGAACGGGGGAGGGAGAAGGGACGGTTGAGCTCAACAAACCAATATGCACGCACACGGTCGCAAACACTTCGCGCGCGCGCGTGCGTGCGTTGGTTTTTACTTCTTGTACTCACAATTTGGCTGCTTCCAATTCAAGGCCGCGCAAACGTCCGGGGCGAATGACGTAAAGACGACGTTCCGCCGGCCGACGTGCCCCTCGAGCGAGGTTATGTCATAGATCGTCCGCAGGACCGCGTCCACGGCGTCGTTGAGATCGACCCGATGGCCCAGCGTCCGCTGCTCGAGCACCGGAGCCGTCGGGTACGCGAGCTCAAGGCACACGCCGAGGTGGGCGGGGATAATCTAGCACGCCGGTCGCTTAGCGCTCTGCAGGGAAGTGTCGCACAAAGAACAAAAAAAAAAGCGCACCTTGAGGAGATCGGAGAGCGCCACCATCGAGCGTGATATCACCGCTTGGATGTCCTTGATCGATAGCGACGAGCTCGCTGGCGGCAGTGGCCGTCGCCCGCGGCGTTCTGCAAGGGCCAGGAACTGCGCGAGCGTGACGTCCGCCACCCCGAGGTCAAAGGTGTCATCCGGCAGCCTCCACTCCGGATATGCCACCGGCTGCAGGTCCCGCGTGACTTGCACAGTGATGTAGAAAAAGCTGCCGCTTAGCGAAGAGTGTGTAAGAGAATGGCTTCCCGAGGAGATGATCGAGTGTGCCGAGGGAGATGTTTGCGCTGAAGCCAGCGAACGTGAAGGGGGCATGAACCGCGGAGTTGTCGCTTTCGCGGATGGTGTGGATAACGGACTGGCGATCGCCTTCCAGTACGTCTCAACTGCGCCTCCAATCTCAAGAGTCACTCCGCTGAATGGGGTAACCGTGATGATCTCGAAAGAGACCTACAGACACTGCTGAGCCCTCGCTCTCGTGTGATAAATATAGAGCCGCTCACCTCTCCGATGACATGCAGGCGATGGTCAAAGATGGGCAATGTCGATGCTTTCGTCGAGCCTGGTCCCAATGATGATGGCAACGAGGCTGCTCGACCAACGATTTTCGTGCCAAAGTTTGGGTATAACGAGAATTCCAGGGAAAGTGTGTCGATCGAGGGTACCTGGAAGGTGTACACTGTCCTCTCGTCGTCGGCTAACGGGAGTGAGATGCTGAAGGGCGCGGCAGTGACAGCTGGCGAGGCCGTGACGACCAGTTTTAGTCGAGGCGAGGTGTGAAGGTATCGCTCTGTCTTCTCCAAGCCGCTCAAGGGGGGACGTAGGCGCACCGCATTGGAAGGTTCCGCCGACGACTCAGGGTAGCGCGACATGCGATGGCCGATGGACACTTGTACAAGTGTGTTCTTGTCGAGATAGTTGTGCCCGTAGACGCGGTACGGCATCATAGGCGGTGGCAGCGAAAGCGACGGGATGGCGTCGATATCGGACTCGCCGCCAGTGGAACAAGTGTCCGACATGGACATGGGTGAGGGGTGCGAGATGGGTGTATGCGCGGCGGTGTATCGCTGCTTCGCCTCCATTAGAAGGGATACGCACGTGTGATGACCGTACCATGCTGCGTAGTGGACGGCAGAGTTTTCCAGTTCATCTGTGCGATCTGGCCTGCTTCCTGCCTCGAGAAGCACGCGAAGGCATTGCTCGTGGCCGTAACGAGCAGCGTGGAAGAGGGGTGTCCATTCGTTGTACTTATCCGGAGTGTCCCAGCCTTCCTGACCGACGAGTAATTGGCAGATCGTGTGATGGCCTTCCTGCGCTGCCAGATGAGTCGGGTACTCGCCGTTGGTATTGGGAAGACTTGGCGCGCCGTGCTGAAGCAGCAGAACCACAACGTCGTAATGACCGGAGCGTGCGGCGAGAGACAGGGGAATGAGGTCGCCGTTGAGGACGGTGGCCTGAACAGAGACGTGACCAACTTCTAAGAGTACCCGAACACATTCTACTGATCCTCGAAGTGTAGCGTAAATCATCGGAGTGCAATTGTCGAGATCCAGCGCATCCGCGCTCAGGCCCTCTTCGAGGAGCCGTCGGCAAACGGCGGAATGGCCACTCATAGCAGCATAGTGCAACGCAGAGCGGCCGTACACATCAACCTTCTCCCGTTGGACTCTGTTCTGCAGGCAGAGATCGACCAGCCGTAAGGCGCCAACTCGAGCCGCTTCATGAAGGCATGTGCGTCCATTGATGTCGTCAATAAAGCGATAGTCAAAAGGCGTGGATGTGGAGGCGAGAATGAAATCGGCCAGGTCAGCCGGAGCGTCAATGATGGCTTTCCATAGAAATCGGGTGACGTGTGTCCGCCCTTCAGGCGACTGTGACAAGGATTCGGAGTACCGGATTACTTCTCGTAGTGCATCTTTGTCCGAGTCTGCGACAGCCTTCCGGATACTGCTCTCCAAGTCAGTAAATAGACCTTGTTGACCAAAGCTCTCTGAGAGATGGTGCCCGAAGAGCGCCTCCTCGCTCGCCGGAGCTTCGTATATTACACCGACAGACAAGTCGGTGAGATCGAGAAGACAGGCCGCGACCGTGTCCGCAAGTTCGGATATCAGCTGGCAGCGGAGAGGTCAGCTGAGAGGCACATTCATTGCATGAGAGATTACCTGTCTATTGAACACTGGCTGGACGTCTACCTGTCTAGCCAGGTACAGCTCTTTGGTGCTCGATTTGGACCGTTTGTCCCATTTCTTCAGAATCTTACGGAAACCGGTAGCGTTGATCTCGACAAATTGCTGACATGGAATCAGCTTTCAAGTAATGATTGAGAGTTGGGATACGTTACCTGAAGCTTTCCGAGGTCGCGCTCGAGTAAATTGAAGCCTTCTTCGACGGCGCTCCACTCTACATGGTTTCGTGTGGGATAGTCGTCTAGCGAGTCTGGCAAGACACGAGAAGCTGCAGCCCTACGCTTTGAAAGCAGGGTTTCCAGGCGTGATTTGAGTTCGGCCTCCTTCTCCAGGTAGAAAGCATTGATCTGGAGACGACGGGACGGTCAGAGCTGCTCCCACGGCTAAGATGTGGCGAATTGCTTGCTTTCTCTAGCTCTCGCTCTAGTTTGAAGAAGAACGCCGCCTTGTACGCCTGAAATTCTCTGCCCCTTTCGTCTTCTTGGCCCGTTCCAGACGACAAGAACGGTAGCCCCAGTATTTCTGCACCTAGTGGTTGTGCTTACAGAGTAATGAGAACGTTTGTCGGATGAACCCCCTCTGATGAGATGCTCACCGACTGCGATAGCCGTGGCCTCTGAAACTGGCTTGTTTGCCCCGAGGGCGGATATGATCTTCTTGAGCGACTTGTAGTCGAGATAGAATTGGGACCATCCCGGGACTTGATCAGCCTGAATTTTCTTGCCAAACTACACGTACAAACGCGACGAATGAGTGAGATGGTGTACAGGAGGCACAATGGTGTTTGAGATGGATTGACCTTCATGTTGGCGGTCGTTCAAGCTGTCCAGACTGGGTGCCCGCTGTTAGGGATTGGACGGCGAGAGACTGGGGAGTGTCGAGGGGCTGCAGAGAGGAGAGCGAGACGGAGGAGCATCGGTCTTCATGGACTGAGCAGGAGAGGCATGTTAAGACTCCCCGAGCCAAACGAGTCCAAGCTGAGTAGTTTTCCACGTGGAAACGCGATTATCTTTCCGGGAAACGGAGATCCTCGAATCTGATCTGACGAACGTGCATTCCGATCGTCCACTCATAACGCTGCCCTCGGGCTCGGAGCCTTCAAACTCGCACCCAAATATTCAGACAAGGATCTTTCGCAATTGCCACACTCGAGCAGGCAGCAGAGTTACAGGGCACCGGCCATGCGCTTGTACTTGCTCGTACGCGCATTTGTAGCAGAAAACATATCCAGACGGAAACGCCGTCGCGTTCGCCAGGGCCTGCCGGCACAGCCCACACTCTCCGTACTTGACTCCTTCAATGCGCAGGCCGCGAGGGTGCGGAGGAAGCAGGCGTGGCGGAGGCACCGCAGGACCCAGCGGGGACACCGACAGAGCCCGTGCCGGCGAACTGGGCGAGTACCACCATTCCAGGAACCTGATGAAGAAGATGGCTGTCGGAAGTAGCACCTTGAGGCTGTCCAACAACAGTCGTGGCGAGGACAGAAACAGACGTCGAAGCTTGGCCAAGAGTCCCTGTGGGAGGCTTCCTGCCAGAGGTTTCGGAGACGCATTCCTCGCCGCAAGCTGTCAGCAGGTCAGATGCGGCGCATGTACGGTGGCAGTAAACAAACGCACCATATCCTCAGGGCCTAAACGGCGGATGTCAGCGCCGATCCACTGGAGCCACGGCCGGTAGTACGGAGTCTTGTCGAAGAGGTACGCCACATTGCACACAAGCAGCCACACCTCAAACGCCGTGTTGGCCCATGGGTAGAAGGTCTTGAATACTCTCCTTAATTTTGCAGCAAACGTCTGAATAGATTTTTAAACGCGTGCAACTGGCACGTGAGCATAGGCGCACCTCTTCCGACAACAGCCTAGTCTGCCGTGTGTTTGCATTCTCATCCAAGATATCACGATCGATGCCCCCACCCAAGGCTTCGAAATAGTCCGCAGCTTTAGCACGGATGTACGGCAGACCAATCTATACTTTCTCGTAAGATGGTAGCTTACGGTGGTTCTTGGACTGCACATACCAGGAAGAGCATCGACCTCCACACTTCCTTGTCGCGCAGCCTCTCTTCGTTCAACACGCCACCTACAGCCGCTCTCGCACGCTCCGTCTCAAACAGGGGTCGCCGCCTTCTCTTCAACCCATAAAAGTTCTCAGCAAAGGAAGCACCTGTATATCGTAAGCATGTCAGAAGTAAAGTAGATCCGAGCCTCCATACCATGCTTGCGGAGGTAGTGACGTTCGACAAATAACATGAGCGTTGCGTAGAACTCTTCATGCCTGTTCACTAGTCGCAAGAGGTACCGTGGGTACCTCTGTGCAAACACCTATACGCATCATGGTAAGCTTTCGAGTACGAACGCCAGAGCTTCGGTCATACGTACCGAGAGAATGTACTTCAACGCCGGCTGGAGAAGGTCGCGCAGCTGTTCCTGAGCAACCAGCTCAAAGAGCGATGGTTTCAACTGGTCGCCTCCCACATCGCTGAAGAATTCCATGAACTTGGGTAGTTGAAGGTGGAAGGGTATTCATGGTTGGGCGTGCACCCCGAGATATCTTGCCTCGCGAGAGGTCGGCGACTATCACACACCCGGCAATCACACAGGCGCTCTCCTAATAAGCGCTCTAGTGTACCACTCAGGAAACGGATCGCCCTCGCACTAACTCCACTATAGCTATAACTGAACACTGCTATTGGAATAATTTGTGCGCAGAAGGTTGACAGCCATGTAATGCATACGTGAGCCCATCTTTTGTATTTTAATGTGCGCTACATACTGGACCATGAATATTTTCAATGGAGAGGTCCCAGAGACCGGTCAGGGATTAAGCTCCAGAGCACCGAGCCGCCAAGGCCGTGTGGGAGATGGCGTGGCCATGGACGCGGCGGCGGTCACTTTCTATGGCCTACAGGACACATGGACGACTCTGCTCAGTCATAAAGAGATACGCAGGCCATGAAACACATTGATTATGGCCACAATTTCATTTCATTCTCTGCAAAGTCGACGGCGAAGGACGTGCATGTTGAGTACAGATGGCGCGAGTACGGCGAGACGTACAATCAACCCGAGCCAAGCCGCTTGGCGAGATAGTCCTCCAAGCTTGCCTGCTTCCACCGCTTCTCCGTTATGCGTAACATCTCCGGAAACCATTCTCGTAGTTCGTCTTCCCGGTTCAAGACCATGCTGGCGAGGGCCTTGCCGCTCAACCAGGCGTGGACCATACCCTCGCCGGTGTATCCCGCCGATATCCATTCACCGGGCGCTGCCGTCATTTCACCGCACGAGCGGGCCTCTTTCGCCAACATGCGTGGGGTAGATGACGCAGGCGGCTCGGGCCTACCGGAGACTTTCTGCGGTAGGCGTCCGACCCAAGGCAGCCCATCGGCCGAGATGCCCAAGATGCCGCCCCACTCCGCCTTCGTGCGCCCCTCGCCCCACTGTACGCCGCCGTCGTCCTTTGACTGTTCGGGCTCCTTCTCGCGGCCCCACGTGCGCTCGCCAAAGTAGAGAGGGAGCGCGCCGGCGAGGTGGCTCGCGACGGCGACGCTGAACGCGCTGTCGTCGTTCGCGCCGAGGTCCGCGAGAGCGCTGTCGAATGCGGACGCCCAGCCGCCGCCGAACATGAGCTCATGCTCGCCCACAGGGAGCTGCGTGAGGTAGTCGTAGCCGAGTCCGCCCGGGTGGAACACATATGAGCGCTGCCCGTTCAGCGTCGCGCGCCCGAGGGCCGTCCCCGGTCGCTGCGCGCTCATCGTCCCCCGGATGGGCACGATCTTCTCGCGCATCGGTGCGACGAGATGCGAGACCCAGCCGTTTGTCGCGTGCACAACGTGCGCAGTCAGTACGTTGCCGCGCGGCGTGCAGACAGTGTAGTACGGGATGGAAGCGGTGAGGGCTTTGATGTTTGTGCAGGGCGTGTGGGCCGCGATAAAGAACCTGCTCTGGTATCAGGCTGAGGGGGGTAGTCTGTAGTGAGTCGACTAACCTCTCGGAGTGCCGATCTAGGAGCTTGACCAGGAGGTGTGTGACGAAGCGATAAGGGTGTATGGCACCGCCTGGACCCAAAATGCATCCTGCTGCTCTTTTCGAAAGGCTGAACTTCTGCTCAGACATGAGAGAGTGTTCAAAGTGCCTGAGAGAAGGAAACGCACTTCCTGTGCCTCTGTGCCAGCATATGCGACATACTCTTGCGCCACCTCAGGCCCGTCCTCTTTCCACTCTTCCAAAGCTTCACGCTCCTCCGTGAAGTCGTCCTGCGTGAAGAACACTTCCAAGTGCTCTGTCACCCGGACCTGCGATTCTTTCAAGATATCCTCCCGAGAGGCGATAGCTTGCAGCTCTCGGACGTGGGCCAGTCGGAAGCTATTAAGTTTTCGCGCATCCTTCTCTCCGTACCGCGCTTTGAGGTTCTTCCAGTCATTCCACAGCGGAGGATTGATGTGGCCACCATTCCTAACCTATCTGTCTAGACCGCTGAAGTGAAAACGCGAATTGTGCACGCACCTTCCAGTTGCACCAGAACAAACTTCGCGCGCCTCGAGCATCAGCACCCGTATTGAATCGTCTCCCGAGAGCGCATTGTACACGAACGAGGCACCGGTGATACCGGACCCAATGACCACAATATCGACATAGTCGGGTAACGGCTGTTGAATGGACGATATCGGGGACTTTGGTATCGTCCAGAAGGGCAAACTGGGGTTCACTGCAGGCAATCCAGGCGATTCCTTGATGCGTTTGGATATCTTGTCAAGGATCTGGTTGACCATGTAGACTGCCCCTATGATCAACTTTGCTCTGGACAAGACGCTCCCCATGGCTCTCTGGTTTCGGCGGAAGACAAGTGCGTCGCAACCGATAACTGATTTGTTAAGTGGTGCGGGCGTGTGAGAAGGCAACTATCTTACGAACTTGTCGTGCGTGCATTATCGGCAGGTGATTACGGTGAACCCACGGCACACCATTCTGGGTCTGGCCGCAATATGACTACGTCAGGCTTGTCAGTTTAAGAAGTAAAAGGCCGGTGTTGGCTGGTAACATTTGGGGATGGGCTGCAGGATGATGATGGCAAGTGCTAGAACGGGAGACAGCGTCGAGAAAACGGGCGGCAGATATATGAACGATCGAACACCGCTTTGCATGTCTCGCCTCAATGGTCTCACCTCAATAGAGCCCGCCCTGTGGCTTGACGTCTGTAAGCGTGCAATATGTTCCGGTGGGCGCAGAGTGGTCCACTATATGCGATCTTCGTCAAGAACCATTCCTTTGATGGCCTGAGTCCGCTCGAGACAAATTTTGTATAAGTACATGAGTCGAGCTACGCAATATATCTATGGTATGCGTATAGTAGGATGTGTCCTGAAAATGCGAGCACGGCCGGAAGGAAAAGCCGTGCCAGCTCGATGCACTGGAATTCGTCCAACATCGGAATGATGCTGGACGGCAGCGTAGATGAGAAATGCCGATGTTCCATGACCGTAATTGGCACGGCATGTAGAAATGGCACCCGTGCGGTACCTTGACTTGGTACATGGGTGTCCTGCGGCGCCGGCGTTTCAATGTACTCTGAGATGTAAGCCCAATAGGGTTTGTTCAGACACAGGATTTGGAGTTGAACTCGCTGGCTTTATAATAGCCAGGTAGATGTGCGTACGCAAAAAAAACTCGCTAGTTATTGAGGCCAAGGGTGATCAATTGATTTCCCACGCCGTACTGTAATTCCGCTTGCGCAAGGCCCGCGCGGAGCAACTAGAACTCAACCGACGGCCAGGCAGCCAGAAATGTGCAACAAACTTGTATTATAGACAGGCGAATATACAGGAATGGCGACCACACAACAAAAGACGGAAGGCTACCAAGAAAATGAGACACCGTTCGACGAGAACAGTTCTTCAGTCCATTGCCAGAGGATCTCCTGCTCGTCATCTCGTCCTACAGCGCGTCGAAGACGACAAGAGCACTTCTTAAGCGTGGTGATCTCAGTCTCCTGCCATTCCCCAGGGCTCGAAATATCTATAGATTTTGAGCAATTAAGCGCAGACTCGAAATGAGTACGTACCTTCCTCGACCGTACCAGTCCATTCGAAGTATCGCTGTACCAGATACGCGACATTCTCGCGTCTGACATCGTTATGCGTCGAGCCCCCTTCGTCTACAAGGGATACTGGCTTCACCAGAGGCAGACGAAGATCTTCTAAGCCAGAGTCGAAGAGTGCTAGCGTGATAGGTTTACTACTTTGCTCCGGGTTAGTTCTGCTATATCAGATCGTTCGAAGAATGACTCACGTCTGTGCGGCCAAAGTAGACACAGTGGACAGTGCATGATGAATCAGAGTGAGGTAGGAAGATACAGTGGCTTCGGGGTCTTCGACGAAGTATGACGATGGTTCATGCAAGACTACCAGAGAAGGCGCCGTCGCAAAAGTTGTCTTCGAGTGCAGAAAGTCCACCTTCCCCTCTAAAGTCTCGTGAAATAGAGACAGCAAGAGTGTGAGGTGAGTCGGCGTCGGGGGATACCTAGAGTGATCTTCAGCTACGCCCGCATACCGACTGGCACCCAGCGCACTGACAAAACGTCGACTTTAGACGTGGCTTTGCATGTGAGACCGTCGCTACCGTGTTTACGAATCCATTCGTCGTTAAAGCTCTTCAAAGAATGCACAAATCGCGCCCGAGACGGAGTGAGTAGAACGGCCTTCGGAGCGTCGTAGTGGAGTACATAGGAATAGCACAAGTGGATCGGCGCAGAGGCGTGAAAAGAACCTTTCAGTAACAGGGTCTCTAAGTCTGGCAGAGTTGGGGCCGGCGCGGGAAAGATTGTGGCCATTTCGTGAGGTTCACCCAGCCTGCATGATGGTCAAGGAGGAGGTTCGTGCATGTGCCAGACGCCCACACTTTGATCAGAACGACCACCGTCTCGTCCTTCCGCTTGCTTTAGGCTGCCGACGGCCTCTATGTACCCTCCGCGTTCTGTTAGTTCTCGAATCTGAACTCCTGCGTAAACTATGCACCCGTTTGCTACCTACGTAATCCGGAGCTACTACAAAGCTATTGGCTGGAGTGAAGACGACTTCTATGCTCACATAACGCGTTCATCCAATGGTATGTAGTCATTGGTCCTCGAGTACTGGCTATGTGAGATGCTGACAATTGCTACCTGCAGCTATACTGGACTTTGATGTCCCGTCCGGACTAAAGTTCGCGATCTCCAAGTCGCCCAATCCATCGTTCAAAACCTCATATTCCATGAGTGCTTTGCCATCATTGCACGGTTCAATAGGGTACATCTTCACGTCATGCAACTTGGATATCAGGGGCTCGGGCAATGTGCGAGTGAAGGATATGGTGGATCGCTTCAGGGTGTATGACCAGCCACGGAGGCCCGAGGGCAAGCCGGAAGAGTGGCTAGCGGGCGAACGTGTGGACACGCGTGGTAAGCACCATATGCGTTCGTGAGGTATGTGCCAAGTTGAACATCATTGAGCTAGATTACCTGTTGTACGGAAGGATTTATGTCCCGACGGGCCGTCTGGAAGCCATCTATTCAACACAAGTTACCCCTACGCTCCAGGCTCTTGTCGCAGCTATCTCGGATCCACGGCATAGTCTGTATAGTGGTGAACGGCACCGCAGCGGGGCTTCTCCGAGCAACGTTCTGGTCAAGCTCCAGCACTCGACCGGTCGTTGGTGTACAGAGTATTCGTGGAGTGCGGAGGACCAGATGTGGGGTGTGCAGTGTATGCATAATTTCGGCAAGCTAGGGACTTCGACTTCGCATGACACTCCAGATGATGCCTCGAAAGAGAAGCCGAAGAGAGTAGACGAGGAGGACGCTATGGAAGGTGGGCTTAAAGGCCGTATCTCAGCAGGGGCTGAGTTCTACTTGAGCACCAAGGAGAAAAGTGCTGGAGGTATGTCTTGGTGGACAGTATCTGTCCAGCGACTTATGCACCTTTCTAGTGTCTGCCGGAATTCGATTTACGACTTTACCGGACGCAACTCCGCCGTCTGCACAGGTTCCGCAGCCTCCGAATGGCGCGACAGCTCCGCCGGGTCCTCCTTCCCAGCCACCTACCACTATAACTGCTGTGTTTAACCCAATGCTTGGACACGTATCTGGGGCCTATGCTGCTCGTGTATCGCGAGACCTTTCACTTTGTTCTCGCTTTGACTTCAATGTCTATAGTTACGAGAGCGAATGGTCTCTAGGTGCCGAGTGGTGGACGCGTCGGCATAAGCCAAAGAGCGAGTCGCCTGTAGTGCCGGACCTTTCGTCTCCAACTTTGCCCCTCGTCGTGACACCTGTGCAGCCGCCACCTCCTCCCCAAAATGACGATATTCAAGGAGTGGTCAAAGCTCGCGCGTCAACAACCACTGTATGTATCTTCGTTAGTTTTTAGGAAGACATGCTAACCTTGCATGGTTTACAGGACGTCTCGCTGATGTGGGAAGGACGGATTCGTAATTTACTGGTTAGCTTAGGAATAACCTCAAACTTGTCCAGCCGCGCGAAACCGATAAAAGCAGTTGGGCTCGAGATATCGTATTTCGGTTCAGAATAAACAGTGTATATATTGCCCACAGAGCTCGGCTTGGTTCAAAGAGGCGAGATTCAAGCTTGTTATTTTTGCTACAGCGATCCGAGCGAATAACCCATCATTACATGTGTACCGATTTACATATTACCACGCTATACACTCGCCCGCAAAAATGGCCGTGACGGATATTACAGTGGAGGGGGCCGGATGGGTATCAATATATCAAGCACAGTAGGTAACCAACACGAGTCCGAGTTCAAAGCAGGAAACAGAGAGGAGATTTGGCGAATAAGATACAAGCGATAGATGTCGCGTGCGTAGAGATCGCACCCTTCAGTCGGACTTGACAGCCGCAGCGGCTTCCTTCTCCCTGCGGGGCAGCGGTGAACCTCCAAGCGTCCTAGCAAGCCTGGAGATCGCATCGACGGAGATGACGGGACGCGTCGTGTGTGCGCGCGTGTGAGCGTGGACGGTCCCGGGCCCGGCGGGCGGGGTGGAATGGTTGCGTCCGTGTGTGAATACATCCCCTCGGCGCGGGCGATCGCTGTCCGAGTGGTGCTCTAAATTGAATCGCCCGACGGTGTGCGCACGATTGTGCGACGGGTTGAACCCACCTCGGGGAGGACGGGGCCCAAGGTACTGAGGCGCAGATGCCGAAGGTGTTATAGCGTGGATCGATGCATTCAAGCTGCGATCGGAAGGCGATGGAGAAGAGTCCTTCGACGGGAAGTCTGAGAGACTTGAGCGGGGTAGTGCGTGTCTTGGCGAAGAGACGCCTTCGTTGCGCACAGATCCAATATACCCCTTCTGTGGAGATGGCGTCCTCGAGGGCTTCGAAGATCCACTAACTGATCGCGACGCTGTAGAGGCTGGAGCTACGCTGCTACCAACATTGGTGTCCTTCGCATCAGTATCCGAACGTGATGTGCTTGTCGGAATATTAGGATTGACGGCACTAGGAGGGACCGTTTCTCGGGGTGTCTCGTCCCCTGCACGTCCATCTTTCGCATCCTCATGAACCTCGTGCAGCTTAATGGAGGGCGTAGGTATGTCGACGTCGTTTAAAGTGGGTAAAGGCTTGAGTGTGTCCTGGAGAATTGGGGAAATGACACTAGCAGCGCTCTCTTCAGAGACGCTCGTTGTATCTGCAGAGACGGCAGTCGGGTGGACACCCCAATCATCCAAGTCGGGAAGGCTATCATCATCGTCGCCAGCCCAGTCGATGTGGCTCCCAGGAGTATGAGGTCGATCCATCGCCACCGCACGGACACGTTCCACAAGAGCATCAATATCATGCTTGATATCGAACGGTGTTGCTACATGTTTGGGTGGTAGGGGAGCGAGGTGAGGGGGGAGGTCCTTGGGTGGCGGCACAGCCTTCTCTTTGAGGATACCGTTTTCGGGGGACAATGAAGGCTTCCTTTGTACAGAAGGAGGTATGACAGTGGATGGCTGAGAAGCCTTGCTATTGCCACGTTTCCGACGTGACGGCGTGCGGGGTGACACGGAGGGCGAGGAAGAGGGGTTGGATGCGGACGTTACGGAGGCATCCACATTCAGACTCGGTCCCCTGCGCTGTCCTTTCGGCTCCGACCCTCGGCGGGCAGGCTTGGATGCACTAGATCCTTTGGACGGAGGAGCACCTTGGGTTTGATCTGCAGGAGCAGTAGATGATGGTTGGACAGGGGATTTGGGAAGATCGGAGGAAGGCTTCTCCTGCGCTTGGTTCGCGTTTGCACCAGATTTACTGGATGCGACCTCAGGTTTGGACGGTGTCGTGCCTTTGCCGTTGGCGGGCCTTCCTCCCCTTCCACGACCACCTCTACCTCTCGGGCCTCCTCTGCCTGTGCCGCGAGATGCGGCACCGGGCTCTGAGCTCTTGGCAGCCCGGCTAGGGCGGTTAGGGCCGGGTTCTTTCGCCCACATGGACGCGTTCGTACCCCCATTCACCACGATAGGAGAGGCAGTAGAAGCCATGGATATGTAGGATAGAGACGGTATATACTGAACGACGTCTCCAATTATACCTAACTCATGTCTGTCAGAAGGCCGCGTATGGTAATAATATGAGTGAAAGCGACGTACGAGAGCACGATCCTGGTTTATTGGAGACTATGAGAGTGCGTTATAATTTGTAGAGTACAGCACTGCTTTCTAGACGCGGATGGAGGGGATATCGTTGGCAAGGCGGAGATGGCAAGACCAGAGTGCTCGAGGGGTCGTGTTCAGAATGAGCAGCACGTCCAGATCTGGAAGTCCCGGGCGGAAGCCACGTGGGAGCCTAAGCAGGCGCTTATGCACGACCCCGAAGCCAAACTACGCGAGTCGTCCTCTGTCACCCCCCACTTCGCGTTACCTGCATCGCCTCCGGGTTGCCAGTGGCTTGTCAAAAAAATGTCGAAAGCATCGCAGCCGGAACTCAAGAAGGTGCGTGTCTAACTCTGTTGCGTTACTCCTCGAGCTCACTTGCCGCACTTGGGCAGTTCATGGACAAGAAGCTGTTTGTGCACCTGCAGGGAGGCCGCAAGGTCAGCGGAGTGCTCCGCGGTTATGATCTCTTTCTGAACCTCGTCCTCGATGACGCGCTGGAGGAGACGACTCCAGCCCAAAAGCACCCAATCGGCACCGTTGTACGTTTTGCCTGCTAATCTGATGGTGTTGTGCAGCTCACGCTCTGGCTTGCTACCCAGGTCATTCGTGGCAACAGCGTAACATCTATGGAAACTTTGGAAGCTACTCGGTGATCGTGTGCCCCCGCAACGACTGTTTGTGTTCTAGTCTGTACTCGTACTGCGTCCCGCTGTTCGCTATCAACTACGCTTTTTTTTCCTACGCCGTGATGCTGAACTGACAATCTTGTCGCCACCGCTTACCGAGGCATCAAAATCTGTTTACAACCAGAAGGAAGGTGTGGCCTCAGTGGCGGAGCGTTGTATGCATGCACATGCAAATATCATGGATCGTCTCTGAGGCGCGAAGACATGTACGTCGTAAACTATGGCAAACAGTGGTAGTGAGGTGCACTGTCCACCTCAAACAAGGACAGGTGTCTACCACAACAGAGAGGCCTCACCTCAGGTGTGCCGTCGAGATGGCAGCCTCAAGCAGGCATAGCATACGTCGTGGACTCTGATTGAAGAGAAATGTTCCAGCAGGCGCCCTTTATACCCCCTCGTGGCGGCCACGTGGAGTCCCTGCGCACATCATCCGCTCATGCTTCGAACGACCCTCACGATCGTGCAGCTCCGAAGTCCCTCTTTGCTCCCTACTCTCAGTACTACATCCTCAGCTGCTACAGATTCTACATTTATTGAACCATTTCAGCCAAAAAATAATGACCGCCAACAGCCGCACTTCAGAGTTCCGCGACTTCGTAAAAGAGAAGGAGAAGGAGATACCAGAAGTGAAGCGGCGCAAGCTCTCTCGTCCCATAAAGCGAGCATCAGATGAGGAGAAGGACATTCAAGCAACCTTGAACAGGGAGTATATCACGGAGGGCTATAACATCGTGCGTATGTCCCGTATTGCGTCATTCGCTCGCTTTCCCAAGACTAAGACGTCAGGTAGCTCAATCACATCAATACGCTCTCGCGTATGCTAGCCTCTGTTAGGAAGCCGTACCTTAATGTGGATTCCAGAAACCCTCCATTACTTCGCCAGGGGTCCCGTAACATCGACCTAAGCGGTCCTGACCAACAGTCGTGGGCGAATATCAAACATCTCACGAATGAAGAAAGAGACCAGATTGACTTGCAAGCACGGGTCATCTTCTCTCGCTGCTCAGACCGAATAAAAGAGATGGAAGCACTGGAGAGACGTACGTCATTCATCCGACGTTGCTAAACAGGCCAACCTATCCTCGTATTCGCAGGACGTGCAGAACTGGTCGCAAGCAGGGTAAACCCGCTTACGCGATTCTTGCCTGCTCGTCTACGACAAGACGAGACGACCGCCACCTCTGATTTCGTTGCCGCGCACCACGCGAGCGTAAACTGGTTTCTCAGCCGCCGTCTCACCGAAGCCAGCCAGCTGTTGAAGGAGATGCAGGAGGAGAGGATGAAGCGGCAGCTCGAGCGCACGAAGACCCTCGGTTCAGGCGCGGCTCGCGAGGCAATGTTCATGACCGACCCGATCCCCTCGTCGTCTTCGTCGTCGGAAGCGAGCGCACCGACTGGGAGCTGGCTCGGCGGCGCGTCCTCGCTCGCCTCGAGCTTCGCCGCCACCATCGGCACCCCTTCGCTCGGCGAGGTGTCCAGTCTCCGCTCCACACCGAGGACAGGCTCCTTCAACCTCAGCGACGAGAACCCCGACGACATGGAGGAGGACGAAGAGCTGGAGCTCTCGCAGTCTCAGATCATGCAGTTCGAGATGGAGAACGCCAACATACTGCGCGACATGCAGGACACGCTCGCGTCGGTGCAGCAGGCGGAGTCACGGCTGCTGGAGATCAGCGCGCTGCAAGCAGAGCTCGTTACGCATCTGACCAAGCAAACTGAGCAAACCGAGCAGCTGTACGAGGACGCGATTGCCACGGCGGAGACCGTAGAGAAAGGCAATGCACAGCTGAAAGAGGCGCGACGGAGAGCGAGAGATGGCAGGAAGTGGATTCTACTGTTCTTGATAGGGGCAAGCTTGTCGCTCTTGTTTTTGCACTACTACTGAGCACTCTTCATCTGCTCTTTCACATTTGCTTTTGCACATCTCTTCAACATACCATTCTGGGGGTCGTGATAACATGGCGGTACTCATTCTATTATACCATACAGCTATTTCGTCCAGAGCTATGACACAATTAGATGAATAGACAGTCTTCCGCGTAATGGAAACTTGGGACGCTCAAGCGGCAGAAGAGTAAGCGCGGCCGGGTCGTACAGTAGTGTTTGACTCCTCGTCCGTAGGAGAGGAAGGCGAAGCGCGGTTGCCGAGGAGGGGTGCGCCTTCACTCGCCTCTTCGAGAGCCTCAGCTGCAAGTTCGTCAACTTCGGGGGGTATGCCTTCCAAGTGCCTTATATGCGCTTTCATCGACCGGAAAATGATTCTAGAAGACATATCTTCAGTAATGCAGTATCTGAGATATAGACAAGTCGCATACAATCCGGCGATAATGGCAACAGAGAAGCTAACGCCAACTAAGACTCCGTTTAGAACTTTCGTCACTAGTGTCCAGAGTGAGCCATCAATAGTGAACCTGTACGATACGGAACTTACGAGTGTCCATCTGTTTCCGCGTCGTTCCGTCCGAGAGCACGGCCAGTCTAGTGCCAATGAAGACGTACAGAGATATCTTGGGGAGCAAAACAACCGAGGCAACGACGAATTGCCAAAGTGCCACCGTTTCGATTGACTGAACATAGATGAATGCTCCCACTAATCCCGATAAATGTATGGTATATAGAGTACTCACAGCAAAAAGGGCATTCGCATACACCCAAGGCGGAAACGGAGACGCTCGGATGAGCATGATGAGCGGTAGGCCACGAGCCCGCTACAAATGGACAGCTCTGTTACGCCGGGGGACGCCCGCGAGAAAACTGGCACTTACGATAACAGCTTCGAGAGCCTGCCACTTCTCGTTCTGTGAAGACCATTTACGAAGACTCTTGTTGAAGAGCAGTCTGAGAACCACAAACGCCATGGCTGCGCCGAAGATTGAGCCTCCGGCTGCCAGGAAGAAACCCCCCTTCATCCCATAACAGAACCCGCATAACATCAAAGTGGTGGTATGGCCAATGAACGGTGGGACCGAGATGATGACTGGATGCGTAGGTAAACATGAGTTTAAACCTAAGATGTATACACACACCTAGTATAGCCGCAAGAATCATCCAGCCAAAGCGTAAATGGTTGATCTTCTGGCCAAAATTGTACAATGCTTGAGCGAGGCGTTCAGCCCCTCCAAGAATCAGGAAGGTTCCAAGGGCAGCATAGAATATTCCGAGGGACCAAACTAACATCTGAAAGCATGTTAAACCTCCGTTGCGGCTAGAGATCTTGCGCTGACCTTGCCACCGATGGGCAGTTTCTTATAGCGTACCCATGACGCCCTCACGTAGTGTTTGAACGTGGTCCACAGCCATGTCAATCTGCCGGCTTCTGGCTCCATATTGAGATTGGAAACCTGCAGGCTCGCGCCTTTGTCTGCTAAGGTGCTGAGCAGGAGATAGTCGAAGAGCAAGGCCGGAGTTGGGGAGGTCCTGTATGGTCTCACGCACGCCAGTGGGGTTGCCGAGTTTCACAGTTTGATCCGCTTACGGGTGATCCGGGGATCGAGATAGCTACTCAAACGCCCGCCACAAAGCGATCACGGTATCCTACGGAGATGAAAATGTACGAGATACAGCAAAATAGACCTTCGATCTCGTTCGCTGCCAGGTAGGTAATAAATCAGAAGGCAAGGAAAAAGCGAACAAAATCCATGTGGGCATATAGTGCATAGGTCGACAAGCACGGCATTACTACTCACAGCTCTTTCCAGAAGGCTGCTGTGGAAGAGGTGGGGGGTCCTCTGGCTCGGGAGTATGCACAGCTTTGCGAGAATGGTAACTTGGCAGCCGTTCGTTATCCGACCCGTTGTTGACCATTTGTTCCACGAGGAGTTCATCAATCTCCGCACGGAGAAGGGCAAGGTCACGGAGAATTGTCGAAGGCTCTGTGTCTCTAGTTCCCCGTCCTGAGTCATGGACTGCACTCGAAGGCGACCCACTGCGATGGCGGAGACGCTGAACGTCTGCCCGAAGCTGATCGACTCCAGCTTGTATCGCCGGTGAGGCTATACGCCTATTTGAACCCCTCTTCTTCTTCTGGCTGCCTTCACTGCACTGCAGCCGCTGCACCTCGGCCGACAGTGCCTCTAGCTGGTTGTACACGTCGTCCACCTCGGAAGGGAGAGGAAAGATCTCGTCTGTCAGCGTGTGCGTCGAACCAGCGCTTTCTACCGTTGTCTGGAAGGATAGACGGGCCAAGAATGAGTGCGATGATGTCGCGAAACGCGGCGACTTCATGAATTCGGCTTGCGTATTTGGCGAGGAATCTGGAGTGTTGAAGGGATCGACCCTGAAGACCTGGTTTCGCCTCGCACGACGATAACAAAGAAACACAATCAATAATAAGCAAAGGAACAATGTTCCACCAATGGTCGATCCAAGGATGATATCCAAAGTCCGGAACGACGCTGGTGCAGACCTTGCCACCGGAGAAGTCGCAGTTATGATCACAGTCCCTGACATGGAGGTAAACGGTATCGTCGATATCGTAGGATTTGATGTAGATGATACGGACATTGAAGACGAGGGCATCGAGGACGAGAGCATTGAGGACGAAGCGATGTTGAGCGACGCGGATACAGCAGGCTTAGCTGAGATCGGAGGTGGAGGTGACGAAGTTTCAGTGGTAGCTGGGGTGACGTTCTCGTCGGATGATGACGTTTCCAACATGGTGATTGGCAGAGGCGTCGGAAACGTAGGATCAAAAGTAGTCCCCGTCGGAGTAAGCGACTTCGCGTTCGAGGAGAAGTCCTCTTGACTGTGAACATAGATGTCAGTCCACACAAGACGTTCGAGTCGCGAAGAGGTTACCACACCCATATACGACATAATCAAGACATATCCATGAGACGTCCCCCGGGCTCGACGATAGTACTAGTGTGTGTTCCCCGAAAGGTAGGGAAGCGTTCGAGAACAGGCTGACACTGTAAAGAAAGGTAGAGGTAAAGTCGGGGACACTGTAATAATTCCCAGCAGCCGAGCCATTAATTGAGATATTGACCGCAGTCAGAATCTGCGCAAGAAATAAGTCAATAATCCAAGACTACGAGTGAGGAGCTATTAACCTCGCGTTGCAAGATAGCAAAGATATTCACAGCAGTGCCGTTGAACTTGAATGTAATAGTAGCGTCTGCATCATCGACATGGCCCGGATGTTCAGCAGGAGTGTTCGGACCGAAATGCCAAGTGCCTTCACGTTGCATGAGCTTAGTGAACAAAAGCGATGCAATGAAACTTACCATTGTAAGCCAGAGATGAATTGGGCATGGTTCCGCTAGGCCCGGTTCCATTGCTCCACCATACGCCGGGCGGCCTGGAAGGGCGCAGCTGTGAATGCTGGCTCGACATGGAATGCATGCGCTTACGAGTAAAGAATCAGATCTTCTTGGCTGTGAATGGAACCATAAGAAGGTAATGATTGAGGGGTTGCTTGAATGCGTACCTATCATCAACAGTAAAATTCACCAGTGCAGCAGAGACAAGACGAGAGAAGAGAAACCACGAAAGGACCGGGAAGCGTAAAGTGAAGGGGATCATACTAAAACATACAGATGACGAAAGGGCGAGGTGAGGTGAAGGTGGCAGTTGAAGAGAAGGGGGTCCCGCTAGGTCGAGAGAACCTGAGGCAACGTAGGAAGCGCTTGATCTTTGGTGGCATCTTCCCGCAAGTACCTTCGCATCCTGACCATCAGCAGCAAGAACTTATTGACGTGGATGCGCTGGTCAAAACAGCCATCCCTAACGTTGCCCTACCCATGTATTGAAAGTCCGTAGAAGAGGCGTGACCTTCGCGATTCGAACAGCAGCAGCCATTCGGACTACGGATCTGTCACGGGAGCAAGTAAATTACGAGCTGAAGTGCCTACGCATCGCTGATTAGCATCATAGGACTTCCAAGGCGAGCAACTTACCTATGATACAAGAATATCTGCGATTTCAGATATCATCAGACACCTCGCGCCTTTTTGAAGTCTTCTATCCACGTCTTCTCCACCTCGCCTTTCGCCAAGACGACAAAGGAGAGACAGCCGCCCTTAAGCTCTAAACCATCTCTAGACTCTCCCTCTTCGCCTACTGCCGCGCGCAGGACGTCACGTAGGCTCATCTTCTTCCCAACCTTCAACAAACGTCGCCTATGTGTTGCCGCATAAATGACGATGTGGTCAGCAGAATACTCTATTTTCAGATCCCAGGATGGGGGCGGCACAGCCGGGGGGAACATCCGCTCAACGTGTGCTGAGAACGGGGTGTCCTCCACGAACTCGGAGATGATGTCAGTCTGTGCATATTGTGGATAGAGGAACAGCACCGGCAGGACCAGCATCCGGCCTGTGGGATCCTCGTGGTCAAAGTGTGGCTCGTAGTCAATCTCCGACTCCGCGTTCGGGCCGTCCACTACAATGATGTTTCTCTCCTACAGATAGAAGATGAGCAGGCGAAGTGGTACTGGACTTAAGATTAACCTTGAACGCTACAGCGAGACGCCGTTTGTTCTCCCGTTCGTGGCGTAGCTTTTCCTGCTTTTCTCGCTCCTTCTTCTCCTTGGCTTCCTTTAGCTTCGTCGCCTTCTCCAGGACACTCTGGATCGCAGCGTTGTCCCTATCGTACTGAAGGCATCTTTTGCAACAATCGATCGCTTCGTCAAAGCGCTCCAGCACGACAAGAGCCAAAGCAGATCGGTAGTAGGCTTTTGAGGACTTCTGGTTGATAGTGATAGCTTTCGAGCAGTCCCTGAGGACTGAACCATAATTTTCTTCCCGGGCAAGGACGTCTGTCAATGCAGCGTGGGAGGAACATGATGCAGATTGTCCTCACGAAGTTCTAGATTACATGCAGCACGATTGCAAAGCAATACTTCAAGCAGTGTAGGATCTGTGGGCTTCGCATCGACACCCTGGGCGTAGAAGCTTGATGCTTCCCGGTATCGCTTGCCCTTGAAGTACTCGTTCCCTTGCTCCTTGAAATTTTGCGCGATCTCTACAAATATTCTCGTATATATTCACGTATGTAGCGCGTAACACACCATCCGGAGTTCCTTCGTAGGCGAGGCTCTGGAGAGCACTGACTACCGGATTGTCTATAATGTCCTCTGGCAATGATTTCATGAATAGCGGTGCACTATCGAACGCCGCTAATTTTTCTTCCACCGATGTCTCTGCTGGTTGAGGGAAAACCATGGCAGCCGGAACAAAGCAAACAAGGAAGATGGGTGGAAGAAGTGGACTGGATGAAAGAGTACGAGGTCAAGAGAAGAAACAGTTCGGTGGGTTTCCCGGTTTGGCGTTTGCGCGCATCATTTCGTCATGCACGACTGCCCACGGGAACCTTACGGCACTACCATGTGAGACTTACTTTTCTCCTGGGTAGCTGTCTCTTGCTATCTTGACGACGACAAGATGAAGGTACGCGGCCTGAAGGCTGCGCTCAATGGTGACAAGAGATACCCATCCAAGGTGGGCATATCGTACGAGACTGCGAGCTGGCCATGGTTATTCACACGAAGATATTCTACTAGGTCCCCACATCTGTTGTTGACTACCTGGTAGTCGGTGGAGGTGCAAGATAGCGTTATTGCAGTGAAATTGCGTCTCTGATAATGCACCGTGCACCAGGTGTTGTGGGTTTGGCAATTGCCCGCCAACTCACCCAGAGGTTCCCAGGGAAATCGATCTTCCTTGTAGAGCGTAATTCTTCTGCAGGCCAAGAAACCAGGTGTGTGCACCGTAAATGGCCATATTCACTGCTGCTGACATACCCAAGTTCTCGCAACTCAGAAGTGATCCATGCCGGTGCGAGACAGACATTGGAAGAGGTATATCTTGTCAATGCTTATTGTCGACGATTAAAGGTCTCTACTATCCGCCTGATTCCCTGAAGATGCGATTGTGCCTCAGGGGGAGAGAGCTCATGTATGACTATTGCAAGAGGAACAACGTTCCCCACCGCAAGACAGGGAAGCTCGTAGTGGCCCAAGAGCACCAAGTTCCGTACATCGAAACTTTGTACCAGAAGATTCGACAGCTCTCCTGGCCTCCACATTCCGATTCAACACGAATAGAGGATCCGGTAGTTCCCTCGAGACTCGTCGACAAGGACGAAGCACATACACTGGAACCAGACCTGTCTAGCAAAATTGTCGCGGCGCTGCTCAGCACGGAAACTGGCATAGTCGATTCGCATTCTCTCATGGAAAGTTTCGAGAAAGATATCACAGAGGCTGGTGGCGAGCTCGTGTACTCGACCAGAGTTGTCCGAGTAGATCCCCACGCAGGATCGTCCCAGGCAGAAGGCAATGCCTCCGAAGAGGTAGCGGAGGATGGATGGATCGTACAGACAATGACAGGGAACGCAGAAGAGAGCGACGCCTTGCTCGCACGCACCCTCATCAGCGCGTCTGGCCTTGCAGGCCCAATGATCCTGAACGCGATGCTTCCACCCAGGGAACGAATACCGATGTACTACGCAAAGGGCTCGTATGCGTCTTACCACGGGCCGGGTGTCTCTCAAGTCTCTCATCTCATCTATCCAAGCGTCGGGATGGGAAGAACACTTCATGGATTCCAGTCGCTGGGTACACATCTTACCTTGGACTTAAACGGCAATATTAGGTTCGGTCCAGATATCGACTGGCTCAACCCGCCCCCTCTGGAGATTCAGGATGACGTAGAGTTTACGGATTTCAATTTTTGGACGAAGCACTTAGTGGCAGATGAGTCCCGTTTACCGCAGATGCACGAGGCAATTACGGAGTACCTCGAGACGATACAACTAGAAGGGCTACAGCCGGATTACTGTGGCATTAGGCCGAAGTTGGTGGGGCCCGAAGGCGGCTTTCAAGATTTCGTTTTCCGCACGGACTACCCTGGGAGCTTCGTATCCTCAACGAAACGAGCGACCCGGACTGGCAGGGATACCAGCCCTATGATAACCCTCATGGGTATCGAAAGCCCTGGCCTCACATCTTCTCTTGCGATCGCGGAGTTGGTTGTAGATGATATGTTGGATGAGAAAGAAGGCCGTGATTAGGTCTGCCAGTGGAATGTACATCGTATCTAGCAGAGATAATATTCCATTAACGCGTCTTAGTCTCCGCGGGTGGCCACAGTTGGCTGCCACGCCGTGACCTTAGGCTTTGTGGTGTTATAGGGTTTGTAGGCACCACGAGTGCCAGTTAAGTTCTCGACCCAAGGCTAGGGGGTGCAACCTCAGCGACGGTGATGTTTTAGACGGAAGGGCTCGGACGTACGGCTTTCCACGGCGGACTGAGATTCTGCATAACGCGGTCCTCGGTCGGCGGCTCCTTGCGGATATGCTGAAGCCAGGAGTGCCATTCTGGTGGCACCTGTGTAGCATTAAGATCATGCTGGCAAAAGCGTGTTTAGTTCCTGTATTGTAGCGACAGCCCATGTGCTCACGAACCTGCGCGAAGTCAACCCATCGGTGACGACCTATAGTACTTCGAACCGGTGCCTCTCGAGAAAGCTTTTGATAAACGTACCGGGGATCTCTTCCTCTGGGTTCAAGTTCTCAAAATAGCGGTTGCCGAACCTATGAAAGAGTGTTACCGGTGCATGCTATAGCTGATTCGAAAGCGAGGCGTACTGATCTTTGCCCTTCAAAGTTCCCGACTTGGCGTCGCCAATATACTGCATCTGATGCCACCATTCCTTCAGGCCCACTCTACGAATGGAACGGATAGTCCTAGCGAGGGAGACCATAGTCGTTTGTGATTGACCCCGAAAGCGTCACGCTCGGGCACGGTCATTGCATGTGGGCGCTTTCTGCAACTCTTGCCCTTGCCGAGAACCACGACGAATCAACCACGAGCCACAAGTTTGGCTGTCCCTATCAACCTTTACGTGCCTCTCTCTACTATCATCTTATGGTGGCCATTAGCTCTCTTGCGCATGAGCTTGGCTTGGTTCTCCGGAAGCTCTCTACACTCTCACCCGAGGACGACCCTCTACCAGACACTCCTGTGACTATAAGTAAAGAGCTGATCTCTCTAAACCTGCTGGAAGACCAGCTGATCTCCAAAATAAAGGACAGACGCTCTCGCTTACTGGCCGACGCACTTTGTCTGGCTACGAGAGGACCTATTCATACTTTACCCCCAGAGATTCTAGTTAACATATTCTTCTTTGCAACCGCTTTCGACAGCAAGTGCCTGAGGCGCCTCTCTTCTTACCCTTGGGGAACCCTACACCTCTCACACGTCTGCCGCGAGTGGTGCTCTCTCACCCTTGGAACGTCTGTGCTCTGGACTCGAATCGTCTGTAGCAAGAGACTCCGGCCTCTGATTTCGTTGTACGCTAAGAGGGCCAGGAATCAGCCGCTTGACTTCATCTTCGTGGATGACTCTGTGGACTCGCTGGACAGTGCGCGGGAACTGAAGCTTTCCCTTTCATGTTCACATGTGCGCTCCATTTCATGGCGCGTCGAACGGCAGCCTAGTTATGATCACATCTTTGGTCTGCTCCCAGGTTTTCCCAAACAGGTCTTACTTCATCTTCACCTATCGTTCAAGACACGTTGTGAATCGCCCACGCCGTCCTGGGGCAGATACAACACACGCTGGTGCGAAACTGTACGATCTATCACCCTCGACAACGCATGTCCTTCGATTCTACCGTCTCGTAGCATGCCCGAATTGCAGGCGGCTTACCTTTGGTACCCCATGGCTACGCAGGAGAGACCGGGCTCGGATTTCCGCATGTCGCAGTTGCGCGACTTCACTTGCCGTGCCCCGCAGCTAACAGAGCTGGCGATTCATCGCAACCCACCTATCTTTGACATCGATTCGGTCTACGCTATCTCTGCTGTTGCTTCAAGCTTGAGCTCAGATACCTCTTCGACGTCTCCAATGGGACTACGTGCTTTGACGTGGACTGCGGCACCTCCAAAGGATATCTGGCGACTTTTCTACGTTCTGGCTATGCCGAAATTGTTTGAACTCGTCCTCACATTGGACTCCATCGACCGACGTTGGCTGTGTCTCTCTGGCGACACCTCCGCATCACTAGGAACACAAGATACTCTCTCATGTTATGCGCTACCTCAAGTCGTCCAACTTCTGACCCTTTCACGGCTGTGCCTAGAATGCAAAGATGCAGACGCATTATCCGTCGCTCTCAGGAGATTTTCCTTCCCTTTCCTCGAGCGACTTACCTTGTCATATTCGGGGCCCGAGTCAAGTCACAGGTCCCCTATGCTCCCTTCCATTGGCAAAATTTTTCGCGAACCGAGGCTCGCCAAACTGGTTGATCTAGAGTTGCGATGTTTCAGGTTGGACGCGGAGACAGTTACTACGTTGGCGTACACACAGTCCCTGGCGCGTTTGTCTATTTACAACTGTACTGGTACGTCTGCTGCCGGATTCTCTTACCGCTGCTTCGCTCACTATCAAGCAGGCGCGGACGTGATAATATGCGCACTATCGGGCAATGCATGCGATCACCAGGGCGCCGAGCTTCCCGTCAAGTGGCTCTGTCCAAACCTCAAGGAGCTCCGTCTCTCGTACTGTTCCGCGGTCAAGTTCAAGTGTCTGGAAGCTGTCGTCCGCCAGCGCAAAGCAGACTCTATCGCCGTCCCAACCATGCCGGCTCGAGCCATCAGACCGTTGAAGAGGAGCGTGCTGGCGGGTCCTAGGTCGCCTGCGACACCCAAGAAGATACGGATGCCGTTCGATGGGCAGGAGGCATCTGCTTCGCCAAATGGGAGCTTTGTCGACGGTTGGCGGGCACACGAAGTCACGCGTCCAACGCCGATTTGCACTGTGCATGTCCTAGGCTGCAAGAGAATCTCTCGGGCGGAGCTCTTTTCCTTGAAGGATGACGAATACGGAGTAGAGTCTATGTCCTGGTGTGAGTAGTCCCGGATGTGCGAACAAGCTACTGGGTTGGATAAGTTAAATTATAATTTTTCCTGTTATTCCGAATGATGAACATATCTCAATGGGCTACCAAAAGTTCTGTGTACATTGACGAGAATAATGGATGGATAAATGTCCGTGCGGCTAGCGAATTTTTCAAAACGGGGTTTTATCTTTCGTCACAGTGTCCCAGACACTGAGGCCGCAAAGTCGTTCGATGCTGCTTGCAGCAACAGGACGAAAGCCTGGCCCTCTGGACTAAACGTGCCAGGAGGAGACGAGGTGTTGAAGGTCTCGGGGTTTACGGTGTCAAGAAGCCAGCCATCGGAGTTAACGTTCTGTCTGATCAGGCTCAGAGCGTTGTTCGCGGCCGGGATGAGTGTGTAGTCCGATGTAAGCACCGCGAGTCGGTAGGTGACCGCGGCGAGTAGTGCTGTGGAGGACGAATCGGGGAATGTCGTGGGGTCGTCAATGACGTTCATTAGGGTGCCGTTAGGTTGCTACCGCGGAATTTAGTGTCAGCTAAATTCAGAAGGGCAGTGCGTAGCATGCGTACTTGGTGCTGCCAGGTGGCGGTGAGAATCTCTTTGATCCATGCGGTCAGGTCCGCCTGCTGAGACTCGAACTGAGGTGCTTCATCGGAGTGCAGGATAGTTTGTAGGACACGCATCATGCCTGCGGCCGCCCAGGCGTTCCCTGCGAGACGTCAGTAAGCTCTTGGAGCTCGCGGAGAGGCACCAACCCGTGCCCCAATGCCGGAAGTCCTGGGATGCCTCGTCACCCAAGACAATATGCTTCCAGAGTCCGCTGTCATCACTGAGGTAGTTTCGGTACAGCCGGCACTGGTCGTACGCCAGCTGTAGCAGCGTGGATTCCGTCCCGCCGCCAGCCAGTGCGCCAAAATACGCGATGAACGGAGGCGCCATGTAGACGAAATCAGCCCTATCACGTCACTCATCAGTGGCGGGTCAGGCACAAGCAGAGAGCCATGCACGCACCAGAGCTGGACCTGGCTGGCTCTGTGAGAAATGGCGCCATCAGAAGTACGAGGAGCAATCTGCGTCAGGTAGACCAGCTCTGATCGAGCTGCTTGAGCGAAGGACTGATCTGCCAGGTCCGACCGTGTCCAGTTTGCTAAGAGAACTGCTACTCCGAGGCCTGCCAAAGTTTTGAGGTTGTTATACCAGCCGAACGAAGAGGCAGCTTACTTGCAGGGTCCCCGACAGCTCCGTCTCCGTTAATCAGGGTCAACGAATCCGCTGGCTTCGTCCTCACGGTGCTGAAAAGGAATGATTAAACTGGCAAGGTACAGTAGTCATGATAGGTGGCGTACGTAACGGCGATGTTCATCATAGCTGTCGTATTGCCTACCGCTAGGCTGAGGCTCGATGGAGGTGGAAATGCCGTCGAGCGAAAGACTGACAGGGAGGGAGCCAGCAGTTCTGTCAGAGCCTCAGCTGCCGTGCCCAATTCCCAACTAGGTGCACGAGGATTAGTCAGAGGCTGCGATGCAGGGCGTACGATACGCGGACTCACCTATGGGTGGCAATCTGAAGCATGTCGGCCTCGACTTTCGCTATTGTAGCGTCATCGAAATTGACTTGGGCAACGGGGAGCGAAGAGGCGAAACACGCAGCAAGTAGCAGGCACAAAGTAGAAACGAACATCGCGAGCTTTGTGGGCAAACTGCAAAGCTGGGGATGCCGGAAGCACCTGAACTCCTCTGGGTGTCTTTCGTGGTAGTTTTATAGGGCACATGACCGCCGAACAGGTGCATCGTGAGTCGAAAAGTGCATTGCGAACACCAAAACCGTGCTGTGTCCAGATCGTCGCTATCATAGTAGGCACCTGTAATGTAAGGTGACATGATGGAGCAGGAATGAGGCAGCAGCGTTCTGCATAGGTAATATTTCCGAATCTTAGAAGGAAGTCAAGAAAGCCAGATAGAACGCAAGTGTCCCACTGTGACTGGGGAAGTTGGTCGGAATTCGTGCCTTGCATGCTTCTCCGGTCAAGAACGTGCTTCCTTCGAGCGTCATAAGAGGTCTGGCAATACGAAAGCACGATAAGGAGAAATGAGGGCGTACCTAGACAAGCACAAGCGTAATTGTCAGTCTAAGAACTGATATTGACAGAACTGACGTGCCACACAGATTCAAGGCCTAAGGGCCCAGAGATATCGTAGCTCACCACCGGCGTCCCGTCCACGAAGGAAACATGAGAGGGCCAGTGGGATCAGTCGCCCAACCGAGTAGCATGTCACATATAGAGCGTATGAAGGAGCATCGACAAAGACCTCCGAGAGACGTGGTCCATTTGCACGCATGCTGGCGACCTGTGTGTTTTGCGAAAGGTAGGACCCCCGACTCGCGCCTCGGCTCTGTTCATTACTCGCGGCAATTGCCGTGATGCAATCAAGTAAACCGATCGACACGCCGGGACTAAGGCCTGTCCTCCCAAACCGGGACAAACAAAACCTCTCAGTGTGGCCGCCGTGACGGTCGCTCACAGCATCCTCTCATCCCTTTCCGATTCCTCCGGGCGGCCACTATGGACGTCGTAGAGACTGTCAGAGGCTTTATTGGTTGCTGGGAGGAGAGCGGACAAGCAGAATGGTATCCATCATGCATTGTGCCGTGCAATATCGTCGTCTGACCACACCTCAGTCGTGACCTCCTCACCGCGCCGCACTCGAATCCGTCCGACCCAGCTGCGAGCGATGTGCTATCCACCGCATACCACACACTCATCACTGCAACCCTCAAAACCTGGTCTCCGTCCAAGGCTCTCACCCCGCAGGCTCTCATAAGTTTCCTACAATCTCTGCTCGAGAGCCTCCCGTCGCCATCGTCAACTAAATCGCCACACGCTATCGCTTTCGGCGACATACTCGTCGACATCCTCTGGGCTATTGATGTAGAGCTTGATGATATTCATCAAGACACCAAGATGGCACTCGCTAACGCGGAGCAGGGTAATGCGCCTGTGGTAGCGGAAGGGGTGGATGTTACCGCCGTACTCGCTCGCGTGGCGCAGGCAAAGCAGAACGCCGAGTCTGATAAGGAGATTTTGGCTGGCGCAGTCAAACTGCTGGTGGTCCGTATCCTCTCAGTGTGCATTACCTTCATAGAGCTCAGCTTCTTGTAGGCTTCCGGAATCCTCGACGCAGATATCTGCCGGGAGCGATTGGAGTTGTCGATGATCCATCATGCAGATCTCATACCGGATGATCAAGCCTTTTCAAAGAAGGAGGTACGAATGAGGACTGCGCTCTTGTAAGTTGCATGCATCAATCAAGCCACTCGGACGTTCAAAACCCCTTTGATAGCTACAAGCAGAACAAGTTCAATTTACTTCGCGAGCAGTCGGAAGGCTACAGTAAGCTTACCACTGAACTGACCAGTAGTCTTGGCCCGCCGCACTCGTCTGTCACTGGCCGGCCAATAGACTCTTGGTCTGTGATAGAGGCGCGAGCGCGACCGGCTTGGGAACGCGTAGTGGGCTTGATTGGCTACTTCGACCTGGACCCCAACCGCGCGTTGGACATAATCTTGGACGTGTTCTCCGTCCATCTCGCGACACACTACTCGTTCTTCTTGGCTCTGCTGTCGTGCTCGCCTTGGGGAGCGTCTCTGAAGCCAAAACCCGAAGACGCAATGAATGCAGAGGCCAGTTCCGATGCATACAAAGGAAAGGACCTGGACGAAATCCTACGGATTGCAGAGTTACAGTCCGGCCATGCTTCTAGCGAGCTCCTGCTGTCTGCTACCAGCAATGGTTCCAGAGTCTTGGCCCAGGTCTTGGGGTTCAAATTCACGTATTATCAGGTGCGTAGGTTTTTGGCTCGATCACATACTTGTGCTGAAAGTTCTCAGCTACCGGACGTGACGGAGTCGGCGCCCAAGAATTTGTATCTCACTACCGCGCTCCTCATACGGGAAGGATTTATCACATTGGAAGATATCCATCCCCATGTACGCTGCTTCATCATTCCGGCGGCTAATTATCGCAAGAGGTTAACACGTATTATAGCTGTCGCCCGCAGAGGATGCTATGGGGACCGAGCACAAGAAGTATTTGGATTCTGTCAATGCTCGAATTGCCAACGCGAAGGTCAGCATGCTAGCTATGGCGGCTCCGCTCGAATCCTCGTCAAGTTCGAGTGGTCCCAAGATCCACCAAGCTACTCCAGCGGAACCCAAAAAGGTGGAGAAAGAGGTGTCCAACCAGAAGATAGGCCTCCTGCATGCATTGCTTTCCCTTGGAGCCTTACGTCCTGGTCTTGCTCTCCTGAGCAAGTACCCCTGGATTGTTGATGCTTCGCCGGACATTGCGGATCTCCTGCTACGCATCCTGAAGCACTCCATTGCGCCTGTCTATGCGGCCGTTGGGTCAGGAAAAGAATCACGGCCCGCATTCGCTGTCCCAAAGCGGCGCTTCGGTGCTACTGGGGTCGTTTCTGCCCCTGAGAGAAAACCTCAGCTTACCCTCTGGGCGCCAACCCCTCCGTCGACAAGTGCGATCGACTTCGTGTTCTTTTTTCCGTGTTGGACAGAGCGCATCCCCCTGTGCACGACCACAGAAGATGTCATAAATGTTCTTGAGCCACTGATGAGATTCGTCGGGCTTCATGCCTCGCGAGACCTTATCTTCCTGGCGCAGTTCTCGCGAGTTGGACGCGCAGATGTTGTGGCCACGGTATGTCTCCATTTGCATCTACTTCTCGTTATGGACTCATCCTCTCTATCACGCAGGTATCAGTTGATCCAGACACGAAGAGGCCTTTGCCAGCCGACCTCGACCATCCCACCTGTCGATTTTGGTATAAGATGGCCCGACTATATCTCCTTCCCGCGCTGTCTCTCGTCCGTGGAAATGCTGTGTGCAATGTCGAGATCTGGACCCTCATCAGGATGTTCGAGACGACCCAACGATGGCGACTGTACGGAGAGTGGAAGGCTACGACGTACCAGTCGCATCCTGAGCTTCGCGTGCGCTACATTCAAGCTGATCGCGAGTCGAAAGGCATCTTGCGCAGGCTCTCACATCAGACAGTCGAGAAACTATCGTGCTCGGTCGCGAAGCTGGCGCATTCGAATCCGCTCATCCTGTTCAGCAACACCATTAACCAGGTCATGGCGTACGAGAACCTTGCAGAAGCAGTCATTCGAACATTAACCTACACCACCGTCATGGGATTCGACGTGTTACTCTACGTCATCATTGAAGCCTTTTCTAACCCAAACAAGGCGCGCGTAAAAGACGATGGCGTCAACACGTCGGATTGGTTGCAGAGTTAGCGGGTCTTGTCTGCGACGTAGTTCTTCGCTAATTCCTATACAGATCTTGCGTCCTTCACTGGGCTGCTCTTCCGCAAATACACGGGCGATATTACGTACCTCCTGAAGTATCTCGTCCACCAGCTCCAAAACGGCCAAGTCTCTGAGATCATCATCCTCCGCGAGCTTATTTGGAAGATTGCCGGCATCGAGCCGTTGCCTAACCTCACAGACTCGCAGGTAGTTGCCATGGCTGGTGGACCGAATTTACGGATCGAGGTGCTAGGTTCCGATAAACGCGGTGCTCGTTTAGATCCTCAGGATGTTGGTGCCAAAGGTTCGATTAGGCTGGGAAAGGTCATGATCGAGTCGGGGCTCGCTCTTCCGCTTCTCATCCAAATCGCGCAGCAACGACAGGCTTGCGTCTTCCAAGCCGCGAACACTCACCTCAAATCGCTTGCAAATCTTTATGACATAGTTCGTCGGCTCTGCCGTCATTACAGTACTGCCTCTCACCTTCATATTCTCAGACACACGGCGTACTGTTGCAATACGTGGAATTCCTCATTACACCGTCAATTGTTCCTCCTGAAGACTACGCAAAGAAGGTGCTGCCTTCGCTCGCCGATATGCACCTCAAGTACGGTATCGGTGTGCCCATCTGCATGCAGATCCTGCGGCCGACGCTTCATCTTGCTCTGCTGGTGCGTCCCTCTCACTCAATGTGGCCCTTGCGGGCGCTCATGCGAACGGACAGTCTGCAGCGCTGGAGATGCAGAAGAGGGAACGAGTCGCTAGCGAAGAGGCTGAGAAGCGCTTGAAAGCAGCGTTGACTGCTAAGAGGGAACCGACAACGACATCCCGTACAGGCTCTCCCGTTGTTGCCGAGGGCACTGCTTCTACGGATCAGGCAGCAGAAGCGAAGCCATCTGGATCCTCTGAAGATGTGACAATGGAGAGCGCCGACCACCCGGAACCTGCACCTGCACCCGAGGTAAAAGCACGAGCTGTGGCGATATCTCCGAGGCTTACCCCGTTATGCGTAGAAACCCTGGCTTCCTCAGCTATATGCGCTCTTCGATGATGTTAAAGCTATTGCACCGGGTAGCGTGAACGAGGTGATCGGGTAGGTGGTCTAATAATCTCTAATGAGATTAATATTGACCTCATACAGTTCGGGCTTCTACATGACATTCTGGCAATTGTCGACCTATGATCTATCACCGCCTGCGTCGAAGTACGAGGAGGAAACCTCCAATCTTCGCAAGCTGAGCTTGGAGGCGGACCGCGCATACAACGCTGCTGAGAAGTCGGACAGCTGGGTAGAGAGGAATAATTCCTACAAGCATCGCGAGAGGCGCAATCGTTACAACGTGTTCATTGATATGCTGAGGGACGAACTCAAACAGCAGACGGCTGCACGCGCTTTTACGATTAAGAGGCTGGCCCGGGAGAAGCAGCATTGGTTTGCGCATAGTACGTTCAGCCCTTGCTCAGCGTTTCATCTATCAACGACTTGTGTAGATCCTAAGGGGACAACTGTGGCTGCTGCGATTGTGGAACATTGCTTGCACCCTCGAGCAATGCTATCCCCCATGGATGCCGACTACTGTGCGCAGATCATCAAAGTCGTGCATCTACAAGGGACTCCGGGATTCTCCACTCTTAATATTTACGACAAGGTGTGGCTCCCTCTTTCGTTATCTCCCTTCCATAGAGTACTGAGGCCAAATTCACAGCTTCTCGGCGATCATCTCCGAACGCTGATATTTTCCTGCAGCGAAGTGGAGGCTCGGAATTACGGTCAGTTCTGTCCGATAGAGTTCGATGCTGAGTTGCTGAACTGTCCCCAGGCCGCTTCCTACTTGGCATTCTGGGCGATATCTGGAAATGGCACCAGGACGAGCAGCTCTTTATGCAGGACAACCGCGTTAAGAGCGGTGGCAAGGTTTCCTACTTGCCTGGGTTCATGCTGATTTACAGCAACAAGGCGAATGTCGCCATTGATGACATTATCAAGTGGCAACAGTTCCGCCAGGTTTGTAAGAAATGGCATCGTAAACTGGCCAAGGTAACTTCACTCGTTTGCTACGCGGCATCGTCAGAGCTGATCACATCCCCTAGGCTTTCATCGACTGTATCGAGAGCGGAGAGTTCATGCATGTCTACAACACCATTGTCGTGCTCAAGGAAATTCTGCCTGTGTTCCCTGTCGCTTCAGTCAGCGAGGCGTCTGGTCCAGCACTCGAGATAGCGATGGAAAAGTTCATAGAAAAAGAGGAGCGAGATGACTTGAAGATCCTCGGAAGGGCCTATGTAGCAAGCTTCAAGAAGCGAGAGCCTCATTGGAAACTACAAGAAAGAGGAGTCAGAGTCCGTCTTGTTAGCGCACTTTCCGTGCAGTCACTGATTCCTCTCTCAGCCTGCGGCTCCGACGCCTCCTGCGAAGTCAACACCAGCTGCTACCCCGGCGCCTCCCGAACGACCTCGAACAAGTGGACCACCTCCCTTAGGTCCTACCTCGAATGATCGCTCAGCAGCTGCTCCGCCTACTGGCCCCCGCGCGGACATTGCGCAAGTCAACGGTTCCGCCGCTCTGGGAGCTGAGAAGCCGTCCATGCCGGGTTCTACGAGAATCGCCATCGATAGGTGCCGTCCTTCTTAGCTATAATTACTATCGCTCCAGCTGATATACCCATAAAGCAGCATTCCTCGGCCAGAGGTTGTCAAGAGGGTCCGTCCCGACACCAGGAGCCCTGCTCCGAGAGTCAATGGCGAAGCAGAGGCGAAGACGAATGGACAGCTGGACCCAATGCAGGTGGACAAGCTTCATGCTTCTGTACGTCCTCCGGTCACCGCAACGACACCTCCGACCGCACCGCGGAGAGATGAGCAAGGCATACCACGAGGTGCCGCCGGACCTGGTGCAACCCTTCGCCCTGGCAGTCCCAATATACCCGCAGGATCCCCCGTACTCAGGAGTATATCGCAAATGGAAGGATCTAGGCCGCCCACACCGAGTCCCTTGGTACGCTCTGTGAGCAACAGGGATCTGACACAGTCTCCGAGGATCGGCACCAGCGATTCCCGAGGCCGTGTGGAAGCTTCTCAAGTCATGCCACCGCCCGCTAACCCGAGCCAGACAACTTCTGCGCAAGAGTTGCGCGAGACGGCGAAGCAGTCTCGTCCCATTGACAAAGTTGAGGAGAAACCTGCAAGGCCCCCTCCCGCAGAGCCACGTGGCCAACAAACTTCAGCTTCGACGCCAGCCTCAGCCTCCCGTCGACGCTCGCCTTCTCCGCTCAGCAGACCAGGTACAAGGAACCCCAGCCTTGAGAGTCGAGCGAGTGGCGGTCGGTCTCGCGGCGCCACTGGCGATTCGGAGCGTTCGGACGACAAGCGGGATCGGGAGAGCCGTCATGAGTCTCGGCGGGACGTGCATGGCCGCAGGAGCACTCGCGAAAGCGACCGGGAGAAGGAATCCGACCGCGAAAGGCGCGATAGGCACGGTGATAGGGAGCGTCCCCGAGACCGCGACCGTGAGAGGGACAGGGAGCGTGATGGCCATCGCGACAAGGATCGCGACCGTGACCGGGATCGCCACAGAGACTCAGAGAGGGACAGAGATCGTCATCGCAAGGACGAGAAGGATCGTGACCGAGAGTCCAGGAAGGAGCGCGATGGCTCTGGTCGGGGCATTCCCACCGGACCATCCTCTTCCGCTACGCCAGCTGTTGACGAGCGTGGTCTTCCTGTGCGACCTGATACCTCTCGCCGGCGAGAAGACGAAGCGTTGGGTAAGCGGCGGCGACCAACCGAGGACGAGGTAAACCCTCCGCACTGCTACTTTAGAATTACGCTGATATCATGTCTGCAGCCTGATCGAGCATCCAAGCGACCCTCGCGAAAAGAGAGCCACCACGAAGACCGTAGTCGCCGAGCTTCTGATAAGGACAGGGATGACCGTGGCCGGGAGTCAGACAGAAGACGCAAAGAGCGCGAACAACCTGAAAACGATCCGCGGGCTCTCACAATTGACATCAAAGCAGCTGAGAAGCGGGTCCCTGAAGGTCCTGCCTCGGCATCTGCACGCTCTTTGCCTCCGACGACACCTTCTGCCCCTCGCGCCATGGCTGGTAGTGCTGAAGGCCCAAAGAACGTCAAACCTGACCGAGACTGGAGGCCCCGTGACCAGCCTCCGCGTGGCTCGCCCACCATGCCCAGTGCAGTGCAGCCTGGTCCAGAGGTGCAGGGACCGGGCGTAAGCTTGCGTTCGCGGATCGCAGACAAGGAAACGCGTCCTATCCCTTCGGGGCCCCGTGGGGAAGCGTCTTCTGACCGCAAACAGGAAGGTGGCTCCAGCGCAGCGAAGGATGAGAGGGAAGGCAGTCGCAAGCGAGCGTCGTCTGGTAGGTGGCGTCTCTGCAATTCAATTCAGTTGTGTTGACCCGGACGTGTAGAACGTGAGACAGGTGATCCTTCAGCAGGACCCAGCGAGCTGATCGGCCCGGCAAAGCGGCCTCGAATTAATCGCACTCGCTGGCAGGGCACTGCGACTGCTGCTGCTGCACCATTTGCGAAGAAGTCGCTCATGGATGCCGAGAAGAATGGCCGAGGGGGGATCGGACGGAAGGACTAGCTTACATATTAATATTGACCTATTGAACTGTCGTTGTATCATGAGCTGTGCCTGCCACCTAGTGCTCACCACTCGTTACACACCGCTCAAACTTACGGCCCTAAGTACGCATCATCTGTTGATTTTTTTCACGTTTGCATCTCGTCAACTTTTTCCTCGACGGTCGCAAGTACTGGAATTTGGCCGCCGATAGGCAAACGCGTGATCTAAGCGGGCTGTCGGCCCGGGACTCGGTGAACTCCTTCATCGTAATATTGCGAGTGCAGGTCACGTTAAGATCACGATAAGAATCCCGGGCATGACGATGTCTGTAAAATCATTACCCTTCCCGGCGGCTAGGTGTTCCATGGATTCCATGCTTGTCAATAGGTAAGACGCACTCGACAGGGCGGCCGCAGGGCAGTGTAAAATGAAATCGATTGATAATACGCCGTTGTGACCTTGTATGTACGTGCCACCCCACTGCTTCGACACCTTGGGATGAACTCGATTTGATTGACTTAAGTTCTCGGTAGGTTATTTTTTGTTGACTCGCAATCTATCGCACGAGACTAGACTCGGAAAAGCACGGATAACAATGAGCGTCGAGTTTTCTCTTGGTGGCTCGACGGTGCAAGCCCTCATGGGTGCAAAATCTTGTGACCATAATGCTTCTGATGGACGCACATATTCTGGTCTCTCCCGACTACTCTGTGCTTCATCTGACTCCTCCTGGTACTGACAAGTTAACAGCCTGTCTGCAAATATACGACGCTGCTTCCTCTTCCAGCGCTAGCTTCTACCGAACATCTGAACTTGTAGGCCTCGGCAGTAGCTCATTCTGATTCACCTTGCTGTCTAGTTTGGGCATCTCCAATCGCAAGTCTGGTAGCTTGGTGTCATGCCGACGGCAACGCTGGCATTCTTGAAGTCTCCGTCTCTTGAAGTTCCGCCGGCGTCATGCTCCCGCGGCAAAAGAGTAAGTAGACGACCGTAATCCTATTACGGTACCGCCCGCCTGCCATCTTCCTCGTGCTGCTGACCCACCACACCGCCAATCAGACAGCAGCCCACAGAGCAGGTGACGCTATTGTACATACGCTCATTGCGAGACTGCACCCGTCCAACGCCTGAAGAGCCTTCTGGTCGAAAGATCCAGCCGGATATCGTGAAGTTGGTCACAAACAAACAAATCAAAGCTGGCAGCGGACAAGCCCAGGGTGGGCCGTAGCTGGCGGGCCAAGTAATGGAAGTTGACCTTGAAACATTGAACTCGTAAGTACAGCCTCCAACCCTGAACGGAACTGACAGATCCAATCATTAGTGCTGCCTCTCGTCGGCGCGACGACTCATTTCATGGCCAAAACCATGTCGCGAAGAGGCATTACATAACGCCGCGAGGACGAGGCTCGCTCGCCGCTCCAGTCGTCCTGCGCGCTGAGTGGATGATCGGGCTGCTCACGAGGTGATCTCCTCCATGGCTACTTTGATGGAGAGCATTCTTCCATCTGCTTCTCAGCGTCCCTGCCGCGACCATTCGTGTCTGCGTCCCATATAAAATGTGGAGGTGCGGAATAATCTCGCACATCGCTCGCGTCGCTCACGATGAAGCTCTCTCCAGGTCTGCGCGTCGCGTACGGCCTCATCCAGCTCGCTGCTCTGGTCGGTGCAGCTCCATCGAGCGTGCCCGCCAGCAGCCTGGGCAGCGCAGTGTCCAGCGAGTCAAGCGCGACGCCTAGTCTCAGCTCGGTGCTATCCTCGCTTAGTTCTTCTGCCCCGTCGTCTGTCGCGTCGTCAGTTCCCGCGTCGCCCCCTCCCACGTCGTCCGCGCCCGCGTCGGTGTCCGCTCTCTCGTCCTCTACCCTGTCTCTCTCGTCTGCGTCGTCGATTGCCTCACCTTCTTCCCTGTCACTCTCAGTCGTGTCGTCGGCTGCTTCTTCCCTGTCGTTCTCGACGGCGGCGTCGGCGTCCATCACCCCATCCTCCGCGCTGTCTTCTGTGGCGTCTTCCGGCTCGATCGACAGCACCTCCGCGTTGAGCTCTTTACCGACGTCGTTCTCAGCCTCGTCCGCCGCATCGGTCAATGCCTCGCTTTCGACGTCATTTGTCTCCGCGCCCACAGGCTCTCCCACATTCAACACGGGCTCGGGCACAGAGACCGGTGAGTACAATTTCAAAGCCATGGCGTTCGTTGCATTTGCCTGTTTAGTTCTCTTCCTCAGCTATCATCATCTCCACTGTGCGCTGCTAGTGTTGCTGTTTCTTTTCCTCTGCCGTCTCTCTTTTCGCACGGCGCCGGGCTGCGGACACCGTCGTCCATGACGTCGGTGGCCCATGTGATCGCGTTGTTTGTGCTCTTAGCGCTTTCCGCCGAGCCAACGGCTGCTTGGTATCGGAAACCTTGGGGTCATCATCACCATACTCACTGCGGTACGTTGCAGGCCCCATCACCATCCCTATCTCGCCAGTGCCATTCACACCGTTCCCTGTACCCTCCGACACGCCCGTCCCTGGCACCTTCATCGAGACAGACCCCTCAAACCCACCTGCCCCCGACCAAGCGCCCGGTCTCGGAGGCCCGCTTCCTGATTTTGGACAGGCATGGGAGACGGCGCATGCGAAGGCCACAGCCGCGCTAGCGTCCTTCTCGCTTGAGGAGAAGGTGAACCTGACCACTGGTGTGGGCTGGATGGGCGGACGCTGCGTCGGTAACATTCCGGCCATCGCTGGCAAGTTCCCCGGCCTCTGTCTCGAAGTGAGTTGCTATCAACGTTGCGCTTGGCAGCCACCTAAATCTGACACTCGTGGCAGGACTCTCCCCTTGGTGTTCGTGACACAGACTTCGTTACTGCGTTTCCTACCGGAATCACTGCGGCTTCGACGTAAGTCGAGCTGATATCTTCCGGATTCTTGCGCTTCTACTCACGCACGATCTGTTAGATGGAACCGTACCTTGATTCGTCTCCGTGGTTTGTTCATGGGTCGCGAACACAAGGGAAAGGGTGTCAATGTCGCTCTTGGTCCGATGATGAACTTGGGGTAACCTTACCGGCTCACTCATGTACGCTATCAGCTAACGCCACTTCCAGTCGTGTTGCTCAAGGCGGCCGCAATTGGGAAGGTTTCGGCGCAGAACCATTCCTCGCTGGTGAGACCGCGTATGAGACTATTCTCGGCATGCAGGACGGTGGCGTCCAGGCCTGTGCCAAGCATTACATCAACAAGTAAGTCACTTTATTCCCTCTTTTATGGCAGATAATTGACTGGCTCTTAGCGAGCAAGAGTTCGATCGTACTCAGGAGTCCTCGAACGTTGACGACAGGACGCAACATGAACTTTATGCTCATCCGTTCATGCGTAGTGTCATGGCTGGCGTTGCCGCGGTAATGTGCAGTTACAGTGGGTGAATTCGTCTCTGGAATTAGTCTATAAGCTGATATGGTTTCAGATCTGGTTAACGATACCTATGCATGCGAGAACGACAAGACCCTCAACGACATCCTCAAGCGCGAGTTCGGTTTCCAGGGCTATGTGATGTCAGATTGGAGTGCTCAGCACTCAACCATGAGCGCAGTCGCTGGTCTCGACGTGAGTTACATGAGCTCTTCACCATGGCATCATTCTTAAGCATCTGTGCAGATGACCATGCCTGGAGACATCTCCTTCGGCTCGGGTACCTCGTGGTTCGGTCAGAATTTGACGGACTTCGTTCTTAACGGGACTATTGCTGAGTCCCGCGTTGATGATATGGCTTCTCGTATCCTCGCGTCTTGGTATTTGCTTGATCAAGACAGCCCGGACTACCCTTCAGGTCAATCTTGGTCAAAACTCGAGGAAATCTAAGCTGAAGCCTCTTTGCAGTTAACTTCAATGCATTCTTCCCTCTTGACGAAGCTACAAACGAGCATGTTGACGTCCAAGACGATCATTTCGAGGTCGTCCGGGAGATTGGCGCTGCTGGTGCCGTCCTGCTGAAGAACGACGGTGCACTGCCCCTGCTCAAGCCACGCACCCTCATTGTTATCGGTAACGACTCTGGCCCGTCCCTGTACGGACCTAACGGCTTCACCGACCGCGGTGGTGATGACGGCATCCTTGCCATGGGCTGGGGATCTGGAACTGCGCAGTTCCCGTACCTGATCGACCCGCTGTCTGCCATCCAGACGCGTGCTATCAAGGATCACACGAGTGTCACCTGGTGGAGGAGTAACTGGGAGCTTGGAGGTCTTGCTAGTGCCGTGCTAGAGCAGTCGGTCGCTGTGAGTACCCCGGCAGAATTGACTTCGAAGCCTCACTCACGTGTTACGCCTGGTAGATTGTTTTCGTCAACGCCGACTCTGGAGAGGGTTATATCACTGTCGACGGCAATGCAGGCGACCGGTAAGCCTAGTTGATCTCACTATGTGTCCATGTGACTCAAATTCCGCACAGCAAGAACCTGACCCTCTGGGGCAATGCGGACGACCTCATCACCACTGTCGCCAACAACAATAACAACACGATTGTCGTAGCACACTCTGTTGGACCAGCCATCGTTGAGGCTTGGATTGACCACCCCAACGTTACCGCCCTGATCTGGGCTAACGTACCCGGCCAGGAGGCTGGCAACTCGATCGTTGATGTCCTCTATGGAGACTACAACCCCTCTGGACGCCTGCCCTACACTATCGCGAAGAGCCCATCCGACTATCCCACTCAGCTGATTACGAACCCAGATCCCAGCGTTATTATAAGCATCCCGTACACTGAAGGCCTCTTCATCGACTACCGCTACTTTGATGCTGTGAGTAGTGCGCTTTTAATTCTTGCTGTGAGTACCGGAATGCTGAAACTTTTGGTAGAATAATATCGAGCCACGCTTCGAGTTCGGCTTCGGCTTAAGTTACACCACGTTCAAGTATTCGAATGTTTGGGCCGCCGTCATCCCGCAGCCGGACTCTGACTCGGTCGCTCTCGAGCAAGCCTGGTTGGCTGGTCAGGCAACGCCCATCGCTGATGGCTCCACCACTGCCCTCTGGCTCCACCGTCCGTTCATTAAGGTCACTTTCGATATCCAGAACACCGGGTCTGTCGCCGGTGGCGAGGTAAGACCGGATTTATCTGTGCTATCGCTGGGCAAGGGCTGACTTGATGTAGATCCCCCAGTTGTATATCCACCATCCCGCCTCCGCGGGTGAGCCGCCATCATTGCTCAAGGGTTTCACCGATATTCGCCTCAACCAGGGCGAGACGAAGACAGTGACTCTAACGCTGTCGCGCTATGACCTCTCGATCTGGGACGTTGTCGCACAAGGCTGGGTCAAGCCTCAGGGCAGGATCACGTTCTCGGTGGGCGCGAGCAGCAGAGACTTTAGGCTCGAAGGTACCATCCCTCTTTGAGCCCATTAAAATTTTGGACCCTGTAAAATCTGGATTTTTGACTCTTTGAAGACCATTAACCCTAAAATTAGGACTGGTTCAGGGCGAACTTGACAATTCACTCCTTCGGACTACGTAGTAGAGTCATCGTCTGTGTCGCATGTGTAGATACCCACGAGACCATGGACTACATATGATAAGTTTTTGTTTTCTGCAACATTTTCTGTTCTCGAACATGAACGCGTGAACAATCGTAATTCCGAAGAGAGGTTTTAGTGCACACTCATCAGACTTTTACGTAAGCGGGATCATTAGCGGCGGTATTCTCTTCTCGCCTAAGGGGATATGAAGAGGCCTCCGCTCGACCTTTGCTCTCTTGCCAGACCCCCCACGCTCGTTGCCCGTTCTGTGGTCCTTTCCGAGCGTCTGCCGCTCTCCTGCGCCCTAGGAGCATGATGCTCGCCATGTTCCTCGTCTCTCTCGTCGCCGCCCTCATCCTCTGCTGCCTGCTTTTCCCTTCCATGTGGGCCACCATGGCGTGCGACGAGATCCTCGACGCGCACGAAGCCGGTCTGGCATTGGTGTCGACCCGTAAGAATCCCTCCTGCTACTCCTGCCCGATGACGTCTGTGACATTGACCGTGCGGCCCTATTGCGCTCCGCAGGCAACCCAATACGAGAGACGGGACCACCCGCGTGCATGGCGAAGCTGATCATGCTGAGACACAAGGTGCGCCCGGCCGTGACTCCTGAACGACGGACGGAGAGCTTAGTCCCTGCTTTGACGTGTAGATCAACCAGTCCAACTCAAAGCGGCGCTGCAACACCCACTCCCGACAAGCGGTGTTCACCTACAACATTGCCCCCTCGCGTCCACCCCGCAATGTCCCCTGGCGGTTCGGACGCGCGTACGGCAAGCAATCGTTCTATTGAAGCCAAGATAATTATGCTTCAATTGCTCGCAAACTGTAGAAATCTATATGATATAATCGGGACGTTCGAGAGACGTTTGGATAGACGAGATAATGACCGACGATCAATTCGTAATTTCGGGAACTTCATCTACATGAGTACGGCATTGTATATACCCCTTGCAACCTTAATACCGCGCCCTGTTCACTACCCATACGTGTACTTGCTCTCAACTCGGTGAGGATGGTGCTCGGCGACAGCGTAGTCCTATGACAAAGCCTGAATGCGTCGGACTCGGTCACATCTGCCGAGCTCGGAGGCCCTTCAAACCGATCGTGATGCTCATCAACGGCGGTCCTGAAAGCCTCAGAAGACCGACGATGGCGCCGGCAACAATTCACTATAGCTCAAGTAGCTTGCCGAAGGTGTACTCACGACGTTGAATTCAGAAGCTCTACGCTGCGTCTAGGTGTATAATCCGTCATCGGCATCGTCGCACGTCTCCACGATCCCCCGCAAGCCGACGCCAGGGTCGACGTCGACCACCCTCGGTTGGTGCGCACTCTGCGCCTCGACGCTCATGATCAGCTTCCAGGGGATGAGCACAAGCCCGACGAAGCGTCCGCCCGGATTCGCGTGCTGCGGGGGCGAAAACCGGAACTCGTCTGTGTTCATAAGGAGGACGTTGAGCAGCTTGTCGGTGCCCGCGAAGGACCCGAGGAAGACTCGTCCGTCGCGAGTCGTCACACGCAGGGTGCGATTGAGGAGCGATTTGAGCTGTTGCACCGCGGGCGTGTCCTCGCCTTCCTCGATCTTCAGCGTGCTGTCTGTCTGCTCAGGCAGCGAGGACGAGGCGACGTTGGCAGCATCTGCGGCTGATATCATGACGGTTGACACAGACGAGACGAGGGGTTTTTAGACGCGCCGCAGACAGATCAAGGTGATAATAATATTAATGCCAGGTGGGGGATGGTATACATGGCGGCATACAGAACGACTGTACAGAACGATTAGGATTGCTGGGCATGGGAAAACGTGGGTATATAGTATGGTACACGAAAACGGATATGATGATACGAAGGCCTCGCAAGTCGGCTACGCAAACTTAGAGCGCCTGCTCGACACAGCAGACAAGATACTGGAAGCCTTGCCAAGTTTCGCAGAGCTGACCTTCTCGCGAGGTTGGCCCTGTTCCGTACGTCTACCTGCGAGAGCACCACCGCCAGCCCTGGCGGATTTCGCGATACCAGTTACAGCAGAAGCGCGTCCCGTACCGGCGTTGCGAGAACCGCCCTCGCCACGAGCCCACCTCTGCTGTCGCGAGAGGTCCTGCATGTAATCTCCACGATGAGATTGCTGAAAAAACATCAGTCCGTTGTTCACCGACAAGATGTAAGAGTCAACTGACCTGGATGGGTTCCCACTCCATCTGACCCTGCTTTGCCCCACCAAAGGGGGTCTTCCTAGACGTGGCTGCAACTTCTTTAATACGCACGTCCTCACCAGCCATGTCGTCATCCTCGTCGCCTAATACCCAGTCTACGTTGTTTGTATCGATCGTCTTGACCACCTAAGGCACTTGATCAGGGAGCGGAAATATGAACACTGAGTTCTGAACCGACTGACTTTCTCTCCACGTGCCACCCTTCGAAGCTCCTCCTGCAGCTGGACGGCTGAAACAAACTCGGGGGGCTCGTTGTCGTCGTCCGCCTCATCTTCCTCCCCGAGGTTATCGTCACCAACGAGGGTCAGGCTTACCTCCTCGTGATTAAGGTGAGCGAACTCCTCGTTGTCATCCTCAATCTCGGCGCGGTAAGCTTGGACAAACGCCTGCGTCTCGGGGTTACCAGCTGTTCAGTTTCTCATACGATGAATGGATGTCCATTAGAGTGGTTATAACAGCGTACCGAGTTGCTCTAAAGTGTCGCCGTCAATCTTTCTCTTCTTGGCCATCCGTTGTCGGCGGCGGCGGGCATCCTCGTCTTCCTCATCGCTGTCCTCATCTTCGAAGTCCAGAAGTTGGTTGCGCCTCTTGATTCTCATTTTACCCTCGGCGGCGTCCTTAGCAATCTTCTCGTCCGCAGCGTCATCTTCAGTGCGATGTTCCCTGGAAGCACGCACATGAGCGAACGTCTCAAAACCGCGGTCTATACTCACTGGACTTTCTCCAAGACCTTCCGCTCATTCAAGGTCTCCTCGTCCATCTCTGCATCGTCGACAAGCCCTTCAAGAATTCTATCCTGATCTTCGCCATCGAGCTCCTCTTCATCGTCCTTCTTCTTCGTGATACCGAATCCGAATCCAGCGTCCTCGTCCGACTCTTCAGCCTCGCCCTCGATGAACGCAGACTTTCCTAGTTTCTTTTTGGGGAACCTGGGCGCTCTGATCTTTTCCTGATTGCGCCCTAGAACATCAAAGGCGTTGCGGCCCTTGATTGGACTTGGCGAAGCACTGGAGCGATGCTTAATTTCGGGAGTAGAGGCACGTTTGTGAAGTCGCCTGGGCCGCTCACTGTCGGAGTCCTGCTCTTGCTCCACCGCCAATGCGAGAGTGCCGAGAGGCTGCCTCTTTTTTGCAGTCGACTTGAGCACAGACAGGCCTGCCTGGATGGCCGGTGACGAGTGAGTAAAGAGAGGAGATGTCGGCGACAGCAAGGCCCACGCAGGCAAGGCAGTTCCCGTTGTTGACTGAGTTAAGAATCTAAGACATAGGTGAGTAACTGTGAAATGATAGGGCACGAAGAACTGTTGATGTACCCGTTCTCGTTGACAAACATGCTTGAGGAAACTTCAGACTTTTCTGCCACAGCACGCTCCGCGACAACTTCCTGCTCTTTTTCAAAGATTTCATTCGCCTTGCGGATGCGCTCCTCGTCGACGTGAAGCGAAGGCTGTGCCATAGAGCCCAGAGTAAGGGACATCGTGCTCTTGGAACGACTACCTTTACCCTGTATTGAAAGTCAGTGCGTGCACTCCAGAGAAAGCTCAAGTCGTACCGTGCCAGGCGTGAAGAAGGTAGAGAGTGCACGTTCCTTACCCATGGAAGCATGGGATAACGTAGTTTTCAGCGTAGGCTCGAAAAATTGCGAGAAACCGCCGCCGCCGATATCAGCTGCAGGCTCAAGGGTGCATTGCTGCTCGGGCTCGTTCTCACAGGCTTTCCCTTTATCTAAGGGAAGGCTTGGCTCGAAGAACGCCGCGAGAGCTTGTGTCCTCTTTCCTTGTGGATGAAGGGGACCTGGAGTACCCTCGCGAGAGGCCGTAGTCCGCAACCGAGGTGGTCTCGAGGGCGAACTCAAGAATACGTCGTCGTCGTCGTCTTCTGCAGGAATCTCTTGGAGCGGAGTGCGTTCTTGCGACTGTATATTCGTCGGCGGGCCTGGAGTCTCCAATGAGAACGCCAAGCCTCCACCTCTAAGGGAGCCAAGGGGAGACGTGGCCGATTCCTGCTGCGATGCAACGACAGTATTTTCCTTGTCTTCGCCTCTATCGAACATGAGTCTTGCGTCGTTCTCCTTATCGGTTCCGTCTTCGACTCGATCACTGAACGACGACACGGAGCCTCGATGGTTTAGAGTGTGCATTGGTAGCCCGTCCAAAGTTAGAGAGGAATTCGCCACAAGCACGCGGCCGGTGCTAAGTCTAGCGTTTTCATCTTCTTCGTCTGACTCGACGACCATGGCGTGCCTGCGCGGCAGCCGACTGTGATAGATGTTCTCCTGGTCTTCCGCGGGCTGGTCATCGCTGGCCTGCGTGGAATCTGCCTCTTGTATTAACACCATGTTCTCATCCTCGCCATCGGAACCGACACTCTCCTGCTCCATGCAGTCCTCGTCAGGAGCTGCAGCTGTCCACTCGCCATCACTCTCCTCATCGGTTTGTGCCTCGTCATCACCATCCTCGGCAGGCCGTTTCTGCTGCGCGACAAGGATGCCTTTGCGGGCGACGTCCTTGATCCGCTCCTTTCTAGCCTGTTCGCTATCCTCATCTGCAGGCATTCTATCCCGGGGGATGCCCCCGCGGCGGTAGAACTCCATTTCTTTCTGAAGTGTAAGCTCCTTACTTAGCCGTTCGTTCGCTCTTAACAGCATCGTGTTCAGCTCTTTACGGCCGACTTTAGGAACAACACGTTCCTTGCTTCTTGTAGACTCGGTTCGGTTAGCGGTCGAGAAGGTAGAAGCCGCGGCGGCGTGCATATCGTGAAGGTCTTGTCTCGTGCGACGGACTGGGGATACTTTCGATGGTGAAAGTGCGGCAACAGATCGGCCAGCAAGAGTGAGTTGGTTTTTGCGACCCACAGAAGGGCGAGCATGTCGTGCTTTCATCGCTTTCCGCTCCTCATCTTCTTCTTGCGCGACGATGTGCAGGTCGTTATCAACAATTTCCAGATCGCTGCTGTCGTCCACTTCGATTGATTTCTGGTTCCGCGCGAGACGCATCTTCGTCTCTTGAAGCTTCGCGTGCCGCTCCTGAATAGTACGCCTCTCCTTGTCCTTTTGGAGCAGCGTCGTAACATTAGGCAATTCGGCATCATCCTCGGACGACGACTCGATGCCCGCAGTTTCAAGGTCGCCCTCCGACGGATCGCGGGCCCGGCCGCGTCTTGAAGAGGGCACTGAAGATCCAAACGATGGTCCTCCAAGTAAGCCAGTAGGAACGAACTGCAGCTGGGGTTGAGGTTCTACGGTAGCTGATCTCGTTCGAAACGGGTTTCCACGAAGTCCGGATGGGCGTGAAATAAAGGGAATGGATGGTCGCTCTACATGTGCAGGTGAAGAGAACTGCTCTATGTGATCAGACAAAGAGCCCTCAGAGGGATTCTGCCCGATTCTCGATAGATCAGGTTCTTCGTCTATTTTCGCACTACAAAGAAATGTGTGAATTATGACTAAATAATACGAAGTTCTGGCATACCTGTATTTCATAAAAAGGGAGGCAGTAGAAAGAGGCTTATTCTCTCTGGCGAGAGCAGTCGTCTGTTCCGCCTTGATTCGTGCCGTGGTCTTCTGTGTCGCTAACCGCTCCTTCCGCGTAGGTGCCTGCACAGACTGCAATTAATACCCACTAGGTCCTGAGAAGGAGGACGCACCTTCACGCGCTTTTGTTTCTCCATATGTATTCCCTTCGCCTTACTCTGGGTACTCACATCAGGCAGCTCATCGGTATCAAGATTGGCCGATGCTCCACTCTTTTGCTTGCCCTTGCCCTTTGCTTTTACCATCTCTTCCGATGTAGGGGGTGTAGGAGACGAAGTTGTCTTAGGCGTACTGACGGGATGCAAGGCACCAGGCGATGTATGGGGAGATGAACGCGGCAAGCCTTCCCCTTCCGAGTCCGATACATGGGCCGTAGGCTCCTGATTTTCCACTCGGCTGAAACGCGAGGTTGGAGAGTGAGCTGGGGATGCTGTATGAGTGTCTCTAAGGACGGGGGGAGGTACGCCGAAGGGATCGTCCGGTGTATCCGCAGATAAAGGAAGAGCTTCGCCTTTGTGCGATCCCATTGCCACCGCATCATCATATTCCATGTGAATCCGAGCAAGCTCCTCCCTCACACTCCGTCTGAAGAGAGTCCTCGGTCGCGGCACGTCTTCATCGCCTACAGCGTCGTCACTATCGGCGCCTATGCCGTGGGCTGGGCGGGAGCCACTTTCCACGGGCTCCCCTTCACTATCGTTCATTAGCCTCCGTGGTGGAGGAGCATCCTCCATATCGTCGTCGAACTCAGAGATGCCCTTCGTCTTGTGCCTGCGCTTCCAATCCAAGCTGTTTTGGGGGTCGAGCATATACCCGCTGTCGTCAGGCATGTCTTCTGAATCTTCGTCATCACCGTGGACCAAGGATGTTTCACAGTCTGAAGTTGGAGGAACATCACGTCCTGAGTCGTAGCAAGCAGGGCTGCTCTGGTTAGAGGAGACACTAGACTCAGCAGTGAGGGCGGCGTCGACGTCAGGTCCGTCGAGCTCTCTCCGGCGGCCGTAAGTCCGAGGGGCACGCTTGATAGACGCGCCCGGAGTCTCCATCTGAGATGGGCGTCGTCGAGAAGAGGTCGGGCGTTGTTTTCGACGTTGAGAACGATAGCTGGGTGCTACACTCGGCTGAGTCCGCCCACGAGGAGCGTCAAGCGTGAAGAGGTGTGACGATGCGGCCCTAAAACACGCGTCTGTCACACGGTCACACGTGCCCAACGTATCAAACACGAGTCACGTGGCCGCGTTGCTCTGGTGTGGTCCACGAAACTCGCAAGCCATAAATGTCCTTCATGAGAGACGGTAGACTCGTTCGAATGATTCCGACGACAGATATTGTTGGCATCCGCATATAGTAAACGTTCTGAGTATAGCTTACGCAGGTCAGGTGCTTGTGGAAGTCTGGAATTGCAAATCTTCGGTATTAACTTATAGGGGTGAGAGGATCATGGAGAGTGTGCCGGGGCCCCGCAAGCAGCTACTCTACTGACTTCCTTCCGCAGCTGGGGCACGAGGTCATGTCCAAAGAACTACAAGCCCATGATGATGTGGAAGGTGGTGTCCTCTAGTGATGAAATCATCAGCCCGGGCGCATGCAAGGCAGTTTATATAGTCCAATTTGGTCGGGTAGAGAAGAGTTATTTCAGCGAGACTCCAAGCAAAGCTATGGCATGCGACCACAAACCTAGACTCGAACCAGCCGGTATGACGAGTCCCGGTTTCGCCAATAAATCCGAGGGTGCGAAGTTTCGGGACGTTTTGGGAAGGGAGGTATGGTTTTGATCTAATCGGCGGAGTCTAAGCGGTTGTCGAAACCGTTATACACGGCGGGCGGAGTATGAAATAGCACGGGGATGTCCGAGCCTACCACAAACCGAAGTCAAGAGGTACAAGCGCCCATTGAGATATAGAGAAGCGCTACCTTACCTTTTTTGGATGAACTGCACAGTACGTCAAGCCACAGCCGCCCGTGCCTCTCTAGTGGGCAATATCGTCAACAGGTGCACTTCCTGACCCCTCAAGACCCCCTTAAGATGAGGTGAGCATGCTAGTGTGGTAACGAGAGGGCGAGATATTGACACTAGGATGTTAGTCATCGTAAGGTCCGTATAAATTATGTTAATCTGGGTGCCGGAACACAGGCTGAAACTTCGCGACCCACTTAGTACGAGGCACCCCGCCACGGTTCCCTGGGTTTCCTGCCTCGCAAGCGTGCTGCGCGCCACCGTGGAAAGGTTAAGGCCTTCCCCAAGGTGTGTTTTGTGTTTGCTGCGACGGAAAGCTACCAGATTGAATATATTATGTTATAACGCAGGATGACATCAAGAAGCCCGTCCATCTGACTGCCGTTATGGGCTACAAGGCTGGTATGACCCATGTTGTCCGTGATCTTGACCGTCCCGGATCCAGTATGTACACAATAACGAAATTGACTGAGAAAATAGCTAAATGGCAATCCCTTACAGAAATGCACAAGCGCGAAGTTGTGGAGGCCGTCACCGTCATCGAGACCCCGCCGATGGTTGTGGTCGGTGTTGTCGGCTACGTTGAGACCCCTCGTGGTCTCCGTACCCTTACCACTGTTTGGGCTTCCCACCTCTCTGATGAGCTCAAGCGTCGCTTCTATAAGAACTGGTATCGCTCGAAGAAGAAAGCTTTCACCCGCTACGCCAAGAAGGTCTCTGAAGATGGTGGCAAGTCTGTCACTCGCGAGCTCGAGCGTATTCGCAAATATTGCACTGTCGTTCGCGTCCTCGCCCATACCCAGATTCGCAAGACCGGCCTCAGTCAGAAGAAGGCTCATCTTATGGAGATCCAGGTGAACGGAGGCTCTATTGCGGACAAGGTCGAGTTCGCGCACGGCCTCTTCGAAAAGCCTTTCCCTGTGACATCTGTCTTCGAGCAAGACGAGGTTGTTGACGTTATTGCGGTGACCAAAGGTCACGGTTTCGAGGGTGTCACTCACCGTTGGGGCACCAAGAAGCTTCCCCGCAAGACCCACAAGGGTCTCCGCAAGGTCGCTTGTATTGGCGCCTGGCACCCGTCCAAAGTCATGTTTTCTGTTGCTCGTGCCGGCCAAAGTGCGTATTCGCGATTTGTTCTTAGTGATGCGTCGTTGACAAGGTCCTTATTGAACAGACGGCTACCACCATCGTACCGAGCTGAACAAGAAAATTTACCGCATCGGCTCTGGCGAGGACGTCGCCAACGCGTCAACCGAGTCTGATATCACGAATAAACAGATTACGCCAATGGGAGGATTTCCTCACTACGGTATCATCAAGAATGATTTCCTTATACTCAAGGGCTCTATCCCCGGAACCAAGAAGCGTATCATTACCATCCGCAAATCCCTTATGGTGCATACTTCTCGCCGGGATCTTGAGAAGGTTCAGCTCAAATTCATCGATACCTCCTCGAAGTTCGGTGTACGTAGGACTTATGACAACTGTCCGACAGGCGGGATGCTGACGTGCTCTGTCCACAGCACGGTGCTTTCCAGACCGCAGAAGAAAAGGGAGCGTTCCTCGGAACGCTCAAGGCCCGGGCGTGATCTGCTGTACTTTCTTCTCCCCTTCCTGCTTTCTACATATCTCCTTGTTGTTAGGCATTCATATCCTCATGCTGTGCTTTGTACTGCCAGTGCTATCGAGTGTCAGCGCTAGTTGTACTACGAATTTGAACTTCTGAATGGTAAGGCGAGACGTCGAAGCAAGAATAACCATGATTGTCAGCAACGGTCTTGCTTCCGTGCGCTGCTGTGTCTCCGTGCGACTCCGGCGAGGTTGTGAGCGTTGGGCGAGTGCAAGGCCAATCAGCACGATCCAAAATCTTGGTAAGCGCCTGTGGCCAACTTTGGAGAGTTCCACGACTTGCCCGAGGCGAGCTTTGCGGCTCTGCCAACACATCGCATTCTCGGACGCGTCTTGAACGCTCCTTACAGCCTGTGCGCATCAGTGTACCTCGCGGTGAGTCTTCGGACTGCGTCTTGTCGCGGAATGCCCTATCTCAATGCCCTCTAGGATGACTGCCTGTCATATTGATGCTGAGAGCGTCCTCTCTGGGCCTCAGATGCTATCGTCACACGTTGCATCATGGTACTTTGCGACGTTCAGCTCAGTTTATTCTAGTGCCGCGACAGTCGTACGGTGTTGCAGTGCGGGCTGCGCCGAGTGTTCCCGGACGTCCTTGGTCGGAACGCCTGGCGAAAGAGCCGGAAAGTGTTGGGTCGGAAGCGTCGAAAGGCGAATGCGGAGGCGAAGTCGAAGCGGAGGAAATAGGTGTAGTTACCCATGCCCCACCACATCCTCAGACAACACTTGCCAGCGGAGAACCATCGTTCAAGGGTGGACCCACTGCAAGCCTTCAGCCCGACCGGACGCGGTCACATGCTCACATGTACACCGTACCCGAAAAAATGAAGGCTATTCCAGTCAACAGTCGGGCTCAAGAACTCGAAGCCGAGAGGCTTGTTCGCCTACGTTTCGAAAAAAACCTCCCAGTACGTTTGAGCTCGGGGAGTACTACGCCGACAGAGCTTCCAGCTTCCATGACCATCCGCCCTACCCCTTCTCGTGCCGTTCGCAGTCGCTTGGAGATAAAACCTCTACAACTACGCGAAGGCTGGGTGCACACTCCCGAAGAAGACGAATACCGCGACATCCGAGCAAAGTTGCTCAACGTACTCGCGACGTCGCAGGATGTCGGAGCGGCTTGGGAGGCTTACTACACTCTCATGTCTCTACAACGCTTCCGGGACCGTCTTCCCATCCCTTGGCAGCATCTCCATCGCCTCACCCGTCTCATCGCTTCCGTCCGTCCGCGCACTCGCAGTCTGTTCATCCGTCTGCTCTCAGTAATATCTACCATACATAAAACGGGAGGCACCGTCCAGCTGTGGCAATGGAACGTCCTCCTTGATTTTGCTGGCAAAGGATGGCGGAAGACCACTCCAGAGACCTTTAGAACTGCGCTAGACGTATATCACGACTTGATTTCCAACAACCCGCCAGGCGCGTGCTTCTCGAAGAAACCAGTGGGTCTGAACGCTATAGACGAGGAGCCGACCGAATCTGTCAGACCGAACTTGGAACCGGATATCTGGACGTTCACCACATTACTCAATATCGCGATCAGTACGTCTGAAGCCAAACCTGTGCGTCAGGCTGTGGCTCTGTTGGAGAGCTCAGGACAACGGCCCAGCGTGGTTACGTATCTCAGCTACATCCGCTACTATACCAAGCTGGGAAGACTGTTGGGCGTCCGGTCTGTCCTGGCGCAAATAGTGTCTAACGACATAGAGCTTGGGCTAGACGGGACTAACGCTTGTATTTGGGCATTCGGCCGCAACAATCGTCTCGACACCGCGGAAACAATTTATAAGGTCCTCAGGTCCAACATGTCTCAGCACCCGGATCCTGAAATCGAACAGCTGAGGCGGCGGCTGGCCGAGGAGAATATCCGGGTCCCGTCCAATGTCGTTCCCGATCACATCACGTACACTTGTCTCATACAAGCATACGCGTACCGCGGACACCTCCATGAATGCTTAATCGCGTTTATGGACATGATCACTGCACTCGACCCGCCCGGCAAGAGAAAGACGACCCCTGAAGACCCTGAGAAGGCTCAACTCTATCTTCCCGTCTACCGTGCTATCTTCATCGGCTTCGTTCGCCACGGCAAAGCTCCGCACCTAGTGCAACCCGGGGCCCGATACGGCGCAGAGATTCTAGTACTGTCCCCTGCCGCAGATGACTCATCGCCGTGGACACTCAAGGCCCTAGACCCGCTGTTCGAGGATTTTTTGCGCATCCCGCGGGGGATGGAGCCTACGGAGAACCTCATCTTTTGGATATTGACGGCGTTTACCAAGACGAGCGGGGAGGACAAGCAAAAGCTGCGCCAGGTGTATGGGCTGCTTGAAGAGCGTTTCGGCGGCCACTGGGGAGGCAGGCTGACAAGGCTAAGAGAGGTCATCTTTACACCAGATAGCTCCCGCCCCTTGGTGGAGTCTTGGGACGACATGAACGCTGCTGCTGAAGATGATGATGGTGATGGGGGTATTACAAACTAATATTACATTGCTCATATAATGCAAGATTCTCAGAATACACAAGGCGTGATTGAGGACAGAGAGCACGAAGGTACAATTACAAGAGCCGGCGAGTGTACGCGATCATATCTTACCGCCGTTTCCCTTGCGCCACTGCACGTACTCTTCCCAGCTGACGGTGCACTTCCTGCTCTGGTACCTGCGCAGCTTAATGCTGCGCCGGACGTCCTCTGTTATCCGCCCGTTCCAGCCGGCTTTGCGGATAGCGCTGTCTATGGTCTCTATCTTGTCCCAGCCCTGCTCTGGCGCGATCTGGGGCAGGTATGTCGCAGAGTACGAGCGCCTATAGGTCTGCAGCGTAGGCACAGAGGTCGACGAGGATAGAGGCGAGGGAGCCTCGGAAGAGGAGGTCGACGTCGGGTGCGGGAAAGATATCTGTACGCCGTGGACACCAACGGTCCAGTCGAGATACGAAGAAGCGCCCTCGAAGTCGGTCAACAAGGAGATGCTGCAGCCAGAAGCGTTGTAAGCAAGGGAGCTCTACGAAGCGAAACTGGCAGGCGTACTCGCACTCAAGTGTCTCTAGTTCCCACTCCTCGATCTTCTTGAATCTAGAGTCTCTGAATGCGCTGATGAGGGCATACTCTGCGAGGCCCTCGTGTAAGGGCATCGGCTCAAAATTGCCAATGCAACCCCTTAGTCTAGGTGCACGGCCTGGGCGAGATGAACGAGTGTTCCACGTTACGAACAGAGCACTGCAGGTGATGAATCGATAGTTCAAGAGGATTGCTTGAGGCAGCGACGCACTATTTCTCATCCGGAAACGTGGGAGGTAGGGGCTTCTTCTTGGTGAGCTCGCAAAAGAGGGTGTCGAATGCGTAAAAGCAGTGCTCGGGAAGGCAGACCTGCGGCTCCTCGACGACTGGCTGCTCGGCAGCAGGGTCCATAGGTACCAGGGTCTCCATCCCAGACTAATATGCGCAGGGAGTGTCGAGATGGAGGAGGTAAAGCCGTCGCTGAGAGTAACACCGCCAAGCACCGCACCCCAGGAGAGAATGACCGAAGGAGTGTGGGGCAAAGACGCTCTCGCAGCATCCGCTCTATAATGCGCGCTTCTGAGCGGGAGTAATCTCGGACGGGAGCAGAAGAACGATCGAGCACAGAAAGCTCTATCGTGGAGGAGCTAATATATTGCGTGACTGTATGGTAAAGCATGAAGCCTCAAATACGATAAAGTAATAGGACACGGGAAAAAAGACGGGAGAAAATCCATGGGTAATTGCGTCAGGTATGGCATGGATGGAGGATAGGAGACCTGAAACCCAAGACGGCATGGCACCAGTGAGGTGTGGGAGGGAGCAGAGAGACAATGCAAGATGATGTGGAAATGAGAAATGCAAACGATAGCTGGCAGGCGATGGCTGATGACTAGTGACGAAATAAAGGGAGAAACCCAGGAACGACAGAGTTGAGGGTTGAGGGCGGCGGAAGAGATAAGGCGATGGCAAACCTTGAATAGACACTATACGGAACAGCAGCGCCAGGAGGAAGATACAGCGGCAGCCTGAGCTTTCTCCTCTGCATCGGCTTGGGCTGCCCAAACTGGCGTTGTCGCGGGGGTAAGATACACGCTATCGCGCTTCTTCATTTCGTTCTCAGCCTCGATAACGTCCTTTCGCTTGATAATAGCGGCCAATAAGGAGTCAAAAAGTTGCTTGACGCCTATATTTTTGGGCGCGAGTCAACAAATGCAGATCTTATTCGATCCCGATACAGCTAAAATCCGCACCTGTGTCATCTTTGGCGGAGACCTCGAAAAGTTCCATGCCCTTCTGGAGTCCCCATTCTCGATCGTCTGTGTCATCAGGGTCGTCTTCCTCTGCGAGCTGGCTGCTGCTGCTGGCATCACCAGATGTCTTCCAGGTCGCGTTGAGTCCGTGACGTAGGATCATCCCAGTGGTATTGGCCCGTTGTAGTAGATCTCCTCCGCTCTTCGCTCTCGGCCGGGTGTATACCGCGGAGGTAGTTGAGCGGGTTAGCCCAGAGGAACGGGAGTCGTGACTATCATCAGTCTCTGCTGAGGGTGTGATCGGCTGTTTCACCGGGAACGGAATGGGAACACTGCGCATGCTGGTGAATGAGGTGAAGCGTGGCCGCATGTAGGCAAAAGTAGACGGTGGCGGTGGAGGCGGCGGCGTCGGGGGCTGAGGCGGTGGAAACCAGCGGTGTAGAGAGAGCCGAGCCAGGTCAGACGTGATTTGTCTTTGTCGGAGTAGATCTGCCTTTGAGCCGACGATATAGATGATTAGATCCGGAGAGCAGTTGCTTTTCAGTTCTGAGAGACAAAGTTCCGGTCAGCACCGATAGATAATGGTATGCTGATAAATCTTTACCTTCAAGCCATCCTCGTATATCTTCAAAGGAGGCTGCGTTCGTGATATCGTACATAAGGAGCGCTGCATGTGCGCCGCGGTAGTACATTGGGGCCTGTGCTCGTATTAGCTTTGACGTGACGGACACGCTTTGGGGGAACCAGCTCACCATACTCCTAAACCTCTCTTGTCCCGCTGTATCCCACAGTTGCAATCGTATACGGATTCCGTTTACATACAATTTCTTCGAGATGAAGAGTGCCCCGGTGGTGGAAGTGGTATTCTTGGGCTCGAACTTGTTTTGGGTATATCGGTACAACAGGCTCGTTTTACCGACGCCTGGTTGCAGCAACAATCGTCAGGAACACGTAAATCCCAGAAGACAAGGCTGATGCAAGGCGAGAAGGACTGAAGTACGTACCCGTGTTGCCCATTACTACGATCTTAGCATCGACACCTTGGTCATATTTGGCCTGCAAATAAGGGCTTTGACCTAGAGGCTCTAACATCAACCCTGCAGAAAGAACGGAGATCCCAGGGAGTGAAAGGCCACGGTGGGCGGGGGAAATGGGAGGGGAGGAGAGAGAACCAAGCCAAGTTATGAGCCGCTGTTACGATGGAATAAGCGCGCAGCGCGAGCAAGAAGTGAACTACGTGAGCCACGTGGGCCACTTTTGGCAAGGGTCGGCAAGGGTCGGCACCCCGGCACCGTCGCCCGGGGTCGGTCCTGCAGCTTGAAGCTGCGCGGGGACAATGACTCTCTGACTACCACCATCTACGTACGGCAAAGAATGCAGTCCTGCGGGAGAATAGACCGAGGGACGAAGCAGGAGCCACCCAGCTCTCATCTCCAGGTTCACGCCTTTCGGCATTCCTAGCGTTCACCAGGCCAAACCCTAGGCGGACAGGCCGTTATCGCAGGGGGCATCTTAATCACTTGGAACATCCCGTCTACGGTCGAAGTACAATCACCACAGCTTTCCACGGCCAAAGCACGTAATAGGCAGAACCCTGAGTACAGTGCCGTAAGCGAATGCGTGCGCATGATTTTCGTGGGTGCAGAGGTAATAAAACAGTATAACATGACCATCCCTAGCAGCAGAAGGTACAGTGAGGCGCTTATTCCTGCGCCTGGACAGGGAACTCGAAGACCACATCTTTTCCCGTCAGCCGGCGGTAGACAGACGAGAAGGAGTCGAGCTTGTATTCGAGTGATGTAGAATCCTTCGAGTCAAGGAAGCTGCAGACGTAAAGATTAGCACATGCGATCCGACGCGGAATTTGGGATTGGGCAGGCACACATACACTTTCAGGAGCCGTGAACCATCGACGGCAACACGCGTCCTCTTGCCCACAATCTCAGTAGGAAAGACGAGATCCTCCAGAATCTTCTCGTGGACGCTCGTGAGGGTACGGCTGCGGGGACGCTTCTGCCTAACGCGAGAGGTACGGGTGGGCTTGCGCAGCATCCGGCGCTGAGCAATAAAAACAACATGGCGGTCTGAGAACTTCTTCTCGAGCTCCCTGGTTAACCTGTTGCACAACGTATCAACACTTGTTTAGCTATGTGTCCCGTTGTGGAACCTGAGCGCACCTCTGTTGAACCTTATGGAAAGCCTTGAGCTGAGGAACGGGAACAAAGATGACGATAGCCTTCTTGCCACCACGGACATCGACCTCGCGAGCAGCAGAGATTTGGAGGGGGCGGAGCTCAGCCTTGAGCTCTGGGACGTTGTTTTCGAGGTCAACCAAGGCCTGCGCGACGGCAGTTTCGGTCTCATCAGGAGGAGTGGTAGGAGCATTTGCCGTGCGGAGGATCTTGTGCTGGACGGACATGTTGAGTCTTGAGGCCCTGGAGACAGCCGTCAGCATCCAATCGTACCTAAGTGCATCCAGCCCATTCCGCCAGCTTTGTCGCTCATTTAACTTCACAGCCGCACCTTAGCCCTCCAACCCGTGCACCAACAGCACTCTAGCCTAGAGAATCCTACTCACCGTGCTTGTCGCCGACGGTTTTGATGTGCGCGACGTTGCCAAACCTCTTTCGTGGGTCTGCCGCTTAGCTAAGCAGGATCAGGTGGCAGGCATCATAGCCAAGCGCTGAAAACAACCTCGGTGTCAAGCGCCTGAGACCCCGAGACTTTGATAAGATACGGCGGGCAAATGGATTAGATCAGTGCGTTATCTACCCCAGACGTGCGGTCTTCCGCTTTGGTTCTCTCACTACGGTCGACTCCCTCTTCCCTTGTTTTACTACCAGCTCCTTGCTAATCTCTTCAACTGTGTTGCTATCAGGTATATTATGTGTCTCCCTCCGAATGGCTTCTTCTGCATATCCATAGAAGACTCTTCACTTGTCGGGATGCAGCATTTTTGCGACAGCCTTGACTGTGTCAATGCTGTTCCAGTGAATAAGAGTTGTTTGATATGACAGCCCGATGGCCTTGCCGCTTTGCTGTAAGTTTCAAAGTTCACATGATGCACTTGCTCCCCGAGGCCATAATAGATTCAAAAGGTGACATTATTCTTCTTGGGCTGAATGACTACATGAAATAAAAATTGACGGACATGTATTGCTGACACCAGGAAGAGACGGCGAGAGAGTAGCATAGAGTACGGCTTGCCGTCGGTGGAACGTGCGTCGCGCTTCCAGAGGTCCTGAACGCTGACTAGACGCTTGTACCCCCCACCGAGGTTGTTTTCAGCGCTAAGTGATAATACTCCCGAGCAGGATGCGTCTGCAGAAAGAGACCCCGAAACCTGGAAGTCCCTCCCCGGAGACACATCGCGCGTTTGCCACAGGCGCTCAACGCTCAAGCCTAGTGGGTAGCTGAGTACTGAGTGCTTAGATCTCTGGTTATTTTGCGCGCGTTAATTGTGCCGTAGTGTTGCGTTTCTTGAAGTTGCTCAAAGTATACAGGAGCAGAGTTGTCACAGTGCAGCAGCCTTGCAGTCCTGTCTCTACCCTACCGACTCCGCTTTGCCCTTAAAATTCAAGTGAGATATTACACGGGCTCCAGCGGAGATATGAACACCTTTGAGTGGGAGGATCTGGATCAGCTTTGCGGGCTCATGCGAGCTTTCTGTTTCAATTTCTTCTGAGGGGATGGTTCGAACACTCATTCATAAAACTTATTAGTTTTAACAAGAGATACAGATTCGTCCACCTCCTCTTTTTCTTCGTTGATTTCTGCCAGCCCAGTCAGTTAAATGAGGTCGAAGACGATAGAGTTTACTCAGGGCCTGAGAATTTCCATACGATTCAAGCATGGTAAATATCAAAAAGATACAAAGATAAGAAATGTGTTGTTATTCACGACGGTGGCTTTCAATAGAATATAATAGTGTCGCGAATTTCCACGTCTTCTAGAATGAGACGAGATTGTGCGTGCAGCTGTTACTGTCTCATTTCGAAGTCAAACTATCAAAACCGTTTCTGACCGAGCCTCGATTAGCGCCTCGTCAGCGCGTCGCCTACCGTAAATGGCATGTCTGTTACCAAATACGTAACGCTCCCGCAGAAATTCTTGGGAATCCATAAACTTGCGACTCGCTCTATCGGGATTAAATACGGCCTAGGCTCTGGTAGGAACAATGCCATTACAGCGCAATGAAACTCTACTGTCTTCGACCAGCTTGATCCCCGGCTGGTACTTACCTACTACAGTGACTTGGACTCGCTCACCGGAGAATCTACCCGCCAGAAATTACTATGTTACAGGGAGTTTTACGCGCGACGAAGAGTAGGTTGAAAAGTTTCTTCCATCAATGCAATCGACCGTAGCAACCAGTCTCTTTATCTGAGCTAGTTCTGCTGCGGGCGGAATAGAAGAGTCCGCGCTAAGAATGAGGGTGATTTTCCGCAAGGGGAACCCGCGACTCTTCCTGTCCTCACAAAATTGCCGCAGGTCTCGCGTAAACCAGAGAGAACGTTGGGCTCTTGTATTGTCCTGCCCGTTAAATCCGCCACGGAGAATCAGCTCTGTGAGTAGGGGACAGGGCAGCGCCAGGCCGAGAGTTTCGTCGGCAGCGCACAGTGCGGAGAAAAAGGCCGTGCCAGGCGACTCGTGCGCAGACCGTCCTGGGGAGACAACTAGTCTGCTCACGAGTGGAGTCGCAAGGAAGATCCGCTGCCACAGAGGGACGCGCGTTACAACTTGATCGCCCTCAATCCAGATCTCCTTGATGGAGCATGCGGATAGCAGCGCCAGGAGGCCCGCCATGTACTGGTTACTTCCGGCTTCGTGGACGTCTGCGCCTGGCGAGATGTTAAACGCCCCCAACCCGACACCTCGTATGCCTAGCCGTGCAGGATATAACGAAGAGCGGAGCACGACTGTGGATATAGTCGGGATGAATGAGAGACGCGAGATGGTTGAAAGGAGCGTATGCGAAGGTGCAGGCGTAACGTAGTCTACGGCTAGGTTGAGGGCGGGAGGAGGGCGGATTACATTCAGAATACGTGTGCAGAACGTTGTTGTATAATCGACGAGATGGAATCGACGAAGATGAGATAGTGAGATCCCAACAGTAGTTGTGGGGGTATTGTCTTCCAGGTCGTGAGGAGTCGGGTCGTCAGACTGCAAAATGATAACCTCAAGTTGGGGATTGCATGCCAACAGGTCAAAAACCTCGGACACAGAAAATGCTGATGCTCGGACACAGATGTGCGTAAGACTGGTGAGTCGATACGTCGGCCACAATTTCAGACGCGAAGTTGTCACGTGTTTGATGCTTGGCAGAAAACCGGCGAAAAGCAAGGGATCCAGGAGATCAGGAAGTGTCGGGGCTACATCAGGTTGGAGGGTGAGGCTTTGCAGTGATGGGGCAGGACATTCCGACAGCACTTCGTACAGCGCTCTACTGAGATGCTGGTCATGTTCGCGCAGGTGGAAGGCAGAAAAGCGGACACTCTGGGCTACAAGGTCCTCCGAGATCCAATTCATCGCGTCTTCTGGTACACCATTCTGATAGTCAATGTAGACATTCAGCGGTGCCCCGTAAGATCGCCGCAAGCACAGTTGGGCAAAGGAAAGGCTAGCGGACGGAAAGACGTCGCTAAGGTGTATAGTAGACCAGATCGTGGGGCAAGAAATTGTGACGACGCGCCAATATCGACATACTCCGGAGATGATGCTTGGATGCCACCGACCGCCACGTTCAGGGCGGATGGGAAACGGGTCGAAGTCTTTGAAGCGATCCATGGTCTGCGCAAATATGAGGTCAAGGACTTCGCGCGGGAGCTTGCACGCTGCCTGACGCGAGTTCCTGATTGTGCGCATGTAGCATGCTGCGAGGCCCAGTTTTTGCTCTGCGGTGTCCAACTGCGGAAGCGTGATCGTCACATTGAAGTCAAAGAGTCGTAATGTGAGTATACTCACCAATTCGCGCGTAAGGCCATCGGGAAAGCTATTAAGGTGATTCTCACGTGAGTAAAATCTTCCCATGAACAATAAACTTCCGCACTGTCCAAAATTCGTGCCGTCGGAAACGATCTTCGACAATGTCTCTGTAAAGCCGCTTAAATGGCGCGCAAAGGCGTCCGCAAGGGCGTGGCTGTCGTCCATGTCGATTTCAAGTATTCTGCAAATTACCACAAAAGGTTATTGCTTCGTGACCCGCAGATCCCATGAGCTAAAAAGCGAACCAGGGGGAGTGTCGACGATCCTTAGATCTTATGAGGAACGAAGTTCGAGCACAACCTGCGAGAGAAGCCACCATTGCAAGTCGTGGTTGCCTCGAGGCTGCAGACGGTGTCTGTTGTGGTGCCTGATATGTGCAGCTATCCGGCAAAGCCCGTTAGTCCTGAATGCACGGTAAGCGTGTGAAGTTAAATCTGCTCGATGGTTTCAAAAAGCACTCCACCGAAATCTCTCCATGGGAGCCCCGTTCGTTCGCAAGACATGCACCCCGGCATATTAGGATTGAATGAGCTACCGGTGGCAATGCACGATTACGACAGACGAGGGAATATATTCATAGGCAGCCATGGGATGCCATACAAGTTCTACGTCCAAGCAAAGAATACCTGCGAGACAGGTAGCGATCAGTTGAGAACAACCAGAAGCGAGAACCACAGCCTTACAATTTCTAAAGCAAATATCTTTGAGCGGCAACTAGAGCTTCGCCTTCGGCTTAAGCACAGCTTGGAAGGCTTGCCTGAGGTCAGCCTTCAGATCCTCGACATCCTCAATGCCAATGCTCAGACGGATGAGCCTAGGGTCTGCGCTAGCATCTGAGGCAACGCGTTGCTCGATGAGAGACTCGATCCCACCGAGACTAGTCGCGGGCTGCCAAGCCGTAAGCAGATTGAACGACTTCACGGCCTTGAGGACTTACTTACGAAGAAATATTTGGTGGAATGCGGGAGCAACGTGGCATGCTCCTTATGCTTCATCTGTTTCTACGTCAGACAACCGACTTAAGAAGACAGAGCGCTAACTTACGAAAATAGCGAAGGTGGGGTTCCAGCCACCCTCCAGCTGAGCACTCGGCTCCCAGCCTCGGGCGTCCTTCCCTTGGAGGCTCGAGTGCCAGACGATGTCAATCACCCCAGCGGGTATACCGTCATGTGCTTTCCCCTGAGAAGGATAATCAGCGCCAGCGAGCACATTCCGAAGGATTAGCAAACGTACCCCAGCAGCACCACTAAGCCACTTGGCAAGAATTACCGCGTTCTCGGACTGACGAGGCACCCGTAGATGGAGAGTGCGAAGAGAACGGAGAAGTAGCCATGCCTCAAGAGAGCCCATCATGTTACCGAGGAATGTGCGCTGAGACCAGAGCTATGCAAGAGATGAACGTCAGTGGTAGGCACCAGATATCGTTCGATCTGACCTCTGTCCACTCCTCTTTGCTTTTGACGACAAGAACACCACATAGCAAGTCTGAGTGTCCACCGAAGTACTTCGTGCCTGAGCTAGTTCTCAGATTGACGCCATGGCTAACAGAAAGGCACTTACCGCTGTGCATAATAATGTCCGCTCCCCACTTGAAAGGGTATTGAAGGGGTGGCGGAGCAAATGTAGCGTCTACCACCAACTTTCCGCCTACCGCGTGGATCTAGTCGATCTGTCAATCCGCGAAGCTCAAGGATGTTGCAAAACCCACACCTTATCGGCATAGTACTTGATATCTCTGCAAAAGACGGATTATTGACGTAGATGACACAGGTATCGAGCGATCTACCTTGCTTCACCAGTAGGATTCAAGGGAGTCTCCAGCCAGCAGATGTCTCCTGGCTTGAACTCGTCGTCGATGCTGATGACCTCTACAGGTTCATTGCTGCTTCTCTTGTATACATTGAGAGTCATATGCGCGCCATGATAGCCTCCGGTGATTGCGACACGCTTCGGCTTCAGATGCACCAGCGCCTTTAGCGCATGTCAGTCGTAGGGGGCTTGAGAGAGCAAACTGAACGACGCACAGCGTAAATCGCGGCCAGGCCTGAAGAATAGGTGATAGCGTAGCCATTCTATGGACGCAGTGATTAAGGCCTGTATGCCTCATGTAGCAGACTGTCGTACATTAATTTTGCTCAACACTCGCTCCGCACGAGTGCTGACTTCCTGAGTGTACCGGGAATAAACATGTCTGTCAGGGTCTCGTGCATTCAGGACGTCCAAACCCTTGCTCGGGTCCCAGGGCTGAGGATTTCTGAATGCTATACGAATGATTGCTAAGTTCGAAGCTGTGTTTTTCAGAGTGACACTCACTGGTAGAGACAGAGATAGATGGGGCGACCTCGAGGCCGTGGACGACCTGATCATCTGCGTGAATGAGGTCAGTGCCACTGAGTTTCTTACCAGGGGCCATGGTAGTCGAGGTCAAGAGGCAAGGACCGTTAGCGAGTCCTATGTATCACAACACGTTGTGGTGAGTCACAAGTCCGGATAAAAACACGTCTTTCGAATTCTGAATCGCATCACATCCCCGAGTGCAATGCCCGAGGGGGAAACATCGGGCGTCTGCCATACAGGTCAGTTTCCGTTTCGGGCGGCAAAGTTGAACTCTGTCTCAAACCTCGACGTCCCCATACCTGTCAAACTGCCCTGTCTTTACTCTCCGCCCATACCTTACGTTCTTTTAATACTTGGACAATATGGTGGGCTTCCGACTGGTCTCTCTGGTGGCCTTGACCCTGGCGACAGCTCTGGTTCTCGCACCCTCTCCGGCTCGTGCTTTCGACCCTCGCGCGTACAGCTCTTTGGAGGCCCGCTACGCTCGTGCACACTCTCTAGGCGACAGCTATCAGTTTGACCCTCGCGATGGCTGGCAAACCGTTAACGCTACGAACCTGCAGTATAAGTACTCTAGAGATTACGGAGACCCGAACAACGAGCGCGAGGACGACTGGGAAGACGATGCTACAGGCTCAGATGCTCTGGGGAGAAGAGCCAGCAAGAAGTCGAAATCAAAGTCAAAATCGACGAACAACTCAAAGTCTAGCTCCAAGTCAAAATCGAAAAGCGTCAATCCCAAGTCTGCCGCTTCTAAAGTAACATCGTCGATCAAGAAGATTGTTGACACCATGAAGGGTACCGGCAAGTCCGAGCCCGTCACTATCACCTGGTACACCGGACACGATCTTGAAAACCCTAGCTGCTGGTCAAACCCGAGCTGGGCGCCGACAGTACGTAGCATGCATATGCACGCATTACTGTATATAAACTTTTTTAGGACGCGTCTTTTGCGTGCGCTTTGACTCTGGACGGTTGGACCACCAAACCCAAGTGCTTCAAGTTTCTTGAACGCAAGTGGCTGTATTTCAGTCCCAAAATGGGTATTTAACTGACAGCTCTGTAGTCTGCAACTCCCCGAAGAAGTGTGTCTTCGTCCGCGTTGTTGACTCCTGTGCCGGCTGCGCGAAAGATTCCAAACATGTCGATCTCACCCAGGCTGCGTTCGAGCAATTGGCGGACCTGGACACTGGGCTCCTCACTGTGCAGATGAGGCCGGCCACAGACCCCGACGGATGGTGCGTCGCATGAATACCACCGTTATGGTAAAAAGCTCAGCTTATATACAGGCTTGAAGACCTCTGGGGCCCAAAGGCATGATATTGAATAGGTCTTTTGAAGACTCCTGGATCTAGAATGCCGATAATAGCCCTTAATCAAGTGGCCGGTCCCAATACTCTGATGCCTGTACTCCTATCACGAATGATAAGTCGCATGGACGACTATTCCACAAAGTTGTAGAGACACTTGACTTGATGTACACTAATTGCACCGTATGAACCATACTACGCCTTAATGGATACGCGTTTCCTCTTTTTGCCTTCCGTGATGCGCTCACGCACTTTCTCCTCGTCCATTTCTTCCTCAAAGAACTCGGCGGTGAGCTTCGCGTCGCTCTGGCGCTTGATGTACTTCAACGCAGCCAGGTTGTAGCTGATCGTGTCCTTTTGTCTCTGGAGGGCCTCTCGCAGATGCTTGCGTAGTGGAAAGAGGGCCATGCGCATCACCCGGTTCGCGACGATTTGGTGGTGGTGTGTCTTTAGCAGGAAGAAGATAATTCGCGACGTAAGGACGAGGTTCCACTCCTGCATTCAGGCATGTTAGCCAAACGTAAACATGAATTATGATAGTACGCACCCTCTGCGCCCAATAGTTCAGGTAGCGCATCAAGCTGACAACCTTGCCAAACGGCAGCACCAATAGCGCGTCGTAAAGCGACGTTGGAGACACCCTCTCAACGACCCTCAGGACGTATTCCTCTGGCTCTATATCATACGCTGCAAGGACTTGGTTCCGTGGCGGAGGCGCAATCTGTTCGGACAGCCCGCCTTTAGCCTTCGCCTCCTCGTACTCACGGAAGACGGAATTCTCGTTATCTGCGAGGTCGATCGCCTCCATGATCTTCTCGCCCGCCATGAGAGTCTCTGTCGTCTGCTTTGCGACCGCCGCGACTTCGGTATCCGTGGTCGTCGCCGGGACACCGTCTGCGTCGGCAGCACCACTACCGATAGCCGCATCTTCCCGGTTCATGCTATCGGCAATACCGGTCTCGTAGAGCATCTCGAGCTCTCGTTCGCGCTCTTCCTCGAGAAAGAGCTGGTATCGACAAACTGTCACTAATAGCTACGCGCGTAGCCCATAGATTATGCTCACCGGCTCGTCGAGCTTCTCCCAAACGCGAACCGACTTGTCATGCGACCCAGTGACAACAAACTTCCCGTGGTTGCTCACTGCCAGCGCCCAGATTTCGCCATGGTGGCCCTCGAATTTCTGGATCAGCTCAAACTTGTCGCCGTCCCAATACTTAAGTATCTTGTCCTTGCTGACGGTCCAGAAGTAGTGCGTTGGCTTCGCGTTCTCGCCCTCGCGGGTGTCGTTGCGCTCGAACGCAACCTGCATGACACTCTCATCGTGCGCAAAGATAGACTTATGACAGTCACCGAAGTCAAGGCCCCAAATCTTGACGTTCTTGTCCGAAGAGCAGGTGACAATAAGCTTGGAGTCGTGGGAAATGTCCATAGACAGCACTGGAAGCTAGATAATAATCGAAAACTACGTCGGACGCGGAGAGATTGTAGGTATACGTACTTTGTGACCGTACAAAGATAGAAAAAACTTCAGAGTGTCCTGGTAGAAGACTTTCACGGTAGAGTCCAGAAGGGCAACCGCGAGTAGTTTACCGCTCGGGCTGTACCGTACGGATAGGACATCGTCGGTCATCTTTAACGTTCGCACATGGACCAACGAGAGCAGTCTCGTGCTATGTGGCTGTACCAAAGCTGCGTATTAGAATTGGCTCAAGTATCACAGTTTTGGGAACTAACACTCTCGCTGTCTGCAAGCTTCTGCTCAAATTCCCAGAACTTGACGTCTTTGTCGGCACTACCCGTCACAAGTGTTTGACCATCTGTACGCATATGCATTGACCATACGGTCGCTGTATGTGCTTGGATGGTTTCGAGCAGAGACGAAGACGCGATATCGTACACAAGAATTTCTCCGTTTTTGGTACCCACGGCGACTTGACGATCACCAGGAAGGAAGGTGTTGCAGACAGCGTACCCGCATCCCATAGTCCGGATGCAAGTGAACGTTTTCATATTCCATATCTTCAGTAATCCTGTAACGCCAAGTGGTCAGATTACAATAAAAAACAGCATGATACTGCTGACCGTTTGAAGCGGACGCTAGGAGGAGGTCGTCCGAACTCAGGCATAGAGTTCGGACATCTGTCCGATGTCCGGGAAGCTCAACAGACAGCGTGCGGGTCGCCTCTGGCTGATTGCTCTTGTCCTTACTAGGCGGCGGAAAGCTATAGACCTCTAAGGCGTTTATCGAGAGTGCGAGGAAGATGTTGGTGTTACCCTGCGTACTATACTCCTCATTCGGGAAGTCGAAGGACCGAATTTTTCCGCTGGCACGAACGACAAGATATGGTGTGAACAGGTCCGGCAGCTCGACATCCTTGTGCTCCGCATCGTCGGCCTCATCTCCCTCCGACGCTTTGCCTTTTCCCTTCGCTTTCGCTTGCTCCTTCTCCTTCGCACGCTTCAAACGACGCGCTTGCTTCTTGCGGACTTCCTCTTCCGTCCGAATGCGGAAGATCTCAACAGACCTGTCATGCGACTGGACAGCGAGGTAAGGCCTAGAGGGGTGAAAGGTAATCTGCGAGACTTTGTGCTTCGAGGAGAGAGGGAGAGTGGTCACAGGGAGAATCATTTTTGTGACCTGGGTAGACCGACGTTAATGTAGCATTCTATACGTGATGCACGGCCTTCACACACCTCGCCGCTTTCGTTTTCTTGCAGGCCCGCAGACATGGCCTCATGATCCAACCGCCACGCCTTCATCTCCCCCTCGGCAGAACCACTAAAGACAAGCTTCTGCTCGACATCCACAGCGAGCGTCCATACCTCAGCGCGGTGGGCAACGACGGTCTGCACGCAATGTTGGGTAGAGAGGTCCCACAACTTTACAAACGTGTCTTTCGACGATGTGAGAAAGAAGCCCGAAGCAGCTGTAGCTGAAGTCGAGGGGACGCTTGAAGAGACAGCTTCAACGAACCGGATGGCTGTGATCTGATCACGGTGTCCACGTAGACTAAGTGAGGGATACTTCAATAAACAGGATCCTATTGTACTCAATGATATAACACGCACCGGAATATACCAGCTTCCGCGACAACATCCCACAGAATAAGATCCGTGTCTTGCGAGCCGGAAGCTAGTCTTGCGCCAGCCTCGTCGAAAGCGAGAGCGGTGACAGCCTTCTTGTGCCCGTTGAAAGTTGCAACAGCTGAGGCATCCGATGCATTCCAGAGACGAATAGAACCGTCAGTGTAACCGACGGCGAAGATGTCCTTCTGAGGTGACTGAATGATGCAAGTGACCTCTGCCCTGTGCCCGGTTTCGTGCCACATGGAAAGCTGAAATTCTATAAGCTTTTATAGCCACAGATGATACGGTTTGCACACCATCTGGCCCTTCTTCACGTCCCAGACCAGTACATCTTCCAATGCAGGCACAAATGCCAATTTGCCATCGTATATTGAGTTGGAAGAAGCGCTACAGACCAAGCCAAAGGCCTAAGTTGAAATTTTTTGGTTGACTTTGGTTCGATCGTGCAGAGCTAAGGATGTGTGTACCTCTGTCGGACCGTGCTTGAGGTAGCTATGAACCATGGTCGTGCAAGTGAAGAGAAGGCAGGGCGTCTAAGCGTCCGGGCCAAGGCGCTTTGAAAGTAGCCAATTGGAATTCGGATTTGATTGAATTTTTAGCGTTCGACGGTCAGCGCGCGCCACACCTGCGGAGCTGCAGATTTGCCCTCCGTAGTCACTGCAACAGCACCATGTCTAGTAATCTCTAAATTTCAAACATAATCGTCGTTGATAATCTAGATGAGAATTACGCAGAATCTCCCGGCTGTCACTCCGCGGTGGCGCTGCATCATGAACCAACGGAGTTAAGCCAAGGATGTTCCAGGACATCCTCAGCACTCAGCCGGGCTGCAGGATCCATCTTGAGCATCAACCGTAGGAGAGAAATTAGCTCGGCCATATCAGTGGAGGGTAACACGCTATTTGTCCGCGAATGATGATCCAAGAGGTACGCCCATTCTGCAGAGGCAGTCTCTGGAGATGTATCTTGCGCCAATGATTAATGCGACGGTTATTAGATGAGATAAGGGTCACTCACCAAGATCACGAAGCCGCTCCTTGGAAATCCAATAGGTTTGCCAGGACGGAGAAATCTCGCCACACAGTTTCGACATCTTTCCAAGCAACGCGTCATTCTGCGCCGCAAAATGAAACAACCGTGAGCCGAATACAAGTTCGTACATCTAAAATACTTCAGAACGCAAGGTGGTGAGAGAACAAGCTGGACATACGGTGCACGCAAGCGACCATATATCGCTCGCTTTTGTTGCCGGTGCGTCTACTGAACGGACGACCCGCTCAAACATGATCTCAGGTGCGCAGACCGCTGCGGGAGTGCATGACGGACGTGGTGCGCAGTCTACGGTAGTGGCTAGTATGTCGCCATGAATATAGGGTTTAAATGATGGTTTTGGCTACTGACCGTTCCCCAAATCCATGATCTCTACTTTTAGAAGCCCCTCACGAAAGGAAAGATCATTTCTCGACAGGAAACTGTTGAAGGAGACAGGCGGCACGAGGTATGGTGGCAGACCGTCGGGATGTTGAGATACCGTTGTAGGGAGTACGACGGTACATTCTGGGTTACCGAAGTACTCCATGATATCTCTCGAGGAATGGTCATTCAAAGTAGGGAGAGCTATGCCAACGTTGCCCAAATGGATGTCTGCCAGAGGATGAGCTTTCAGAGCACTGCATAGTCACACTGGCTAGGACACTCACCCCCATGCACGACACCATAGCGATGCAAAAAGGCAACACCTTTTACCAGCTGTTGACAGACTAGTTTGACTTGCATAGTACCGGGACTGGAACGGATGGCTTCGTTCAGACTGCCAAGGACATTGTATACAAACACTGAGTGAACACCATTCGGCCCCTGCAGCGTAAAGCTATCGAGAAGTTCCATTATATGTCGCGCTTCCTCATGGGGGAGCCGGCTGTGGATTCCAAGTTCCTGCTGAGGATTCGCATCGGCCACACATATTTTGAGCGCGACATAGCGCTGTCTATTACAGCACCCTTCTCGTCGATAATGAAGTACAATGTCCACTATAGAGCACTCACGAGGATTCATGCAGACTCTCTGCGAACCATACGGTTCCAAAGGCCCCGCGACCGAGTTTATGGAGTACGCGATATCGTCGCACTCCTCCGTCCGAGGACCCAGGAGGAGGCGCGAGTAAGTCGCCAAGTTTGACAGGATGATATCCTCCGGGAACGTATCGTCCAATGTCTTCAACATCATCATCCGCCTCCCAGTACAAAGAGGGTCGGTTCATGGCGACAAGAGCGGCTGCGATGTTTCAAGGGTCTGCTCAGTCTGCTCCTGGTACTTGTGGCGACGTACTTGTTTGAGAGCTCGTTAGCCCGCGCCAAGGCGGGATATTAATACTGTGTGTAGCAAGTGAAGGAAGTAACCCGGTCGCCTGACCGAACGGCGTGACTTGAAGAGCCCCTGTTGAGATCCTGCGCTTATGTAGAGGTCCCAAAACATATATGAACCTCCCGGACAATCGATGTTGGACACCGGGAAAGTTCAGCTCGCGGACGAGGTACGCAAGCATATGGTAGGACTCGATAGGACTAGTAGGCTGTTCCGGCCCACGGTGGCGCATGTACGACTCCTCACACTGCCCCATTCGGACAAGGGCTGCACCACTGCACCAGGAGAGGAATGTGCAGGCTACATAGGCGTAACCATACATTTGAGCAGACAGACTAAGGCGAGCTACAACACATGAGGAACGGCTACTTGTGTCAAATCCACCTTTTGAGCTCTGCTCTAAGCGAGATTACCCTTGCCAAGAGTGCCGCGGTTATTCGCTAAGGCAGTAGCTACTTTAGCTTGAATATCCGGGCTTGACAATTTACTTCTGCTCTTGTTTTTCAGCAGCCAGTTGTCATATCCATCATCGATGTCGTTGTTCTCCGCGTAGATGTGAACACAGCAGTTATTCTCCTTTGGGCTGAGAGCCCACGCCGCTTCTGTGCTAAGACGGCCGGTGATGTGTACTCGCTCGTTCGGGCTGCTAGTGGAGATGTGAAGATCACTCCTGTTGTTGAATTACAAGATCATTTATAAGCGGTATTAGAACAAGTCTACAGACGCACGTAGCCAGCATCACTGCCACAGGGAACGACGAAGTGGAGCTGGGAAGCTTTCCGGTGATATCCTGAGCTCGTTCAGCATGAATGCGAGTATGTTAGAGATGAGCAGAAATGAGCAGAACATACAACGAAGTTGCTGTTGAAGGCAATGAACCAGTCTTTGATGACTAGAAGCTCTGATTTGAGCTCGGCATCGGTCATTGTGCTGTGCGGGTAGACAACGAGGAGGTTGGCAATTGCGCCTCCGATAATGGCCGAGACGATCGCCGATGCCATTTGGTAAACGTTCGACCGCTAGGTAGGCAACTACGGAGAGAGAGAACTTGGTCATAGAGACAGCTTTTATCCTGGGGTCATCCGTCCTCCACGGGGACGGCGAGGCAGAGCAAGCGAAAGGGTCCGACACAGCCAGAGCGATATAATCCAGCCCTGTCTCTTCATTCTTGATTGAGGTCCATTGGGAAACTCTTCAACAGCTGGGAAGAGCCTTGTGGGAACAGGAATATGACCATAATAGCGCATGCCTGGTACAGAACGCATCATTCCGAGCGGCGTCCCTTTCCCTTCCATTCGTGTTACGTGGCCGCGAGCCACTTGCAGAGAAGGACATGTCAACAAAGCACTTTCAACGGTACCATGTGTCCAGACGCACCATTGCCTTGTCGTCTTTGGAAATACAGCTGCCTGACAAGATTTTGGATACGGCCTTGGTAGAGTATTACAAGGGTGCCCAGGTCAAAGAGCCATATCATCAAGTTAATTCAGGAAGGCAGACAAACAGGACAAGATACATGTTCGTGAGCGTCGTTGCAACCAGGGATTAGCACGCGGAACGCCTCAGTTCCTAGAACAGAACGCTTTGCCACGAGACCATTCTCCGCGGGCGGTGACAGGCCTAGGAAGAAGTTACGTGAACTGTATCTGACCCTTTTGCGCAGTCCTAAGGCTGCCTGAGCAATGTTCAATATTGGGCAAAAGACATAACACTCCCATGCCACCCCCTTCAGGTTCAACAAGAGCGCTAGCAGGGCACTGCACTCCAAGTCTTCCTTTTTATACACAGGCCACCTCTGAGTCAGATTCTCCTAATCATGTGACCGCAGCGGTTATGGTCGCTAAGTCAAGTACTACTAGCGTCCATGAGACCTAGTACGCGACAGAAATCAGATCTTTTACAACACCGACAACTTGTGCCAGCGATGAGACCAACATGACTGCTCTAGTTAGACTACGGTAAGTATATAGCTTGTAAGCGCCATGGCCATTGGATCCTGTTCACGTGTCCCATCGGTTTCTGCGAGGGCGCGTGTGTCAGAGATAGCGGTAAGTTTCTCACCCGAACCACCACCTCCAGATGACCATGATTGCACAAGCAGGGCCAGAAGCTGCCTCCAGGCTCATCAGCTTCGTGAACGCGTCTCCGACACCCTTCCACGCTGTGCGCACGGCCGTTACGAGGCTTGAGCAGGCTGGATTTCGCAAGGTATGTCCATCTTATCTTTTTGAGTATCCCACAATGCACGATGTGTAGCTCAGGGAGGTGGATGGGTGGGACGATGACTTGAAACCTGGAGGAAAGTATTACTTCACGAGGTGAGCGTAGATGTCGAGTGACTGGTAGTCTTCGTTCTCACTCCATGCAGAAACCAGAGTGCGCTGCTAGCCTTCACACTTCCTCAAAAGTGGGAGCCGGGAGTCGGGGTATCCATCATCGCCACTCATGTCGACAGCCCCAACCTGAGAGTGGGTGTTGTACGCCCAATACACGCAGACAGCGGTGCTCACATTCGTTCCACAGGTGCGCCCTGTATCTAAGAAGGCCAAGCTAGGTTATCTTCAAGTCGGTGTCGAGACCTACGGCGGCGGCATTTGGCACTCTTGGTTCGATCGCGATCTCTCCCTTGCTGGTCGCATCGTCATCACGGATAAAAAGGGAGGCTTCACCTCGAAGCTTGTGAAGATCGACCGACCTTTACTGCGTATACCCACCCTCGCCATTCATCGTGAGTGTACATTACACAGATTACTGAAATCGTGATAACCCCCAAAAGTGGACAGATCTGTCAACGACGGTTTCAAATTTAACAAAGAGACCGAGCTTGTTCCCATCGCTGGCCTTGTGGAGGAGCAGTTGAATACGGAGAAGGAGAAATCGGCCGATAAAAAATCTGGTGCCTCCAGTATTCAAGATAATCACCATTCTGCACTCCTTGCAGTGCTTTCTGAGGAGTTGTCTGTTACTCCCGAAGAGATTCACGACTTTGAGCTGTATGTATTCTCTCCGAACATGCATTAACTGTGTAGCTGACCACGTTTAGACACTTGTACGATGTACAGCCAGCATCTTTGGCGGGTCTGAATAATGAATTCATCTTTGCGTCACGCTTAGACAACCAATTCTCCTCGTACGCCACCAGTATACTCTACTCGCTCCTTTTCTAATCCATGTCTCTAATAGATTTGCCGCTGTTGAGGCTATTGTAGACCATGCCTCGATAGAATCTTTCCCTACCTTTGAGGGCAACGTCAATTGCATTGCACTCTTCAATCACGAAGAGATCGGCTCTGTATCCTCATCCGGCGCGGCGTCCTCTCTCATCCCCACTCTCCTGGAGCGTCTTTCCCCTACTCCCCAGTCTTGGGCCCGGTCAATTGCTCGATCCTTCCTTGTCAGCTCAGACGTCTCGCACGCGATTCACCCGAACTACAGCTCGAAGCATGAGGAGAATCATGCACCAAGGATGAACGGCGGTGTCGTCATCAAAACGAACGAAGGCCAACGCTACGCGACCGACTCTATCAGCAGCTTCGTCGTCAAAAAACTCGTTGAAAAGACGGGTGGCAAAATTCAGAATTTCGAAGTTCGCAATGACATGTAGGTCTCGCCATCGTTCGCAACGAGTCCTGAGACTAACCTCTATGCACAGGCCCTGTGGCTCTACTGTCGGACCTATGCTCTCTAAAATAGGTATCCGTACTGTCGATGTTGGCTGCGGCATCCTATCGATGCACTCTATCCGCGAGCAAGCTGGTGCCCAGGATGTCCAGAGCCTCATCGATCTGTTCTCGTCCTTGTTTGAAGGATTTGCAGAATTAGATCGAGAGTTGACCGTAGACTAATCTGTGGTATCCGGCAAGTGTAGAATATACAACATGGCGTGGGCAACGGGTGAGGTGCGTGCGGAATGCGGATGTGAGGTGCGCGGCTACCGACGAGCCTTTTTTGCCTTGGGCTCCTCTGAGTCGTCCTGTGTGGCAGAACCTGGGCGCGGAGACGGGCCTGTGAGGAGGCTGCGCTTCTTGGCCGTCCGAGAGTAATGCGAGAGGACCCATTCCTTGTCCGCCTCCATCTGCTCTATTGTTCCTAGCCGGATCTCATATGCTGTAACGGCATGTAAGTAACGTGTAGACAACTAGACAAGGCAAGGGCGAACGTACGCTTCATCTCAAAGCGAGGGCCGACTTCGGCCAGCTGAACTTGCTTTGGCGGCATCTTGACAAAGACATGATGCCTGCAAGCATGGAGCTGTTAGTGACGATCAAAGGTGCATAGGACGAACATACCTGAACGAGAGAAAATCATCCTCATTAGAGAAGGTCATGACACGCTTACTGTCTTCTTTCGGCACCGGGAACAGGTACCTGAGGACATCACGTATTCGCTCTCCCAGTTTCGAAGAGAAGCTCTCGAAGATGAGGTGGGGATACTGTTCCGATACAGTCGACTCCTTGTACGACGCGATATCATGCCGGAGGATAACGTTATGAAGTGTAAAGAACACTGTGGGCCCGTGGGGGAAGTGTGATACAATCATGGCGTCTCGGAAAGCCTTCAGATGGCAAACTAGGAGCAACCTGAGCTATACGTACCTGGGACACCTCGGTGCTCGTGAAGGATTACGAGGTCAGTGACATCGTTCGCCCGACATGCGTCCGCGAGCTCTTTGACGACGTAATTTCCGCGGTTGATTCGGTATGAGTTGGGGAAGACCAGCCGCATCTCCTGTTGTACAATGAGTCTCGATGGCTGGGAGCGTTGTTGACAAGCATACCTTGGCGAACTGCAAGAGTTTAGAGCTCGGGTCTCTTGACGTAGTGACAATAATTTTAGGGTCCATGATACCCGCTCTTGAGTACTCGTTGTCGATGTGTGTTGTAGACTCTGCCAGCGCACTCAGTTTTTACAGCCGTGCACGTTTATACGGGGGCGCACCCGCTTGTGCCTCATCGAACGCAAGGTCCCTTCCTAACTGCTTCGCATTCCTTCTGAGCTCTGTAGGCAGCGCTTTTCCAGATGCAAGTGCGTCCTTGATTTGCTGCTTCCGCTCCCATGTCTGGCGTTCTTGTGCTTCAAGAGACTTTGCGTAGATGTATTGCCTGCGTTCTCGCGCTTGCCGACGAATCTGAAAAGATCGTTAGCCACAAAAACGCCTTCTCATTGTGTCCTGAACAAACCATGGTTGTAACTATCGCTAAGAAACGTAGTCCCTATGGGTGGAATTAAAGAAGAGCACCGAGATTTTGAGCAGGAAGGTGCAAGCCGCGATGCCGGCGAACTTTTGCAAACCTAATCTCGGTCAAGTTTTGACGTCTATCAATGCAAGGACTCCGTGCACCCCCGCCGGTATGCCCCAGTGCTTGAAATTGGCATGACCAGCTCGCGTTGAACAACCAAGCAGAATCACTACGTAAGGTATCGCGAGTCCGATGTCAAGTCAAATAAAGGATAGTATAGCGAGCTCTGAGATGTGAAGCTTAAAGTACTAGTTCACTTAGACGAGAGAGCCCACTCAATACGCTTACTATCGGCAGGACGAGAAACCAAAATCTAGCCTATATATAGTCGCGGCGTGTCTACTGTTCGCCTATTCCGGGCCCGATCCAAACATGGTCCGTCCTAAAACTTCCTCAAGTAAATTACAGAGAGTCTTACGAAAGCCCACACCAACCCCACCGCACAATACACGCTGGTCAGCATCAGTGGCAAAAACTCCATCGTGGACGCCTCCACAGGCAGCGATTCGTCCGAGGCGCAGTGGTTGCCCGCCGCACACGCTGTGGAGTTCTGGGAAACAGATGGGGAAATACGAGAATGGGCGAAGATGGGGAAAAGCGTGACGAAGAGTTGCAGTGCAGCAAAGCCGGCGATGTAAAGCCGCTCGAGGCCGTCGAGGATGACCCATGGAAGTGAAGTTGGGAATCTGTAAAGCACCGAGCTTAACATCACGTAGCAACAGTCGAGGCCACGTTAGCACTACGTACTCGTACACTCGCTTGCTCAGGGGTTCAACGATCAAAATTGCCCAACATAGAGAGTATGCGATCTTCACGAAAGTCTCTGCAGGGACCATGAACATCTGAAGTATTGTCGGACTCAGAGTAACGTACCTCCCGGTGTGAACAGTAAGGGGAACAGTGAAAAAACTCCGCTCACAGACGCTATCGTGAACGTTCTGAAGAGCGCATTGTTCTCGGCAGCCAGCAGACTGGTGGCACAGTTTAGCGATGCATACTACGACTCAGCAGGTGCCGTTCTCACCTAAGCGGGACAAGCACGAGCAGAATAGCTTTTTCGTGCACATGCCAGCCAAACATAAACGAAGTGTAGCCACAAAGCGTCAAGGCCGCGACGAATGATTTGTACGTAGGGGCGCGCCAGAGTTTGATCAGGAATATCTGAGAGACCGTTCAGTTAAGTATGCAATGCATCTCATAAGATGAACCGACCATTTGGAATGCAATTGTAATGATGAACGTATAGACCGGTTTGACGTTAGGGATCACTGCGAAGATCGTGTCGCCGACCAATCCTCGTGATGTCGAAGAGACTCCCGGGGTATTGATCTGCAAACTCTGGATATTGAATATCTGTGCGGCTGTAACCTGGTCGGTCTCTCTACGACACAGCATGGAGTGTTCCTCACCTTTCAAAAGCACACGATCAGCAGCAGTGGCAAGAGCCCAGAAATTCGGTGCCCAGTATGCGTGGTTCAGTCCACGCGTGAATGGAAATAGGCGGCTGAGTAACTGCGGGAGCTGGCCCATCAGGAGGAAAGGCCCCAATGACGCTAGAAATACAAGTATGACGGCGTTCGCAAGCGAGAGGAAACGTCCGGGGAGGAGCTCGCCCGACGGGGAGAGACAGAAGGCGCGCAGCAGGTAGATGAAGTAGGCCGGCTGGGCATGGCATTAGATCCGACTGCAAGACCCAATGCCGCACTTACCGCAAGGTACATATAGATATGCTTGAAATTTAGTAGCACGGCAAAAAGAAAGCCACTGGCGAGTTTGTTCCCCTGAAGCAGGATAAGTGTTGGAAGCGTAAATAGGTCATGAGACGCACATTCCGGGCCATGAGGATAGACCACAAGAGGATGCCAAACATGAAACCATTGTACTGAAAGTGAATATGATCCACAATCAGAAACCCCGGGTGGAGGAAAAGTGACGCAGAGATGATGCGTTGAACAGACGGGTCCACCGCGCCTCTGATGAATCTATTCACCTCAATATGAGAACCAATGTATCCGAGTCGGCATATGGCTTGTACCTTTGGAGAGCTAGAGCCAATACAAGCTCGGTGATGATGACAGTGACGCGTTGGTAAGCGACCACAGACCAAGCATCGTAGTTGAGATTTGTGAGTTCAACGATCTTGGGGTCCAGGAAAGACGCAGGTATGGAGAGTAGCTTTTCGAAGTAGGCAAAGAACGGCGGATAGTCCAAGGCTAGTATGACGACATTTAAGTCTATCTTTTGCTATTAGGGAACGAACATACTCCATTCTGATGTAGTCTAGGTATGGTCTTAGCAAGTCCAATGCAACGTGCACTGTATACACTCACATCGTAATACCAGCGAGACATGGGCAAGGAATGAGTTATGGCTAGCCAATTACGGTGCACCTCGAAGTCCGTCGAATGACTGCAAATCAGAATAGACTCGTTCATTGAATTGTATTCTTGGGCTGAGTATGGATACGTACTACGCAGGGAATAGAAGCAGCTTCAGACAGGTAGAAATAAGGAAGATGTCCCACTCCGCCTTCGTAACATCCCTGAACCACTCCGCAATATCCGCCCTCTTCAGGAGGCTTGCGTTCTTCCTGCTGTCCTCCGAGTCGGCCACAGGCTCCGTGCGCGCGGGTTCCTCACTGAATGTCGTGCGTTTTGCCGTAGAGTTGGATGAGCTGACAGAGCTACGTCTCTGCATTATACTTCTCTAGCCAATGATGCGGGAAAGCCTGAGGGAAATGTGAGGGGAAGGGGGGGGGGGAGAAGCGGGCTGGATTGGTCCACGTGACGATCGTGCTTCGACGCGTTGCCGACCGCGGAGTCGCGGACACTTTGGCGTCAGTTCCGGGCTAAGCCCACCCGCATACCACGATGAGCGAACATGTTGCAGTGGCGAATCTCACCGCACAGACAGTAGAACAAGGGTCAGAACACTTTATGGCTCGCGAACCGTTAGCTGACAGTGTCGGACACACAGGGGTGTCCTCTTCAAGCTCATTCTTTTTAGCATCGCGCTTGCCGTCGCGCCCTTGTCTTCGTACTTTCTCTCGCTAGGTTACCTTTGGAATGGTAAATTTGTGCTCCTGTTGTTGGGAAGATGCAGCTTACTGACTTTTCCTTTCAGGCAATTCTACCTATGCTGCAATTACAGCTATAGTTGCTGCGAATGCTGTTCTGGTAGCATATATCGCCATGTCTCTTCGGGAAGAACGCAAGCTGCAAGCTCAACTCATAGAGAAGCCAGAAAGCAAGAAAACCAAGTGAAAGTATTTCCGTCTGCATTGAAACAATTTTCCAGCACACGCAGAAAATCTTTTCTATCTGAGATGCATGTATTGCTTTTGACGTTGACCTGGATTTGTAAAAGTACAGTGATGCTGAGTCGTACTAGCAAGAACAAGACTAAACGGAACAGACAACAATAAGGTAGTGCATGGAGGATAGTATGCCACAGCGCGTCGAGATGATGGGTGTCACGAATAAAGATAGATATAGGATTAGGGCGCCCACAGTCCAATACATCTAGAAGTCCTCGTCAAGGGTGCTGTAGTGCACAATCAGCGCTTGCTTACAAGCACAAGGACAAAGCTACTCACAAAGTCTTTGACGAAGACACCTCCGACGTAGTGCTCTGTGCCGAAGTATTGACACCAGCCTTGGAATAGTCAGACACCCGCTTCTCGAAGAAGTTGGTCTTGCCCTGCAGCGAGATCATGTCCATAAAGTCGAAGGGGTTGGTCGCATTGTACACCTTCTCATCGCCCAACGCGACGAGTAGGCGGTCAGCAACGAACTCAATGTACTGGCACATGAGCTTGGCATTCATGCCAATAAGCGCAACAGGCAAAGCATCTGTGATAACGATAAGTACATCGCAACCATCGAAAGTAGCAGACAACATACCAGTCAAGAACTCCTGCTCGATGGCGACAGCCTCCGCGACAATCTTGCGGACAACTTCGGGGTGAGGCCGCCGTTTCAGATGTGAGAAGAGGAGGCAGGCGAAGTCGGTATGCATTCCCTCGTCGCGGCTGATGAGCTCGTTAGAGAAGGTAAGGCCGGGCATGAGGCCACGCTTCTTCAGCCAAAAGATGGACGCGAACGAGCCAGAGAAGAAGATACCCTCGACAGCGGCGAAGGCAACGAGACGCTCTGCGAAAGATGACTTGGTATCCGAGATCCAGCGGAGAGCCCAGTCGGCCTTCTTCTTAATGCACGGAATGGTCTCGATGGCGTCGAATAGATGCTCGCGCTGCTTCGGATCCTTGATGTATGTGTCGATGAGCAGGGAGTACGTCTCGGAATGTATGTTCTCCATCATGATTTGGAAGCCGTAGAAGCAGCGAGCCTCAGCGGCTTGCACCTCGTTACTGAAACGCTCAACAAGGTTCTCGTTGACGATGCCGTCAGACGCAGCGAAGAAAGCAAGAACATGAGAGATGAAGTAGCGTTCCTTGTCATTAAGACGGTTAGTCCAGTCGTGAATATCCTTGGAGAGATCCATCTCCTCGGCAGTCCAGAATGAGGCCTCAGCCTTCTTGTACATTTGCCAGATCTATCACGACGCGTCGCGTTAGTGGCGTTGGCGACACATGATGCGCGAGACACACCTCGGGATACTGGATGGGGAAGAGGACGAAACGACGCTTCGACTCCATAAGAAGCGGCTCCATATCTTCGTATCGTCAGTTTGTCAGTGCCTTGACGCGACGATGAAGCTTTCCAGCTCACGTTCTGGGAGGTCAACCTGACCGACGAACCGGCCCTTGAGTGCGTCGAGGTCATCATGCTTCTCTTCAGCGACAGCAGGCTTCTTGAGTTTGACATCGTCGAAAGCGACGGGCTCGAGCAAGACACGCTTATTGGGGATGTTCAGAGAGAGTTCATCAAGTGCCTTGGCGGCCTGAGACGCGATGAGGTAAAATGAGGACACTTGATGAAGCATATTACGAGTGCGGTACGTACCCTCTTTGAAGGCGAGATTTTAGTAGGTGTAGTGAAGACAGGCTCCGGAGAGACAACGAGAGGAGGAGTACGGATGCCAGACATGGTAGTAGAGATATAGCTACGTTGGTGAGAAAAGAGTACAGAGGGTGTGGTGCGGAGGCTGGGAGGAGGAGATGGCTGTGGTGTGTGGTGAAGAACAGGCCAGCAAAAATTGGCGCCTTTTATGCTCTCTGTTGAATTTACGCGTTGTTTTGCTCTTTCAACGGTCCGTGTCGTGTCTGTTTGCCCTTGTTGACGCGGTCCCTTTGGGCGCTTCGTGTAAGTCAAGCGCTCCACGTTACGAAGCGTTACGTGACTAGCGTGACGAACCGCGATTCATTTTGAGGCCGTGTCGCCACCGAGCGCTACGGAAGAAAAACAAGCTCTGTTTCGTACCTTCATCGTAACATGCACCCCGACTACGACAAGGCGTTCATACCCGACGATTCATATTACGAAGTCATTGCCTCCTCACACGAGCTTTGCTCAACAAGCTGTGGCGATGGCTTTTGCATACCAAAGGCGTGCTTTGACGACTGGTTCGAGGGCAAGGGGCAAGGGCCTAATGAACGGGTGGCAGTGTTTTCACGGGACTCGAGGGACATTGAGGACCTGAGTAAACGATTTGTCGGACAGATAGGCCTATCGGAAGGTACGCACTGGACTATCAATCGCTTGTTGCGATCATCGCCCCTTGACCTACCATATACAGAAGAAGAGCCTTTGCTCAGAGAAAGCAAACGGCGCTTTGTCCTGTTTCCGATACAGTATCCTGACGTAAGCCATATTCAGTATTCGCCACCCATGTCAATTCAGTAGGTCTTCACACAGATCTGGCAAATGTACAAGAAGGCAGAGGCATCATTTTGGACAGCGGAAGAGCTGGACTTGGGCCACGATCTTGTTGACTGGAACGACAAGCTCAATCCAGATGAGCGACGCTTTATCTCGCACGTCTTAGCGTTCTTTGCCGCATCTGACGGCATCGTGAACGAAAATCTCGTCGAGCGCTTTTCAAACGAGGTGCAGGCCGCAGAAGCTCGCTGCTTCTACGGATTCCAGGTCATGATCGAGAATATTCATTCCGAGACTTACTCACTCCTCATTGATACGTACATCAAAGACCCACAGGAGCGTGACTTTTTGTTCGACGCCATTGACACCATCCCGTGCATTAAGAAGAAGGCCGACTGGGCTCTCCGCTGGATCTCGAACAAGCAATCGTCGTTTGGTGAAAGGCTTATTGCGTTTGCCACTGTCGAGGGCATATTCTTCTCGGGATGCTTTGCGTCAATATTTTGGCTCAAGAAGCGCGGACTCATGCCCGGTTTGACTTTCTCCAACGAGCTGATAAGTCGGGACGAAGGCATGCATACTGACTTCGCATGCCTGCTCTTCCATCATCTCAAGAGAAGGCCGCACCCGGACATCATAAAAACGATTATCACGGAGGCGGTCGAGATTGAGAAAGAGTTTCTGACAGGTGGGATTACGCCACAGTTCTAATTGCTTGGACTAGCTCACGCTCTATAGATGCCCTCTCGGTCGATCTCATCGGTATGAACGCCAGTTTGATGCGCCAGTACATCGAGTTTGTCGCAGACCGACTCTTGATCGCCCTCGGTAATGAAAAGCACTACCAGGCGCCGAATCCCTTCGATTTTATGGACCTGATTTCGCTTCAGGGCAAGACAAATTTCTTTGAGAAGCGGGTGTCAGATTACCAGAAGGCGAATTTCACCAAATCGACCTCTAGTGTGAACCTACCAGTGGAGGTGAAGAACGAGAGAGCTTTGTGAGGCATTCCCCACCTTTCAAGTATGGCTGTGCTGAACGGTTATGAATAGTACACTGGACGAGGATTTCTGATGTTGCCATACGTTGCATTTTGCCCAGCCAAGGTTTGAAGTCACTGTCGGATCTCCCGTGTAGCATATCATCTCGCTTATGTATACTTCTTATGCCCGCCATGTAACAATCTACCCACCAAAGTCCAAGCCACTAATAGACCATCGGCTCTGTTTTCAACTGGTTGGTATCAGAACACGACTTCCGAGTGTACCTGTTTCATGCTAAGGGTTGAGTACGGCCATTCGTGCGAGGCTTTGTGTTCTCACCTGGGATATCGCAGCTTCCACTCTGGCACAGAGCTGCGCACGAAACTTCTCTACGAGTGCAGTTTTGGTATGGTCCCGCGTAGGATCCCTATCTTCCTGCGAACCTTTGGCGAGGATCCGACTCCAAAACTTCAGCGAAGCCACCACTCGAGGATGTGGCGCCGACCGTATCATCGTCGCACCGTACTCCAGTACATCCCTCCACCACTCGCGTGAGTTCTTCATATGCTGCTGGTCGTCTCTGGTGGCAAAATCGTAGGCGTTCATTAGGAAGAACATGCGCCCTTGGCCCCGAGTGGGCTAGAACAACGACGGAATGTATCCCAGCACTGCGTTATTTCCTTCGCGAAATAATCGGTCGGCTCTGGTGCACGATCTAGCAATGACGCTCTGGCCGCAGCACACATCGCATCTTCCTGAGGACGTTTGCATGCGAGCATGTACGCTCGCAATGTCTGTGACTCCGACAGCGTTTCGAACTGCTGTAGGACGTCCTTTGCAACGTATAGTCGACCATGTACTTGGAAGCCGCCTCCAGAACGTCTAATGCTTCCTCCACGGTCCTCAGAACAGGACGTGCTATGGGATAGATGAACCTGAGGAGATGGTCGATCGTGCGGCCGTCCTCCGTGAGGTCCGCCACAGGATGATGTGACTCAAGACTCGGACGAGGCACTCTCTGCGAAGCTATCGGGCGCAGACACCGCGACGATGAACATATCTTCGAACACAGGCGAGGCTAGGGCTATGACTGCCCTCAGAACGAAGAAGTTAACGGCATTCGAAGACTGTATGATAAGGTCTGCCATGGAGCTGTCGAAGGGTCGCGCCGCAACAACAGGCCTAGGAGACTTCCGCTCGAAGTCATTGTCCGCACTGCTGTGTCCAGGCTACACGTTATCAGATAGCACCAAAATAATTCCTTGCTGCGCTCTTTACATACCTCGACCTAACGGCAATGCCGCAGAGCTCGGACGGAAGGATCACGAACTTGTTTGAGCTACATGCAGGGATGCACCGCGGCTCATATATCGCTACGCTGCAGCAAGCACTCGGACTCGGCAGAAGAGAGGAGGTAAATAGTACACGAAAAAGCGACCGCCGTCCAGTCCAAGTCTGTTAGACGGTCATGAAGGAGACGACCATTCAAGTAAGCAATCCGAGAAACTCTAGCAGTAGTGTGAAGATGTACAATGTAATCGTCTTACCTTCGCTAGCGGGACGATTGCTACACAAAGCAACTCGTAACGAGAGCGTGGATAAGTAGAAAAGGGGTCCCAGACCCTCAACTCAATCGAAACGTATTTGCAATTTGACCTGGTGTGAAGTTGGTATCGATTCTTCGCCCTTGAGTAAACCTAAAGCCTCACCTCTGAGACCGCATGATCCACACGGCCAGGATAATCTTCCATGAACGCCAGCAGAGCGGAGCATAGAGCATCTTTGGAACCTGGGGACGCTTGTGCCGCTTTTGCTAGCATAGTACCAAAGAAGCGCTGCGTGCCGGTCATCTGGGGGTGCGGCGTCGATCGCAGAATCTTCGCCAGGCCCCCCAAGGCCTCCCTCCACCACGGGTGCGCGGCGTAATAGAACCTGGGCTGTGGATGATTGCGCCACTCAGAGGTGTGTGTGTATGGGAACCAAGGCTTCTGCTCAGGGACTGAGGTCGTCACCCCCGCAGCTAACGTTGCAGAGGACGCAGCGGCACCGCATGCAGCGTGGTACTCTTGGAGTCGGATGAGAGCCGTATGGCTAAGACTTGGAAATTCATGCGAGTCCTTGGCGATCTCGAACCAGGGATATAGTAGAGAGGCCCTCGCGGCAATGCGCATTGCGATTTCTGTGCTGTGTAAATACGCCTGCACGTATGCTTGTAATGGCTGTTTCTCGGCAAGAGTCGCGAATTGTTCCAGGACGTCCTCTGCGGTATGGTCAACCATGTACTTGGAGGCCGCTTGAAAGACATCTAGCGCGTCCTCTGGCCTCTCGATCCGGGGATTTCTTACGGGATAGATGAGCCTTAGAAGACAGTCGAGCGTACGACTATGTTCCGTGAGGTCTGCGACAGGAGCGTCCGGGCCACATGCGGTGGCCGCCCTGGGCCTCCCAGACGTCGCTTCGACAACTACGAACATGTCTGCGAAGACTGGAGAGGCGAGCGCCATGACGACTTTGGAGACGAGGAAGTCGACATTATCCGAGGATCGCAGGACGAGATCCGCGTCAAGCGCGTCGAAGGGTGACGCCGCAATAGTTCGCTCTTTGAAAGTCATGATATCGATTCTGCTATAGAGATGTTATAGGCTCTCAGCTTTAACGAGACGACATCACTTACCGCCACAGATAGACAGAGGATAGAGTGCAAAGAATGGGTATTGTTCGTGTTCAAACAGGCGCGGCAAACACGTGCCCTGACGCTTCCATGCATGCGATATTTCCTGGGCGCTCTGCAGCGCGAATGCCTGCGACTCGGGTAAGGATAGGTTTTGGTGCTCACTAAGCAAATTGCAGCGCAATGAGCCTAGCGTAAGTACTGAAGGCAACGCGAACCGTCGACAAGCAACACGCCGCCCCATCTGCAATGAAAAACGCACTAAGTGACCCTTCCTCCTTCGTAGCTTTATGTAGCTCATCCATAAAAACGCCAGAAGAAGAGACGACAGTGCGGTATTAGCAGCAATATTTATTTTTATTCGTTAACACTTGAATGAGCAAGCATCTCTCGACTGTCTTCTCACGCAGACTCTCCTAGCCAAGCTACATTCAGAATATCATCTCACGAAGATGGATAATAAAGTTAACATACATCGCGTCTCGACAAGCCAGCTATTCTGTCAGAACCTCACTTCCAGCCGTATCTGGAAATATCACAAACGCTTCAGCATTCTCAAGTCGCGATGTGGCCCAGTCACAGAACACTCACACCAGAGATTGCTTCCTCCACATCGGAGGCAACTTCTTTCCCAAATACCTCCAGCGCGCGAGCGACGGGGAAAATGTCCAAAAGGTTCTGGTCGCGCACTCCCTTTTCCAGAAGTCGGCCAACGAGTGTCACGGCTGCTCGGGGATGCGGAGTCAAGCCGATCTTCGTCGTCGCGGACTCGAGGTCATGAAGCCACCACCCGCACGGCCACCAACGCTGTCCCTGAGGATACATGTCGCAGACGTCATGGGTGTGAGTGAACCACGGTTTTTCGGAAGTCGAAGTATCAGTACCGTGTCTCCGTGACACGGCAACTGCGGCAACACTGCAGGGGGCATGATAGCTGCGCAGGCGGAAGTAGCCCGCCACCGTTACGTCCTGCAGCTGCTCCGATATCCCAGGATCGCCGATGTCTGGGCAAGGGTGCAAGAGACAAGCTCTCGCGGCGACTCGAAGCGCGTCCTCGTGACGTTGTACAAAAGCCATCGCATATGCGCGAAGAGGCTACTCTTCGGCCAGTGTTTCGAATTGCTTCGGGGCATCCTCCGTGGCGTGGTTAATTATGTACTTCGAGCTTGCAACAATAACGTTCAGTGCGTCTCGCAAGGCAGGTAGCACCGGTCGTTCAACGGGATACAGAAACCGAAGTAGGGTATCGAGTGTAGTGCCGTCTTCTGCGAGCCTTGTGAGAGGTAAATCGCAATCTTCATGTGGATATGCTGAGTCGATGTCGAATCGGGTAGACGGCACTGCGTCGGCGGACATGTTCGCGAATACCTCAGACGCTATGGTCAACGTTGCTCGGTGTGCGAAGAATTCGACCCTATCAGATGAACACAGAACGAGATCTGCGTCTGAGCAGGATTTATCGAACGGCGACACCGCGATCTTCTCCACTGGCAGATCTGTGTCCATTTCTGCGGCGGCGATGAACATTTATTACATCCGATGGACGAGATGAAACCACACCGCTTATCGAGGCAGGCAATGGGGCCGCACAACGATTACTAAGGGAAGGGGGTGAGGGGCGGGGCGAGACCGGGGCGAAGTAAGGCGTAGTCGAGACGCGACATCTGAGGAGCTGGACGCATATAAAACGTTGGAAGCTCGCAGTGTCAGCGTGAGAACGAACTTCATACTCGTGGACAGGACTCCACACTAGGCAGTCGACTTTACGACCGAACACCGGATTAGGAGATTCGAGTACTGTCTCATGAGGAGTGATAGGATACATAGTGATGGACACAGCAGTTTGACTACTTCTTCGCGATATGTACGACTAGAAGAAGGAATATTAGGTGCTTACTCAAATGCAGAGAAAATTCCGCAGACGTACCATCCTCGTCCTCTAGCACGTGGTCCAAGCCAACTTTCTGGCCCCTCGTATGCTTAGCACTAGCTCCCCAAACAATGGCACTGTATATGGGATAGATAATTGATTTTACGGCTGAGAAAACAACGAAAAGCCACGTACTATTTCATCTGCTTCGCAATTTCCTTATGGATCGCATTGCAGAAATCTTCAATTGTTGATTTGCCCCGGCGGAGGACAACGGGGGCGCTGTAATCGGGCGGAAGACCTCGTGGCTTGGTGTAGACCCGCACAAGATTCAGAGCTTCCCACATCTTCTCTATGAGCTCGTCGATGTTGAGCCATTCCCTTGAAGATATTGGAACACTATTAGGAATCTTGTAGCTGCATACGAGATGAAGGTGAGCATTGCATCTCGAAGGACACTCGCGTGAACGTACAGCAGGTCAAGCTCCTCGATTGAGATTGCGTCGATTTTGTTGAGCACATAAATTGCCGGAATATACACTCGATTGCCTTCGATAACATCCACAAGATCGTCTGCTGTAGCACCCGCTTGTCGGATGGCGACGTCGGCGTTGCTAATCTTATACTCGCTCAGCACGGCTTTTATCTCGTCGTGGTCGATGTTCGTCAAGGGCACGGTATTTGTAATAGCAACGCCACCCTTGTCCTTCTTGCGGACAGTGATGTTTGGAGGATTTTTGTTCAGTCGAATACCGAAGCCTTCGAGCTCGGACTCAATGAGCCTCTTGTCTCCAAGAGGCTTGAGGACATCCAATATAATAAAGATAAGGTTGCATGTCCTCGCAACTGTCAAGACGGCAGCGGCTGAGCAGAACCCTTTCAAGGTGTGATAATAGACATACCAGCAATGACTACAAGAGTTGATCAGCACAAGAGCTAACGACTGAGACTTCACACTGTACTTACCCTGGCGACCCCTACCACGACCGTCGTTTGCGCCCTCAATGATACCAGCTACAGGAGCTTCAATAATGTGTTGGGCGAAGAGCATGATACGCACTCACGAAGATCAAGAATCTGGATCGGCGCTCCGTGTACCTTCAGTGTACCAGGCACAGTCGTAAGGGTAGTGAAGTCAATTTCCGAAGCCTCTGAGTGCGTGCCGGTAAGTTTTGACATGAGTGTCGACTGTCAGAATGTGAGTGCGAGGTACAAGCTAGCAAAACGTGATGCTCGCCTTGCCAACCGAGGGGAAGCCTACAAATCCGACGGACGCTATACCAGTACGTGCAACATCGAAGCCGATACCGCTACCACCACCACTACCACCTCCGGACGGGCCGATAAGCTCTCGCCGGAGTTTTGCAAGCTTGGCTTTCAACTGTCCAAGGTGATAGCTCGTCGCCTTATTCTTTTGCGCTGTATATCACCCGTGTCTATGTCTTAGACAGCCTTACACAACGTCAAGTGTGGGACGCACTGCGAGCCTGCGTTTCCAGTATGAATACACTTCACCATTCGCGCTTCGCTTTGCCTACTCACCATCTCATCTTCGATCTCCTGTGATGTAGAGGGCTAATGTTAGCGATAAAGGCTTAATGATTGTCAAAAGCACTGACCTTGATTTTCTGTACCGTCGTCATTGTCGCTGGTCGAGCCTGGATTTGTCACACTAAAGAGAATCTGTAGGAGCGATGATGGGCGCCTGGATTTCTTTGGACAATATGCGTGAGAAGCGCGCGCCTATTATCAGCCTCTCTTGCCAAGCAACGACCTCACATTCCTTCCCTTGATCTTGCGCGTAACCGTCTCCAGTCCTTACCTTACACTCCTTTGCTTCCACACACGTTCTCTCCTGCCTGCGCATGTAACTGGCTGGCCCGGACTCACCTCAGTCTCTCACTCGCCCGTGCTGCCCCAGAGTCTGTCCGCTCGTTCCTTAGACACCAGTCACACAACAACTCCGCACCTGAACCAAGATGTGCAGCGGAGGTACATGGAAGCGTGAGGTCGTCCCAGACCACAAGGTACGCGTCATCACTCGCGACAACGCTGCCGGCAGCACTCATGCTCGTCGCCGTATCCCAGTTTGACTTCATTGACACTCGTGACTTCACCGACAATAGTTTTGGCATGCGTATGAAGTGAGTGCCTTCCCGGTGTTTGCTTTGTGCTATTCGTCCTCGTGGGTTGCTGGATGCAGACACGTAGTCTATTGAGTTGTACCTATGGACCGAGACCTGACAATAAACGCCGCAGCGGCTAACTGGCGTCGTCCTAGGTACCTATGGCTGTACATCATCATACTGAAAGGGTTCATGGTGTACATCTCCGATATCTTTACAGCCATCACCATGTTAAGTACAACGTCCTGGTCCAATGCTATCTTCAACAGTTGTCCCGAGCACTCCGACAATGGATGCGTCGCCATCCCATTCAGTATCGGCAAATGGCTCTTCTTTGGATGTATCTGCTTTTCCTTTCTCCTGGTGGGTAAGACACACGAATCGCACGTATCAGAATTCTGACTCCCTTGCAGCTCGCCTACGAGGCCTACAAGGCAAAGAGGATCATCGCCAGCCGGGACATCTCATACGCCTTCACTAACGTTATGGCTAATAACTACTATTCTCTGAGTATGTCTTGCTGCACTGCTATGGTTCAACGTCCCTAACAGATATTAGGGTCGTACGATCATTTTTGTTTCTTTAGCCACATATCCAACTCCACCAGGCGGATGGATGACTTTGCCTTCTTTGTGTTCTTCACGTTCAAGAGTGCGTATAGCCACATTATGGTGGCGTATCGTTGCTCACGTTATTTGTCTAGGCTGGAAGAGGCTACTGCTTGCAGATGGCCCTCGGCAAACTATCAACGCTCTGACGTTATACGCCTTCTATCTATCCAAGAAGGATGATGGCCCGTGGTGGGAGTTGTCGAAGTACTTCGACGGTAATGATTTCATCACTAGTGCCCTTACCGTGTCCACGGCCTTCACTGTCCTCGTCTTCGCCGGCTCGGTTCTGTTTTTGATTGTTGCGGGTATCTGCTACATCCCGTTGCTGTGTCATATTCAGGGTAACTTGAAGGTAAGGGCGGAAGATAAGCTTTGGATCGGGTTTTACTCACATGGTCATTCAGGAATACTGTTGTCACAAGGTAGACAAGGTGTGTTTCGTCTTCTACATTTGCAGACGCACTCTGTTCACACCTGTCTCAGCGTATTGCCGAGATTATCAAGCGCAAGAACAAGCAGCGTCTCGCCAAGGCCGCTGCTCTCGCGAAAAAGGAAGCAGCTGGTGATTTCTCCCACCTGAAGAATAAGAAGGGTGAACTTATCGCACAACCCCTCCCTCAACCGACTCTTCCTAACGTCAAGCTTGATGATGACGACGACTCTATGTCTATTCGTACTCGCACGGCTGCTCCGAGTGTCTACACCGGCCGTTCTGACTATTACTACGGCGACCGGAATAAGGAGAATGGCATGGGGTATCCCCAGTCTGACTATCCTCCTATGCCTGCTTACGACCAACCCTACGCCCACCACGGCGATCCGTACGCTCAGTATAACCCATCCGTCGGTACGTTGCCAGAGGAACACCAGTACGATGACAACGACTACGGTAGCACGGCCAACCTAGCGTTGTCTGCCGCCCCGATTGCCTCTGCGGAACGCGGCAACATGGTGTCACCACGACCTCAGTACGGCTACACCCAGCAATCACACCAGGATCTCTACACATACAGCGCCAACCCGCACGGCACCTACCGAGGCGCGTCTCCTGGACCGCATGCCGCTTACCGTGCCACGTCGCCGAGCCCAAATGTTGCCTACCGTGGTACATCACCAGGTCCGAACGTCGCGTACGGACAAGCGTACACGTCCGAGCCCGCGTACGACAACGGGCAGCAGCAGTACGGCCGACAGCAGGTGGCGGGCAGTCAGTATCAGCAATACGCGCAGAGCGGGTACGGGTACTCTGCGCAACACGAGCATGGCGGGGTTGAATACAGCGCAGGGCAGGCTCATGCGGTGTAGTATTCCTCGCGCAGCTTTTTCCTTCTATCACATGAGCGTGTCCGTTGGCATCGCATGTTTTCCCATTCGGCATTATTCTTCAATACTTCTCTCACTCCTGACCTCACATAGCATACTGCGTCTGTATAAATATTGGACATATCCTCATTTCTTCTGGACGCTGCTGGGATGTGACAAGGGACACTGCTCGATGTAATAGGTCCCGCCATAGACTTCACGCTCTACCAACACCAAATTAGAGGTGGCGAGGCGCTTGTTTAGCTGCGTTGCAATGGATGATTATAGTCGTGGAGAGTTCAAAGCTTCCGTTACTCGGGCTTGTCGTCGCGTCTGTCGGTCAACTTCGTCTCGCTCTCTCCGCCACGCTGGGCCGGTTTTCGGTTTGGGACGGTTCGGATCGCCAGGCAGTAAAATAGGACCTGTACGATTCAGTGGCCAAACAATGACGCTCAGCTTGGACTGAACAAGCCCCAGTGGAATCTTGAGTATTATTTTTAAAAGCAGTTCATACATGCAGCGTATATCACTCACGGGTCCAAAGTAATTGCTGTCTTCGGAGCGGAATGGCTCATCGCCTGATAAGAAGAGTATGAGACTGAAATCACAGTCGAGTTAGGCGGGATCGCGCACCTTCAACCCAAGCATGCCCTTCTGGAATGTGCACCTCGGCATCTGGGTATGGAGGAAGCGTTTTGATCTAGTGCATGACAAAATATAGCCGTTATAAGATGCTGGTTTGCGGAGGATATCGCCACTACGTACAGTGTCTCCTGGCAAAGCGACAATCCGTTTGACGATGAGCTTTCCTTCATGCGGTGACCTACGAACCGAGGATTGATCACAACGAGCGAATAGTATGACAATTGAACACACTTTAGTGCAACTATGTCTCCACGCTCATATTTTTGTAGCCAGTTTACTGTGAAATGGTCAAAGAGGACGATATCTTGCCATGACGAATCATCGGGATTGAGCGTGGGCTAGCTGCCTCTCAGGTCGGAATCCGAACGGCTACTGAACATTCAACCATTTGGCGCACCTGCATACTTCTTCCGGCTACGTACTTGAGGGAATAGAAGTATTCATTGAATGCGATACCAGTGGGCAGCCAGACCATGGCTGACATTGCCCACGCAAACTTCGGGTATGTCGCTTTGGTCTTCTTCCAAGATTGGCGGAAGGTAGACATGCTTTTGCGAAGAGAGTTCATGTTGAGACGGGAAACAAATCCGCCGACGCGAAGTGGAGGCACTCGAGCTCGGAGACGAAGAGGCAAGCCAAGACAGGCCAAGACTCCGACTAGCGCGATCATTGATTAAGTAGTGAGTAACGAGCGCGAGCGCGACCCACTCTGCTTCTCTCGTTCGCCTTTGTTCTCCGCATCTACACCCATAAAAACTACGCGCAGGATGATGCGAAGAGACTGATTCATGAGATTCAGGACATGCTGAAGGGAAGTTATGCGGAGACAGCCCTACGCGTTCGCACCTTCACCGGTGGTCGCCGCGTCGTCGTCTCCAAGAGAGGGGCTCGTGCCAAACCTAGATGACGGTATGGATCGAGCGGACTACTACTTAAGGACCCAATCGTCCTGTGAGGTCGTCCAAGGTCTCCCCTTAGCGTTCAGAGCATTCAAAGCTTCACACAAGAACATCGCGCAAGCCTGCTATAATGTCTGCCCCTAGGGTCGCCATCGTCATTTACTCTATGTATGGGCATATAGCTAAATGTTGGCATCCTCTTCGCTATCCTGTGTTTTCACGCGCTCATCGTTCGCTTCGTAGTGGCTGAAGCTGTGAAAGCTGGTGTTGAGTCCGCGGGTGGTACTACTACTATCTACCAGTAAGCTCTCTAAGCGCAATATTAAGAGTATACTCTGCTTACTGTTATGGTCAGAATTGCGGAAACACTGCCAGACGAGGTGCTGGCCAAGATGCACGCCCCTCCAAAGCCCAGCTACCCTATCTTGCCCGCTGCAGACTTGCCCAGCTTCGATGCCTTCATTTTCGGCGTCCCTACCCGTTATGGCAATTTCCCTGGCCAGTGGAAGGTACGTTAGTACTCAGGAGATCATATTGCACATACCAAGTAGGCGGATATAGGCATTCTGGGACCAGACTGGTGGTCATTGGGCCAAAGGGTCTTTGGCTGGCAAATACGCTGGCGTTTTTGTTTCAACCTCCACCCAGGGCGGAGGTCAAGGTGTGTAAAGCATTTTTGAAGGAAAGAGGTGGCTCACTGTCAACGATAAAACCAGAGGCGACTGTCATCAGTACACTTTCCACCCTCACTCACCACGGCATCAATTTTGTCCCGCTTGGATACTCTACCACATTCTCAATACTGTCCAACCTTAACGAGATTCGCGGTGGTTCTCCTTGGGGCGCCGGCACTTTTGCTGGAGTGGACGGCTCTCGATATCCTTCAGCCCTTGAGCTGGAGCTCGCGACAGCGCAAGGCAAACAGTTCTGGAACACCATCAGCAAGGTCAATTTTAGTGCTTAATTTCCGCTGTCCACTTCGAAGCAGCTCTATTGTGCTCCTGTGTCGTGACTTCTGTTGATCATGTACAGCATATTCAAACGGAAACATTATCTATCATATATAATCTAAATCATATTACAAATCTAGTTGTGATCACAATTCGTGTGCGAGGTAGAATACCACTCGCTTGGCCAACTCTGCACCCAGGCTTAGAGACGCTGTGGTAACGGCAAGCCTTACGGCGGGCTGTCTCCAGTCAAGCGAAGCCTGTGCAACAGCTGTCAATGTACGAAGCGGTTGCGAATGAGGCGACGTACTGCAACAGGTGTAACCATAGGCTTGCCGCCATGGCCAGGAACAAGGAGGAGCAAGTCTTCCAAAATCTCCGTAGGCAATGTGGCTGTTGGGGCTGTCGTTCGTGTCAGCAACTGCCGTACGGCATCCCCGGGTCGCACCCACTTGGACCCTGATATACACCTTCGATGTTGTGCTCTGGATGCGCAAAACTAGCGTAGCGAACTTGATTTAGTATGGTTCTACATTCTTCGAGAGGATGCCAAGAATATTCTTCAGGGTCCAAGAGATATGAAGGTGCGTATTCGCCTTTATATCGCATCTTCTGACACGAGTGGATATAGAACCCTGCCTAGATGTCAGCAGGTAGGCGAAACGAAAGTGCAATTACTCACCCATGTAGAGATACCGCATCCCAGATGCACCAGCTTCATGCATCTCTTGCACCAATGCTGTTTCCCGCAGAGCACTGAGCTAGGAAGAATGTGAGCGAGGTCCGGACATCGACTATGGTGGACGCCACATACCTTGCCCAGCGAAAACCTCTCCCATTTCTTGTCGTACATGAAGTAGACACTAGAGACACAGCTCGGCAGTATATCGATGACCCCGACCGCAATGAGCTCTCCGTCTAGTCGGTACAGTTGATGATATGCGCCATACTCCCTAGGAAGATGGCGCGGCGGTTCGTGTGTGTAGGGAATGGTTTCGCGCTACCGGGAACGGTAAGTATGACTCAGGAGACATAGACACATATCTCAACCTTCAGGGTGTTCTCAACAAGAAATCTCTTGAATGACGACGTCTTCTTGTCTTCCTCTTCCTTGTGTATGTCCCTTTGGTATCGTTGATATAGCGCAAATTTCTCTTCTGTGTACGAAGAAGGCTCAAGGGTAACCTAGCACGCATTGAGAGCAAGTAGCTAGCAACTTTGCTAAACTGACCTCGAATTTGTGAACGGGGTTTTCTTGAGCAGATAGACGAGACTCAGCGTAGTGGATCGCATCTACTAAGGTAAACTCTGCCTTCTTGGCCGCGCTTACCTTCCGCTTCGAGATCCTGCTTGTCGCATCAAACAACTGACCGTCAACGGATACTTGTGGCGTACTTCTCATTGTCATGGTCATTGCTATGCAGGATCCAGTGGTTGAAACTGAGGAGGCGTCAGCATTACAACGTGCTGGTTTAGACTGCCTAGACTGCACCGGTTGACAAGCTTGCGTTGGCTCTTCGAAGGTCTGAACTGCGTCGCGTCGAGTCTGTAAAAACGATTGACAGTTCAACCTATACAAAGTTAAACGAGAGATTAGGACACATACTTGATGGTATATTGCGGACAACACGACTGCTTAAGGTCAGGTTTATAGCAGTACGCGCCGGACCTTCTCCAGCCACGGTCAATCATCATCTGGTAAGCCTAAAAGTCTCGTTCGTTCTCGGTAGACCATGGTATCGGCCTGCACGCGTACCGTGCATGAACAGTCCAACAGGGTGAGCTCCGCGGCGTGAACGTTAGTCTTTCGTTCACTACGCTTTCCCGGAGGTCCACAGTATCCACAACTGCCCGCATGAGGCGTCAGTGGAGACACTACAGCGAGTATACTGGACATGTCTACAACGTATTGAAATATGACGTGCTGGAGTTGGTGGTCAGTCGCAAGTGCACAGCCGAGGTGGGAGCCGGGCGCCGAGCCACATATGGGATAATCAACCGGAGACCCGGCACCTGAACGTCTGGACGCTCGCCACCAAAATCAGTACCTGAGCTGACTTCAGACCTCCCATCTGGCTGCCACATGACGACCCACCTGCGCAAGCTCACGGCGGTTCAGCGGCGCTTCGAATATTTTTGCTCTTATTTTGCGATTTTCTCACAAATTAATAGGCTGTTTCATAGCTCATTGGTTGTAATGCAGGAGAAAACAATCAATATATTGACCAGGACGACTGCTATATACATTGTGTAAAACCCATAGAATACATTGCAACCTCCACTGTATGGGTCTAACAGCCCTGCCACCACCCAATGCAACAGTCACCAGCCACACTACCTTTGCAGCTACCCACTTCTGCCCTTTATTGTTGAATTGGCATCTTGTTACTGCAGCTCAGCTAATACTATAATCCTATGAAGAGCATTAGTTGTCTTCCGGTGAGTTGTGTGAGACCCTAACTTACCCCATTGAGGCCCCTGAAATTCATCTGCTACGTGGTGCCCCTCTCTCTGATGTTTTGTAGGTGAACCAAACAGTATTAGTTATAGGAATGTCAATCACATAATTCAGTTACAATAGTTACAATGACAATGGTAAACATGTATATGACAATGTTTCATTATTACTGACAGAACTAAGCACTGGTCAGTAGTGTATTGGACTTTGACTTCTATCAATGGCTTGCTGAGATTGCATATGTTAAGAGAAAGAAGCTGCATCTTGTTGACTGTACATGTTAGTTATTATAAAAGTAGAACTCACTGTCTTTCATGAAATAACAAAGGCCATTGTTAATATTGTCTCTAAGCTATCATTTGTTATTGAACTGCAGATGTGGAATGTTTTAGAGAATAGCAGTCTATTATATCTTTCATCAGCAAAAAAATAGGTTGTAGGTCAGCAATGGGTTGTCATACAAGCGCCTAGCAGCCTGATAGATGCTGGCAATGCAAGAGCAAGCAATACCTTACTGGTATCGCATGGCCGCTGATTGCCATCTCATCTCATGCTGGTACGTCATTAAAATTCGGGTTCCATACTGATAAAACTCAATATGCTATAACCTGGTCACCCAGATTCTGATTGTGATGTAACGTCACCTACGCCGGGACGTGTCACCGCTTGTTTTTCGCCTCTAGTCCTCTCTGCAACAGCTGCACAAGGTTCCTTTGGCCTCCCCTAAAGTTACATTTCCTTTTACGTCATGATACTTATGGAGGGCCCTTGTCACCTCTCCATTCCCCATGTCTCTTACTTCCTCTCCACCACTGTGCTCGAGTCTGAGCCTTGAGCCAGTCCGGTGAACGCCTGCGGACACTCCCGCACTCCATTCCATTGTTGTCGTGACGATACCGTACGGATGTTTGCACCGAGTGCTTGCCAGGTGGAGCATGCGCCAAGGTGCATGTAGATTGTCGTTGCAAGTATCCTGCTGACACCTCGCATGACTGACCACAGGTACGGTAGCCGTGGCACGTCCTCCGGCAGCTTTTGTATGGAGCTGTAACATGAGCGCGAGGTGGCATTATAAGCATGTAAGTCCACATATATACCTATCTATGTAGTATCTTGACGCATATAGTGTCTTTGACATGCATATATGCACTCGACTCAGACTAATCATAACTCTCACCTGTAGGCTCGCGCAGAATATCGCTGCTCACCCAACGAACAACACCACACCTGCACATAATTGCCATGACCATGACCACTTTACCATGAACTTCTCCCTCCATGCTGCCTGCAACACAATGTGCAATGCTCTCAGGAGCGTGGTGCCAGCAAGAGGACCACAAGGTCGCAGGTGTAGGTTGTGCCACACACCATGCGCCGTTGCGCCAGCACTAGTAAGCAATCTGTTCTTCTCGCATATTACATGCTGATGCAATTCTTGCTGATCTTCAAGGTTTCCTAGTGCATCCTCGCATATTATGTGCTCACAGTACATCTCGCAATATGCAGGTTTTTGCACTCATGAGCACTCACATTTGCGACTCCTCTAGATACATTCATATGTGGCGATGTCATGCTCTTGCATGCTATGTGGACTGTGCAAGTATCCTCTGTTGCCACTTGTGCCACCTACGGCCTTTGTATCTTATGTAGCTTCGTGAATATACTGTGTTTCCATTTTCCATTTTCTGTGTGTGAGCTGGCCCTGAATATTTTTGAATATTGAATAAACTAATTTGAGCGCTCCGGCAAACACTTCCCAGACTGGCGCTCGCTGGCAATGCCTTGCCATGGCCAGCAAACCTCTTCAGAATGATGATGCTACCCAGACTGGTAAGCTCTACAAAGCATACAGGTGCTCTATCTATTATGGCAATGGCAATCCCAGGATGGGTTGACTTATATTCATGGGTGCCTTTATCTAGCCTGGCCATCCTAGATAATTAGGTAATTTTTTTGCTGATGTTTGACAGTGAGAATGTTTGGCCAGAAAAGTCTGGCTGAAACTGTCTAGTTGTGACTGTTTGGCCAGAAATTTCTGGCTGAGACTGTCTGGCCGGAAATCTTTGGCCAAGACTGTTTAGCTCGGAAATGTCTGGCTGGAAAGGTCTGGCCAGAGATATCTGGCCAGATCCTTTCGCTCAGAGGTATCAGACTGGGTGTGTCCAGCTTGGGATGTTAGGTCAGATGTTTCTGGCCAAAGGTGTCATGCTGAGCCTTTCTGGCTAGGGATGTCAGGTCAGAGATGCTTAGCTGGACCTTTCTAGCAAGGTTCAGGCTAGGTTTCTGCAGCCTTTTTGATTCATTGTTGATGTATCCAGTTTAGAATACAATAATTTGCCAGCTTTAAAAATACTATTTACTCTCATTGCCAATGGCAGGCCATATGTTACTAGCTGGCTCCTGTTGATGAATGCATGTTTGCTGTCAAATGTATTCTGTGACAGTGATATAATGATTCTTCCCTCTAAAATCTTAGCAAATCAGTTTGCAACTGATAACAGCTTATGTTTGGCTAGTTATTTTAACGGATAATTTAGTGAGCAAAATCCTGGTTTAAATACAGTGAACAAATAAACGGCTGGTCTATAGTTAAAGTTAGAGGCCACATTTCATTGCTATGTAATTCAAACTTGACATAGCCTATTTATGGTGTATAATCTCTGGGTGGCCAATTTGAAACAAGACTAACTCAGTCCTAATGTATGGTAACATATTACTGTCTGGACAAGTCTATGATGGACTCATCATGCTCTGACCAGTGCTATTTTATAGCAGCCTAGTCATATGACTTGTTACTGTTACATCAACCAGCCAGAGCATTGCTTATGAGACATTTGTCTGGTCTGGCTAGCTGCAAGGTGATCTATAACTGCTGGACTCTTGTCATGTCCATCTTTTCTATAGCTCATGAAAACCATCACTGAATGCATTGTGGACAAAGCCAAGCAAGACTGCAACAGACTTCAAAAAATTGAAGTGCAGTCTCTGCTAGAGTGCCTGGTGACAATTGGTTGGGCAGGTGTGGATTGCACACATGTGACCTCAACATGAAGAATGTGGCTGGCTGAAGTCGAGGTGCTGGTTGCATACATCTCACTTTTCTCTTCACCCCTCTCTTATAAATTTTGTATGCAAGCATATGCTATGTTTAAATAATATTCTATTTAATAAAACATTCCCAATAGTACAAAAAAACTGTATATTACTTCCAGTGCAGCGGAGCTGCTGGTGATTCTGTGCCAGACTTTGGTTTTGATATGCATGGGCATATCTGTATTGAGAAAACATTGGAAAACAATCTGAGAAGTGTCAGAGCATCAGAAACATAGAGCTGCTCATGCTCTGATTGAGACTCAAGAGTGATAATGGCACACCAGTTGTCCTGCACAACAGTAGCAACATGGCAACATGGCAGCCCATAGTTTGGAGCATGTAAGACATTGTGCACCTAACCTACATGCTCTATAAGCACTTCCTTCTTAATCTATACAGAATGCCTAGGTCTTGACAAAGGTGTCGTGTCTATGCTTGTGGAGTTTCTTGCATTCCATGCAGCCTGCCTGTCCACTGGCTGCAGCACCACAAACAAGCTTAGCTGTCCAACCAGAGTCCACAAGATATTGTTATTGTCAGTGATGTGTTACATGAATATTGGTATTCCATCAGCTGTTGTCTGTAGTGAGGTCTAAAAGCTGAGACTGATGTAAATCTTATCAATGGCATGCTTCGAGCTGTCAGAGGCTGGATTATGCACCTAGATGTCATGGCTTTACGTTCTCTTCCTTCTCTTTATATTGCTCTTGCCAGGTGATGACCTTGCTGCCACATGTACGCAGCAGCATGATCAGACAATGTGAGCTGCTGACTGAGGTGCCACAGTCTCTCTCAAGATAACCACCTACAAAATTCATTAAACTGCCCATTGGATGATATGACTGATGTTGAAAGGGCATCATTGACAAAAAGGAAAAGGCAGGGGATAGGATGCTGCCAGCTACAATCACCTCATGCAGGTGGGCACTTGTCATGTGCATGTGATCTACACCCACCCGACTGAGATTCACCAGACATTCTGGTCAGAACCTGTACTTCGATTTTTTGAAGTCCGATACTGTTAGCCACTCTCTAATTGGCCAAGCCCACCACTTGGCCAGATGTGTGCTCTGGGCTCAATAACTTCATTTTACTGTAACTTTTGGCCTGGAACATGTTATTAGTATTCAATTATACATATATCCACATTTTTATTAAGATTTGTTGAGGGGAACTTGAGCTGTGCAAGCATTACTGTGTCGAAACAGCCAGAATGCCCAAATTTGGAAGTGTGCCAAACCTTTCCCTTGAGTTTGCAGTTGTTCTTTCCACACCACAACCATTCCACCTTATGAAGCTGCCTATATCTTGAACAGTAAGATCTTCACTATTGCTGGATGACTCACTGAAGCTCCATTTGACTTCCAGGAACCACTAAACACAAATTGAACAGCAGGGTCAGGGATTGGGCAGTTCCAGAGACATCTGAGGAGATAAACACCACTGCTTGCAACAAAAGGTCTGGAGTGCCGGAAACACATGGTATATCTTCTATATATGTCTCTCTTCATCTTCTACCCATTTTCTTAATTTTATCTATTTTTTGTGTGCTGGGGGCACATTCCCACTAACTATGTGATTTTGTGTCTGCATAGATTCTTGAGCTACAAATGTGAAACAATGAAGTCTTCCACCATGTTTCCACACCAAAAACCAGCTCCAACATCTTTTTAATGCAATCCACAGGTCTCACCCCTGATCTGTGCTGTATAACAATCATAGAAGGCTGGATGACAGTCCTTGTTCAGCAAAACATCTGTGGCACCACAGCCACATCTCTACCCCTGTCTGTCTTCATTCCTATGCTCTATATCATGTACAGCACACATGTAGAACACAAATACAAAGCTTTGGAGCCATTTAATAGGATGCTTCACCTACAAAGCCATACAAACCAGAACACATCCTGCTCACCCATCTGACACCCTCCACTGCTATGCCAGAAAGTGTATACTCCTCCAATACTGATGAATTTGATTCAGGCTCATAGGAAGAATGTCTTTGAGCTGCCATAGATGCTATTCTTGCATCCGGTCAAAATGAACAGGAATGATATCAGCTGTTTTTGTGGCAAGCTGCCAAACACTTCAGTGTCCCATGCTCAACACTGCAGGACCACTGGAATGGCAAGAAGACTCACACTGAAGCTTATCAGTCTTGGCAGTTGCTCACACCAGAGCAAGAGTCAATGCTGGTCACTTGGCTTAAGGTAGACGGTTTATCCAAGATTCCAAATGCAAGCAATTCCACTAATGCTTGAGTTCTCTAGACAATGGCCTGTCGTAGAACTTCGCTTACACTTAACACTCTCTGAGACTATGCGAAGGATATTTCAGGCTTGTTTGTTGGTGAAAAATAGGCTTGCAAATTCTGCTGGCATCGCTCTGATATCAAGGTTTGCTAGACAACAGAGCTTGAAGAGTGCCATGCATGCAATCTTAATCCTACTTTCGTGCGCGAGTTCTACGGGATAATCAACGAGCTCATCGTTATTTATGCTATTTCCCCCGAGAACATCTACAATATGGACGAGAAGGGCATACAACTTGGTGTCAGAAAGAAGGTCCAGACTCTTGTTGACCATGATCAGCGTACCCTCTATCTCATTGAGAATGGTTTATATGAGCTTGTCACAATTATTGAAACCATTTGCACTGATAGAACTGCTCTCAAACCTTGTGTCATCTTTCAGGCAAAGTGCATCAACCTGCAATGGTCACAAAATAATCTCTGCGATGCTAGGTACGTCTTCTTCTACCTGGTATAATCTTTACTGATATCCTTACTAGTGTTTCCATGTCACCAAAGGGCTGGACAGATTAGGAACTTGGTGTGATCTGGCTAGAGAAGAATTTCGAGCCTGAGACCATAAAGTGCAATTGTGGCAGTGCTCTCCACCTTCTCATTTCAGACAGGCACAACTCCCACTGTACATATTGTTTTATCAGATATGCTGCCAATCATAACATTCTTGTTGTATGCCTTCTCTCACACACTACACATGCACTGCAGCCCTGCAATGTTGGAGTATTTGGCCCTTTGGCATCTGCTTGGAAAGTGGAGGTTTCTCAGGCATTGCCCAAGTACTATATTTCTATTTGCAAAGATAATCTCCTGGACTACTATCACCAAGCTTTGCAGCATGCAATGAAACTCACCACAGTAATCTCTGCAGCAAAGGTAGGAATTCACCCTTGGAATCCTGACACCTTTGATCCTTCCTTTTTTGCACCATCACTCAATACTACCACTGAAGCTGCCCAGCCTATGCCTACGTAGCTACCCTCCATTCTAGTGCCAGTTGACACTGAATCTACCCTCTCTGCTGCATCTCATAGTGCTTTGCTATCAGACACTCTTTATGTGACCCTCTCCATCTGTAAACGCTGGTCAGACATTTGCATCAGAGACATCATCATTAGTGCCACAAATTTTGTTCATTCCTCATTATGGGATTTGCAATCTACCTCCCCTTCTACCTGCAGGTGCAACATGTGAGGAGCTGTGCAATCAAATTGGTTAACTCCATCAAATTATCATTAAACTCAAAACTGAGCTTGAGTGGTTGCACGCACAGGCTTCACTTATGGACTATGAAAACAGACATCTCTGGAACATTATATTTTGCAAGACAAAGATCAAGGCACCCGGTCTCATTGACACCACTCATGCTCACCACATGACCTCTGAAAAGAGCCAGATCAATCTTGCTGAACAAAAATGGAAGCAGAACATGCATGCCGTATTCACTGAAGCAGCTCAGCAGTTTTGAGTACAGCACAAGACCATAGCAGAATATATGCAGACCTTGCTTGATAAGAAGTGTGCATTGGAGCAAGCTGCAAAGAAGGAAGAACAGGCATGCCAACGAGCTATAAAGAAGGCTGCCACTCAGGCACTCAAGGCTGAAGAACAGGAGGAACGACAAAGAAAAGTTGAAGAGAAGTGCCAGCAGAAGGCTATGGAGAAGCAAGCATTGGCACAAATGGCCAGGGTGGGTGCGAAGAGCTTCAAAGAGAGGACAAAGGGTAAGAAAGCAGATCTTGGAGGTGCCGGTGAGATCACTGCCTCTTTGGCCATTGAGCTTGATGTTGCACCAATGGCTGAGCTTGATGTTGCACCAATGGCTGAGCTTGTGGTTTCACCAAAGGCTGCTACACAAGAGAGCCTTTGCCGTACAACTCAGAAGTGATTGTATATATTCTATTTGTAGTTTGTACAGCTTGTTCTGTGCTCTTGAGGGTGCACGCTCTCTCGGTCATAGGCAAGTGTCTACTTGAGCACTTAGATGTGCCTGGCTGGCTGAGATCTATGCCAAGCCCCATTTTGGCGGTCTTCTCACAAAAATATTCCTAGCACCTGTAATACTGGTATTAAATTTTCTTTTGCATCATAGAGCACTAGTATACATTCATTTCCAGTAGATCTAAGATAAAAAATTGAGGATATCTCGGTGTGTTTACGCGCACGAAGTGAAATACCGTAGACTGGCCGACTTCGGGGCACGTGACAGTATGGGTTCCGCCCGGAGCCTTCCGGGCGTACCAGTGGCTGGGGACGAGACTACAGCTGTGCGATCTGACGCCAGCGGCATGCCCGTGATCTAAATTGGATAGGTAGACTAAGGGCATTTATAGACTAAAAGTGCGGTGTTACAACATGATGCGTAGTAGTACAGAATGCATGAGATGACACGAAGATCATGTAGGCGAAGAAGCCACAGACTACAATGAATGTATGTGAGAGTATTGGTAGTAACTTGTGGGTGGCGAAGATGCAGAAACCGGGATGTCGAAAATCATTATCCCCAGCCGTCCCAACGACCATATCTTCTAAATTCACGAAGGACACATTCGCGGCTTTCCTTGCTATCCCTCTCGCGTTCCCGGCCTTTACCTTTATCGTGACGGCTGGCAGCGGAGGACCCACTGGACGAGCGCGGTCGATGTAGAGAGAGAGCTCGGACGCTCGGGGGAGAGATAGATATGGGTCCAACAGGGGAGGAAGGACTTATCTCCACCACGGGGCTGGACCTTGGTACCGAAAGGCGATACCAGCCGCCCGTGAAAGTCAAGGCAATTAATTGATACTCTTGCGAAGGCTGTCGGCCCGGGTCGTGTGGGCTCTCAGCAGGAGCTTCAATCCATCCTACCACACACTTCTCCTCGTCGACGACATCGGCGGTAGGAGGTTTCGAGGGACCAGCGGAGAGTGAGATATGGGCGGACTGTGAGGGTATGCGGTATTGGGCATAAGACCACTCCGAATCGAAATACTTCGGAAGCGGTATAAAAGTGGTCAGAGGCGAAAATGTGGATTGTCGATTTCTACTTGAGAGTCAGTACGATTCAAAATTAGGTTGAAATGCACGATGAATACTCACGAGCTTCCGCTACCCCCTACAAGCGAGAAGACATGCACGGTTCCTTTGTCACTCCAGACGCATACCTCGCGTTCATCGGGCCGGAAAGCGACACCATATATCTCGGCTTTATCTGTTCCTCGCCGCAGCTCGCGTATCAGCTTCCCGGTCACAGAGTCCCATATCCGGACGAGGGTTCCCCTCGAGGATGTGGTTGCGAGGTACCGCCCGGAAGCAGGTACAGATAACGTGGAAAGAGCAGTGGTATGAGCGGCAATAATGGAGACTGGATGTTTAGTAGGGGGAGGAGGAGGAGGAGTTGGGGGAGAAGAGGACGGGGGACCGAGAGGTTCTGGTGGTTCGCATGGCGGTAAATGGATAAGCTGCACATGCCCGGTCTGGCGACCTGGTATGGCAAGTAGAGTAGAATGTGTCCGTGTAGCTAAGGTTAGCAGCCCTAGTGATAAGAGTTAGTCCCTGCCCCTAGAACAAGCAGAGTACCTACCTCGCGGGTTGTCACATGTGTCCCATTCCGCGTATCTGCTTATAGATTCATCGACTCTGAATGCTACCACCCGCCGCCGCAATGCGACCGCCAGCCAGCCTCTGCGACACGCCAGACCTCGTACCCGTTCTCTAAACTCCAGCTCAGCAACTTCTCTCCCCACTGCGTCATCCCAGAAGACGACCTTGTTTGGTGGATATCTTGGACTACGACCACCACCTACTAGGAAGAGAAGCGAGGATGTATGGAGCGGAATAACCATGGACAGTGTGCCTCCTGCGATATCTAGCCAAGATATGAGTGCTGTTCTAATAGTGAACATGTGCTGGGCGGACCTCGCCTGCGGAGTAGCCTGAGAGGCCAAGCATTGTAGATCGCGAAGCCAGCCTGAGTGCATGTCGTGAATATGCGGCAGTCTGGGTCGAACTTAGTGTCGAAGATGAGGACTGGGGCTGTTGCGCTGATCGAGTGTCGAGCGAGGTTCATTCAGACGGTGAGGGGAGAGGATAAGCAGAGCAGGCGGCGGAAGCCATTGAGACTGCATAAGGCAAACACCCGATCGCGTGTCGCCTCCAAGTTCGGCTTGCCTCTGTCCACATCACTCGCTCAAGCGGTCTCGGGTCTCAAAATGTCAAGCTCTGCGTATGTCCTCGGGGTTTCGCATGCGTATCGCGCTCAACCGTCCTTATACTAGAGTATCGCTATATCTTGACCCCCAAATCCGTGACTGGGTCTTATTTCCTATTACTCTTGTTATGGTGCGTCATACGCACATCAACATAGCCAGATGAAGTTTATGCTGGCCATAGATTTTGGTTGGAATACTTCGACATTATGTGGTACTACTGCTCCAAACGCCCCCAAAGAAGCAGCCGAAGGAGGCTATTCGCGAGCAGTGCGTCCATTACATCGCAACTGTGCGGTACAGCTTACAAAAATCATCGTAGGCGGGCACTTGTGCGGTCCCAGATTTTACGCGCAACTGCTGCTTTATCTCCAGTGCCACCGACGTACTATAAGTCTATCTCTCAGTCTCTCTCACAAGCCTACGCCGATGGGTCGTTCCTCAAAGACGGCCCCCCAAAGGGCGATGAGAAGCCAGCACCTCCGAACCCTCTCTCGGATCCAAATGCCATGGACGGCATGATGGCTGGCATGAAGACCCAGATGGTCATGATGGTTCCGCAGATGATTATAATGGGATGGATCAACTTTTTCTTCCAAGGCTTTGTGCTCAGTAAGTCTACACGGTCAAAGCGTAAAGTCCACTAACACTCGTTCGCTTAGTCAAGCTGCCTTTTCCACTCACTCTGGGGTTCAAGTCCATGTTGCAGCGTGGTATCGAGACTCCTGACATGGACGTCAGATGGGTGTCATCGCTATCGTGGTACTTCCTGAATTTCTTTGGTCTTAACGGCCTGTATCGCATGATTCTTGGGAATGACAATGGTGAGCGCACCGTGTCTCTTGATTTGCACCTCTAAATGCATCAATGTTCTCAGCTGCCGACGCTTCTCGAGACATGAATACTCCTTTCGCCGCTGCGGCCATGGCCACCCCTCAACCTGGGCAACCCCAGGATTACAACAAACTGTTCAAGGCCGAGCGAGACAATCTAGAGTTCTCCGAGGGCCTCTACTCCTGGGTAGCTAGTGATGTAGAGACTCGAATCCTGAAGAAGTACAGTCGCAGTATATAGACACCATCGAGAATCACCGGCGTGTTGTACTACACTTGAATAATAGCTACATCCGTCTTCGTTTGTTTCAACTGTGTTATGAATCGCTACAATATTAAGTACCGTACACATTTCCCTGCAGAAAAGTTCGCGGAACCCGTTCGAGGGTATAGTAACCCCAAAGACCGGGTTGAATATCATGAAGGTAACCTAGTGAGTACGAAGCCGGAACAGCACAGAAAGTGCCGGGGCTCTGGATAATATGGAAGCAATGGGTATCGGGCAAGTTACCGGAATCTGCGGCGTGCGTCTAGATACATATTTCATACAAGACCGTCGTATAGCGACAGCGCCTAACAGTGCAACCCGTCGTTAATTCTATTATCAAGCGACCCAGCTGCTACGACATACCTGCACGATTGTCGGATCCTGTTTGCTGCCCTCAACGAACTCGTCGTAGGTGAGTTTGGCATCCTTGTCTCGGTCCATATTCTTGAAGATCTTATCGACACGCTGTGTACATATATGCCTGAACAAGCTTCGCAGAGAAATGATCTGGATCATGAGCTAACCTTCTCGGGGGTATCTTCGTCTGGGGGGAGCTTCACCATTTGCCCAGTCATCTTGTATATTGACTGAACAATCTGGAGCATCTCAGCGTACGTGATGAAGCCATCTTTATCGATGTCATATAGCTGGAAAGCCCCTGTGAACGAACGAATTAGGTGAGGTCGAGGCGGTCAACCAAGATGCGTACTTACATTTTAGCTTCTCGTCCAAACGTCCACGGCTCGTAACGCTGAGTGCACATATGAACTCCTTGAAGTCTATGTGACCATTCTTGTTCTCATCGAAAACGTTGAAGACATATTCTGCGAATTCCCCTGGGTCGCCGAACGGAAAGAACTGCTTGTATATTCTGCTGAACTCCGTCTTGTCTAACTGTCCACTGGGACAGTCCTTCAAGAAACCCTTGTACCTATAAGAATATAAAGAAACAAGGATAAGGCGACTGAACGATACGGCATGAAAGGGGAACAAGAGGACCATTGTTGCAGTTCGCGCTTGTCGACTAGTTCCAGAGCAATGAGATTGGCTGCGCACGACCACCGTACAAGACGTACAATACGTGTGCTTCTGAAGATCCGTAAGTTGCTCTGGTGACAGCTTGGATTGCGATTTCCCCATGTTTGCGAGTGGCAGGAGGAGGTGAGAGGTGCCAAACGAAGCTCGGGGCAGTGCTGCAGCCAAGCGCGTCGGTAAGTTCGTGCGTCATCAGGTTTACACGGAAGGTATCCAATTTCTCACGCCCGGAAATCGTCGCGGAACCATTTCTCTGAGATCTGAGTTTTCCATGTCGCAGGTTGCACAAGTCGAACACCAAGGTCGATCTTGATACTGGCAATGCGTCTGTAAGCTTTGAAGATGTTTAAGTGAGGCAGGTGTCGGTTAAACACAGCTAGGTCTTTGCCGGGTTATCAGACATAAATAACAAATTATTCGTATCAGCTAAGTGGTTAACCGATCATTTTGAGTGATCGTTTTCTGCCTCGAGGCAGCATCGTGCTGCACGGTGTCGAAACGAAGCCTGTATTTGAGTGGGTCTGCAGGCACGGTCTCTTTCAAGAGTACAGCCATCTGGTAAACCGTCTCTGCTACAATTCCGCCGTTCTACGATGTGTCCTCAAGCAGGAAGCCATGAATCGCCCAAGCAAACCATATCGGAGTCGAGAAAAGAGACCGCATGCTTATATCTTCTCCTTCTCTCATAATAATCGCCCTTGTACTCCGTGCCTGCGTCTTGCACCACCGCTGCCTACCCAGGGCTCGTCACCGCTCTCGCCATGTGTTATGTACTCGGCTCTATCGACCAAGCTACGGGCACATGTCGTATGTGCAAGGTATTCAAGCCGAGTAGTGGGAGGTTAGTATTGCATTGCCCTAATTATTCATCTGAAACTGAATCTCGTGCTGCTAGATGTCCCCACCTTACAGAGGTCTGCCGGAATCGTGCTACACACCCCAGGGGTGACGTAGTCTATATGAAGAATGCAGAGGGTGAGTGCCATCGGTCTCGTTATCGTGCGCGCCACGGTCGAATGCGGTGCTGACGCTGAGGCTAGTTCAAACATTCAATGGATGTGGCTTCTGCAAGGTGCGTTACTCCGCTACAGCAGCTCTATGGATCTCACGGGATACTATACAGTGGGCACGCACCAATCCCCTTCCGAAATCCTCAGGCTATGCGAATGCAGGTTGGCCAGGCTGCTGCAGACCGCCTTTGAGCCATGAGCAAAGGCTGATCCCCGCTGCCGATTGGCCCGCTGTCAGTCGAGTCCATCACGTCCCCATTCCTCCCGATGTCAAGGCTCTTCTGGAGAGTCTGACGAATCCTCAACGAGGTGGTCCGTTTGTCCCCGGCAATCGTAGCTCCCCTCCGTCTCAGCCCTCTTCGTTATCGCGCAGAAGTGGTGGCGGCGCTGCGTTGGCTGGTCGCACAGACAATAATCCAGCGCAAAATGCCGTCGTTGCCACCCCTAGAAATCGCAGTCGAGGTTCCCCCCAGCAGTCTGTCGCGTCGCTCTCGAGCTCAACCTCACGCAACTCGGGGAGTGACGACGGCACTCCTCCTCCATCTGCCCCTCCTGCGACAGAGCAGAAGAACAGCCCACGTCGCCCAAGCATCGAAATGCAGCTTGAAAAGCGCCGGGATACTTCCCGCGAGGCCAGGCATTCTCCAGGTCGGAAGTCCATAGAACTGAGCAGTTCTCTTTCTCGGAAAGGCTCAAATCCGAAGGCATCCGTATCCGCCACCGTCTCCTCAACTGCCGTCCGGCAAAAAATTGCGCGTCCGTCACTTGATTCTGTCACAGCAGATCCTGACTCAAATTTCGTCGATACCAACCCCGAGCATAGTCAGCAAGACACGTCTTCGGCCGCTGATCGCCGCCGTCGGCCTTCGCTCAACGATGCGTTTGCCGGCATGAACGTCTCCGGTGATTCATATGCTTCCAGCAGCGACAGTGGTGGCAGCGAGACCACGGTGACATCGGACGGAGGCTTCACCGACTACTTATCCGATGAATCGGAGGCGGAGTTGCAGCGTCAAGCGGAGCTGAAGGCTGCTATGATTGCACAGACTCACATGGAGGAGCAGGAGTTCAGGGCGGCGCGGCAGCAGCTCGCGAGCATTGATTTACGGCCACCGAAATCTTGGACGCGTACTTAATGCCAAACGTATGTCCACCAGCCTCAAGCTTCCAACGGCCGTACAATCCATGCCCATATAAAGTCGATAAAATGACTACGTGTACGCACGTGTCCCCTGTAACACAGCTCCATCGGCACAACGGGCTAACTAACGACTGCTGTGATGCCGAGGACGCTAGGGTAACACCTACATTCCCAGACTGTGGCACACGAACTCTCCTCCCTTCTTTCCTGTACTTTTCGTTCCCGCCTCGCGGTATGCTTCTGTAGCTGATATACTGTGTCTAACATGTGTTGTACTGGTATATGCAAACAATACACTGCTCACATATTCGTTGCCGTCCTCTGCCTGGGTCACCGCTGCGTCAGCTCGGTCCCGCACAACAAGCGCCCGTAGATTGTTGTAGTTTATGGAGCTTTGCTCCGCCATCTCCCTACGTCACTCACACAAAAATTTGCCAAACCCCTAGTGAAGCATATGTCTGGCATTTTTCAACATATCACTGCCCTGACGAGCTCAGTGACCGAGTCTCCAGAGCGGGATAAGCGGGCTGTGGACGACTGGGCAAGGTACGCTGGCGGGTATCGCATACATGTCCACCTGACCTTCAGGACCCAGGCTGCCTCCTCAGGGTACGTGCCTTCGTACGGATAATCTACGGAAGACTTACCTACCGCCCGCAGACAGTGTTGTGAGAGAATTGGAAGAGCTAGCTTCCGATGAGCAGTGGCATAGCGTGCTGGAAGTGTATGGCTTCGGTCAGATGTTGCAGGACGGCAGTCACTCTAATCTGATGACCACATTGCTGTCGTATGTTCGTTCTCTATCGTATGCTTACCCTTCTAATTTTCGACAGGAAATCACAGGCTGCACCATTGCTAGTGTCTCTACAATCGCTTCTCTCTAGTTCCCGGCCAAACGAGTCTATTTCCGAGGAATTAGCGGACATTATCGGTTTCGAGGATATCGAACTTGCTATGGAGATACTAGAAAGTCGTTCGAGCCTGAATCGAGAGGTTCAGTCCGATTTACCGAGCCGCTGCTAGCTGCTGCCGATAACTGACATGGCATGACAGATCACACAGTACTTTGCCAATAACTCTTCCTCGGGTTTTCGGAAGGTGGCGCCCGATGCTGCCTTCAACAGTGAGATTTATGCCTGTGTCTTGCCGTAAACACGCACTAAACTTGTTTAGTTGATCAGAACGGGTTTGACGAGGAATCCGCGCGCATGCGGATGGAAGAGGCACTACGTGCTAACGCCGTTCGCCCTCTGTATACTGGTATCGCCGTATGTGTTCTGAGGATCAGTCACGCATTTATGCTAATCTTTCCCCAGCATGATGGTCCTGAAGTATTGCCACATGTCTACACATCGTCATCCATGGCATCGGGAAACGTGCTTTCTCACCTAGGAAGTAGATTTATGCTTCCCGTTGGGACTACTAGGGTCGACCATGAGGTGATATTTCCATCTCTCCGATGTACACTCGATACTCATTCGCATTTATGCAGGGTTACGAGGAAGTCACAGTCCCGCCCGCTCGGCCAGTACCCCCGCGCGTGAACGAGCGATCAATTCCAGTGCCCGAATTGGACCAGCTGTGTAAAGGCTCATTCCCCGTAAGCCGTGATCCAGGTTTCTCCGTTACTATCTGCTTAGCGTCTGTGCTAGGGCTATTCCTCTTTGAACAGGATTCAGTCGATCGTATACCCGACGGCCTACCATTCAAATGAGAACATGCTTGTGTGTGGTAAGCCAAGGTCGCTGCTTTCATGTTTGATCACTTTTCCGACCAAGTCTTTCTCAGCTCCTACCGGTGCTGTTGGTTTACCTTTCAAATAGTTGCGTGGGAGCAGCACTGATTGCCTCTTTACTACCTTATGCAGGGTAAGACCGATGTGGCTATGCTGACAGTACTGCGAGTTTTGGATCAATATCGGACCGTGTCACCTACGACACAGTCATCAGCGTCGGCAATCGGCCGAGACGACTTCAAGATTATATACGTGTATGACGCATTCTCACTTTATTCTATCGCTACTAATTGCCGAGCAGGGCGCCCATGAAAGCATTGGCATCAGAGATTGTCCGCAAACTTGGCAGGCGACTGCAGTGGCTATCGATTCGCGTTAGAGAGCTTACAGGTGGGTGGCTACTCTACTGACGAACCATCGTGCTCATTCATTTCCAGGCGATATGCAAATGACCAAGGCTGAGATTTCAGAGACGCAAATTATCGTTACTACTCCGGAGAAGTGGGATGTCGTGACGAGAAAGCCCACCGGCGAGGGGGAGCTTGCTTCGGTACGTCCTCGGCAATTGCGACAGAGACTTGCTTCGTGTCGTTCCTGAGTGCAACGCAGAAAGTCAAGCTCCTCATCATCGATGAGGTACACTTACTTAATGACGAGCGCGGCGCCGTTATTGAGACAATCGTCGCACGGACGCTTCGGCAGGTAGGTACCTACATTCGCGGCCTGTCTGTATTTGACAATGCTCTCGATACAAGGTCGAATCAAGCCAATCAGTCATTCGAATCGTCGGGCTCAGTGCCACATTGCCCAATTACGTCGATGTAGCTGACTTTCTCCACGTGAATCGGCACATAGGACTGTTCTACTTCGATTCTGCGTTCAGACCTGTGCCTCTAGAGCAGCATTTTATCGGTGTTAGAGGAAAGCCGGGCAGCCCACAATCTCGCAAGAACCTGGATCGCACTACGTCTGAGAAAGTCTCAGAGCTCGTGCATCAAGGCCATCAGGTCATGGTTTTCGTTCATGCACGAAAGGAAACTGTGAAGACCGCCCTCGCCCTAAAGGAAGCTGCCATGGTAGAAGGGTCTTTGGACGAATTCAGCTGCGAGGATCATCCGTCTTACTCAATGTTCAAGCGAGATATTGGACAATCGAGAAACAAGGAAATGAAGCAGCTGTTCGACAATGGTTTTGGTATACACCATGCCGGGATGCTCAGAACGGACCGTAACATGATGGAACGCATGTTTGAAGCGCGAGCTATCAAGGTGAGTCTATCGTCCACCTATAAATGCACTATAGTCAATAATGTGACTGCGAGGTTCTTTGCTGCACGGCGACTCTGGCATGGGGTGTCAATTTGCCCGCACACGCCGGTATGTCCGTCAGATTTGTATTGTCTATCGTCCTTTGATCTTCCGCAGTCATTATCAAGGGGACTCAGGTATACGATAGTGCCAAAGGTGCTTTCACCGACCTCTCTGTCTTGGATGTCCTCCAGATCTTCGGTCGCGCTGGACGCCCCGGAATGGAAAGTAGCGGTGTCGGATACATCTGCACGACGCACGACAAGGTGGATAATTATTTGGATGCGGTGACCGCCCAGGTGTGTGCAGAATGTTTCTCGCAGATTCATGCGCACGGTAACTGTTTCTACTTCAGAACCCTATCGAGTCAAAGTGCGAACTCCGTCCGTGATGATAGCGACTACTCGCTAAAAATAGCTTACAGGTTCACTACCGGCATGATCGACGCCCTGAACGCTGAGGTAGCTTTAGGTACGGTCGCCAATGTTCACGACGCTATCCGGTGGGTCGGATACACCTATTTGTTCGTGCGAATGCGAAAGAATCCTTTGCAATACGGTGCGTTCAGCGATTACGGTCTGACAGCCCTTCACCCATGGTACATACAGGGATCTCTTGGGACGAAGTACAAGAGGACCCATATCTCCATAGCAAACGTACTTCCCTCGTGAACCAAGCTGCAAACAAGTTGGCGGAAGCGCGCATGATCGCCTTTGATCGACCTCTGGGGAACTTCGTTATTACCGATTTGGGCAGAATAGCTGCGAAGTACTACATCCGTCACAACTCGATTGAGATATACAATAAGGAGTTCCGACCGAAGATGACCGAGGCCGATATTCTGGCAATGCTCTGCATGAGCACCGAGGTACGAGAGTAGAGATGTTGCATGACGACTATCTGATGACCTCCTCTTTTCAGTTTCATCAAATACAAGTCCGCGAGAATGAGTTGAAGGAACTCGAACAATTAATGGAGGTCGTACCCTGCAAAGTAAAGGTAAACTCCCTTCGAAACATTCGCTACAGCGGGCGACTGACAGTATGCCAGGGAGGAACTGATACAAGCCAAGGCAAAGTTAATATCCTTCTGCAAGCCTACATCAGCGGATATCGACCAGACGACTTCGCGCTCGTCTCCGATCAGGCCTACGCGGCTCAAAATGGTGGCCGCATTGTCCGTGCCCTGCTCGAAATTGCCATCAGTCGAAAGTGGGCGAACGCTACTTCTGTCTTGATGGGCATGAGCAAAGCTATTGAGAAGCGTCTATGGCCTTTTGACCAGCCACTGAAGCAATTCCCACTGAAACAGGACGTCTTCTACGGATTGGAGCGTTTCGCGGATGAGTACACCGTCGCTGAGCTGGCTGACATGACGGCCGCAGAGCTTGGAAAGCTGGTTCGCTTGAACGAGAAGCATGGGATGGCTATACGAGATGCGGTACTACGTTTTCCCGCTGCTGGAATTACGTACAACCTTCGTCCTCTCGGTCCAGATGTCTTGAAGATCAGCACCCATGTCACCCGCGAGTTCAAGTGGGACTCGAAAGTTCACCAAACTGCGGAACCCTTCTGGCTATGGGTCGAAGATCATGAAGGGCTCACTATCTTTCAACTATCTCATCTCGTCTTTTGGCAGACGACGGAAGCTCTTGACGTCGATTTTGTCATTTCCATCCCTAGCACTAAGCCGCCGCCTTCTGTCACCATACGATACGTCTCGGATAGATGGATAGGGGCTGAGGGAGAACTTGAAATTCTTCTCGACGATCTCGTAATGCCCTCCATGACGGAGTGTCATGCCCCTCGTCTAGATATGCCTTTCCTTTCTCTCGATGTACTCCACGATCAAGTCCTCCATGACGCTCTATCCGCTCGGATCCATAGTCTCAACGGAATTCAGTCGCAAATATTCTGGAGTGTAGTCAACACAAGATTGCAGTCACTAATCTGCGCCCCCGCTGGTTCCGGTAAATCAATGATTGGCCAGCTTGTCTTGTGGTATGTAACTACTTCGTGGCTTCATGAGCGATACTAATCCCCATATCTGATCCAGGTGTACTCTCCGAGATGCTCCCCAAGGCTCATGGGCTCTGCTTATAGCTCCACAACGTACTTTACTCAATGAATTCCTAGCAGATCTCCGCCCAGTTTGCAGACTTCTGGATATAGCGACCGAGGTCATCTCTACCGACTTCTCCTTCGCGCGACCCCCGAGGAAAAGCATCCGTATTGTTACAGCAAATGCCTTGCGTGCTCTGATGTCCAAAATCCCGCCGAATAGCCGTAACAACTTCTTCGATGCTCTGCGTCTCGTCGTTTGCGAAAACATGGAACTGCTGGACTCTTCGTACGAACTAGCGGTTTCGACCTTGCTACACCTCACGCAACAGCTCCCAACGCGATTTGTCGGCATCTCGAGCTCGTTGAACGATCCAGGGGATCTTGCAACATGGTTAAACGCCGACCCGCAGGCTCTCCACAGCTTCCGGCCAGTGGATCGTGACCAGTCGCTCACTATTTTGACCCATACGTTTACCATCCCCCATGCCGCCGCGTTACTCAAAGCCATGGCAAAGCCTGCACATACGGCTATACAAGGAACACCCAGGGAGCCAGCGATTGTTTTCGTGCCTTCTCGGGGACAGTGTCGTCCTGTTGCATTGGATCTGATCACTCAATGCGCTCTGGAGATGGAGACCACCAAGGGCTATCTCAGCGACGACGTCTCATCGGAT